TAAATTTAATGGTCTTTACGGGGGTTTGAATTTGAAATCAAAGACAGCTACTTTGAAGGAGAAAATACAGTGTCATTATATTTAACCACTTTTCCTGATTGGTTATAGGAATCCTTAATTTAAAGAGTAAAAAGTAAGTTCTTGCAAAGCTTGCAGGGTAAAGAAACAAGGGTGTTTGCAGATGATTGTCTAAAACTTGAATGTCAATCCTAAATCGACTGATACAGCAGACATACTCAAGAAGGTTATTCCAAATAAAGGAATGTTGTTGGGTTTATGACAAAATACTGAAAAATCAGCATTCACACCTGCTTTTAAAAAGTAAAAACATATCACATAATTTGTAAGAATGATGAAAAGTGGCTTAATTTATCAATATAAATGATATCTCGTGCTTCTTCATTCAACTATTATATACTGACTGTAAAACATTATAATGAAAATGTAACAAATCATGGGATGTATTTATCCTTTGGAGTGTCAATTTCATGGGCAAGAATTCTAATTGAAATACATTGAATTGAATTGAATTGAATGTTTGAAATATGGATTTGAATGTAGGAATATTACCATAATTAATGATATTATTGTTAATCATCTAGTTCCTTCCAAAGAATAACAATTATAATGTCCCCTTTGATACTTTTAATCATAAGTTTTGCGTTTTCAAAAATATTAATAAACATTTGAATAATCTTCATTGTACATTGTATAAACATTTTGCCATGAATTTGTGAGCAAAAATTGCTGACATATATAGATAACCTAATACTTAACCCAGGGCTGAATTTATTACAGAAATGATAGAATGAATTGTTTTTATCTGTAATGAAGTCCTTACATGATTGTCCACTCATGGTGAACTCCTATAAACTTTCCAAATAAGTCTGAATGGCGATGGGGGATGTTTGACATGTTGCTTTGTCAGTTAATTCATAGTTTGGAATATTCTGGGTCATTTTCTTTATAACTGGTTGTGGTCTAAGATGTCTCCTTTTCTTGCTGTGTTTCTTAATAAATATGCTATGTTCTTTCTTTTTTTATACATTGTCTATTTATTTCATCATCTACATTTTATACAAGAATGGCTTGCCAATCGCATAAAGCATTATAGGCTAATCGTAAAAATACATATATTTAATTATCCCATTGAACGAAGTTCGGAGGGATATAGGGAACGCCTCCGTCCGTATGTCCGTCCGTACGTATGTCCCTCCGTCAGTATGTCCGGGCAATAAATCAAATACTGTTGGCCCGATTTTGTTCATATTTTGTACACATATACCCTATGGGAGTAGAAGTTCTGCTCGAAAGCCGATTTTCAAAATGGCCACTCATTTAAAAATGGAGGTCATTTAAGTGCAGATCAAGTTGCTGATGTAAACGGTTGAAGTAGATTCGAGTTTCGTCTGCAGACTGACTATACCATCTTTTTGTGGTCAACAGAAATTTCAGCCAATAGGATATCAAGATTATTAATGTAAAGATTATGATTATAAGGCTTTACAGGGATATCTTCATGAGAATATATGACAAGTCCTCGACCTAGTGGAGAAAAAAGTGGATTCCGGTAGTGTTTTAACTTTAAATCAGAAAACACAGGGCTATTTTCGATATTTTCAGTTTCACACAATCCTAAAAAACTCTTTGCTTAAGGTCTTCAAATCTAGAGCCTGAATCTGCAAGTAAGCTATTAATGTTTGTGAAGAGGAAGGAAATCATTTCACACTTGTTCTTTCTGATTTTGGCACTCATACTTTCTTAGAATCAAAGACAAGAGAAACGAAACAAGGCAAGGAAGTGTTATATTAGATCAGTTCAGAACTATATTTAGGAATGCAAATAGAAGTGGTGAATCATTTTCATTTTCCACTTTTGTTTTGGAGGTTTTTTATTTTAATAATGAATATGACAGTTATAAGGACATTTGAGAGAGTCATGAGAAAATACCTTGAAGGAGCATAACATTAGAATGACTTGAATTTTGTAGGCAACAAAGCATGTTAATGACCATATAATTCATGATTTATTTTCTGTAAGACTTCCTATTTGATCAAAAGGTTGTCTTAACCTCTTGACTACCTGGAGTGACAAGATTTCTTGTCAGCTCAGAAATGACCTTGAAACCCAGAGTGAAAATCCGTCACAAATATTTTCACTAAAATTGCTCTTATTTGAACAGTTTTCATCCAATTTACACAAAAATTGTTTTAAAATGTGTAGAAATGATCTCTGGCATCTAATTTTAATAAGTTGAGCATCTGAAGTTGTATAGGTATGAAGTATAATGTCAAAAGGTGGTAAAAATGAAAAAAGCTCTAGTTTCAATCGATTTTAGAGCCTGGGATTCAAGATGTTAAATGGAATTAATCAAAAAATTTAAGTCGAATTCAAATAATACATACCTAAAGATAGAGTCTCTTAAATTGATATACTGTTCAAGTGTGTAGGGAATGGTGAAAATGATATTATCAAACTAACATTTTTTTTATCTAATTACAATTTATTAAAAAAGAACAAAACAAAACATACGAGTATTTGCAAGCCACACCTTCTCTGTTTGTGTCCTTGATGTCTGGAATGCAACAAAGATGCTATGATTATGAGAATGATAGAATGTGTGTTCCCTTATTATGAATGTTTAAAGTGTTCAAAAAATATCAATATTTTACATTAACAATGTCATAATTTACTTCCCAACAAAATGAACTTTTTTCCATGACTGATTTCTATATATTTCATTCCATATATTGTTATTTAGTAAGTCCAGGCAAAGACAGAATTACGTTATTATATATCTCTCGTACAGGTAACTGAGGGTGGTGCAAATTATATGACTTTGGCGCAAATTATATTACATTGTACTTTGGCACAAATTATATTACTCTGGCCATGAGTGGGCCTTTAAATAGCTTCAAATATTTTAAACTATGCTTTTACAGGCTAATTACTGATTATTTATGTGCCATTTGGATAATTGAGGCAGTTTCTCTCACCAGTTGTGGCTTTCTGTTTATCTTTTCCAAGATAGTTCAAGTAGTATATCTTGAAAAAAACCTCTGAGGATGACCCAAAATTATGAGGCCATCATTTATATCTGCTGTTCATTATCATTCATGCTTATGTTGATGGATGCGTTTCCCATACATCTTTGCAAAGATCACATGACCTCTTTAGGTGAATCAGAGGCTGTTTTGAGTACATTTGTTATGGGATGCCTTAAAACAAAAAAATTACAGTTATACCTGACCCTACATCTAGGGGTAATTGTTTCTTTCATGATGCATTGTAATTATTTACTTTAATTGTTTACTTTGATGCACATATGTCTAAACTCTGACTCATACAATGTATACAATATATTTATCTTCTAATGTTTTGAACTGAGGTTCTTCAGGGAACTTCAAACAATTTTAAGTTGAGAATATATCATTATAATAAAGTGATATGCCCTTGCTAATTTCACTAGCCAGCAAGTGTGTGAATAAGGCTATATTTCCATGAGTACCCATCCTTCCCTCTCTCTTACTTTTATAATGGTTTCTTGAGTTTTCTCAATAAACTAATACTGAGCTTATAACCCAATTGATGTCTTCTAGTTAAGTATTGGATTGTGTTAATGACATATATGATTACTGAAAGATAGAGGTATTACATGCTGTTTGTAATGTTAGATTATTGTGGGATGCTGGGGGCTTGTGTCCACATGGTCTGAACAATAACATTTATAATATAATAAACTGAGAAAAACACAAAAACACAGAAACTACAGACTTTAATTATCTAGCTGCATGTATGGCAGCTATAAATATTTTGACTCAAGAAGTAAAGGATAACATAGTAAAAGCAAACTCTTGTTTTTACTTTGGAGTTTCATAACCTATTAATGCTTTATGAGGTCAAAAACTGCTGACAGACAGAAGAAGGTCCAATTACCTTTATAATTATTTTACACCAAAGAACTTGACCAATTATTGTTGGTTTTATCAGTTCACTGGGTTTATAGGGCTTGAATTACATGTATTTTTGTTATTAATTCAAACTACATGTACATGCTTTAAGTAATATACTGATCAATCAATACTTTGAATTAAATCTCTATATATTGAACATAATGTCATTTTAATGGCATTACAAAATCATTCAGCAATAGGGTCAATTGAAGTTTTCACCCTAACAGTGTTCTCAAGTGAGGAAATAAATTTCAGAGAGGAAATCAAAATCTGAGGAACGTGCAGCGCCTACTTCTTTCAGTACAAGTGAGATCACTTGTTAATCTGAAGTCATGCTTTCTATGGGACAATAGAACTAAGGAGGAGCTTATTTAGATAATTGACATGTCTGAATCTCAATATGACAACTTCAATATGTGGAGCAAATACTTCAAAATGATATCTTATCTTTTAACATACAGCTTCACAGGATCTAGTGCCTAAGGTCAAATGTTACATGTTCATTAAGTTCATGTCATGTCTCATGCCACAAACTACCAGCTACCTACTAAAATATATATTTTACTTGTTCGCCATCTATAAACATGCAGGAATTTTATATTTTGGTATTATCAGATTTGGTCAGAAGTCACAAGAAAGTGTTTATGCCTATGTAGCTAACTTATAGCCCTCAGGTGTCGAGGTCACATGCCATGAATATATATATATTTTGATAAGTAAATATTAATTAATAAAGTAAATATAATTAATAAAGTAACATTCACTTCATATTCGTTAGACCTCCACAAAAGGCCATGAAAGCTACATTTGAGGTCATCAAGACTGACCACCTCCAAAACTGTAAAATCACCTCTTTAGAAGGTAGTGTCACTAACCCTATATGAGAATTCCAGGTAAACATGAAGCTTCAGTTCCCCATTATGGGATCCACAGTCTGTTCTTTACCTTGAAATAGACTCACAAGGTAAGGAGAGACTCTGATAAAACAGAATGACAGTTCCCTTTAAAGCCCTCTTTGATACAATTATTTATAAATTGTAATTTCAGATGTTGATGAGTGCCAGAGAAATCATCCCTGTGAGCAGCTATGTCGTAACACTCGGGGGTCATTTAGGTGCAGCTGTCAGAGAGGATATGTACTGAATACAGATAGGAAAACGTGTAGACGTGTTTATGGGATTGGTGGTGAGTACATAGAGAATAGTTTCAAGTTTTTAGGTTATATGGTTTCCTGCTTTAATTATATGAATTTCCTGCCTATTGTTGTTACATGTGTACATGTTATTCAGTGATTAAGTAACTGTCATTTAGTGATGAATATATCAGGCCCATAGCCAGGGGGGTTCAGTGTTTGAGTGAACCTCCTACCTGATCAAAAATTCTTTCAAAGTCATGCAGTTTTTAAAGTTGTCAAATGTGAACCCCCAGGAATTTTTTGAAAAGTCCTTTGGCAAAAGCTGACTAACAGGCTCGAATATATCATTGTAATAGTGTGATATTAGAACATTAGTTAATTGTCATGCAAACTGCTTCCTTTTGTCTGGAACATCTGGAGGAATAACCTCCTTCAGTAAAAGTTGCTATGTAATATAAAATCAAAAACCTAAGCACTGGCGGATATGGGGGGGGGCCCAGGGGCCCGGGCCCCCCCCCCCCTTGGGTGGGCCCAGAAAAAAAAAATTGTGCCCAAAAAAAAATTTGAGCCTAAAAAGGCTTTAAGGCCCCAAAAAGTAGGCCTTTTTGGTCATAAATTGGCCTTATAAGGCCTTATTTGTTAATTTTAGGCCAAATTTTGAAGAAAATGGGCCTCAAAATTTCAAAATTTGGGCCCACTTTTGGGTTTATGGGGCCCAAAGTTTTTTTCACAGACCACAAGTTTGGGCCCCCCCCCCCTTGTTGGTTCCCAGATCCGCCCCTGCTAAGAACAGTAAAAAATAGTTAGAACAAATGGCTCATAAGAAAAACTCATTTGTTTTCAGGGCAGTATGTATACAAGAGTGAAAATATTGAGAAAACCACCTCTCAGAGCCCAGACCAGCAGCAGCCCCAGCAAGATGACCCTGGGCAAGTTCTGGTTGGGTTTGGTTTGCAGTTTATAGGAGACGAGGACCAGGAAACCACTACAGAACAAACTCATTCCACAAGACCAGCAGATGTCAATAATGCTGATTTTAACACCCCCAAACCTGAAAACAGTGACAATAATCAAATACGTCACAATTCAAGAATTGAGCACAGGTTTGAGAATCAGAATAATCAGTATGATAACACAAGGGACACAATGGCAAGAAGAAATAAGTATTATAAAGCTTGGTATCCACAGTACAATCAGAGAGCCAAAACATACTACAATCAAAACCAAGGGGCCAGAACATACCATTATCAAAATCAGGGAGACAGAACATACAAAAGCAGAAATGAGGAAGCCAGAACATACTACAGCCAAAATCAGGGAGACTGGAACAATAGACGTTATGATGATACTGCAACAAGACGTATAGGGAGTCAACAAATAGACTTTGGGCTACAATATTCAAACCAGGGCCATATCAGTCGCCCCTGGGTGACAGTCAACAGACAGCCCAATTACAGACAAACATACACAAGATACTTAGGCAGATCTCAATACAGGGGTAGTATACCATTTAGGGATAATAGTCAATTTAGGGGAAACACCCAATACAGGGGTGACATCAGTTTCAGAGAGAACTCCAGATACAGACACAATAATCAATATGGCTCCCAAGACAGAACCCAACCTTCCATACAATATAAATCTAATAACCAAATTCAGTACACTAAACAAGACAATGATCCAAGAATGAATCCAAATGCTGAAATCCCCCAACAAAAACCAGTGTATGCGTCTAAATTCATCAATGCTTATAATATGGATCCTAGTTCCTTACCCACAGGGGCAGCTTACCAGCCTAATGATCTTGAGGGAAACAAAGGAACAGAACAAAACAAAAATGATGACGAAGATAACAAAAGAGATGATGATAAAGAACAGCTATATAGTAGAAATACTGAAGATAGGCAACAGTTAGATATTGGTAACAACCATTATGGAAGAAGGGAACAACTGCATAGTGGTAATACCAACAATGATGAGAGGCAACAGTTACACATTAGTAAAGTGAAAGATGGAGATGATGACAATAATGACCAGATGGTGAAAGTGTACAGAAAGGGACATAATTTGAATCATGGAAAACAGTTCACATTCGGACTTAAATATGTTGATGGTTCTGAGAAGATTTCAAGAGTAGGTGAAGAAACTGGAATCAAACCTACTGAAAGAGATGACTTGAATAACGAGGATACTTCTAATAAAAAGAATGAAGTTGACATAGTGGCGCCATCTGTTACACACAAAAGCCGGGTAATCCCTGGAGGTGGTGTCAGTCAGCAAACAGGAATTAACCCCCCAGATAGAAGCAGGTTTGATGCTGCAATATATGATAACCAAGGCCGTGACCTGCACCCTGATTTTAGTCAATTTGATGTTGCAATTTACCCAAATGATAATAGAACGGATGAAGCTGTAAGAAACAGTCTTAATCAAGCTAAGCAAGAGAGAAACCCCGCATTTGGAAATCAAGAGTTAGCAAATCTGAATCAAATTCCCACAGGCAATTTCCAAGCTGGTGATAGAATATACCGCGGGCCTGTTTTTAGTCAAACACCTCCACGAGGTAAACCATTTAAAAATGGCCCTTTTGATCAACCTGTGATTCGAGGCCCAGTGTTCAGTCAGACACCTCCAGAATTTCCACCAGGCCAAGGTGGTGTACAGCAACCAGTGTATAGACAGGCCCAAGGACGACGTTTCCAAATGAAAAGACCCATGTTTGATCCTTACTCTGGGCAGGCTCATTTCTCAAGATGGATTCAGAGAAACCCATGGCAAGTACAAGAGCCATGTAGTTCAGGCTGTGGATACAATGGACCTTGTTCTTCTGGTTGTGGTAGTCGGAGTCAGTTCACCAATAGGTTTATGGGTGCTCTCTACCCCTGTGGAGGTGGTAGTCTAGGCCCATGTTCTGAAAACCAATGGGAGAATAACTACCCAGTGCTCACTGACCCTACCCCATGTTCTGGTAGTGGATGTATCAATGATCCCCGTCCATGTGCAGTTCCGGGTGGATGCCAAGACTTGGAAATGCAGGATTCTGGATGTCCAGATGGAAACTGTTTGAACCATGGGGCAGCACCTTGTGCTGTACCAGGCGGCTGTGACAACCTTGATCCCTTCATAGGACCCCAGCCCTGTCGGGATGGAGAGTGTATGAACCTTGAACCAACTCCATGTGCAGTTCCAGGTGGATGTGATGGCTTAGATATGATGGATGGAGCTGGGCCATGTATGGGTGGAGATTGTGGCCCACCCTGTGATAGTGGAGATTGTCTGAATCATGAACCTGCCCCATGTGCTGTGCCTGGAGGATGTGAACAATTTGACTTCCAACCGTCATTAAACTGTCCATTTGGGCCATGTCAGTCAGGGGCATTGTGTACAGCAAGGGGTTGTCAAGCTTTAGGCCCATTGCCATGTGAAAGTGCAGATTGTGCAGACAATCATGATCATTCCCCGCCTTGTCAGGATCCAACATGTGACCACCACAACAATCAACATAGCAACCAGTTACCGTGGAAACCAAAACATCTTGGCAACAGGAAAGATGATGAATCTGACAGTAACAATGCAAAGAGAGATGAATCTCCTACTAGTATCCCCAACATCATTCCTGACTCAAGCACTAAGGATATCAACAAAGGAGCACACACTAAACCAGATGAGAATGAAACCCCCACTGAGACCCAGCAGCATGAGGGGAGGAAGATCATGTGTCCTGATGGTGCACAGTTGGTGCATACAGAACAGGGACCACAGTGTACATACCTCAGGAATGAAGAGTGTAGTCCAAGGTGCCAGAATGGAGGAACTTGTCAACGTGGCAAGTGTGTCTGCCCCGAAGGTCTACAAGGCAATGTTTGCCAACATGGTGAGTAAATGGACCAATGTCGTACCTTTGTTCACACTTTTACACAGCATCGCCAACTTCTTTCTCACAACTGCTGAAATATTAAAAATTTCAAAATTGAGATTATTGAAGGTTGAACTTGAATATGACTCTATTCTCTCTTTAAAGGGTGACGCATATCGTTTAGCAAATCGAACGCTCGTTTCTGGTGTTGCTCACCGTTTAGTATAAAAGGCCCGATCCCGGAATAATACTCAAGGGTTCACAGGTTCGAGGTCGTTGTGTCAACACCTCTAACTGTTATATAGCATAAGTATATTATAGATCGTCACACATTTATAAAAAGGTGATTTTTATTTTGACAAATCAATTCCACATTTATGGGTGAAGTTTCAGGATCTTCTATTTGTGTATAATAAGGAAAAATTGGCATCTAACTTTCCCCATAACGTAATAGCACACAGCTTGGCATATGAAATATCCTACAAATGAAACAAAGCAAGACAAACCGGTTTCTAATACAAGGATTTATATTGGCTGTTGTACATGTATTCTTTGAACGCAATCACTCTTTGGATAACGTTTTCAAAATCATTATAAACGGATTACTTTATCTCAAAGACAATTTCAATAAACTGGATTTTACAGAACTCCCCTTATTTCTTAAAAATGGACTGATCCAGTTGATTCGCCTTGAGCCGCCATATTGTTTTTATACGGGATGCTAATCGGAACCCTTTAATGCTGATGTTATATTGTTAAAGTCCCCATCTAAAGTTTGAAAATATTTTTTTAACATTCATTTTTTACTATTTGTCAAGACTTAAAAAGTGATTTTAGAGATTTTTGAACAAACAAAAAAATTTTGAAAAAAAGTTATGAGCATTTCATTTCTCAAATATTCAAATTTCCCGCTATTTTTCAAAACAAGTTGAAATTTCTTAATCATCAAATATTTCTTAATGCATTTCAAGAAAGATTATCTTTTTAACACCAATGCAAAGGTTGAACAAAGGACACACTATTTCAATAATAAAATGCCATATTTAATGGGCCACTTCAATGTTTTAACATATCAAAAATATTTTGAAACATTAGTGATGTCACTAAGGTACCAAAAACTTTTTGAAAAAATTGAATTTTTTTTTCGATGTCAAGCTTTTCTAAATCTGCTAGACTTTCATAAAAACAATGTTGATTGTCTAACCAGGTTAAAAGGAAGAATAAATTATGTTTTAGATATCATTGTACCATTGGTTTCTATGAGAACTAAAATTTTGAAATGCATTTTTCTCAGAACCATTTTCATGCACTGATAAGTTCATTTCTCGCTTATTTATGAACCGATTTTCTTAATCTTTTCGGCAAAAAACATGGGAGGATGAATGCTATGCATTGGTATGAATTGTGGCTAATTAGAAGATAGTGACCTCTAAAAGTTGGTTTTAAATAAATTCACAAATTTTGGAACAAAAAGTCTATCAAAAAACACTTTTTGAAATTAAAAAAAAAAGTTTCACATATCATACTTTGATAACATTGGGCAAGACTACAATATAAGCCAAAGTGGTTTAAACTTTATATGGGGCCTTTAATGCTGATGATTATACTAATCTGTAGGACTATTCATCTCTTTTGTTGGACAACCAAGTCCCCCACTGCGATTTAACAATGAACTGCTATTGTTACAGATATTGATGAGTGCAGGGAGAATAAACACACATGTGAATATAGATGTGAGAACACATTTGCTGGCCATGTCTGCACCTGCCCTCCTGGTATGAATGTAACAGCCACTGGAGCATGCAAAGGTAGATCTTTGAATCTTATATAAATGTGTATAAATCTTTTATAGAAGTTTGTATTTAACCAGCATCTAATCATTTCCTTTCTTGAAGTGCTGACAGCTGTAGTTCTCATTCTTATTACTTACACAATCAATAGACGAGACATAATTATTTATGCTTGAAAAATGATCAATGTGGAAAATGTAATTGTCTTTTGAAATTGAGTTTTTTTTTAATTTTGAAACTTGACATAGATGCTTATTAGTACTGCTTTTTCCAAACATTAATATTTTTGAAAAGAAGGTTTTTGTCCAAATCTATTAATTGTGTATATATATCGTATATATCATTATGAATTATGAGTTATATATCACTATAAATAAAATAAAATAAATATTTTAGAATTATTCATGATGACAATAACAGCAATAAGCACTTTAAAAGACCTTTTGCATATATATAGCATCCTCCTTAAGGCTACAGATATCATCCACAGTTTCTTCCTTTTTCAAGGAGTGTGTTTGGAGCTGGATTTCTGCATTTGAGGATGCATGATAGTTGGATATGTCTGTTTTGGAAGAATATTTGATATATCACAAATTCTTTATTTAAGAGTTGGTTTGAGTTTGGAATCATGGTTCACACTTCAAATACCTATAACTTACAATGACAATTTATTAAATTAATATAAAACAGGAGAACAATACATTATTTTCAAACATTTATTTCTATATCTCTCATATATTTCTAACTTATGGCCTGTTATGAACATACGTATGTGAACATTTGTCTTTGCAGAGCTATCATGTGAACCTAAATGTCGCAATGGTGGTACATGCAGCATGGGAAAATGCCAATGTCCGCCAGGATTTAGGGGCAAGGATTGTGCTATAGGTAAGATACTTTAAATGTCCTTTTGTGGGATTTATCAGAAGTACTTGAAATTCTCTTTCCCTATTCTTAGAACACATACTTCACTTTTTACTGGCATTTTACCTTATCTCCTCAATCTGTTAAAGAGAGAATTTGAATCAAGTACATTGTCTTATGAAATGTTCATGTAGCACCATTGAACAAATTCCATTAGATTTACATACATGTACTTTAATTTACAGAAAAAGATTGATGATGCAATTAAATAGTATTTCATTAAATGTTTTACATTTCAGATATTAATGAGTGTGACAGTGCAACAGGCAAAGGTTTATGTGAACATATTTGTATGAATAGCTATGGAAGCTTCACATGTCACTGTCCACGGGGACAAATCCTCAATGACGACCAACGTACATGTAAAAGTAAGATTTACCTCTGGGTTTACATCTTAATGATTTATGTCTAGTCGTTTGTCCATTTTTGGAGAGCAGGCCATGCAGCCATATAATATTACAAGTACATACTAGCCATTTTCTTAATATGCATAGTGGGTAGTAAAGAATTATAAAAATGATTAACTATAAGACATTTAATGGTAAAATGGATAAGCTTGTTCAGGGAATATTTATTCTTACTAAGACCTACTCCATGCATCAAGCAGTGGCATGACACAATGTCTTAGTTAACATTTTTTATAACAAAAAATTGGTTAAAGTATTAGACAACTCAAATATTAGATTGAAATAGTGCAAAAGATAATCAGGGTGCCATATATATTTTCAGTGATGCCACATATTCAGGGTGTCATATATTCAGGGTGCCATATACTCAGGATGCCATATATTATACAAATAGTGACTGCCATTGAGGGCAATAGTGTAAATTATTTCCCCGAGGGAATATCCTCTACAATTTAATATTCCCGAAGCTGCAGGCTGAGGGATAGTACATTGTAGAGGATATTCCCAAGGGGAAATCATTTACACTATTGCTCGAAATTAGGCAGTCACTATTTGTTTTATTATATACACTATACTGACTCTTGTCCCGTTTCCTCTGCGAAGGCCAAAAAGGCTTAGAAAGCCCCCTTCCCGGGTCCATTGTTAGCATTATAAGCTGTGACGTCATCAGATGCTCAACAGAAATTTTTGCCTCTGAGACTCTCACTTGACAAATTAAATCGCGTTTAACACTCGGAATAGATTATCATAACACTTGAAATTACAAAGACGTATTGAGCTTAGGGAACTTTATACACGTTGCTTATACTGTATCGTTCACGCACGTCTGTCATGGTGAACGGAGTTGATTTGTGTTTGTGCTCATCCTCCATTTTTCTGTTTTTCGTCTGCGCAGTGATGATGCGCAGACGTTTCCAAGGGTAATAGAAGTTGCAATCGTGACTTCAGCGGGCAATAGTTCAAATGTATATTCCCGCTGACGTCACATTTGAGGGAATATAACTTTCCCAGGGAAATAGTAAATCTATTTCGGAACACGTGACTAGGTATTGACCAATCAGGATTAGTGTTACATATTGGGTATATAATAATCAGGAATGTCCCATTTATAAGGCATTTGAGAGGTTTTGGAATTATATATGTGCTGTTATTTCAGATCAAACATCCTGTAGCTCAGAGTGCCAGAATGGAGGTACATGCATTGACACCAGATGCCAATGTGCTGCAGGATTCTATGGCAGACAGTGTGAGCTAGGTAAGGGGCTAAGGGAGAGCACCCAAGGATAGAGGAAGTTCCCTGTCAAATAAGCACCACAAAAGAATTAAAGTTTAAAACACCCTTATTAACTAATTCCATTAGAAGCATTTTGCACATTTAAAAAAGTGTAGTGTGTGTTTTATACTTTTATACGTGAAGAAAGAAATGATAAAGTGGACGTTTTATCATCATTTTATTTATCATGGTTTCTAGTTTTTTTTGGTTGCTTGTTTTTCAAATGCTGCTTGTATTCTCATTGCAGATATTGATGAGTGCCACCATTTCAAGCCATGCAGCCACACATGTGTAAACACCCAGGGGAGCTACAAGTGCCAGTGCCCAGAGGGGTACACTCTCCAGTATAATAAACGAAGGTGTGAACCCCTTGAGGATAAAAACAACAGGCAAAGAGAAAGAGAGAGACAATATAAACAGAGATCAAGAAGCTAATTATAGATGGATTTTTGGTGAAACAGCATTATTTATAAAATATGATCTGAAACTGATGTCATACAAAAGATGCCAAAGTGTAAAATATATTTACATTATAAATTGTACAACTACAGAAATCTACTGAAGATTTCTTTGAGATTATATAGACTGCCAATTGTAAAAGGGAACAACAGTTCTGTATAGACATTATTTGATTAAAAAATCATTACATGGCTTTTAATCAAATTATGTGCGAGAATATAGACAATGTTCCTTGAAACAGAACAATGCATTTATTATTTCTACAATAACTTACAATCCATGCATTTATATATTGCAAAATATTTGTAGTACGATACAGTATTGTTTGTACTATAAAGTAACTCTTTTTTTATTGTATTTTAATATGGTTATACTGAATGTATTTTAGAATAGTTAATCACTCCAATTGGGAAGCATTTGTTGATTATTGACACTTATAAAATCTAAAATTGAATATTTTTTCAATTCTGGATTCACACGATTCCTTTTTACTTCTGATGTAATGATTCAATATAGGTTTTGCATTATAAAATTAGACATAAAATTAGTTTATATGTGTAAGTTTCAGAAATTGTTGACAAATTAACATTCAAAGAAATCAACGATGTGGTATTTTATGTTATGTCTATTTAATAGTGAATGGAAATGTATTTGTGGCTGGTTATTTTTATACTGTTCATACAAGCTTTGTTGATGTTAAATTATTAGATTTAGTAAACACATGCAATATCTTTTCACCTAATACAATATGTAGAGGATGCCATGAGAAATTGGAAGAATTCTATATCTACTATATATAGTCAATTAATATGTTTTAATGTATTTTGCCAAATACATGTTATCTTAGAATACATGTTTATTTCACAGGTACATCTACACTATCAATTCTATGTTCAGAGTTTAATCGTTAATTTACCACATTTGTGTCATTTATGTACATGTTCAATGAATGTTCTTAGAAATATTAGTTTTAAATAAATTGTATTATAAAAAATTCAGACCTTGTGTGAATTATCATTCAAAAGGATAAATAAAAGCACTTTACAGTATTGCTTAAAATTGATAACATAAAAAGAACCATTTAGAAAATCAAAATTTGTATTTTTTTCAGAAATATATTACATATCTATTGTTTGTTTCTTGTGAAGAATTATTGGTTTGTGTGTTTCGGTAAAATTGAATCTGCAACCACATCTGTTTATCTTTTTTATGTCATAAATCGCAAGAAGCAAGAAAATAATGTTATTTAAAAAACATGGCTTATACTATTAGACCATTCGTGTAAGACATTGCATTTGACCTTTAAAGTAGCACTTCAATAATTCCACAAAACTAAGGACCTAAAAATTGGTTTCATTTTTTAAAATTGTTATCCCTGAATTTAATTTTCAGTTTTTCATCAAACATGTTATTGAAAAAATCACCATTTTCTTTTATAAACAGTGACATAGATGGGAATTGAAGAATAATATATTAGATTCTTTGCTAGCTAACTAAAGAATCGCTAGGGGGCTCTTGACTCTACTGGATGGTGAAGACAGACGGAAGAGCGCCCAAGATATAGAATTACCAAAATTTCAACAATGACTATCTGATGATGATATTTTATAAGATCTTATGATAATTAATTCATGTTATTTTATCAATACATGTATTGTTGATATGTTGAAGAGTAGCTCCTATCTAACAGGATGTAACCAAATCAAACACTGCATATATGGTTTACTCAGTATATTTATTCATGAATATAATATATATCTATGTATATACATGTTCCTCAATTTAAATCTTTCTTTTATACAGCACAGTTGAAGCTACATGGTTATTTTGATAAGTATTTGCTAAAAGAAACAATCTATCAATCATGGGGCAATTCTTAATTGAAAATAACCAACACATTCGAGAGACCAAACTTGGATATTTTGGACTTGATCATTTCGGTAATGTTAATAACATGGCAGAAAAGCATTAACATACACATCACCCACCGACAACCCAAAATAATCTTAAGTTTGCTATCTAAAGGTTTTTGCATTTTTCTATTCAATGATTCATTATGTCACTTCTTGTCACCACCAAAAAGTGGTGACATATTGTCACTGCTACCATGTTTTGTGTTACACTTTTGTAGTCAGGTGGTAATACTATTATTTTGTCATGTCAATAATGCCTTCTTGCTCCCATATTCTAGCAAAAACTGAAATAACATTGTAATTTCAACTATTCACACAAAATATAATAAAAATTTCAAAATTTGCCATTTCACGATTTGTAAGTTAATTATCCATTGTCAATTGTCAATTGTAAGTCATTTATTCATTGTAAGCTAATCTTCATTATGGACAACAAATGGCCAAAATTGTGCTGATGACCTTTAATTTACATGGAGATATTTGAAAGTGTTCAACTTATGGAGGTGTCCTACTTGATGTACAAATATGTTCCAGTTGACAGTTTCTCCTTTCCCTTTAAAAATAACACATTTCTTTGTTTTCTGTTACATCAAGCAGGTGAAGCCATTTTATTATGATATAGGCTTATTTCACTACCATTTTTAGACACTTTTATAGTTATTAAAAACTATTTTTGGCAACTAAATGTGTAATTTATACATGATATGAGTTCTACTATGAGTCTTTAAGACAACATAATTATTATGACATTATCTAAGCATTATAAAGAAACTCTGATTTTCTTTAATGTTAATTCACATTTGAAACATTTTTATTGCCATTTCAAGGGCATGAGCAGATATACCAAGGAATTTTTCATATCATTTTTTTCAATTGAAGAATATTTCTGGTTCGTATCACTCCTTGTCATACATATTATACAACTTCACCATTTGATAAGCTATTACACATCATAGGAAGATACTATATTTGAAGTGGTAATTGTATGCTGTATATTACTTGCAAATTTGTCATCACTTATATCCATGATTCTGCTTTATTTACCCCTCAATCTATACTACCATTCACTCTTTCGCTGAGTGCATCAAAAATAAAAAAGAATCACTATATATGTTACATAATCTCTGGGCCGTTAAAACTAACCCAGCTTTCACAAAATAATAACATGTACATGTACATCTATTTAAATATCTATTCTATTCCATAAAACCTTAAAGCTTTGGGCATACATAAGATATACAGCAAAAACTATATTCATCTTACAAAAAAGATTAAAGCAAATATTAAAGTACAGTCACCATTTCTTATGTTTCTAAATATGTTAAAAATGTAAGTTTTTACTGGTACTCTGTACCACTGCATAGTATAATGTATAGCGTATGGTATAAAAATAACATCTGAAATATTGCATATTATAGTTAAAATAATTCAATATCCACTGTTTAGGATACAAGTCTACCAGTCATTATGACATGAGCAGGCAATGGCACAATACACACACATATGCTAGTTCTCTCAAGAGGGGAAACATTTTCCTCAAAAATATAATATTTTGTCTCAGGGGACTGATTAACATCTTCGCACGCATGGTCTGAATGCAGTGAAGACTGACAGGAGCCAAATGAATGAAAATGACTTATTAAGGGATCCAAATACAAGGTGATTCAGGAGAGCTTGAAAAGGTTTGAGGAAAATCATATTTCTAAAGAATAGAAATACTTATTCAATCCCAATTTAATAATTCTATACATTTTCAGTTACATTTGTCTCATGTAACATGTGAACAGTGTGTCAAATAAAAGGAGTTTGCACAAAATATCTTCGCTCATTCTGAAATTTCCTTCACATCAGATTTCATAATACCAGTTCTATCTTCATAAACAATTGTTGAACTAAAAATGAAAATGTGGGAAAAATAGCTTTTGCTCATCCTTTCAGTGATTCTAATATTTCAAACAGACAAAATAACATGTCCATCTCCCATTTAAACCAAGTTTTATCCGTCTCTAACCTCTGTTTCAACAATTAACAAGAAGAATTTAAAAAGAAGAACTTGAAAGAATAAGCTCATCTCCCCTTTTTGCAGTGAACTGGGTATTATCTGCATAGTCATGTTGTGTGTTTCAAAGCTATATACACTATGCACAGTGATGAGTCAATATTCAATTTTGATCTGTGACTCATTGTTATTGTCTTGTGTCACCACATATAGCACCAAGCACCTGAAAGTAAAAGCAAACATGTTTCAAAATACTAGATATAATTACACAATGATCTTTTCTCTATATGTGAAACTGATAACACCATGTCCAAAGATATGTGTTTGTGTAATATGATTGGAATTACATGGTATTGAACTATCATTGAACCACTCAGGTTACAGATACATTTTAAACAGTTTTTATCTCATCTCAGGAACTGGTGGTGATTTCCACTCAATACCTGCTAGGATTACGTAAAAGAAGTCCCATTGCAAGTTTGTCTTAATTTTCAGATATCTATAATACTACATAAATGATAATATGTAAGATGATGAAGACAAGGTATAAAAGGGTCAAAAACATGACATATCTATAGAGTCAAAAACATGAGGTGTAAACAAAACAAAAGGTGTAACCAAATAAAAATAATTCATGTTGTACCAACCTTATCTATCAATGAACTGTCACTGTTTCTTAAACATGTAGGAATCAAATCTTTAGGCCGAAACCCCTCGTTATTTTTTACATCAGAGAATGCACCATTTTGTCGCAAAATCCGTATGATTTTACACTGAGTCTCTATATTGTTCTTGTTGATGGCGCCAACAGCTGAGTGCAGAACTGTGTTGCCGTTATATGTCACTTTGTTTTGTAAAATTGATATCTTGTTTGGCAGAGTCATGAGATATTTAACAAGGTCAAGGTCACTCGATTCTACACTATAGTGGAAAGCAGTTTTACCGTTGCCATTTCTATCCTGAAATACACGATAAGAAATATCATACAATTTATGTCATTATAAGGTAATGCCAAACCAATGTCCTCAACAAGGCAAGAACAACACAAAATGTCATCTTGTTTTATTACAAAAGTTTAACCATTTGTTATAGACACCAATGTTAAACGCCTCATCTCATCTCATCACCAGTCACAAAATGGTGACTTAAAAGCTCACCACCCCGAAGTGGTGACATAATTATACAGGGTGACACAAAAAGTGCCACCCACTAGTTTTTTGGAATAACCTTCATAATTAAGGAAACTTCATGATTCTTGTGTAGATAGAGTGTTCAAGTTTTTCCAAAATTAGTGGGTGGCATTTTTTGTGGTGCCCTGAGGTATAATCTCATTCCTTAAGCTATATGGAGAAGGCATAAGAAAGAAAGTATCTACCTCTTGGCCAGGGTTAGCGCCATGCGCTAGCAGCCTCTCAAATACTTGACTGCTATCTATGATGTCCCCTTGAACATACTGGCGGTGAATGCTTAAACAGCAGTGGATTGCTTGCTTGCCTACAGGTAGAAAGATTTATTTATTGTAAGAAAATGTTGTTCAACAGATTATGCTGTACAGATTTCAGAGTTACTGGTCAAAATAGAATTTTTTTCCATTTGTCATGAAATGTGGAAATGTGAGATGTGGAAAAGCCAGTGGGTCCTATAGCTCAGTGGTAGAGCAATAGCCCAGAAACTGAGAGGTTGTGGGTTCGATCCCCACTGGGGTGAACTGACTTTTCCACATCAGCCATTAGCACAGAATTTCATTCTGTGTTTTCATTAACAAGAAGACTATCAGGTGGAATATATTATAAGCTTTCTTGTTCCGGTATACTTTAAGTGTTATTGTTCTGATTTACTATTGTTAATATTGTACTGATATAGATAGACAAAATCTCTTACCTTCTTGATTAAAGCTATGTACATCCACATCAGTGGCACTCAAGAGCACATCAAGAACAGCAAGCATCTTGCTGCCATGGCTACTAGCATAATGGAGAGGAGACTTAGTTTCAGATGGGGCATTCACCTTGGCACCAAATCCTATTAGCAGCTTGACAAGGTCTGCCCTGTTTACAACAGTGGCCAGGTACAATGGTGTCTGTAAACAATACAGTGGTAATCTGAAGTAATGGGATTTAATGAAGTTAGAAAATGAAACGAATCAATTGAATCAACCAATCCATCAAGCAAAGATAATAGATTTTCAATCAAGCAAATAATCAATATTAATCAAGTTATCTTACTCAAGCCTATTATTTTTTCCAAACCAAATCATTCAATTAAGATATTTAAACTATTTGTTCCTTACCTGATGAAGTAAATTCTTCTTATTGATGATATGAATGTGTCCCTCTCTCAGCAGACGTTCACAAAGTGCCTGGATCAGATATATGCTCTCTGGTCTTTCTTGCACCTGGCATACAGCTATATGAAGCTGCCTACAAGGGAAAATATTGACACTTATTAATTGGACAATCACAAAGTGCCTGGATCATATAATGTTTATATAATTTAGTAATCATACACAAGTAAATCAATGGAGGGGATCAAATCTGGATAGGATCAAGCATCCTTTCACATCTCGAGGAAATCTTATAATCATAGACTTACGTATCTCCGTCATCATCTGCTTCTAAGAGGTTGCCAATCTTCAGGCGACTGATGGATCGCCTTGCTTTTGTCAGATCATTGGGCGTAACAGGGCTGTTGTTTGGGGCACTCATCACGGTACCTGCAGTACAAGAGTATTCTATGTGAAACAGTCAATTTTTCATATCCGAGTTGTCAACATTAAGAGACTCTGATAACAGAGTCATTAGGATAATCCAATACTGAGGCTAAAAACATGTTTAACGAAGCAGTCAAAATGGCTCAAAACACTGACGAGGAAATTAATTTTACATTTATGTGTGCTAGCTAATTCTAAATTGACTATCTTACCTGCTGGTATGAGGTTCAATGCAGCCACTGGTGCCTGTCCTTGCATCATAACTTGGGGGTTCTGGTTCATCATGACCACTTGGGGCACAGGAGCCTGTTGGAGTCCCTGTTGTTGTATCACAGGGACCATCTGGGCACCACTGACCATTTGTATCTGCCTTGTAGCATTCTGTTGCTGCTGTGCTATCATTGGAGAAGTGCTAATAGGCCTGCTCATATTCTTAGTTGTGTTTCCAACACTCGGACTGCTGCTACTAGGTGTAGTAGGGTCTGGTTTAGGAAGGATCTTACGGAGTGGCTTAACGCCAGTTTTGCCTTTGCCAGGTGCAGTTTTTGTTGCATCTTGTGGCATCGTTGGGATGAAGACAGCTACAGGTTGAGCTTGAAGTATTGTAGGACTTTGTGTTGTCTTGCTTGAATCAGCTTTGTTCAGTGGTTTCGCTTCATTAAGAGCATCTTTAAGAATAGAATTTGGTGGGTAGTCAGTGCTAGGTGGACCTGTGATAACAACTGGTTTTGGTTTTTCTGTGACAATTCCTTTTAACAGTGAGTTTTTGATTTTTTCAATTTCTGATTCTTTCTGCTCTTTCGCATCTACAATGTCTATAACTTCAAAAACCTCTTCAAAACGTTCATCAATACCACTATCTGCCGGACTGTGTGCAATACTTCCAGGCGAAGGAGCACCAACTGTGGACCCAGGAGACTTCTGGGACTGTGGTGAATAAGGGTATATTGTCCCCTGGCTACTGTTACTTGGTGGCTGTCTATATGTCTGGCCTGTCTGGGGGCTGTAAGCTTGCTGGTTGAGGACACTCCTGGGTGAATCTGCATTTTGTAACATTGATACGCTGGGGGGAGACTGGACAGACCCCATGCTATTAGCACTAGGGGGTGGGGAGTACATGTTAAGGTCTTGAGATTGAATATTCTGGATCTGACTTGATGGGACCTGATTTTCTAGGATTGTGTTAGCTGGATCTTGATAATTCAGCATCTGGCTTGGTTGATCAGACATTTTAGGGACTGAGACTGTCGTATCCTGATAATTCTGGGCTTGACTTGATGGGGCATAATTTTGTTGTATCGGACTTTGGTTATTTGCAATTTGGCTGACTGGAACTTGATAATTCTGGATTTGGCTTGTTGGTATGTGGTCTCTCCAGTTCTGACCTTGTACACCCTGATATTTCTGAATTCCTTGGACAGCAGCATTACCAAGATAATTCTGAGCTTGACCTGAACCAGGATAAAGTGTGGTATTAGAAATTCCACTTGGCACATTGGGATTAGGCTGTTGTATGGTTGTGTGATTTGATATTGGCTGGAAAGCTGGGTCACAATATTGAGTGGGAATTACTTGGTTATGTAACTGGCTGCATATCTGATCTGCATTCTGGTTGATCATTGTATTAGAAAACTGGTTGGTTGGTTGATAAGATGCTTGTCCTTGGATTTCTTGAGGCAACTGGTCAGCTATTTGGTCAGCCAAGATATTCATATCCAAACCATTCAACAATGAATTAGCATCATTCTGGGTAAATTCCAAACTGGTATTGTTTCCTTCATCCAGGTCAAAGGCATCGGTTATCTGGGGACCCAGCTGAGGGACTTGTGTGAACCCAGCATCTCGATTCAATAAAGGGCCTTGCTGAACTGCCATATTCTTATACATTTCCGAAGATATTGGTATTTGATATTGGCTTGGTATTTGAGCAGATTTAGACACCTTGACTTGACCGCCACAACATTTGCTGTATGACTTTGTAGTAGCTACGACTGTGGGGTCAGTGCTTTCTACAGGTTGATGCCTGTTAGTATATACACTGTTAGCGTTAGGCTTAGGTAGAATATTCTGAGGCATCGTTGGAATAGTTTGACTGAGAAAGCCTTGCTGGGACTGGTATTCTATGTTGGGAGGTTGGTTTGTGATTGCATTTGGGTTTGGGCGCATGTATTTAAGTGTTTCTTCATCTCCATAGTAACTTCTCTTTCCTCCTTGTACTGTCTGCTCATTGGTGTAAGTCTGGTAATTGCGGAACTGAATTTGTGATTGGTTTGATATTATAGGAACGGCAACACCATTATTGGGCCCATGGTCTACTAACTCTCCTTGAGGACGTTCCTTCCCAATTTCCAAGTTTGTCATTTGTTTTAACAGTGCTTCCTCACCAGAATCAAATGTTTCAATGGTGGTCAATGTTGACTGCATATCATCTGCACTTATATCAGCTTTCACTGTTCTGGAGTCATTAACCTTAAGCCTGCTCATCTTTTTAATAGTAGCATCAATGCTTCTGTCAGAGTCCTTATACACAGCCAATGGTACAGTTGTCGTAGCAATACCATTTGACTTGTTTCTGCTCCCATCTGCCATTCCGTTTTGTTCATTGCTACGGTTTGATTCGACTTCAGTACCATCAGCTTTGTCACATGCTATTTGAAGGTCTTGCGTCTTTATTTTGGGATTGCTCTTTTCTATTGTCATTTGTTCCTTTTCAGTTTTGCTTGCTTCGGGCATTTTGTTGGTTGAAGAGATGATATTTTTGTTGTTACTGTTGTTGTTTTTGTTACGATCTGCTTGCTTCGACTGTACTCCTGAAAAGCAATATGAATATATTGTTAATTACTCAGTTTTGTCATATTTTATAAAATTGAGCTTCTTCACTCCTACACAGCCAATTTGTAATAGTACTGTGCAGTACAATTTTGGCAATGGTACCATACAGTGCCATGAAATATGGTAACATACGGTACCATAGACTAAATTGGTACCATAAGGTACTGTGAGCACTGTACTGTACCATACTCCAATGGTACAGTATGGTACCATACTCTTAATGTACCATACGGTACCGTGATTTTACAGTGCGGATTGAGGGTGTACATGCCATTGAATCTGCAAATCAAGATTTTTCATGATTCATATTATTCAAGATTTTGAGAACCACACTTAATAAAAATACACATTTTATTTAACAACCTATCTGTTAAATTCTTAAATAAGACCTAATATAATATTGTACCAATGTAATTTTGACTTTTCCAAGTTTTTTGAAGCACATAAAATTATAAAGTCTGTATTTAAAGTTTAATTATTCAAAAGTCATCTCACTTATTTTGTCTTAATATTTCTTGTTAAAACAATTTGAAAATACTTAAGACACATCCAGAAACATACTTACTTATTATGGAATGTCACATGAATGTCAAAAGTGAAAAGCATTGTATAATGTACATGTATAGTACTTATTAGTATGGAGCATCAAGAAAACATCAACTTCAAAAATTAGCACATATAAATGAATGGAAGTGTTTGCTCAAATGTAAGCATTAAACTGTAAAACAAACCACTTGAATTAAGAGGAAGTTGACATACTGTCAAGATATCTACTAAAACCATATAAGTAGCACGATTCTAAGAAATATGATTAACTTACCAGTACTACGATTAGTCAAGGGGAAAACCACTGAGATCATTTTTAATCAAACAATTTTAAAAATTGAAACTTTCAATTCAAATATATCAAATAAACATTATTGAGGAATATAATAAAATATTCTTAGCTATAAAATTTTTAAAATCTTGCTTCAACCATAGAAATCAAGAGGTTGGATAAGAAAATAATATATTTAAGAAATCTTAACTTTTCAATCTTAAATACACATTAACCCTAGCATTATTATTAGAATAGAACAGAGATCTCCATTATTTGTGCTCAATATGCTCATTTCATCTTTTTAACAGGGTCAAGCAGATTTTCATGAGGGAGGCATATAACTTTCAGGTTTTGGGTGCAGTATCCTGTTCCTCTAATGATAGTAGGGAAGAAAGGTCACTGGATATGTGCCACAGATATAAGATAAACAAGAGCTGTTGATGATTATATTATATTAACATGATTACACTGTGTATATAAACAGAATGTGGCAGAGTAAACACAAATCTGGATTTATTCAGTTTTCTGGAGGTCATTTCCTTAAGTCTGAGACTAAGTCAAACTTAGACCCATCAATTCAAGATATAACTTGTCTTAGACATCATGACTTCTATATTTCATTTATCTCATTGAACTGCCAGTATATACCCTAAAGGTAGGGTACAGAAAGAACCATGTGGTTTAGTTATAAGTAAAATACAAGGGAACTAGAGTCTAGAAGGTTTAAGGAACCAGTCCTAGCAAAAGAATATAGTAACATGTAGATTAGTTTTAATAAATGCAGCTTCACAGCTTTGATATATATGTATAAGCTTTAGCCAAATTGAAAGAAGTCATGCTGATGCATCCTTGCTGCAAGGGTATTTTACAAATATATACCCTTGCTTCTCTCTATTCAATTACTCAGATGCGAGTAGGTAGTTACCAGTTACGCCACCAGGTGGCTGATTCGGGGGAAATAACATGGCAGGGTATTACAAAATTCCATTAAACTTGAATATGCATCAGTTTTAGTGGTTCACTTTTCATATTACCCGTATGTATGTGATAGTTATATAAATTAAAATATGTCCAGTAAAAGAAAATATTATCTGCCAAACACAAGAAAAGATATTTCACTTTTTGTGGTTTTACAACATGGGGTCTATGGGGAATCTCCCCGACCTAGAAGTCACATTTTCCAAGAAAATTAAATTTTCAAAGCTGATAAACTCTTTTCAAAACCACATTTCTAGATGTAAATTTACATGTAGATTCCAAATATGACATCAGATTGACTGAATTGTGAATTTTTAATGACGTAAATCAAGATTATTTCTACCCGCATCTGGGATATTGTTGGGCTTGAGCAAACAAACTGGACATTAAACAATATTAGCCTACACAACATACCTTAAGAGAACTACTACACACAGTGTACAAGGGTAATTAAAATCCTGTTGAACAGTCTACAAATCTGTCTTTATACTACAGCAGTATGCCCTAACATATCTTATGACTTAGAAGTTTGTTATATGTAACAAAAAATCATAGGATTTATACAAATATTAGCTTAAGAATAAAACATCTTCCGTAGAACATTCTATAGTATGTCCAAAATTAAAATATTTAACCATTTCACGAAAAAGAAAAAGAATACTGAATTTAGGCATAAATGAAGTCCTTTGAAGAAGGATGTGCTGATGCTTTAACTTTAATCCTTAATAGTCTGGAGATAAGTAAATAAACAATTTTGTCACCATGAAGATTTGTCATAAAAGTAGGAATGGTACGTACAGCTTACATGTGAATGTGCGCCAAACATAATATTGTTATACATCCATTTTTTCTCAGAAAGACACCTAAAACCAAGGATGTGATTTATCATTGATCTGCTGTCATTAGAAAACATACTACTGAGCTGATAAGCTTCATATGTAGACTAGTCATGGTATTTATGTAGAGTTCTCCCCATTTTAAAGTGTTTTCTGCCCATGCCATTTTCTTATGAAAGAACATTCAAAAGAATAACTAGTTTTTAGGACGATTAGATAGAAAAATAAAAATGTTCAATGTTGAACATCATTCTCAGGGAAACGTCAATTACAAACAAATTATTCCATTTTCTGCTTTAATATTAAAATCTAACATAGCTGAATCTTAAGTATTTAATGTATTTGCTCATGATCCTGATCATTGAGAAGCAACAATAACTCACCTTTTAACACCAATGGCATCACCTTATGAATAATTTTCCTTTTAAGTAGATAAAATGCCAGATCAAGGTTATTTGAAAGTGCTCTCCAAAAAGCTATCGCAAATAAACACCTAGTTGGTCAAATATTGTGAATTTCAGGAGTACTACAGAATTTTGAAAACCATATTTTTAGATCTCGAGTTGAATATAAATTAAAAAGTAAATAAGGAAGTTTTACCTATGGGACTTAAAAGGTCTAATGCGTGTCATTTATTTTATCAATCTGTTTCAGTTCCTCATTGCATATTTCTTTCTTAACATAAATGTACAACCTATATTTACAAGCAATGTCAAGGTTAAAGGTTAAAAATATGAGCCATAATATATGTATTGAAAAGTTATAAAAGTAATAAAAAGTTATTGCTTTAACGGTGTATGAGAGTATTGCGCCATATAATTTCAATAAAATGATTATAACTAGAACTGGTAATTCCTGATAACAGCCTGGGGATAACAGATGATATTATAATACTATACCAAAACTAATATACTAATTCTTATACTAGTTATTGGGATGGGATGAAACAAAACAAATGATATCACTTCTGAACAAGTTACCAAAACTCAAAGGTTATCCCAAAAATTAGGAAAGTGTACCTATGATTTTGAAAATACCATACGTTTCGAAATCCAGAAATCTGCTAAATTACCCTAAAGGCTATCCTATAACTTTAAATCTTGTTATTACCCTAATCTTGAAAACCTATAACTACTACTCTATTTAAGAGTGCTCTATTAGTCAACTTACTCTAGTCAATACTCAATTACAATTAGATATACATTTAATGGTGTCTCCTAAGCCGATGCCGGCTGGTGGGTTTTTAAAAAAAAGTATTTATTATATGATATTGAATGTAGTTTTTAAACCTGTGACACAGAAATAAAATATTTTAAACTTAAAATATTAACAAAACCCGAACCTGTTTCAAATATCAAATTTTGGAATAATAGATTTAGAACAACAGTTCAACCTCTAGTTAGACAAGCCAACTGTTAATGATTTCGTTTTATTTTCTCATCATCAGGTTACAGGTTTTGTTTCAATTGATTTCTCACTATCATCTTTTATCGATATATTCTAAAGAACAACTGAGTTAAGGTTTATATATACAGCCTCTACAGTAGAACCTGTCTTAGTGGACACCTCTCTCTCGTGAACACCTGTCTCTAGTAGACACCCTTCCTCCGCACATACTCTACTGACTTCTGTATAAATTACCCTCTCTGTAGTGAACAATACCAACTTTGAATGTGTTTTCTCAGCAAAATGTGTTCAATATACACAGGTTTTACTGTATATGAACCTAGGATAAACTAGTGTAATCCTTCAAACCTACATCCAAACAGTAAGCAGAGCAGCAGGAAGATTACTTACAGTTAATTCACCAGTCTCTGGATTTAGCTAGAGAATAGTAACATTATAGTAATAGTAGCGTACAGATAATGTGATCCTGGAGATATGTTATGCTACAGTATATACTTAAATCAATCACTATCCTTATATCCAATAAAAGTATATTGTCTTTTACTCTTTAGAATCATGCAGAAGGAAAGAATTCCGTTTTTTGACTGAAAAAATCTCAAAAACCATTTTAAGCATGTTTAGCTTAAGGGGATCCCTGTGTAAAATCTTAGCATGTAAAAATAGCATTGCTGAGAAATCCAGCAAATGATTGAGGTTTGAACTCTATATTAATCAAGTCAAATACATTCAGGAAGTCATTGATGTTTGATATTTTGTTAGTAATTCATGTCCCAAAGTCCCAGTTTGTAAATGTACAGTATAATACTAGATGAGATGCATAAAGGCTAGCGATTACTCGAGCCTCTAGTCAATTTGACGATACAGATACAGTGGCCAGAGAATATGGTAAGGACTATAACAGTATACCTGTCATACATGTTGTTGATCCATTATGTACATGTATTGTGGCACTGACAGATGTGAACATTTTGAGCAAGTCAAATAATAACATTGTTTATCTAAGAGCTAGGATTTGATTGGACAATTAATTGGACAAGGAAGTAAATAAAATGTACTGAAAAAACAAATCTGATCAGAGATTGATGAGCACAAGAGAAGATTATTACCTCAGATTGACTTACCGATTAAATCTGGCAACTCCACCACCATTTTTCTGATTATTTACCTTCTTTTATATTACCGACATGTTTTGGTTTGTATTATATATCATTTATTCTGGCAACATCAGCGAAAAATTAACAAAACTGCGACAGTTTTACTTTCTGAAACTTTCCTAACCAGGAAGTAAATTGTAGCGACACCTGTTGGATGTGACGTCATTTCCGCATTTTTAAAAAACACGTCAGCTGGATTTCCCTTTTAGTTTCTCACTTTATCGTAGTTGCTAATTAGAATCACCATAATGGATGATGCGGACGACGGAGTTGAAATTGAGGTTGAAGAGGATACCAATCATCCGCATGTTCTGGAAAATCAGACCCCAAATATCATACTTGAATATTACGGAATAGGTAAAATAGACTACCCTATTATCGCCCAGTAAAAATGATTTTGCAAAATAACAATAATACTTTGAAGTTTCTACCACACTTTCATTGGTTACAATCACAGTGAACACCATCTATTGATCTCTCTTATTATAGTGTCAAGTTTATCGCATCCTACGACCCCCACTACGTTTGTGGTCATACGCACGAACCGTTGGTCAGCCAATGTTTTTACAAAGTTGGAGAAAATACTACGCATTGCACACCTAAATGACCTACCTCGATACATTCCTTAGTATTTTAGAATTCTTTTTATGTAGTTGAATCGCCAATTGTATGGGTTTATCGGCAGAACGAAGAGGTTTTTGTTTTTGATAGCAATAGGTTGCGTGTATATTTACGAAGTGTCTGGAGTACCTTAAAATTTAAGGCTCTTTAGCCAAAATGCTAAAGAGCCTTAAAATTTAAGGCTATTTAGCTGTGAACATAGTGTTTTGGCTAGAGAGCCTTTGTGTTTATAATCCGTGTTTATATTGTTTTTTATTGAAGTTTTCGTCATCTAAACAATAAAACAACACTCCTGAAAGTTTTTCAACCCAGAATGCCACTTAAAAATTTCACACATGTATATCACTACAAAGTTGCAAAAAAATTCGTCCTGACATGGTAATACACTCTGGTATAGTGGTTAGAGGGCTCGCTTACCACTTCTGCGGCGTGGGTTTGATTCCTCGACGGAGCACTTTTTATTTTGAATAACAAGCCGGAAGTTTGTTCTCTGAGCGAGGTCCAGATTATGTACACAATTTTTTCTAGAATTCTTGGGCTTGCTCCATCGCTCAATCATCAATGTTTAATGAAATTAATCACTTGTATTGGCTTTGCTATTGTCACGAGAATACAGGGAATCCCATTTTAAGATGGCAAAAAGTATGAAGACCTGGGGATGAAAAAGGATCTTGTTTCTTCTAGATCAGCACATCTTGACGAAGTTTATCGTGAATGCAGGGACATCCGCTCAGGGACATCACAGAAAACACTTCCAAATCTATTGCCCATAAGATTTCAATGCTGATTTTAGAATTTTTCACGTGACGAGATATTTTTGCATAATATTTTCCTCACAAGTGAGAATTTAAGCACATTAGAGAGCACAAAGAAAATTTACAGTACAAGAGGTGAACTGTCGAGGAAACAGCGGCTTATGCAACACAACAACAACATTTTTATCCTAGCCTCCAATCCATCAATAAATGTCTATACATCAAAATCTTTACTAAACGGACGTTGCGTAACATTTTTCTGGCTATACGTGATTGCCTGGTCTTACACCTTCTCTGGTGAACCAGAGACATATATTTTCGATATATGCATGAACATCAAACAAACAAACATTTACTTTTCAAAATCTATGTTTGAACCTTTTAAAGGCCAAATTTAGACTGAGAATTGAAAACATTCTTTTATTTGTCTCGGTAGATTTATCTCGGTAAATTTATGAGTCAAGCAAAAAGTGATAATGTTTTTTATGAAGTGGGGAAGTCAAAACAGTACTAATAGAAGTCATAGTAAGCATTAGAAGATCATTTAAAACCAAATCAAATCGACGGCAAAGTTAGTTGAAATGACTGAAATCTTCATATGTTATCTTCTTCATCTTCGCGGACCTCAGGGAAGACACTTCCGGTTTAATAATCAGTGATTTTATCAATCAAAAAAAAATTTCTTTTTAAATTTGTCCGATATCTGCTAATATGGTATGTATATTTGCCTGATTGTTAAATTACAAAATAGGTTGGGTATAGAATATGTCAAAGTTGTTTGATCTTGTCCCAGAAGCAATATTTCGTCATTTCTGTCGCCTGGAATTCCTTTAAGGCTCTCTAGCAGAATTGGCTATCAAAATGCTAAAGAGCCTTAAAATTTAAGGCTCTTTAGCTGAAATGCTAAAGAACCTTAAAATTTAAGGCTCTTTAGCATTTTGGTAACCCATTTGACTAGAGAGCCTATTATTTAACTTCTTTTGATCGTCAAATTCCTCCATTTAGTAGTACATTCGGTCCTGGCATGCACCAGTCATAAGGGGAATCCCTCCCGATGAGCTTACGTCATCTTGGAAAGTGCTTAATATTTCCGATTCAAAAACGAAAATCTCTTCCAATAGTCGATAAACCCATACAATTGGCGGTTCAATTAAATAAAGAGAATTCATAAATACTCATGAATATATCGAGGTGGGTCATTTAATTATGCAATGCGTAGTATTTTCTCCAAATTTGTAAAAACATTGACTGACCAATGATTCGCGCATACGACCACAATCTAAAGTGGTCGTCGAATTCGATAAGTGTCAAGTGAGGTTAATAATAACCAAAAAAAAATTGAAAACTATTTCCGATATTATATATCTCCTTCATCTAGGTTAAAAAACAATGTAGAAATATGAGTGTAAAACAGCTAAAATTAAACGTTTCAAAAATGGAGGGTTCTGACAAGCTGAGTCTCAGTGACAAGTAACCAGATTTCACATCTTCTTCCAATATATAGAGATCAATGGATGGTGTTCACTATGGTTGCAATATAATTTTAATTTTCAACAATATTCTGAACCAAACAGCCTGGCTAGTATCTGTTCAGCCTTGGTTGAGGTTTCATCAACAGAGTGTAACGTTCAATTGGAAAGTAACATTTTGGTAAAAAAATCCTATACCTGCACATGTTATTTTCTGGTACAAAATTAAGTATGAAGGCATGTGTATATTTCCTTGCTTTTTTCAAGAAAATATCATTACATTGTCTACTTTTAGTTAACCTGGAAACAGGTCAATGGTAGCTCCTGTGTTGTCTGGAAACTTTGGAAAATAGAAAGTGTGAAATATCGGAATTTCCTGGAGTTCCCATTGAACTCTTACAAGATATACTAAAAGAAGACAATGTAATGATACTTTCCTGAAAAAAGCAAGGAAATTAATGCATGCCTTCATACTTTATAGTGTACCAGAAAATAACATGTGCAGGTATAGATATTTTTACCAAAATGTTATTTTCCAGCTGTACCCTAACTTTGACATCATCATGGGGCTTCTAGTATTCTAACGCGACCATAGAGCTAGTTTGATATTGGCTCGTATTTTCAATACATGCAGTTGGCCATCTTTGTTTTATGAAATTGTTTTAAGGTCTCAGGGTATACAGGGTTCTCACCAGGATATTTTTAGACCCCTGATTTTCAGCGGTATTGTGACTACATCTCCCCCATGTGAGATCAGAGATATCCTATACTTTTCAACATACATGTACTTCTTAAGATTATCTTGCTATTTTCATCCCAATATTTATTTCTAAAAGGTTTCTGACTTCCTATTCCTTGTTTGTATCCAGTTATTTTCTCAAGAGTTTTACCACAAATAATGTGACAAAAATGTAAAATTAGACCCCGGAAAAAACACTTTAGACTCTGGAAAAGCTATTAGACTCTGGAGTTTGAGGGTTTTAAGATATTAGACTCCGGAGATTCTCTGGAGTCTAAAAGCCTAGTGAGAACCCTGGTATAGAAGTTATCAGAAATTTACACCAAACATGTGGATTTCAGAATTTTTTGAAGTCAGATAACAGGGTTCTGCTTTGCTCTTTAGTCAGTTGTATTACTCCCATATATCATTTACATGGCCAGGATCACAATGGTCATGGTCAAAATGACCCTGAATAAGAGGGAGGGTGACTTACTCCCGCAAGGAGGTAAAACTTTGTACCATTTAATTTCCGCTTCAAATTATACTGAAGGGTATCTTCAACACCTTTTTCATTTTGCTCTTATTTGAAATCATAGGAACCATAATTTCTTTGTGTATGAATAGAGAACCTGCTGAATTTTTCTTTACCAAAGTTTGTAATGGCGACAAATAGAAGTTCTAATTTCTAACAAGTAAGTCTCAAACTCACCCTATTTCTCATGTTGAGGTGACCTAACAGCTCACATATCACCTTTACCCCTTCACTAAGTAGAAAAACGTGCTTCTCTACAAGGTAATGTTCCATGTCTGCATGTTGAAATCTAACTGAGGATGCTCATCCATGGAGCTGTAGTATTACGAGTCAGATACTGGACATGAAAGCGACAGTGTTACATTTGATGCCCAGCGCAGAAATCGAACCCAAGACCTTCTGCGTCAGACCTTCCATCCCTGAGCCATGAATGTGCAATTACTGCTTGTCATGAAGAGTTAACTCCAAGTACACTGTATACATGTACATGTATATATTATATTGTATTTTCAGCAATCCGGTTCCTTCAACAATATGGCTGGTTTGTGTTGCTAGGCATCATATTGCTACTGTTCCTGAAGAGTAAGCTCCAAGTGTACTTTGATCAATGGTTGACAAGGAGGAAAGAAGAACAGGAATATGCTGAGCATCATAAAAGTAAGTTTTAAAGGACAACTGAAATAGCTTTTTTCAACTTGCAGCTACAAAAATGCGGTTTTCTCCATTGCGATAGCCATTATAAAATCAATGTTAGATAACTACTATAACGGTCATAAATAACGAAATAAAACTAACTGATCAATCAAATTGGCCCCCACGTGATAAGTAACGTCATATACAAAATATAGCTTTGGTTTATTGGTACCATAGTAATCACAACGTCACGGCAACCATAGGATTGTAGTGTAAACCAAAACAAAACATTTTGGCATTATGACGTTATGGGCCACGTGGGGACAGGTGAGAGATCACGTGGGGGCCAATAACGTCACACCAATTCGAATATTGCTTATTAAGCAGCTATAACGATCGTTAGAGTGAAATAGTTTTCGCACTACTGATGAGAAAACATGTCCAAATACATTTATCAAAAAATTATATCGATTCCTTTAGGTTAAAAATACCATTTCATATCTGCTTTAACTTAGTGTCAAACATGAACGATGAAAAGTCCATTAGAAATGGAATGGTGTCTGTAGTTGTGGAAGAACTAAGTTAATTTAAAGTTTTTTTGATTTTCAAGAGCTAGTCAACTTTTTCAATTTTGTTATATATGAGAGGGGATGGGGCAAGCTAGCTTTGTGTATAACTGATTTTTGAGACATTTTGAGACCATCCCTAATTGATGATGTCATAATGAAGCATAATGTGGACGCAGTAAGGGAGAGCTCTATCCTAGGGGAAAGCCAATAGCCTTCAATATGACATATACATGTATTTAAAGATTTACCACACTGACAGTGATATTTGTAACAGTTGATCAGTTTGATTAGAGACTATTTTTAATTTATATGTCTCTGGTCTGATGTAATTTTTCATAAATTGATAATCACCTCTTGAGCACAGGAAGCTCATAGTCAGCATGATTAGGAGCATAGACAAAATGAAAAGTAGAATAAGTATACTATACTTTTTCCAGTTTTGTCCCCAAATAGATCTACTTGCAGAATTGTTGTGATGTTTACCAATGCTTATGGAATCTCCTAAAATATACCACTAGAATATTTGACTTGGTGCTATTGTTGTTGTCACAACACAGCATCTCAATCTAGAAAAGATGTAGTGTGTATTAATTTTGAATATGTGATGAAACATGTTAAATCCACCATCATCTGTCAAATCCAAATGTTGCATATTTCTTTGTATTTCTATATTATCTGGCCTTGTCTGATCATTATCCCATCGAACGAAGTTCGGAGGGATATAGGGAACGCCTCCGTCCGTCCGTCCGTCCGTACGTACATCCGTCCGTCCGTCCGTCCGTACGTACGTACGTCCGTCCGTCCGTCCGGGCAATAACTCAAATACCGTTGGCCCGATTTTGTTCATATTTTGTACACATATACCCTATGGAGGTAGAAGTTCTGCTCGAAAGCCGATTTTCAAAATGGCCACTCATTTAAAAATGGCGGCCATTTTAGTGCCGATTTTACAGTAATTTAGGTGCAATATGTAAAACTGTAATAACAATATGTTTTAAATGTAAAAAAATTATATAGGACATTGATAAAGCTAGAAATGTAGATATTAAAAAAGCACATGGCAGCCATCTTGAAAAATGGCGGCTTTTACTCGTTATTTTACGATTTTTGCTGTAACTCAAGAAGTAGTGGAGCGATTTTGTTCATATTTGGTATGTGAATACTATAAGCATGGCTCACTGTCTAATGACATTTTTGGTAGGAGGCGGCCATTTTGAAAAATGGCCGCCATTTTAACATATTTTACTATAACTCAAAAAGTAGTGGAGCGATTTTGTTCATATTTGGTTTGTGAATACTATAAGCATGGCACACTGTCTAATGACACTTTTGGTAGAAGGCGGCCATTTTTCAAAATGGCCGCCATTTTAACATATTTTACTATAACTCGAAAAGTAGTGGAGCGATTTTATTCATATTTGGTTTGTGAATACTATAAGCATGGCACACTGTCTAATGACACTTTCGGTAGAAGGCGGCCATTTTGAAAAATGGCCGCCATTTTAACGTATTTTACTATAACTCGAAAAGTGGTGGAGCGATTTTGTTCATATTTGATATGTGAATACTATAAGCATGGTACACTGTCTAATGACACTTTTGGTAGAAGGTGGCCATTTTGAAAAATGGCCGCCATTTAAACGTATTTTACTCGGCCTTTACTCGTTATTTTACGATTTTTGCTGTAAATTGAAAAGTAGTGGAGCGATTTTGTTCATATTTGGTATGTGAATACTATAAGCATGGCACACTTTCTAATGACATTTTTGGTAGAGGGTGGCCATTATGAAAATTGGCCACCGTTTTAAAGTTTGCTATATATTTCGTTTGTAAAAATGCCAGCCATTTCTGTTCGATGGGATTCGCTACGCTTTGGCGTTGCCGTTGTTCTGGTTGAAATCAGATCAATTAGCATTCAAAGATATAAATTGCTATTCATGAATCAATACCATGTGTGATCAGTATATCCAATGTATTACAATCTGGTGAATTAAAAGTGATATTTGTATCTAAGATACTGTATACGTTTTTTTTATATAGCCCAATTGGTTAAAATAATCCCAACTAACAAGTTCAATAGCTCATTTTTGTGAATTTTGAGATCTTTCAAAAGTATGACTTAATCATACTCAAACTCAATTTAAAGTCAATTCCAATATTATGCAATTTTTCTGATTCATGCCTCGGAAAATCAAATACATGTATGGCCACCTGATGTCAAATTTGGTGGAAATTCGGAGGTTATCTAATTTCACATATTTAATGAAAGATATGTACCCTGTTTTATGTGAAGCATAACTGCACATAATTCACCCCAATGCTCATTATTCATACACAAATATTTATGTATGTCATACACATATGTAAAGCATAACTGCACATAATTCACCCCAATGCTCATTATTCATACACAAATACATAAACTTCCAGGTAAATATTCAAATTATCATCATGGTCACTAAAAGGAAAGTTGCATAAATTTGCATTTTCCTTAAAATTTCAAAATTCTGTTGGCACAAATTAAGAAATCTTGCTGCAAAAATTTGAAGGGTTGATGAAAAAAAATAACTTCTAACTTCTTCGTAGACAATCCAGATTTTTATGATATCATCAGAAGTCTTGATATATTGTTATAGTCTCCAACTTTTTTGCAAACAGCGTTCAGTGTTCAGGTTCTGTAACAAATGGCAGGTGGTGACATTTTGCATGTTAATGTTTATATATATTGTATGTAACAAGTACATGTCTAGTGCAACTGTATCTAAATAGTTGTCTGTCCATAAAATACTCCATTATTGCACCATAATGCAGAAAAAAGCACCAAATTAGGACAGTTCAGCACCTCAGGTTTAAGTCTAGCGACCACATAGGCTTTATTTTTTGAGATGCTACAACATTTTCTTTTTATTATTTCTGTCATTCCTGGCATGTAATAAATCATGTTATAAATGTGACATTCATTCTTTTTATTATAGATCCAGATAGGAACATGGCAAAAATGGCAGCCATGGAACGATCAAGACAAAAGATGCAGGAAAAATTAGACAGAGAAGCAGCTTTATATGCAGAGAAACAAAAAGAAGTAAGGCCTCTACAAGTTAATTGTCTGTTACTAAAATAAGACCCCTACATAGATTTTGTCTTTTTAGCAAAGTAAGGCCTTATAAGTTATTTGTCTGCTAAGCTTTCACAAGTTTATTGTTTCAGGAATAATATCCTAGTAGTGCCACCTTGTGGGCAACATTCTAACTAACCACTAATCAATTAGTGATCATGAAAGCAGGCTGTTTTCGAAATGTTATTCAATATATAAATTATATACATGTATTTGTACCTATTTGTAGATATTTACTACTTATTCTTAGTTTTTAATCCATTTTGGATTAATAATATTAATTGCCATGGATTCAATATTCTAGTATATTATTTAATAAACGAATGATCTATTATAATCGATAATTGTCCCTAGGAAGTGGCCAGGTCTTCACATTGATGTTTGTTGGAGGGGATAAAATGCTATTTTTCAGTTTTGTTATACAGCAGTAATATTATTAGTTTTATTCCCATTTTTTTGCATCCTATGACCACTGATCTAAAGTGATTGAGCAATAAGTTCTAGATCTCTGCATTCATGTTTTCATACATTTTTCAAGATTTGTGGCATATATTAGGGTTAGGTTAAGTCTAAATGTAATTAATTTGGTTTATTGATGAACATTTACCCGTCTTTAATATCACACTGATTCATCCTTCCTCAATCCTGTACTGGGCTATAATCTTTCCTGCCTAACAGATTGTTGTCTCCCTAATCCCCTGATCATTCATTAGCTTAATGGTAACCTCACTTACTCAGGTAAGTAGGGATTATTCTATAAGAATGTATAGACATAGAGTAATAGAATCTTAATAATAAGTTTATTAATGAGGACTGTCAGTTAGCAGGGGCGGTTTTTTTTTGGGGGGGGGGTGTGATTTATATTTATTTGTCAGTATACCAACTGGCAGATTCTAACTGTTACAGTTAAGGTTTTTATTTGTTTTCATTTTTATTGATAAAGTTATGATTAGCATTTAGCTGGACAGTAAAAATACATTTTGTGTTGGTTTGGGGGCTTAAAATCTCAACAGCTGATTTTTTTCAAAACGTGGTTTCTACAGGTATTTTGAACTTAACTGGAATAATTTTCTATTTTACATAAATGTACCCAATCAGAAAAAAATTGAATTACACTGATTGCCTCCTTTTAAATGTTTCCCTGTTTTTATGTTTTAGAGATCCCTTTAAATGTGTCCATGTAGTTTTCAGAGATAGTTTTCAGAGATCTTTTAAATGTTTCCATGTTTCTTTTTTAGAGAGAAGAGGAAGAGAGGGCTAAAAAAATTAAAGATTGGGAGAATCATCAACAAGGAAAGGGCTACAGATCCAAGTATAAACCTCCAGTAAGTTGTTGTCATTAAGTGCTTCTTATTGTGTGCTACCCTTTGTGAGCTATATATTGTGTGCTACCCTTTGTGAGCTATATATTGTGGGCTATTTTAGGTGTGTTACCCTTTGTGAGCTATATATTGTGTGCTACTCTATGTGTGTGTTACCCTTTGTGAGCTATATATTGTGTGCTACTCTTTGTGAGCTATATATTGTGTGCTACTCTATGTGTGTTACCATTTGTGAGCTATATATTGTGTGCTACTCTATGTGTGTTACTCTTTGTGAGCTATATATTGTATGCTAGTCTACATGTGCTACCCTTTGTGAGCTATATATTGTGTGCTACCCTTTGTGAGCTATATATTGTGTGCTACCCTTTGTGAGCTATATATTGTGGGCTATTTTAGGTGTGTTACCCTTTGTGAGCTATATATTGTGTGCTACTCTTTGTGAGCTATATATTGTGTGCTACTCTATGTGTGTTATTGTGTGCTATTCATGGCAAACTGTCAGTTTGATTTGCAAATTGCAATGTAGTGTTTGCTACATGTTGTGTTGTTTTCTTTCTGTGTCCTATTTAGTTGCTTCATAACATAATTTAAAGTTGAATCTCTGATCACCATGCTATATTCTGTTTATTTACATAGTAAAACAAGTTTGTGATTTAACAAAATTACCCTGAAATGCCCAAGTAAGTTATTGCATCTGGCGGGTTTAGCAATCACGTAATATGTGATGTCTCCCATGATGATTTCTGAGTATGCTTAATATAATACTAATTTTCTATATTTGGTCAAAATATCTCAGTATTTCACCCTTTTGGCAGGGTTCATATACATTCGCAACAGGTTGGCATGTAATTTTCTTATTGTCAATAGGTTGTAGCTGCCAGTTGCACTTTCCTGGAGAGATCACATAATCATCATTATATTTAGCTTGTTGATTCTCTAGTTTTGTTTTATTATAGGTTATTTGTGACAAAATCATTAGCGTCACAGTTAATACCCCAGTGAACACATCATGTTAAATCGTGTTATGGTATCATGTTGAACTGTGTCATAAACTCACTGTAATAATTACCTCAATTGACTTGAACATATATTTATACCATTGATGATTGACCATATAATGAACTGGTATCAAATAAATGTCGTGTTTTGATCTCAGTCATTACCCGTCCAAGTGATATTTATTATCTTGGCTTAGGAAATATAATTTGTAGTTTAGAATATAGAGCAATTACTATTGTATAATTGTACCAATTTAACTATTTGATATGAGTGATCACAATTACAGTATTGTATCAATTGAAGAATTAATTGTATGATATTATCGGTGATCACACCTTGTGGCACTCTTTTCACTAGTTTGATGTTCTTTCTGGACGAGAGCTTCATCTGCACATTTTGAATTAAGATATATAGACCAAAGAGCAGGTATTATATCGACGATTAAATACCGCATTGCTTTGGCACAAACATTTTCCGTACCCCGGACGACCTAAAGGAGTGAGGGGTTTGAAATCTTTTGTGCCTAACATTAATACCTGATATGAGGCTTATATTATGATTCAAATATGAGACTCACCAAAATTTTGCAAAATCGTCACTTCATTTCCTACTTCTGGTTTAGCATTTAGCACTGAACCAAACACTTAGTACAGACCAGGTATTGTATGGACGAAGAAATACCAGGTGAAATATATTGACTTTGACAGTTTCTAGAAGGCGTGAATACAGTGTTGTTCGAATGATTTAATTTTCACCTAAACAATTAAGATTCACTCTGTATTACATGTATACATGTGATAAATAAATGTTTCTTTGAATTAGTATCTGAAGGTATGCTTTCACAATAGGATTTCTACTAGTCTTGGTAGGTTTCATGGGAAGTACAGTCATTTCATGGATCCAGAGTTCCTTTGTTAATACCTGGCTTGTGATTGGTCTATTTAATGTGTTGTTTCTATTCTGATCAAGGAGGATTGGCTCCCAGAATGCAACACCGATATTCTGCAAAACAATCACCTAGCGATAGCTTTGTTGGAGAGTATCGGGTCATTCTCCATGCAGTCGTACAAATTATACAGACACGAATAGCAAATGACGCATGCGTGGAGATTAAAGAATATCGAGTTGGAACCCTGGCTTCCAATCCTCCTTGTATTCTGATGCCTGTGATTGGTTGGTTTCTTGGGAAAAGCAATGTGCCTGTGCTGATGCCTGAGCTGTGATAGGTTAATGCCTCCTGGAATCAGAGAAGCAGAACAAGGCATCAGCACAGGTACACTGTAAGTAAACAGGTGGACATTTCCCACAATGCATTTTTGCCCTTCATTCACATGTTTATATTATTATATGAATCTAATTAGAATTTATGAGGCTATTGTTTTGATATATCATCTTAATTTGTCTTTCTAAAATAAATACTCAAAAAAAATAAAGTAAATATCATTTCTTCATGCCGACTATAGATAGATTAATAAACATTGATATTATAAAGTTGAGTACTTAAACAAAATGAAATCTACCTAAAAACAAGTTTTTCTTCTAATTGAATCTATCAGCTGCTTGTGGGTCAAATCTGCAAAAAATGAACAACATCCTATATGCATTGCATGTACATACTTCAAGTATCAGTTTATTCAATAATAAACCTTTGTAGAACCTCTGGGTCCAGCCCTGTATTACACATGGAAGATTGAAATTTTGATTAATAATACACCGATTTGTTGTCCATATTTAACATGAGTTAACATGAGTTAATGAGTTAAATGGGGATTACTATAATAGTCATAGATAGAATGCAAGAGAATTACATGTACAAACTTTCTCGACTTTACAATATAAAAAAAACAAAATGACATGAATAGGGTTTCATAAATCTCATGAAACTAGAGAGATGTAAATTGTTTCTGTATTGTCCATCAATTTCTTCACACTGTAGGTATTAGCCTCTCAAATCAAGGATGCATATCAAAATGGTGCTGACGTAGTGACGTTACAAGTGGAAAAATAGGTGAAGCAAAATTTTCTGTACTTATTTTTTGGTTTTCTAAGTGATACACATCCTGTATGTCCATCGTTAATTATTAATTGAAAGTACTGGCTATAGACATTAATAATATGAAGTTTTCATAAAGTGCCATGGAAGAAGAAGTAATATTTCAGGCACAATTGCACATGTGCAACTCATTCTTGTGTGGCTCAATTTTATATATAGCTGCTGTCCATTGTGTTTGCTTGAGCCATGAGTAATTTCAAATATCAGGTTCAGAGTTTTTTCACAGATTGAATATTGGTAGAATTGGTAGAATTGGGAGGGATTTTTAGAAAATAGGTAAAAATTAAAAGGATGATCCAAAAAGATTCTGAAGTTGAAACAATTGTCTTTTTAAATCTAATCTAATTCCGATTCTACCTTGGATTTTAATTTCAGTATTTTAACGCCCTTAGAATTTTCAGGATTGGCCCAATTAAAATCAAATTAAGATCAATGTAAAAGTTTATCGGCCATATCGCATCATCTTTCCTGACATTTTGTCACTGGAACTGTCTTCAGATTGCTCTGGGACAGCCACATACCCTTGGGCAGGCATCCAGATCCATACACCAGGGGCATCACGCTTCCTCGCTTGTATCATCTCTGGATGTTGCTGTTGCATTTTTGATAACATTTGAGGCAGTCCATTTAGGAAACTAGTGTCTCTTCTGTGTAGGCGCACCTTCTCTTGGTCATTAGTTGTGATTGACGCAGCAAATGTGACGTAGAGACAGCACAGTAGTGTGAATATCAATGGCTGGATGAACTGCATGGCTGGAAATAAATTGGGATTCATGAACTTTTATTCTAAATCATCGCCCCTTTGTGTTATTGGGGTACCATACAGATTTATTTATACAAATTGCAATGGCCTCAAAACTTAAAATGGCTTAAATAAATAGTTAAGAATTTGGTTTAATTGTATACTTTAACTACTCTATTATCAGCATATCTTTCCTAGATAAAGTTCAATGAAAGTATCAAAAAACCTTATGATATTGAATCTCAAAGCATATTTGTAAATTATACTGAAAAGTGTGATGTTAATTTGATTTATTTTATATACTTGAATTATTACAGCATTATTTAGGCACAAACCAATGAGATTAATGTGAAGTGCAACCAACTAAAAAACTAGTGAACTGCCATCTATACGAGGCTTGCTCCCACCATCCAAAATTCTCTTTCATAGCATTGCCATTACCACTTCAAAACCTGTTATGTTTTTGATTGTAATGGTATTGTATTTTCCCATCCAACAGAAAAATGTTGGCACCATTGTGATAAGAATATACATTTTTAATGGCGTAAAGATATTTTATGTTTAATTGTTTACAACCACTCAATAATTTTTGTCATGACAGAGCTAAACTTACAGATTTAGATTTAATAAGACTATTTTCAAGTACTAAATTGGTTTGATATGATGTACCATCTTAAGTTGGTGATATAAAGAATTGTCCTTATTATTGCCAGAAAACATCATTGCTCGCTGTATATTATGTATTATACCAATTCTGAAGTAATTGAGAGATTATTGAGAGTATATAAAAACACCAGGCTCTTGAATTGAAATGATATTCAAGTAGCAGTTAGCTTAATAGAGAAGTGTATTCTTATTTACAAACATGTATGAAATCATTATTAACTTCAGATAGTCTGTGAAAGAGCTAGATTCAGAATTAGAGGGCATCTTTCCTTAAAAAAATCTTGTTTGCAACACATTATTTCTCGAAAAAAGTTCATTTTCAATCTACTAAATATACTTTTACACCAAATCAAATCAAATTCTTATTTTAGCCATTGTGCTCAAATGATATTTTACCAAAAATGACATTAAATTCTGAATGTACATGTAGTTCTAATATCACCAAGGTATCAGATAAATATTACCTTTTTGTAAACTCACAATTATTGATTAATCCAGCAAATCGAGCAAATAAAAGAAAATATTATCTGTCCAACACAAGAAAAGATATTTCACTTTATGTGATTTTATAACATGGGGTCTATAATTTGGAATCTCCCCGACCTGGAAGTCGTTTCAAAGAAAAAGTAATTTTCAAAGTTGATAAATGACAATTTAGATATATAGAGGATATCCTATGATTTATGAGTGATATGATTTTTATCCACGAATGGATATGATATCTGCACGAGCGAGCGTAGCGAGAGAGTGCAGATATCAATATCCATGAGTGGGTACAAATCATATCACGAGTAAATCATAGGATGTTCTTTTTATTCCATAGTTAAAGTCATCATCAGAATCGTCGGAAATTAAGTTATTTAATTCGAATTTCCAAACGATCCGGCGATGTTGACCCTTAGCCTCGTTTTGAGTCTGAAGTAGCAAAAATCCATAAACCATCGCATACGACGTCGTATGTCATGGCTAAAAAGCCGTATGTTATGGTTAAGTGAAAATTTGTCAAAAATATCATATTTTACCACTGATTACAAAAATACCGTTTTTATTTTCACATGTTATCCTATGAATATCATGCTAACTATGGGATAAATTTTTATATGTAGATTTCAAATATAATATCACTTTGACTAAATTTTTTAATATTTAATCACATAGATCAAGGTTCTTTCTACTTGCATCTTGTTTATTGCAATTTATGAACATTTATACTCAGATGCTCATGAATGAAACAATGTGGAATCATCGATTTTTTGATACTTTTTTTAACTAGATACTTTTGGAAGGAAGGATTGTTTTAAAATTATACCACCTATTTAAAATCTTGGCATATTTCATATTGAACCACATTCCAAATTTACAAACTAAACATTTCTAAATTCTGATTGGTAAAAAGTTTCACATTTTGCTGTGGGTTCATACACTGATAACTTAAATCTGATTTATAGAAGGACCTAAAAAATCCCCATAAAAATGTTACATGAGCATCTCTTTAGGACTGTTTTTTGAGTTATACTAATTTATTATATATAATCAATTAAATATGTTCATGCACCACTTCATTTCTCTAAATTCAAAAAGTAACTAATTTTTTAAACCTTAATATAATGAAAGAAACGTTTTACTAGTACCTTTATTTGCTGGCGCTGCTTCGGCTGCGTGTTTAGGATGTGATTCCTTTGTATCAGGTTTGTTGTTTAAGATAGAGTGCTACCTGGCAGGTATTTTATACCTGACATTTGATAACCTGGATATAACAATTACCTGGTTAGAGTAGGCTCACCTGTAATCATCCCATTATCTTCCTGGTGCCACTCTATATAAGGATTAACCAACTAAACTTTTCATCCTTTGCCTTTTAGTGTAATTATGACGTCTAAGGAAATTAGCTATTTTTGTTAAAGGGGCATTGTCCAGATTATTTTTTATAAAATCTAAAAATTGTCACCTTTATGCACAGATGTACAGGGTGTCCCAAAGATGTGGACCCAGTGGAGACTGGAAGAACATGACACGAAATTTGACATTTTAGATAACACACTCACAATTACCGACATTATGGTCGATGCAGAAATGAATGCAATTTTAAATATTGAAAATGGGTGATGTAAATACTTCAAACATGCTTTACTCTAAGAAAAGAAAGAGTTACAGAAAACAAGCTTTTCATTAAAAATAAAAAGAGTTACTTGATGAAAGGACGATTCTCGGTTTGGAGAACGAAGTTCATCAATCTAAATGAGCATTATCCCTGCTTCGGACAAATTTGATTTTTTTTACATAATATAGATTTGAATGTCTTCTTTTGAATAGTCATAATTTAATTTGGGTAATATTTCTAGATTTTTCGCCAAAAAATATTAGCGCAGTGCACTGATGAACTTCTTTCCCCAAATCGAGACTTGTATTTTCGGTCTAATTGAGCGTTATCCCTGCTTCAGACCAATTTGTTATTTTTACATCTTGTAGATTTAAATGTCCTCTTTTGAATATTCATAGTTTAATTTGGGTAATATTTCTATATTTTTCATGAAAAAAATATTAGCCCAGGAGACTGTTCTCCAAACCGAGAATAGTCCTTTTCAGATATTTATGATGATTTAATTTTTCTGTCAGATAACTGTATTTAAATAATATTTCTTCATCACTTACAGAGTTATTCCATATTTGTTTCAGTACAACATTGAAATATAGGTGATGGTAATATAACAAATGTTTCTCTAAAACTATGATATAATGGAATAATAAATGGAATTACCTGTGGAAACTTTCAGATGTTTCTGATAATTAAATTGTCTGTCAGATGACAGTTATTCTGTGTTAATCTCAGTACAATTTATATGGACACTCTGTACTTAGCTTGAGATGATGCAGGAACTTATTTTCATACAAAAAGTAATGATTTATATATCTCTTCTGAAAGCTAAAATTATATAAATAAAAATAATTTTGGATCTGAGACATGCAGTTGAGGTTTTTATCCTTATAATTATTTTTTAGTTGCCTGAATGATTCCCAAACATAGATTTTAAGTCTTTTGTGCAATATTTACCATTATTTGGCTAACACTGACTGACAGTTGTGTGGTTTGATTCCTATCTGGTAGAGGTTTTGTCACTCTTTTACATCAGCCATTTACATAAGATTTGATGCTGTATCTGAAATAAATTAACTCATTAATTGACAATATCTTTGTATATCTTCATTTACATTTAAGGACATTTACCTAGAAATTCAAGAATGGGTTTGTGCAAGGCAATGTTTATTGATGCTTTTGATTCTGACACCATGTTATCAAATTAAAATCTCATGAAATATAATCTAACGATCCTGTCTTAATTCTGTCACATTATATCGGAGATTGTATTAATTGTATTTATCATCAGCAGAAGATCAGAAGCTTGGATTATAATCCAGATAAAGAGGCCTCTGTTAAAGCCTTCCTCCCCATGTCTTACTTTATTACAACCACGCACTCTTGAAATATCCATTACAGGGAGTCTGTCTATTAAGATACAGTATATGGTACAATACTCCCTACAAAAAAGATAAGGGGCATAAGGCATCTCAAAGCGTAAGATATAAGACATTTCATTGCTTCAAACTAAAAAATACATTTTAAAAGCCAGATTAAAGATCCTTCAATAGACCTCTCTTCATTTTATATTGGATGACTTTCAATGTGGTAGCCTTCAATTTTAGTTTAGCCAGCAATAAATAAGAGATGTGATAAATCGGGATAAATCACTTTGTAGATGATGCATAGCCCTAAAGCTATAATATAATATTTGAAATGAAAGTAATACTTTTTAACATTACATATCAAGTATAATATGATAAATTTTCATATATGACAAAAGTCATATTTTTAAGTTTATAATTATTAAAATATATAAAAAATAATAATGAAGTATATTTGAATTATAATCATTTATTCCCATCAATAATGCTGTAGTGAGGTGTTATAAATTGATATTTAGCTTCATCAAGACTTGCTAGTCTGTAGCCTGTGCTTTTGATACAGTTTTGTTAAAGAAAAGCTATGTCCATATTTGTTATGCTGCTATACTACCCTTTTAATAAAAGAAATGTTTAACTTGGGGATGGCTTCCTACGAATCTGGCGAGACAGTAGCTTACTAAAATAACATGAAAACAAGTATAATTAAAGACATGTATAGGATCTTTTGTATTTGCCAATCATTATTTCTTTTATGTATTTATAGGATCAACAGCCCAAGCCTAGCTCAAGTGACAGTAGTAAACCCAAGCCTAAATTTACTTACAGACAAAACGGTAAGATTTTTATTACTTTTGCTACTAGATGAAACACTTTAGACATTTTTACGCACTTTCTTATCGCAGAATCTGTCATGCAGGAGGAATAAAGAATTACTTTATTATGTCACCATCACATATTGTTTTGGTCACTATTCTTGTAACTGGCAATCAATCGGTGCCATGGTTCTGCATCTATGTATCAAATTAACATTCATTAATTCAAATAAGTATTAGTTCATGTTGAAAATGATTATCAAAAAATATTTGGTTTCAGATTTTAACCCTCTTACGGGGCAGAGTAGCAGTGGAAGTTCATTCCGTCCTAGTAGGAGAATGGGTGGAGGTGGAGGAGGATGAGGTTAATAACTGTGTACATAGTAGCCTGCTGTCGTCTGCTTTGTCCTCAATAGGTGTCACCCTTGACTATTTCTAAATATGGTCATCAAAAATTCATTAGTCAATTTGAATATATGCTTCTTAATTTATACCTATGTATATATGAATGCGACTAAAACTATTATTAGTATTTAATTGAGTTGGGATGCTTTGAAATGAAAATAGTTCAGTATCATGTTTTAATGAAAGCAGAGACAGATGTGGCCTTTGTACACAGTGGGAGAATTTCCATGAATAAACTCAGTAAACTGGGCAAGGAGGACTGTGCCATAAATTTAATGAACATTTCATTGTTCAGTTTTAGAGAAATAACAACTAAGTAGTGATATTGTATGAGACTTTTTTTATTTTATCCTAAGGCTTATATTTTTAGGTAATCATTAATTATTTTACATGGTGCAGTGCTTCTTGTTGTTTGCCTTATGATGTTAGTTCTGAAAATGACGTTAAGCCAGCAGAATTGACTGATGTGAGTGTAAAATGGAATTTCATTTTTAAATCAAAAATATGGATGAAATCGAGGAAAGAATTTGACATTTGTGCTACCAATGGCATTAGGATTTACTCAGACATAGTGGTGTATATAATACTCTTTATGTATTCTCCAGAAAAATGAGAAATGTCTAAAATTTTATCTTTGTTCATTGAATAGTCATATTTTATTTTATTTTTTAATGTTCTAAGCATTATTTCAATTTAACAAACTGAAGTAATGAAGTAAATAATATGACAGTGATCAAATTTCTAAGACACATCTTTTATTTATTGTGTTTTGATTGAATCAATTAAAATGTATTTTGACATGTATCTGTGTGTATGGTTAATGACATGATTTTTACATGTTTTAATTGTTTTCATGAGACAAGACTTTGTGCACCTGTGTAATATAACTTAAACATATTAAAGTTTTAATATTTTTATGTGAATTATTTAGTGAATTTTGAAGTGATTTAAGTTGACAAATGATGGTGAAATGCAAAATCGCACAATTAAAACTGGTTACAGAAAATGTGTATGAGAATTTTTTTATAAAAATTATATAATCTTCAGGATAAGTAAACTCATCCGAAAGTTAAATGGTTTAAATGAAAAAGTTTGATTTGCGAAGGATATGTAATGTGTTTCAATTGAGTATGTTCATTTTTACAGCTGAATTCCATAAAGAATATGCATCATATTATAATTGTAAATATTACATCTAGATACAGAAGTAAAATTAATCTAAGTCATGGTGTATGGTGTAAAGTGAAATGAATAAGAAATAAACAAATAAAAATGTAAATTATGATCTGGTTTGTTAAGTGTTCTAGTAAATGTTCTTACAAACCTGAAAACATATTTATTTCCACTACCAAGGAGGATTGGCTCCCAGGGTTCTAACTCAAAATTTTTAATCTCCAGTCAATTTGTACACTGCTAATTTCTCCAGCAAAGGATAGGTATCGATATGGAGAACTGAATTCAACAATGTTTTTCTCTTAAACCAATCATTGAAAACATTCTGTTAAAAAACATGGTATTTTATGTAATGTTGACTAATTGACAACAATTTAATGCGAAAATTATTTAGAAATAATTTATATAACTGTTTTTGTTTACATTTTTTGTTTTTTTAGTGCAATAACGCAGATGCGAGTAGGTAGTTACCAGATTCACCACCAGGTGGCTCGTTCGGGTCAGATAGCATGGCGGGTATAGTAGAAAGTTCCCTTTAACTTAAATTACATCTATTTGCGTGGTTCAAATTTGATATAACCCTTATGTATCTAATAGTTATGCAAATTAAAATATGTCCAGTAAAAGAAAATGTTATCTGTCCAATACAAGAAAAGATAATTCACTTTTTGTGATTTTCTAACATGGGGTCTATGGGGAATCAACCTGAACAAGAAGTCACATTTTCAAAAAAAATTTAATTTTCAAAGTTGATAGACAATTTTTGAAACCATATTTCTAGATGTACATTTACATGCAGATTTCAAATATGACATCGCTTTGACTGAATTTTGAATATTAATGACGTTAATCAAGATTATTTCTACTCGCATGTAGTCTATTGTTTTTGCTCCTTTCTACAAATTCTTGAGAATGAAATAAAATGTCTTTCCGAACCTTGTTGGAACTAAATAGCATATACAACATATTTTTAGACCTTTCAATATTAAAGTAATACAAAGGAATTTTTGGTTGATTTTAAAAAAGTATTCAAAAAATTAAAACAAAATCCCCCCAAAATAGATAAAAATCAAGAAAAACCTTTTATTTCATTAACAAGATACTTTTTTAAAATCAACCAAAATTTTCTTTGTACAATTACAATATTGAGAGACCTAAACATGTTGAGTTTATATCGTTTTGTTCCAATGAGGTTCGGAAAGATGTTTCATTTCACTCTGGAAACATGATACCAAGAACAAAACAAGTGTTTGATGTGTTTTTTAAAACAATATAGATGAAAGTGAATTGAAAATGTTGTTATTTTCTGACATTATAACTGACTATAGATTCATAATTAGAGATCCAAAAGATTTGAACTAGTATCTTGATCACTCCTTATGTGTTTTGAAAATTTTTATTGGGAAATAAGACCAAAACTTGCGATTCAAATTCTGGGGTGTAAAAACCTGTTTGATTTTTTTAATGTTGTAATCACAACATGACTACATATATGGCAGAATATCGTGTTGGAACCCTTGGGAGCCAATACTCTAGTCTAATACCTGAGAATGTCAGGGAATTTTGACCCTCCCCCATTTAATAAACTTTATCAAACATCAAAAATACAGTAGGCCTAATATTTGTTCTTTGTAATTTATATTCGGTAGAGTTTACGAATTTAGAATATAAATAATTTCTATAGTTATTGTGGGGTGTAGTACATGTATTTGTCGTGAAAATCGAACACGATTTTGATCCAGCTGCGAGCTGCATTGTTATTAGCTGTTCAGTGAACTGTGTTGTTAGGTTTGTACACATCATTCTGGCTCTTGGCTCCGCAAGGTAAATTCCTTTCATTACTAGACTTTATATCACACAATCGATAGGTCCAAGAGTTGTTGCATACCTTTTAGGCCTTGCAATTAAGAGCTCCTCAAAATTTTGAGGTTTTAATGGTGTAAACAACTCCGAAAATCAATCGACTTAATTAGAACTAATTTTGCAGAAGGAGTCCATTTTAATGGAATATTCATAAGTGTCTATTGTCTTGCGTGCAACTCGTTCTTTTAAAACAGCGTGTCTCTCCTACGTATTGTGTCACTGTCCATGTTTGCATGTACCTGAATTACATCACATTGCAATAAACTGTACTGCGGCCACAAGCCATTGCTTTTCTTGAATTACTGTTATGTTCTTTGTAACGTAGCCTGATAATTGGTATAGAAGACAAGTGAAGACAAGGATACATCAGCGTAATGCAGTGGCTAATTACATGTAACTTATATACATTTATTACATTGTATATTTATTTACATGAAACGTGTAATTAAGACTTGATATTATAATTGCAATGAACAAGGGAATGCTTTAGTGCATAATTGAATTTTATCTTGTAAAGTGAAGATCTGGCTTCTAACATTATGTATGATTTCTTCGAAAAATTGTTACAGAGCTTAGTATCAACTTGAGTCACTCAACTGAAATTTTCTATGATAATTGCATTGGACATGAGAATACATCAGTGCTTTAGTCAGTTAAAATGAAGGTTCACTTGTGGTTCTTATGTTGCAGAACTGAGTATAGCCCCCAAAAGACAGCTATTATTTCTTTGTACAGTATAAGTCATTTAGGGCCTACTTCCAAGCATCAATGCAATCATTTTGAAACGTTGTTGCACATTTGAACTACCAGATAATTCAGTTGTTTCTGGTAATTAAAGAGTCAAATGCTTGATTGGCTCAGCCTCAGAATGACTCCAAAAGTCATTACATCAGGCCCTTATCCAGCTTTTACCAAGGGGGTTCACGTTTCAAAAAATTCCAGTTTTGCATTTGACAACTTTGATCCAAAATCACTTGAAAAGTGCTCAGAATGGCGTAAACTGCATGATTTTGACAGATTTTTTGGCCAGGGGGTTTATTCGAACACACTGGCTGGTGTCCCACAGAGATTTCAGGGGTTCTTTGTATGAAAATCTAGGTCTGATTAGATTTTGGGCATTCTGGGTAAATGTTAAGGCAGCCATTTTGGACTTTCTGTCCAAAAAACTGTCTATTCAAGGGTGCAATACTGTTCACCCTGTCTTGTTTATCTAAAAATTCAAAATAGCTATTTAATAGCACTAGTCAAGTTGAACAGATACTGTAAATTGCTTTAATTTGGCAGATTGGGCAAGTTTTGAAATTTTGGCTGCTATTTAATATGGTGGATTGACCATCATCAGTCTTATAACTCACTTCACAGCTCGCCACCGATGACGCAATTTTATCTCTCCTGGAATTAAGATTGTTTCATCCAAACCAGCGCGAACTCTGCAGATCTTCGGAAATAGTTTAAAATTGACATTTTATCAATGTTCTGATCAAGAATTTCACCAAAGTTTTATCGTGCAAGGTAACACATGGAAAAGGCATTGGACGAATATCCCCAGGAATTTCATTTTCAAAAAATAGGCGGAGATTTAATTTGGCTGTTTTTATCAATCTGCCAAATTAAAACGGCCGTTCAATACAAGCAATTTAGAGTAAGAGGTTTTCCTGGGATTTTGCAGACACACACCCACACAGTAAGATTTAAGATGCAAGTTTGAGGTTGACCTGTTTTAACTTATTTCTTTTAAGCTAATTCAACACTGATAAGAACACAAATATATTGAATATCAGTCACTGAATATATTCATACTTAGTTCATATACATGTATTCACATTATTTATACATTTTATTTTTATTCTTTCAAGTTGTAAAGAACAGGAAATTGTTAACTATTTTTCAAGAAATGTGCCCCTGCCTTGAGAAAATAAGATATTTAATCAATAATTTGGCACTACTAATATTCCTTCCATAATTCCTGTAAACTTAATTACTGTCATTCAAGGGATCTTTTCATATGCCAGGGTTTCCATGTCTATTTACATTTATTTTTGAGTATTTACAAGATATTGCATTCAATTTAGTTCATGATGATTCTATATACAATATTCTTTGTACAATAAATAGTCCTTCACAGTCTTTGTCTTTATGGTTTGGCTTTGTATACTGCTATCCTAACACCAACTTGAATAGTATCACCAGTACATTGATGCCTATAAGTGGAACTGGAAAATAAAAATACTTTTGTTTAATCATACATTTAAAATTTCACATTGAATTTCAAAAGTGTCCTTTTTTAAATTTCAATGTACATGCAAATAATTTTTAAATAATGGCAACTCCGCGGAGTAGCAAATCCCAACGAACAAAATATCAATTACCGAATTCCAATCAATTATACTCATTACTTTGGTTGAAAATGAAAAAATTAGATTTTAGAATTGCGAATTCCTGCAAAGCAGCCATTTTGAATTTTCTGAGGTACAAATCTGAAAAATAATACCATAATTGTGATCTACTCCAAAATTCCTTCAATTTGAGTATAATATAGCCATACTTTGAAGGGATCGAAAAATTATTGCGAAATCGTACATTAGACGGCCATTTTGAATTTTACGAGGCTCGAATCAGAAAAAAGATACAATATTTGCAATCTACTCTTAATTGCCTTTCATTTGAGTATAATAAAGCTATACTTCAGAGAGATCTAAAAATTAACGAAAATTTCTGTTTTCCTGTCCCCCCATACATGACCCCTGGGGGTCAGGATGAAAAACACGGAATATATGTGAAATAGATAAATGTTGTGAATACACTACCGAAATTTCAAACAATAATATTAATTACTTTGGTTAAGAATGAAAAATTTATGATTTTTGCGAAAAAGTGCCGTCAGTTTTAAAGCGGCGGCCATCTTGAAAAAAAAATTTTGCGTAAAACTATTCACCAATATAGATCTTTCCACTAAATATGAAGAAAATCTGTCTACTAGTATTTGAGTTATCTTCCGGACAGACGGACGGATTGACTGACTGACTGACTGACTGACGGACAGACGGACGGAGGGCTTCACAATCCCTAACGAACTTCGTTCGTTGGGATAATAAAGTTTTATTAAATAATGTTACCAAGAATGTACATGTAGTTCCTTGGCACCCTAAGGATGCAATACCAAATGTTAAGTTATGTTTTAAAACTTCCATTAGTAAAAGATTCAAGGGTATGGGGAGTCTTGATCCAATCTACAAGGTATTATTATATAAGCTAGCTCTCAGTTGGCTCATTTTACTGGATTTCTGCTCATAGCATACATTTTTGAAGACAACAAGACACTCATCTCCATCTCCCCAGGATTTTTCTAACATCTTTCAACATTTTAGTCTTTTGATGTGTGCAAACACATTCTCAACAGAAAACCATGTTATTTTCACACTGAAACAGGGTTAAGCTCCCAGTTGTTCTCATGCAAAATAAAATCACAGACAGAGGTAGTGCCCATTTGACAAGATATTTTGGGGAGTCACTTACTTCTCATTACTGTCCTGACAGATCTGATTAGATTGAGCATCTGTGTTTTCATGCCAGGTTCTTCACCAAAGCCCCTCTGGTCTGTACCCCAACCAACTGAAAAGTGAATAAATTGTATGTACATTAGACGATATCCTCAGTCTGAAATTTTTTTGAAATTTGGAATGAAAATATCCAGACTATAGCCCATATATGTTAAAATATGGGATTGAAAAATATTTGTTCACATAGGAAGTGCCATTCAAAATGGCCGATGGAGTAAATTAATTTGCATGTTTGTGACTTCCCCTAGCTTTATTTCCATTTGACAATATGCTGTGTTACTTTTTATAGCATTTAATTGTACCTTACTACTTCATTGAATTGTTATTATGTTTATTTTTGGAAAGTGAAGCTTCCTAAAAAAGATAATTTTGTTCAGAAAATTTCATGTTTTTTCCCACAGGAGGGATATGATGATCAATAGACAGAATTCTCAAGATATTCAGTCTAATGGATATAGACTAGAATGTACATTCTGTAGATCACATATCTCCGAATGATTACTCAAATCCCTTATCATACTTAAACATCAGTTTTGAATTCTTGAGTTTGTGGATCATTACAGTAAAGTGAATTGGTTTCACTCTACTTACAGTAGTTCAATAGGACAAGAAGGATTGGCTCGATATTTTCGAACAATGAAAACATTAAAATGTCACTATTTTCTGAAATTAAAACCGACTATAAATTCAAAATAAACAGTTCAAAAGATTCGAACCAATATCTCGATCATATCTTGTGAGTTTTGGAATTTTTCGTCAGGAAATAAAACCAAAATTCACGATTCAAATGTTGAAGTGAACAAAATCGCTGCTGTTTGAATTCAAATGTTTGTATCACAACATGCTCACATATGGGACAGAATATCGATGTTGCACTCTGGGATCCAATCCTCCTTGAATAGGATAAATTAGCATAGACTCTTAGGGTCTAAATATGAAGAAACTAAATTCAAATTGCCTAGCGTGTAAATCAAACAAATCTGAAAAATCCTTGGCTTTCAACAAGAAGTTTAAAATGATAGTGCATGTACACCACAAGACCTACAGTGAGGCACTAGACAGTGGTTTGGATCATAGTTCACACAAATGCACAATATTGCACACTCTATTATCACCCATCGTATTTTCAAAAATATGGAAAAAGATGAGGTGGCACATTTCAATCGACTTTTATGAAGAATCCATGGCCGATTTCTCAAATCTGTTGTATTCTACCGAATTCTAAATATGTTAAATTACTTTTGGCAAGGAATCTTTCTTCATGTAATACACATATTGCATTCAAACAGAGCAGAGCCGCTTCGAGTAAGGAGTAAAATCCGAATGCCATTTTCTTTTTAACGACAATAGAACGATTGACTGATCGCAGTATTTGACCAATCACCTTCCAGATGACGTATGCGGAAGTGATATAGGCCACGTGGCTTTGTTTACAAACAACGCTGATGAAATCTTGAATCATCTTGAAATCAATTGTAAATGCTGATGTGTACCTCTAGAGATCTCCAGAAAACTGACGTGTACTTCACTTAACGAGTATAAATACACATGCAAACCATGAGGTGGTGTTCAAAACACACAACAGCACAGAAGAAGTACAAGAACAACAACAAGACATTCAGAATGGCGCAATAGCTTCTCAAATACACAAAGTGGTCTATATCTTCAGCAACATGGCAAATCAAGATTTACTTGAAACTTGTAACATTAGCAATAAATTCTGCTTTACAGTGAACTGTTTGCAATTTACTGTGATTATCATACAAGGTGTTCTTCTGTATTATCTACTCCGAAAAAATTGTTCAAGAAAAGGTAGTTGTTCAAAGAATACAGCAGAAGCTGAAAAGGAACAAAGTGAAGAACTTCAGACTAAAAAGGAAGATAAGGACAAATCCGAATTGATAGACACAAAGTCTGAACAGATTTCTGAATCATATAAAGAACAGTGTGAGTCAAGTTGGGACAAGTGTGATACTGAAATCATTCCTGTTAAAGAAGCTGAACCAACTAAGGCAATAAGTGAATACTCAAATCTAGATACTGTAAAAGATATTCAGGAAAAGAAGGAAGACTGATACCAGCTATGAAGGGAAAGATGGTGTTATTCTGTAGCATAGTGGTTGTGGTGGGACTCACCATAGTGGGTGCCCAGGGACAATGGCCCAGACCATATGCTAGTTACAGGCCATACATGAGGTTAGTACGATAATCATTATTTGCTTTCCTGTGCATCTTTGTATACTTTACCTATTTCAAAGGCTGGACTGTTCTGATTATTTATTATTGTCCTATACAGATCAGAGACAGACTTTGAATTGGGTAAATTTTACTGATTTTTCTAAACTTATGATACAAATATACTGTATATCGTTTATATTTTCATGTACCTTTATTTCAACTACCAAGAGTAGACTCTTTTCTGCTTACTTAGTTCTAGTACAAGTATTGTTAAGGTTTCTACCAAGTATTGTTAATTCTACCAAAACCTTATTACAGAAACATTTGATATCACTTTGATTTCCCAACAGGTTTCATGGTTAAACATTGATGTTTATTGTTTTGGGTTGTCTAATGTTGCCCTTTACATTATTCACTAATTCAGCTATCGATGTCGATATTAGTACTGCCCTCTTTTGAACATTACCATTTGAAAATCTACATTGTGTACATGTATTTAAAGTATTCTATTATTTGTACAATTACAGGTATGCATCGTGGCCTAGAGAATCTCCAAGCAGATACTTATTTCGAAATGCCCTCATACCTGCCGAGACATTTGATGTGTCATTTTCGAGCCTTCTCAATGATGTAAGGAACCTAATGGAAATTGATGAGGATTTCTTTGATCCATGGACATCAAGATTTGGTTATGATAGGGATGCGAAAGAACATGATGAAAGAGACAGTGACTATGGAGGGTCCACTGACTCTGGTTGTTCATGTGGATGTGACAGCTGTAATGAAATGATTGATAACAACATAAACAATCAAAAACTTATGAACATGAAATACCTTGAAGAGCTCCAGAGAGATGAAAGAGATAAGCATATGGGGGAACAGAGACTTAGAGAACAGCAAATGAGGGAACAGAGACTCAAAGAACAGCAAATGAGAGAACAGAGACTCAAAGAACAGCAAATGAGGGAACAGAGACTCAAAGAACAGCAAATGAGGGAACAGAGACTCGGAGAACAGCAAATAAGGGAACAGAGACTCAAAGAACAGCAAATGAGGGAACATAGACTCAAAGAACAGCAAATGAGAGAACAGCTCGAAGAACAGCAAATGAGGGAACAGAGACTCAAAGAACAGCAAATGAGGGAACAGAGACTCCAAGAACAGCATGCAATGAGAGAAATACAAAAACTGAGAGAGCAACACAAACATAATCTGCCACTAACTGAGGTAATCAACCTACAAGTGGAAGGCTATTTTCCTGAGGAGATTACAATTAAGCTTAGAGATGGTGTTGTATTTGTATCAGGTCATCATATTTGTAGTTGTAATGAAAACTGCAATGAAAAGAAATTTGAAAGAAAATACACTTTGCCTCACTCATTTGATCCTAATTCACTCTCTGCTACCATCGACAAAAAGGGTGACCTGATTCTTGAAGGGGTGCGGTATAGGGGCCCTGTAGAACAGTACGACAGAGATATAACTGTACAGGGGATTGATATACCACAAAGAAATCCTAATCACCCATGTGGAAATCTCAAGAAAAATGGAGGAATCAAACTTGCTAAGATTGATGCAAGAACTGGTAAAAGATATGTACCTGAGGTTTATGAATTTGAAAAAGACACAATACGTTTTTCTTCAAATGAATATGATGACGATGATGTTTCTCTTGAAGTTGTTTATGAATAAAACAGCAAGTAAAACACCATATAAGGACTGGCAATTTTCATTTATCATTATGTGCAATGTACCATATGGCATTAAAGTTAACTCCTCACTTTGCAGTTGTACTGTACCCTGTGATGCAACCCACATAGTGTTGAAATGGAATGACATTGGGAATTAATTGAAACAATATGGCACTCAACACCCAAGAGTGCGATAAAATACATTTCTAGGGGTTGACACTGAAATTATGTGAATGCACTACAATATGTATATAACTGTAAACAATTTTATATAATTTGCAAACATTTTATATTTAATTTAATTTCTACATTGACAGTTTGTACATTTCTATTTTGTCAATAATAAAATAATATGAGATATCATATTAAATATTGTTACTTTTTCTTGACAATGTAGGCTTGGATAGTTATTCAGTATGACAAGTGACTGTCCTTTAGAACTCGACAGACCTACCTACTTTCATTGCAAAAATATTTTGAGGCAGAATGTGAAATGAAATTGTTTCAGAAAATAATATTTTATTTGAGAGATTTGACATTATTCTGTTGCAGTCTGTTCTAATATTTATAAAACATGCTTCAAAAATTAACTTTTCAATATTCCTTTTTGATAGGCTCAGAGTTAACTCCTGAACTACATATGTAACACCCAGATTAGATAAATGCCAGTTGAAATGCTATTTTCCAGAAGAATTGGGCTGACATCTTGTACACAGTGATCAATGTTTGAATATATTAATGAATGTAAGTCCATTACTCAATAGATTATAGGTGATTTAATGAACAGGGTTCTTGTATACAAGTCTTAAACAAAGGCATGCAGATTGATAATTATATTTGAGGATAACATACAAGAAACGAGTGTATTAAATCATCCACAATTGATTGAGACCAGTGCTTACATTCTTTTTACACACAACAGAACATATGACAATATCATCACTGCATCACCCATCTACCAAAAATCAATGTGCTAATTATGCTTACTTCATGACATACATGTGTAATATTTCTTTTATTTCTAAGAATTACTCTCTCCTGGAGTAATATTTTTCACTCCCAAAAGCATATATGCATTTTTACATGAAACAGACAATTGTTTTGAATTTGATTTTCACATAAATTAGCATATTAAATATTTTATATAAAAGTATATGGATCACATGGTCAATGTAACCAATGGGCTTTTTTACCTTTATTGTATATAATATATAAAATAAAGCTTGTATGTTTTCCTCTGTTTCTAAATTATGTCATGCTGCTGGAGTATCAGAGTTCTCACCAATGTGACTGGCATGTCCTCTGCACCTTTATCCTTATCTCTCAAAATTTCAGTGTAGTAAAACCCTCACTTTTCATCAAAGGGGGAAGGGACTCAAATGTTTCACATTTTCAGAGTAGAAGTTCCCAAAATTTCAAATTTCACTAAAATTCTAGAATTGCCCTATGGATGGTACAAACTAAAATATTTTACCACAGAATAGAACACTATACCAGCCTCCAGTACAGAACACTTTTTCAGATGTTTCATAACAATAATTATTATAGTTATAATAACTTGAAAAATACAGGAAAATTACATTTGAATTTTCAATTTCTAAATACACAATACTGAAACCAAGTACTGTGGAACTGGACAATTTCAGGCAATCATCCCTACCCAAAATCTTGTCAATTTTTACTGAATCGTATTGATAACTTTGACAAAAGCATGCCAATCACAAAGAAAATATTCCAATTTAGACCCATCCTCCTAAGCAGGTATCCAGAATCCGTACCTCCTTCTTCCCCCTGCTATAACCAATTTGGAAGCGCCCGATTAAACTGAATCACGTGATCTAATTATGCGCAATTTGACTTATACATGATTTCTGTCGCAGTGTTGCGATAGCCAATCAGATTGCGAGTTCTTAATCGGGGAAATGCTAACTGCTTACCGCAGGGAGTAAAAAGAAAGAATATATTCCGAATTTTGAAGCCCTGTGATCGGAGGATGATTTAGACCAAACATTTCATTTTTCAAAAAGGCTCATTGTTTCTGATGTTTACTCGTTCAACCTATACATATACTAGTAAAATCAATGTAGTTATATACACATAGCTGCTACAAATGTATATGCTTCTGACTCACAGAGTTGTGGATTTGCCTGACAGGGGAATTAAGATAGTAGAGGATGCCACAGTGTCAAGAATCAGGTATCAATGATTCAGAAATCAGAAATTCAAGTGCGAGGGGTAACAAAATTGATGAAGCAAATGGGAGAAAAATCATGAATCAGCAAGTTCTGAAGCACTGTGACATCTCCTTCCCTCTGTGCTGGTTGTATATTGTTACCCATACTGGATAAGTGATGTAGAACAATCAAATCACAATTTTGTGATTTGGGATTCAGAATCCATATTTGGACTGTGTTTGTCTCTTTGTCTGTCGATTTGCAGCCCAAGAGTTCTTCAATTCCAATTCTCTCTCTTTAGCCTGAAAATATTAATTCAAAATTCATTGATTCAAATTCATTCATTGTTGGTCATCAAACCAGCTCCAGAGTGCCTGAAAACTAAAAATGATGGAAAAGGTTGGGACTTTGTGAAACTAGATCTATGTTCTGTCCTTACTTTTTTCTTTTTACAGACAGCATGAGAACAAAAGAGAACCATTAGTAGGAAATAATATGGGGGTCTGGGACTTAACTGGTAAAATATAGCTTTTTGTGCTACATTGAACTTTTGACATGCTCCCTAATCTTATATTTTACTAATGACAAACGCAGAGCCTTGGTCAGCTTTCACGAGAAGTGGGCTCTAATCATTCAAAGGAGATTTTAACAAAATTCTAATTTTCACAAAACCAATTTTAAAAAAAAAATACCAAAAACATACTTTTATTCATTTTGACCAAAATTAAGAGTAGGAAAATAAAGGTCAAAATTTTACTGTTTCAAATTTAATTGGAGGCTTTTTGGCAATGGACATTCTTTCTAGCCATCTCACAGTAATAAAAAGATTTGTGAAAGGTTTTACCTGAGCTGCCAACCAGGTGATCTGATGTTTGCGTTTAGTTTGACCTGAAAGTCCATCGTCCTGTTTCTTCTTGCCAAAACTCTGCCCCTGTTCCTCTGAGACTCCTTTAGTCAATTCTATGTGAGCCTACAATCAAACATGAGAATAATATCATATAAGACACAAAATTGTCTTTACAGGCACCTTATTTCTATTAGGGAAATTCAATCAATCAATAAATAATATAGCAACTTGATTTATTCTAAAAATATTATGAATTTGAGGAATTTTCACCAATATTTATTATATAAATTGATATAACATGGGAATTCATTGATCAGTGAAACGTTGTAAAACATTATTGATACAATATAGTACATGTACAATAGTTTAAAGTATCATCATGACTTTATTATCATTATTGTGTACACGTTTTTATGAATAGTACGAGGGGTGATCCAAAAGTCTTGGACGCCTCGCTCTAACTTTGCTATTTTCTAATATAATTACATGAAACTTTCCGATAATAAAGATCAACATCTTAACAACTTTGTGTACAAGTTTCACCAGAAAATAATATATTTTAGCTACTTTTCTAAATATTTTTAAATACCGGGTCCCTGCCACCCGGAACGGTATTTAAATATAGCAAATCACGTCACAACTGTTAATCTGGCAAATACTGTAGGTGCAGGTGCACAGCCTAATATAAAATCATGATATGAGAGAATTTCCGATTTTCAATCCGATTGTCATCTGCCATCATCATCTTCACATATTAAGACCTACATTTCTAATACTTTAAACGAATTTGAACACATTTTTCGTTCCGCTTTATCAATGAATGGAAGACATATCTATGAAACTGCCATTGCTTATGTGATACAAATGCTGCTGGAGTACCACTCTAAACCTTATCCAATGAGTAAAAACATTTTCTTTCAACCCTCCTTTTCAACTTGGAGAAAAGGAAGAAAATCACACGGAGCCATATCTAGACCGCAACGTGCATATGGTAGCTGCTCATGGTTAATAATAGTGAGAATATCTTTGTAGTATTCTTTGTTCCACTTTGATTTCTTTCATGTTCTGCATTTCAGCAGCCATCTTGGAGCACAAATGATACCAGAATGAGGGTTGCTTGTCTGATGTAATTTTCTTTGAATTTAACATATATGATCATTGTCATATGTGACATTATAATTAAAACACAATTAATTGTTTGCCAAGTAACAAAGGAAGTAAACTAACATGGTTTAACATTCAAAATTCAAAGAAAGATAGTGGTCAAGATTTGCGAAACAAGTCAAATGGCGGCAACATTTAAGGCTGAAAGTTGCCATGTGTGAATACCGTTCCGGGTGGCAGGGTCCCTATATTAAAAACTATCTAGAATAATACATAAAATATATCATTTCTCCATGAAATTAATACACAAAGTAGTTAAGTTGTTGGTCTTTATTACTGAAAAGTTTAAAGTAATTTTATCAAAAACCAACAAGATTAGAGCAGGGCGTCCAAGACTTTTGGATCACCCCTCGTACATTTCATGAATATTGAAAGAAATACATGATAAGATCTAAGTGTAAAATGGAATAAAAATCGTACCTCTCCAATGTGATCATCAGCATTGATATCTATAATATTAATTGCCTCTCCCCTCTGTTTCTTCCCCTGCATCTTTAGGAACTGAAACATGAACAAATAGAGGTTATTTAATGGGAGGGAGAAGATCTAAGGAATAATGTGATATAGGATCATTAAAATGGATTATGTAATTTAAACTGACAGTGGCTGAGGAAATATAGAAAAAGTTTTCTTCATAGAATAAAGTACAATTTTTATCCATCTTCGTCATCTGAGTCACAAGTTTTATTTCACCTGATCTGACTAGGAAAAATGAAAAAAAAGGTTTCATGATTTATCAAATCCTCAACTGAGTTCGATTAAATGAACTTTTTATTCTACCTCTTGATCGGCTGTTAATTTTCTGATTTCATCTTCTGGTGGAGTATAGGTGGCACCACTGTCTCCGGACATGTCTTCATACTGGAATACATACAAATATTATTACATTTAATTTTAATTTTTTATATTTCCTTTATTTCATAATACATCATACAAACAGATACAGGGCCTACGCCGAAGCATTATTGGCCCTGTTGAAGTAGTTACAATATAAGTTAAAATAGGTCACAATGTAAAAATGATAGATATAGAACATATTTATGAACATGAAAATAATCTTGAAAACATGAAGACAGGTCAGAGATATATGTATAAATTAATGAATATTGGACTATTTAACTTCCTTGACAATAGAGTGTAAAAATTCGGCGGTTAATTCAATAGCCTTTTTATTTGTAATTGTGTCAAGAGAAGGATCTGCAAAAAGTAGAAAGTCTACCCTGTCTTCCTGTTTTCTATTATTAAAAGAGTTTAAATTAAAGGATGGCAGTCCCCCTAGTTCTCTGTGAAAATTGAGTCTTTGAGTATTAAAAAGAGGGCAATGGAGCAATAGGTGTTTGGTTGATTCAGTAGAATGACCACATTTACATTTGGCATTTGGAATATTTTTGAAGTTATGTGTAAAAAGATGCTGCCTAAAAATGAGATCACATCTCGTTTTATTTAAGACAATTTCTTTATCTCTGGATAGGTTTAATTTTGGGGTTGTGAATTCTTTCTTTTTCCCATTCAAAAATGTTCTAATTTTATACTTAAATGAGTTGCGTGAGTGTGCTTGTTTCAGTTCATCAGGTAAATTATCCCATAATTTAATACTGGATAAAGCTGTAACTTTCTAAGTTTAGCAGATGCTTTGAATGGGATCTTAAAATCATTGCTACGACGAAGTCTTTGGTGGTTTACCTGATTCTTATACTGTTCAAAAACATTTGAAACATATGAAGGCATCTTATAATTATTTACAAAGTCAAACATAAAAACTAGTTTTTTTTCTTTTCTTCGATTGGATAAGGATCTCCATCCAAGACATGCCATCACCTTCTCAGAGTTTGACCCTTGGATGCAACCACTTACAATAAGACCCGCTCTATATTGGACTCTATCTAAACTTGCTAAGAGGTTTAGATTTGCGCTGTCAAAAATAATATTGCCATATTCGAGATGTGGGAGAATGAATGCCATATAAATTGTCTGTAAGTGTTTTGATCTTACTGAAAATTTGAGTGCTTTTAATGGATTTAACATTTTATTACACCTAGTAATCACTGAGTTAATGTGTTCTTCAAAGCTAAGGTGTTTGTCTAAAATGATGCCTAAATGTTTATGGCTATTTACAAGAGGTATTTGCTCATTATTCATTGTTACTGAAATTTGTTTCTTAACTTTTCGTGTGTGTTTAGATTGAAAGATAACCTCCTTAATCTTAGATGCCTTAAATTTGAGTTTCCATTTAGTGGACCAATTAGCCATTTCATTGATATCTGATTGAATTTTTTGATTTGTTGTTTCAACTGATTCATTCTTGGGTACTGTCAAGAAGATCGTTCTATCATCAGCATATAAGAAAAGTTTACAATTATGAACTGAGTCTGCTAAGTCATTAATATATAACAAAAATAATAGGGGGCCAAGAATTGAACCTTGGGGAACCCCACTATTTATTTCATAGGATCCGGAGTCTCGATTTTGAAGATTTTGAGGAATATTTGAACCAGTTTCAGCATTACATGAAATGTCTGAATAAGTATCATTGATCCTTACTTTTAATTTCCTATCTGTTAGATATGAGGTCAATAACTCTATAATATTGTTGCCTAATCCATAAGATTTCATCTTATGGAGTAACAAAAAATGTGGGACTGCGTCAAATGCACCTTCCACGTCTAAAAAGATTCCACGGGTTGCGAGGTTAGAGTCAAAATTATCGGCTAACATATTAACAATAGAAAATAGTTGCTTCTGTGTATCATGGCCTGGTAAGAACCCGGACTGATTTTCATAAATGAGGTTCTTCGAGGAAACATGGTCAAAAATTGCTGTATAAATTATTCGTTCAAAAAGCTTTGAGAGATTATTGAGGAGGCAGATTGGTCTGTAGTTGGATGGGTCTGTTTTTGAATTTTTATTCTTATATATAGGAACAATTATTTTCCAGCAATCAGGAAATGTATTTGTCTCCAAGAAAATAGTAAATAGTTTAACTAGTTCAACATCGATAGAGTCAGCCACAAGTCTCAACATTTTGTTAGTGATATTATCTTCTCCACCTTTTTTAGATGAATTAAGGTTCCGTAAGTTATCATTTATATTTATGTAAGTCAAAGATTCATTTGTTTTCATAGGACAGGGCGGCAATGACTTATCAATTATATTATGGTGGAACTTAGTCATGAACTTATTTAAAAAAGCATTTGCTTTTCCAAAGTCATCATCAATAATTTTATCATTTATCTCAAGAAGAGGAATGCCTGTTGAAAACTTGGTTCCTATAAGTTTCTTTATAATTGTCCAGTAGTTAAGGCCATTTGCTGCTTCTTCATCCAAGTTATTACAAAGTTTATCTTGATAGTTGTTCTTTGATTTATTATTACATCTACAGTAGATTTGACTAAGTTAGGAACATTGTTGCTGGCATCAGATAAAAGACAAAATAACACAATACAAAGAAGAGACTGTTCTTACCTTCTCAAACCATATTTTCACTGCTATAAATCGATGTATGAAAATCGACCAGAACAATTTCAACCCAAATGCAACAATCTTCAATACTAGATGGCATATAATGTTTAAGAATTCTGCCATAAAGTACAATCATTGATTATATCTTACCGGTTGGTTATAAAACTGCTGGTTGTACTGTGTATCAACTTGCCCAGTATGCTGTTGCGGATATGACCTAGCTGAACTATATCCAGGAGAAATAGCACCAGATTTAAAGGCTAATGGAGCATTCATAGCATCATTCTCAATGGTGATTTTTCCAGTGTCAATCTCAGCATTTTGCGTAGTAATCTCATTATTGTCATTATCCATTGGCTGAATAGTGGGAACTGTGTTAATACCTCTCAATGACATAAGGGAACTTTGAGGCATTGTTGATTCAGTGTTAGTAGCACTGTCAGGCTTATCACCAAGTGAGAAAAAATTCCCAGAATTGTCATTGTCCTCTTCATTATCACTATCTACATTGGCAACTATTGGGGTAGGGATATCTACGCTGGGTTTGCTTTTAGCATGCTGGAGCATAGCAGCTTTTTTCTTGGCCATTGCTTCAGCTTTAGAAGCAGCTGTCTCAGTTGGCTTCTTGGTAAGTGTATGTGGGATTAAAGGCCGCTTGGTTTCCTTTTTGAATGCTGAGTGTTTAGGGTCAGGTAGCAAAGCAAAAAGTCCCGTCTTTTTCTGCAAAATATGAAAACAGTTTAGAGCAGGGATAGGCCTACAACAAAAAGTGGGTATGATGGAGAATCGCTATGAAAAACTTATTCACTTCATACTTAAATATTTTGTACATATATACTGTCTGAATTAAAAATCCCTCTCTACAATGACACATTTCATAACAAGAGTTATTTGTGAGTGATAAGTTATCATAAAAATCCATATTTCAAAAGCCAAAAAATACAAAAATATGCGCTGATGAATAAATTATGCAGCATTTCTAGAAATTCAAAGTTATGCAAAATTAAAATGTGCTGTGTAAAAACATAATTCTGGAACCTGTGTATAATGCTGCACATTTTTTGGTTAACATTTAACAAAAAATCATCTTACTGTTGAGGGTTTGTACTTCTTAGCTTCTGGTTCATCTTCTTCATCTGAAGAACCTGCCTGCAAACAGAAAACAATATTAATGTATTAATGTGCATGTATTATTTGTAAAAAGCACCAATGATAATACATTGATGAAATGAGATATCTCTATTTTGATGGAAATACATGGACAAGAAGTTACAACATTTAAGTACAGCAGGAATCGGTCAATAACTTAATATCATAACACTTTTAACAAAAAATTAATTGAGAAAGATTGGAACATTTCTTTGTGATATCTTAAATAAACTCACATCAGGCAATTCGGGGATAACAATCTGAATCTTCTTCCCAATCTTCTTAGGTGGTGGCTTGGGAACATCAGCTAATTGTGAAGGCTTTGGTTTCACCAAATCTTCTAACTCCCCCTCATCTTCTGTCACTGTCACATTCTTAGAGGCCTTTTGAGGCAAAGGGAGACCTAAGCCATTTCCTTTTTGAGATTCTATTGAGTTACCACTGTCTTTCACACTTGATGCTGGTTTATCAGCTACTTTAGGCGCAGGTAGATTAAGTCCTGATGACCGTGTTGTATCTTGAATAACTGGTTCCCAAATATCTTCATCATAAATGACAGTTTCTTGCTTATCTAGAACATGAAATAGATATATGACAAAATATCACTAAAAATGTATATTCAAAGGTTTGTTTGGGCTTCAGAAGACTGGATCATATAGGTACAGTATATAAATATATTTAATCATCTACAAGGACAAATAGTCCTGAGTGCTGATGTATACATATGGTATTTTTAATATATAATAATTACAATTTAGTAGTTTGGGGCATGACTTACACGCTGAAATAACATATCTCAATACATTTTTGAACTCCTACTGTAAGTTCTAATTTGGTTCGAACCCTAATTGTCATGGTTAATTGGCAGAACAAGATCTTCTACATTTTACAGTTGGGCTGAATTTACTAGCCTTTCCCTAGCCCGGGGCTATTAGTACTGGTACAGTTTATTGTCCCAGCTTAGCAGCTGTAGGGAAAGAGGTAAAACTTTGATGCAATTTAATTTTTAATTTGGGATTGAAGTTGATGTATGAGTTGTTATAGGCTCAAATTTCCAAACCATTTAATTTCTGGCATAGATGGATCTCAGACCATAGGCAAAGGCCGATAGGAATAATTTTAAAATAAAGATGGCATGGTAATCGATCTGTGTTTATTTATAAATATTCTCTTCAGGTAATCAACGGGAGCCGAAGTGGTACTTTTAAAATCCACATTTCGCCCCTAAATGCCGATCGTTCTAGTGAAACAGCCCTACTGTTTGACATAAAAGACATATCCATATACATACCAAGTGTGTACTGTGTAGTGTCGATTAAACACTAACTGAAATGGGCATAATATGCCTAAGAACAGCAAAGTTGCGGTTTGCGAAATTGGCCATGGCAGATTTCCGGAAGTAGTAATTATTTACTTCTCTCTTCGATTAGACGTTTATTCTCGAACATCAACAAACAATCTGAAATGATTTTTTCGAATTTTAGAAAGTTTTTAGAATGGTATGCTATTTTTAAGGCTTCGCTAAAAACCAATTGTATGCTTTGCACATGCGCAAAATCAATAAACACCTGAATCCTACCATGGCCAATTTCGCAAAGCGGGACAGTGCCGTTTAATGACATGTCAGGCCGTCAGTATGCCATTACATATCGATTTTATGTGCTAGGTATGTCAATCCATATGTTTTCTTTATATCTAGTTATCTTTTTCACATTGGGAATAGCGTTAAGTCGACATAAATTGGAATTCAAAAACTACATCAACAACTCGTTGAGCACCTGAGAGAAAAAGATAATACTGGATTCTGTTGGTGCTGTCATCTTTATATCGGCCCAGAACCTATGTCTCAGACATTTCGGAATGCGATTTTTTTCTATTGTCCCTACCAAGTGTCGAAACATGAGGCAGGGACATCTATTATCATTGAAAATATACCTTCAATATCTGTTACTGTTTGGACGCGTGCATCAGGTAAATCTACAATATCATTGGCACTAGCAGCAGTAGGCCTAGACTTGCCATTTACATTTTTTTCAACTGCTCCATCATGAGGTGACTCGTCCTCATCACTTGATCCACTGTCCCCACTGCTATCATATGCAACCAATGACATCCCAAATTAGTTATTTGCTCACGGAAGTTCTAAATAATAGAAGAAACTGAGATAAACTCATTATTAGGGAAAAATTAGATTTTTGCAAAATTTCTCAATTCTCGTAAAATCTCGTAGGAGCATATATTATTTGATTTTAATACATTTCTATCCAAGAATGAATCATATAAAAATATATTATTGTTGTGTACTGCTTTTAGATTTATATTGACAATCAATAGATCAAACATTAAAAATGATTATATGTTAGCCTGCAAGAAGGATTGGCAACCAGGTTAGCCTGAAAGAAACAATGTTTGCTCCCAGCCTGGATTACACTGAACGAAATTTGATTGTGACCTTGTATCCAAGATGGCGGGCAGTGGTGGAAATGAATTTCGACAAGAAATGCCCCGTTCTGGGGGCTACCAAGACATACATTGGGCACATAGGTCCCGCCCACGCCGCTTTGGACGTAAGTTTTTCATTTTTTATTTCAATATCAATCGACCACTATGCTATTGCTACAAACAGGAAGACCTTTTCTGTTTTATGCATTTTTTTACTTTTTTATTTAAATTTTTTTGCCTAAGCTAGTCTAAAGTACAGATCCTGAGTTAGATCCAGTCCCCATTGCAATTGAAGGTACTGTAGCCTGCGCATGGAGCATTTGCTTGCATACTGACATCTGTCGTCACTCTATCCTGCCCACGGTCTAGAAAGAGAGCTGACTTTATGTCGGTACGCAAGCGGCCCCTATACAGTATGGGCTTTCTTTAGAGCCGAACATTTCAACTGTAAATCCATCTAGACTGACATCTATACTGGAGAGTAGATAGATGGTTACATCACAACACTTCGTTATTTTAACCATATGAACTGGTTTCCGAAATAAAAAACTAGACCTTGTGTACTACTGTGTTGGTACAGATAAGACTTAGCTAAAGAATTAGACTGTAACTTACCTACGAGAAGCTAGTAAGCTACTTAATATAAGTTTTTTTTTTTTTTTTTTTTTTAAAGAATTCAGCTTTCAGCATTATTTGAATTTATTTCCCCATCTGTAATTGCAAGTAGACACTTGACATTAATGTTTATTGGGTCCTTCTCCATACTTCATAAAGTGTAAAGATTCATTGAAATAGCATATACTCGTATTATGTATCCTGTTCATATGTTAAGTTAAAAATAAGGTCACTTAAGAAAATTTGTATACTCTTTCAAACACCTTGCAGATGTGATGATGAAACTGTTTCATTTTCAAACCTTTTAAGATTATTCCATTTCAAATTAATTCTGTTGTTAGTAATTAAATGTTTTTATAAGGAGGCCCTTCTCCCCAGAGGTCCTCGTATTAGTTTATAGGTATCATCCTATGTCATTTTCAATGAACTTCTTTGATTTGGGAAATGTTTTCATTTCGTTTTACTTTTTTATGATCAGAATTTTATTTGTTTGCATAACAAAATATTTGGTATCTACAAGTAGATGTTACTTGGTTGAGAAATCAAAGTTGAAGGTTCATTTTTGTCAAATGAATTGGATGATACTAACTACTACTACTACTTAATATAAGTGAATGTAAAATCTATTAGCTTTATTTTATGGAAGCGCAGTATTTGATAGAAATAAATGTTAATCATCATTTTTCGAGTAGAGGCAATCTGCGCAAGGTTCTTTTTTCTCGTTCGGATTTTGGCGCATGTGTAAATAAAAAGACTTCATTCAAATATCACAGATGCGGGAAATATGACAAATTGTCATTTCAAAATCGAAAAATGAGATATAATTTAAATACCATGCTCTATTAGAGGCTCTCCCCAATTAGGTTATAGCATGTAGTCATTCTCTAATTCTCAATAGGTGAATAACTTCATTATGCAATCTGAATCCAGGAGTCTACATTGTCTTGTGACATCAATAATGCCACCATATTGAATGGCCTATCAGTATATATTAGTGTTGTAACGAGTGACTCGGTAATCGACTAGAACTCAAATGAGCCTAGCAAAATGATCAATCGATTGAAAATTTGAAAATCGTGATCCTGAAAATTTCTGAGAAAAATCATGATTACCCTTTTATACTCACGATGGCGAGTCCCATCACTACTATTTATTCCTTTATCAAGTGATCTGTAATAACTTTGAATCTCGCTGATTAGATTTTATACATTATTTCATTTTTGAGTTGGCACTACTTTCTGATTTGACATGAATCAAAACTAATTTTTTCATCTACATAAAATGCATTCCAAGGTCACTTTTAACTATAAATGTTATTTTTTCATCCTCGATTATAGAGGTAACCAACATTTTTAGAAAGCACATGGTTATGCTAAAATCTCCTGTTTAAGGGGAGGCATCAAAAGTTCAATGTCGGAAACTAAATAAATCTAGTTTTGACTTTGAACCCCCCCCCCAAAAAAAAACCTAAATACCATGAAAATTGATCACTGACTTTTGAAATCTTATTTTTTCCGATGTGAGTCTACTGCATTACGCTTTTTTATGTACAGAACGAAAAAAAATGTGATAGTCGTAATAGGCCTGTGACTTTACAATAGTTTTTACATATAGACTCATTGTATACTCAATATCTTTCTAATATCTGAAGAATGGTCATAAACTTACGATTAAATGTGTTCATGTTGGAAACCAACACCATCGATAAAATGAAATAACCAATTCCAGGGTGATCAAAAACGAGAACCCTTTACTTCCGGTTTGAGAATTTGAAAAATTTATTCTAAAAATGATCTAGTTTTTGTTAATTCCTAGCGTTATTTGCGGCTATTGATTGAATAGAATCCATTGAATGATCATGAAGAAAGCATGAGGTAAAATCTTTATTTTTAAACCATTCCAAGGGATTACGTGTCAAACGTGTGAAATTTGTCAGATAGCAAACTGAAATGGCTTTGAACCCCCTCCCCCTAACTAGATTTATCTAGTTTTTGATCCGACATCGAACTTTTGATGCCTCCCCTAAGAACCCCTATTCCAACCAATTAGAATTTTACTGGTTAAGACTCAATCAACCAGTGTTCTTCTAAGATAATGAGGATTTCATTATAGCTCCATGATGATAACATGAGAATATGATGTTGGTATCCTCATGTTATGTCAATAGTGCATATTCCCATGTCAATAACCCTTGTCAAAATCCTCATTTTCTCAGAAGAACACTAGTTGATTAAGCCTCAACCCGTAGATTTAGGTTGCCAAAATCAAACCTAATTGCTGGCTAGAATAAAGGTTCTTAAACAAGAGATTTCACTTTGTTTTCAAAGATTTTGGTCACATCTATTAGATTTGTAGAAAATGAAAAAGCATCATATTATTTAGCTAATGAAAGTGGGAGGGGTACATTTCATTTGAAAATAAATTTAAAATATAATTTATAAATATTATAATTTTTATTTCATCTAATATGAAGTATTTCACTCTTGTACTTTATATTTTATTATATTATATGCATCTATTCTTTGAAAATACAACTTCTTTGCATATTTATACAGTTCAATATCAAGATTATTTAGTTCTTTGATGCTTTCAAGTTGGGAAGATGAAATAACATTTTCAGCTTCAACTGCGTTAGTTATCGCTTTTTGGGAAAAATCTTTTGTAAAATTCACTCCAAATGTAAATTCAAAGAGATGTTGATTCAATTCTTGGTACTCTGTTAATCCAAAATATGCCATATTCCTCAAATTATTTTTTGCACTTTCAAGCATCATTCTATCTCTTTCTGGCTTTGGTATTGTGCTAGTATTATAGCAGTCAACCAATGATAGATTGGCTAGCATTCTAGTCTGTCTGTTTATAGCAAGGTTGTGTGGACATTTGATGAAGTCATTAAGCTGGACATTTATCCAGTTAGATTTAAAACATTTGGGTAGTTCCTTCTCAGTAACTTTCTGTCTGTTGCATTTTATTTCATGTCCCTTGTATCTAATCCATGTAGCACCCTGCTGGACATGCTTCCATTCACTTATATATCTCTGAATAGGCTCTCTTAGCATTGTAACATATAGGTAACTGAAAAGAATAGATCAAATTGATATAACAATGGGATGGATAACAATGGATATATATCACGCCTAACCATCGCGTAGGTAGGCGTCACCGTACAGCGTAAAAAAATAGCGGTGGTGACGCAAATTAACTGCTTTGAAACAAAAACTATGACATGGGTTTAAAAAAATTAATTTGATGAAAACTAATACGATTTCATGTGAAATAAAAACAGCATTCTCTTAGGAATGGTTTTAACTTTGTAATTATGATAAATGTTTTACGAGCACTGTTCGGATTTTTTCTGAGTGAATCGGCCCACATAATCGACCAGAGTGAAAAAAGGTTGTTTTTTCACATTTTGTTTGGTTATTATTTTCCCTGCCGTCTGAGAGTATGTATTATTTTTATGAGAATATGTATTTGTCGACTACACATTTTAGAACTGGCAAAGATTCAACAAACAACCATTCATTATGTATATTTAAAAAATATCAAATTTGTACGGTGACACATCAGCTGTACGTTGACGATTCATTATAATTTGTGAGAAGTAATATAAAGAATTCATTATTTATTATTTCAAATCGCATAAGTTTTGGTGTGGTAGTTCAAATGTTGATCCAATCTAGTATCCCTCGTATACATGTTGTCAAAATGATCAGTGAAAGTTACTGCAGTCACTTTTGCATTTAAGATGGCGGACAGGAAGTGTCGATCTCGATATTTTTAGTTTTCATCGAAGTCTTTATAGTTGGCGTTATGCTTTGATGAACTAAATGAGACTAGGCTTATATGAAATGGAAACTATGGAGTATGATCATTTGTTCATATATAGTGCATGGGCGCTACAATTCAACGATATCTTCCATCGTTTAATGGAAGGTTACTGGAAATGTGTGATACGGTAGGGGTCATGAAACCAAAAACTCAGTATATTTATTGCTATGTTATTATTGCTTTAAAACAAGGAATGTCACAAGTAAATCTCATCTTGCACATGTGACTTTTAGGATGAAAGATGCAATATCTTGCATGGGGTAAAGATGGCTATGTAGGCTATCTTTGTTAGTCATATGAGAAAAGCCTGGTCTGTATTTCAAATGATATCAAAGCATTGCGTCAACTTGAGTTGACTGTGTTTCAGTATTTAATCCTTGTTATCAGACATAAGAATTGATCTTTTCAATGTTGAATGGGATACAACATTTGAATTTCCACACAAAAACTTATGGAATCTTAAGTTAATACTGAGGTCATTTATTACACTTCATGAAATCGTCACCGTACAGTAGATGCGTCACCGTACAGATCTGATCTTTTTTAAATAAATACACTGAATGATTATTTGCCGAATATTCATCTGTTCTAAAATGTGTAGATAACAAATACATATTCTCATAAAAATAATCCATACTCTCAGACGACAGGGAAAATAATAACCAAACGAAAAGTGAAAAAACAACATTTTTCTCTCGAGTCGATTGTGTGGGCCGATCCAGTCAGAAAAAATCCGAGCAGTGCTCGAAAAACTTTTATCATAATTAGAAAGTTAAAACCATTCCTAAGAGAATGCTGTTTTTATTACACTCGAAATCGTATTTAGTTTCATCTAATTAATTTTTTTAAAACCCCCATTATAGTTTTTGCTTCAACTCAGTTAATTTTCGTCACCGTACAGAAAACTTTACTACTGTATTTTTTGACGCTGTACGGTGACGCCTGCTTACGCGATGGTTAGGCGTGTATATGTACGTATTTGTTACGCTTTGATTAAAAACTACTCACTGTACACAGTTCAAGTAAATTGCTCTTCTTAGTAATTTTCACTTTTTTTAAAGAGTCTTTCAATGAACTATTCAAATATCATTTTAGGTCCATATTTAATTCTCAAAATTTCAATTTCATAGGTATGGTAGCATTTACATATTGGCAGTGGCATTTACATACCTATCACTTAAATAGAATCAAACCCTTATAAGCAAAGTATATACTACCTGGGAATAAAACATTAGAATAAGCAATCAGTGAGTTACCTTCTGTCCCTATGCAGTGTTTCAAGTTCATCAAAATATCCATCAATGCATTCATTCCATTCTGTCCAATCAGCATGTAGACCACATGGCCACCTGAGGGATTTTTGGCCACTCACTATCCAAACATGTCCATTATTATTGATGCACTCACAGCGCTTTTCTCCTGGGCGGCACACACATCTTGGTGTCACATTTAGTGTTTCCACCAGTCTCGACTCAAAAGTTGTTCCTCCTGTTTTCTGGATGTGAAGTATGACAATAATTTTATTGCCATTTGGATCAAAATTGAATTTCCTATAAAGTGATGCAAAATTATGTTTTATCAAATTTATTCATTTCAAATACATACAAGGTACAAATAAAATATCATTTAGTATTAAAGTCTCAGATGGTGAACAAAAATCCCATTTTTCATGTTAATATTTTTCTTAAATTATGGAATACAACTGTACATGTATTTTTAGATTTGTTTTTGATTTTAAATCACCTTCAAATGGGTATTTTGCAGAATATTAACATGAACATGGACAACTAGGATTAAAAGCGTAGTACCTGTTTGCATCTTGTGAACTTTCATCTTTATATAGTAGAACATCTTTATATCCTGGTGGTTCATCTCCATACATGTGTCTTTGAGATTTTAGTCTGTCAAAATCATATGATATAAAAATGCAGACTAATATTATCATAACGAAAATAGTTATCCCAAATTGTCTGTCAGAGACCTGCCTCATTTTGCAAATAGGATTTCTGTATCTCATTTTCTTGATTCTTTTATTGTTATTAAAGGTACTATATTGTAATCAGCTTGATTGATTGGCTTTTCTTTGGAGGATCTAGTAATAAAAATGATACAAAAGCTCCATTTGAGGTGAATAAGATCAAAACTGCAAAATTGTATGTATTAGTAGTTAGAGGAAAGAAGAGTGGAGACTTTCAGGGTATCTGTTCATCTTACTGTTACATTCTTTTTTATTAATCAGCTCAATAATGAACCATATTGTTCAATGTGTGACTTGTCAATGTTAAACTTTTATGGTAGTGTTTAGACATTAACAAACCTTATAACATATGCTTTATAGCCTCCAGACTAATGGTTAACATCTAAATATATATGATGAAAAACTTGATCTTCTATAGTCCATTTCAGTGTTATATTTCTGTCAATAAAACCTTCAAAATAAAGAATAAATAAACCACAGTACAATATTACATCGAAAAATATAGTATCATATTGTACACAAATGACATTTATTTCAGATAAATTAGTTTTATGTGTGGTAAACCTGTATGCTCTTGTAATTTGAGGAGTTTCAGTCATGTTAATTTTTTTTTTAAATAACATGGCAGAGTAGCATCAAAATATAAGAGGCCATATATTTTAGTAACCAAACCACAAGCAATCTGAGTTGTACAAGGTGTACAATATAAATATTTTTTCCATATAATATTGCACTGTGGTAGCAAACAAATCTGTTTTACCCCATGTACCCTGTGTAAACAGGACATTCCATGGAAATACTCACAACCCAAGATTGGTTCTTACATTTTACACTTTCTATCCTTTCTCGCAAGTTTAATTTCAACATACAGTGGCACCCACTTTTACAGTTATTGGTTCTATTCATTTTGTAACCAAATTATTGTACAATTTCTTAGGGTTCATTCTGTGTCATATTATGAAATTATTGTGAGATACAAATTGCACAATTGACACTTTTCAAAAGTTTCTCATTATAATTATTTCTTGAATTTCAGAATCTGGAGACCTACTTTTGAATAAAAATGTTCCCTTTAATTTGTGTATCATAAAGACAAGTTTTATTGGTATATTTGCAGGTTATTCTGGTGTTGTCTACTTTGGGAGTTTTCTTGGCTTAACTGGAGTAGCTATGTGGGGTTTTACAGGAGTCTTTCAAAAGAGAAGGTAAGTAATAACTCTTGATAAGAGTTGAGAGTGAAGAGTGCATTTCATTTTGTCTTAATTGGGTTACCATACGAGGGTATATCATAAAGTTCTCATAATATCTCTCTAAATTTTTATTTTTCAACATATTCTCACGAAATTTTCATAGAATCTGCAGTATAGAATACTGTATTAAAGGCAGAATCAGATCTATAGGGGGTGACAAAATTACAAGCAACGTGCATAATTGACCTACCAATCTATTCCTTACAATATCTCCCAAAAGATTCACAATATGTTATAAATTGGTGAAGTTATTAATGATTCAAAGTGCAAAAATGGGTGAAAAATGTTTAAATTCTCCCAAATAATAAGAATGGTAACCATTCTTATAGAAAAATAATACATTATTGTAAAAATCTTTCATTTTCCTTGAATAAAGTATGCACTTTTGTGATTTTTAGAAAATAGACATGACAAGGAATGACATGAGCCAAAAATATTCTAAAATTGAAACAATTTTTTGTTTAGCCTGCTCGCTATCTCTGATTCTCTCTTTAATCTATCAAGAAATATTTGGTATAACAGAAATATTAGATAAGTAATGGTTGCCATAGTAACCGGAAATCAAGGCACCCGGGGCAAATAAAAATAATTGAGATATAATGAGCTTTATTAACCTTGTTTACATACATAATAAACTCTCATAAATTATCAAACACTAAAATGTTATCTTGAATATGTTGTTAAATGCTTTTACTATAAAATAAATTGAACATTTGAATTGTGTGATGTCATAGGGGATGCTTACATGCTTCATTAGATGTGATACCAGACTCTGAGAATCAAAGCTTAATGATCAGAAATGACTGAGTTAGATAATGCATAGATGCAGGGATCATCAGAACAATAATATTCATACTTATAAAACTTTTAGTTTAGTTCGAAAAATCCTTTGCTCATAGTAAAGATGATCTAAAACAAATATGGCTCAAATATACCAGAAAAACATTTCATTGTGAATGAATCCAAACAGTTATGTGTAATTAAACACAAATGAATAAAAGTGTGAATTATCAGCTAATGCACGAGTAGTTACAACTTTAAGAAAGCTAGTAGGGCATCATGATTTGATATAAATCACAGCTAGAAACAAAAAAGCAATGAAAATCTTTAGCTTCATTGATTTTTACAGAAGATGAAAACAATTATTAATAATTAAAGTACATTATTTTTTGAGAAATCAGCAACAATTAAAATTTAATTCAATTAATTTTTATATTTATAATGGATAAATGTATAGCTGCTGTTTCCTTAATGGATGAAATACACTTAGTATATTTGCATTTAGGGACTTTGAGGTCGAGATGCAAGATGGCCGTATTGCTGTGGCTCCCCTCCTTCTGGCTGAGCAGCAAAGGATGTAAGTATCCAACAGCTCATACATGTATTGCATTGTTTATTATCAGTATGCATTGCTTATGTGGCACATAAAGGAATGTTTTCTGTCTGTTTACTTAATGTTTACTGTGTTTCGCAAGATCTGAATTGTTCTTGATGGAGAACTGATAACAGTTCAGAGTTCCCAATCTGGTCCATTTTATCAATTTTGTTCATGAGGTAAATGCAAATTCTTCATGACTTTCATATTAATGTACATGTAACTTATTTTGTTCCTTGTTATTGCATGATCGGCAGAATTGCCCTTTACTAGTCAGTCCTCCCCTTGTAGTTTATTTTTGCCCTATGGAATATTGAAAATATTATACCTGGGTACATAATTACCTACTTAATTTCAACATGTTTTCTTCAAAATAATGAAACCTGGATTTTTATGCCTCCCCTACTGAAATTAGTTTTTTATCAAAATGACACTGATATATATTTTAAACATTCCCACATAAAAACATTTATTTTTACTCCAGCCTAATTGGAAATTGTTTTTGCAGGTTCCTTAAACAGCTCCGTAGCAACCGTGATGAAGAAGAAGAACTGATGAAAGATGTTGCCAACTGGAAAGTTGGTCACCTTTACAATGAGCCTGTTTACCACAATCTGAGTAACGTCTGGATCAAACCAGCTATTGAGGAATTTTATGCACATAACAAACGTCAAGACATGTTGAACAGAGCATATGAAAAGAACAGATTGCATTGATGACATATTGTTTAGGTTTTATATGAATTGTATAGACAGCTTAGGTGTGACAATGACTTCGAAAGGCATACATATTTGTGTATACTATATCTAGTACTGTATCTGTGATTATTTGGATGGTACGTTCATTGGCAATCTAGTTATTTTAACAAACTGGGGAAAGTTTTACAATATTCTCAGAAATGATTTTGTGGATTATCTTATTTTTTCACCAAAATTTGGCTGATATTAAATAAATTGATGATTTTAAACAAATATGCCAAATTAATCATGGGTACAGTATTAGAATCAATCTTGCAGCCTGATGTATCTTATTTGCCAATTGCTGACATTAGCAAAATTAAAAGACTCAAGCCTTGGCTGACCTCTGATCGGATAGCATATAAACATCTTTGGGACGATTTTATGTCTTATCAATCAAAATCAACAGATGAATAAAGATGTCAAATTGTAACCTTGGTTTACCTATAAGGTTGAAACACAATAAATTATTTACAGTAATGTTATATAGTGAATATAATTTTTTATTCTGTTTAATTTATTTACATGTGTCGGAAAGTACATATTTTATTGCACACATATTTATAAACAGTTTGCGGAAGACACATTGGCATATGAGAAGTGGACTGAACATTGTGTTGGGTTGATTTATTATCACAATTAAAATGGTCAAAACTATATTAAATACTAGAAATACTTGAAGAATGAACTTCAACAATCAGAGTACTTTTATAGCATTTATAGGCAGTGATCTTATTATGAACTCTGTCTAACTCTGCCAACAAGATTGATCATGATATTGATAATGTGACCTTGAAAATATTCAGTGAAATTTATTTCAGACTAAAGTCACAACTAAATATCTGACACCTTTCACAAACTGAAATATAAACTCATATCAGATAAGTAGCCTGAATTAACATGATTACATATATTTGTTAAAATGCTTTATCAATAGCAAGTTCAGAATTTATAAATGCCTTTAAATCAGAAACTTCCTCTACAATACTCATTGCAAGAGGAATACCAATAATTTTTCATGATTACTGAAATATTCATTGATAGTCTATATATTGAGTGTTCCTATTGGCACTGAGCTTTTCTGCAGTTTGCCAGCATCTGTCACTTGGTAGAGGTTGGTTTTCTTAGGAGTGAATTGATCCACATGTTCTGTACTAAAATGCCTGTCGCCTCCTAATGGTGGTTGTATGTGAGAGCGTCTCAGCTGAAAAACATAAAAAGAAAAAAATTAAATCACATTTGATGATGGCTGTAAGTATTCATGGTATGCTCTTTCAACAAGGATTATTTTTCCTCTGCATGTTAAGATTTTCGAAGAATCTACAGTACAATGACCACACTAGATTAAGAGGAAAATGGGGAAGATCAACAGGGTCTACGATGCTATGAAATGTCAGCTGAGTGAATGTGTAATTAGGGAGAATTTGAAAGGAAAGCAACATATACAGCTATCACTATAAACTATATATGAGTAGATATTGATCAATACATGTAAATTTTACTTACATTATCTATAGCCTCTGGGTTGGGGATGAGTTTGCCTTGGTTAGGGTCAGGGAAATCACTCCATGTGGTTGGTGTATTCTGCAGGTTGCCATAGTAATCTAGTGGAATTGAACTCTTTGAATGGTCCGTGTCCCTGTGAGATTTATAAGGTGCTTTATACTTGGGGGTATATTTATCATTCATTGTTGTCTGATAATATAAGTCATTATGTGTGGGTTCCCCAAACCAAACATTACTACTGGTTCTCTTGTTTGCTCCTGAGACAATCTTTGGTCTTCCATATTGTTGAATGTGCCCATGATAGAACCGATTAGTTGTCAAAGATGCTTGATCTGTCATGCGCTTGGGATCATAATCACCAATTGGGAAATCGCTATGGTTACGGTGTTGGGTAGGTCTGTTTCTGTCAACTGAAAATCAGGAGAGAAACTATTTTACATAACAGTATGATTACCGTACATGCTTGTTTATGATGCTGTATGTTAATGCTGAGAAGATTTTTTATGAGTGTTTTAAAATATCAGAAGTGATGTATCAGGGTATACATTATTCAAAGATACAATGATAAAACTGTGAGAATATAAACAGGAGTTTTAATGGAATTCCTAAGTATTGTTTTTTGACTCAGTAATTTCCACAGTAAGAACAATCTGACAATAGATGCAGAATTAGGCTTGAAAAAATAAGTGAATGTGGTACTTACTGTTAGGTCCTAGTGCTCTGTATTGATCTTTTTGTTCACTTTGGTATGTCCCCCATTCATTATGACCACCATCTTGACGGAAATTTGTTCTTTGCAGTCGACCCATAGTTGCAGCTTTGTTGTAAGGGTCTAACTTTGAGAGGTCTCTTGCTGGGTAGGAATCCTGCTGTTCCGTCATCTTGACATTCTCCCTATCCATATCACCTTGGGGTATATTAGAGCCAATGGGCTGAAAGTATAAACAGTAGTCATGTAGATGCAAGATTTAATATTCAGTAGTTATCTGGTTAAAATTGATGTGTTAACATTGATCAAAAGCTTGAATATTTCTTAATGGCCCCCTTAATTGTTCTCAATTCAGTTACATAAATTCAATAGGCCACAACATGTAGAAAGCCTACAACAAATATTTATAGATATCAAAAAGCTTTAATATAAATTGTTTGTTACTTACAGCTGGCAATGCTGGTAGTTTTGGCTGCCATTGCCCTCTGTAGATGTCATTATGTGTTGTATCAAAGTGATGAAGTCTGTTATCTCCCTTTACAGTTGGTGGTCCCTCATAATGGTCAGATTTAGCTTTAACAATTTTATTCTCATTTGCATCATGTCCTCTGTAGCGATCTCTATAATCTGAAATTGGTTGAGGGGCTTTTCCTATGTCGCCTTGTGGGATAAAGCTCTCCATCGGGTTTTGTTTTGGTCCTGCTTTTTGGAATCCAGGTCCAACTTTAGGAGGAAATTCCAGATCATGTGTTGTGTCAAAGTTACAAAATTTTGTTCTATCAGAGTCCATTTTGAAGTTTGTTTTACTGAGAGCATTATGTTGATTTCTAAGTTCAGGTTTGTTAAGGTGTTTTGCCTCATATGCTAGTTTAGTCTCAGAGATTTTATCAAAGAAATGACCACTGTCTTTGTGCATAATATCTGCAGGGGCTGGAGGTTTAGTTGCACCTGGGCGCCCATCAAATGGATGTGGAACATAGTCTTTCTTGAATATACTTTTGAAGGCTCCACCTGTGACAGATGGTTCCTGTGATATTTGGAAGTGAGAGGAAGCGAGAAAATCCGTTCCTGTTTTTATGGGTGGCATCATTTTATTGTCATTTGCCCTGTCAAAGCGCACTGCTGAGACTCCTGCCATCTCTTTATCTGAAAAACAAGAATGCAATGTCAATGTATGTACAAATACTGTATAGACTCTATTTGATATATCATGGTTTTACTGCTAGTCTGTGTAACTGCTCTGATGTACCAGTAGACTCTACAGCTACTCCCAACATCACACACATAGAAGCATCATGAGAATCAATCAATCACAGGTAGCACTGATATGAGATGCTTAAGCCAGATCTATCATATACAGGGTACCCCATATACATATTGACTCAGATCTGACATAATCAACTCCTAGAGTAGTGCTACAAGCCCGGCTACAAGTTCCTGTGCAATCAACCAATCATGGAAAGTGAGAAGATCCCCATAATACAAGCCTATATAAATGTCACAGTATATCAGAAACCTTAAATATCTGTGAATCAATTGAATTGACAACCACCAAATGCCATAACTCACAAGTAAACATTGATTCTGAAACACATAGTAAATTTTCATCCCTACCGTATTGCTTATTATGCCAGAAATTGCTTAGAAAATCTGTAGTGTTGTGTCAAATGGTATCCAAAATTACAATGAATCTAATGTTTTGTTTACATATCTCCCAGGTGACCACCATATATGTGGCGCTTCATACTTCCGGGTTCAGAGCTCTTCATGGAGAAGGCGATAAAGTTATTTTAAAAAATTAAAATGGCAAGTCGCCTTGAAATTAACTTTAGACGGCTTTTAAAGCGATGTGAACACATGGCAACCGAACAAAGGCACGACGATTGGCGATTAGAAAAGGTAAATTAAGTCTGGGAATGCTGAATATTCCCATTGGATCTCTTTATGACAAAAAAACTGCAAACTAAAAATCATGATAAAATGACCAATTTTGTTGGAAAAACTATCCAGAAAATCAAATTTGGAAACGTGGTGATTATTCAAAATTTAGTTGTCGAAAGTACACATACAGTACATGTATCATCAAAAATGTAAAATTATCCCTTTCATCTTTATGCATGGCATTAAAAATCCTTTTATGTCGGGCCACATCTTACGTCTGCTGTATCCATATGGACTCAGGTTACTCAGACTAGCCTCTAGCCCAGGGTTTGGTTTCCAGTTCCAGTTAACGAAGTTTTATAAGAAAATAACAAAGGACTTTATATATGTATGTTATATTCATTGTAATTCAAATTGACGTAATTGTACAAAAATTGAAACTCAAATAGATCTACCCTAAATTGGATGGAGAGAAATAAATCTTGATTTCTTAGACTGGAGATAGGATTGATCCTACCTATATGCTTTCTAGTACAGTATACCTCGTAGAGCTGAAAAATCCCAAACAGGATCTTTTTGTTGCTGTGTTGAATAGGCCTCTGTTTCCTCGACAGTTAGTCTCGTGTACTATATATTCACTTTGTGCTCTCTCATGCGATTAAAGGGACAACAAGGACTGTAGAGAGAAAATTCGAAATTTTTTATTTTTTCTAAGCTATCAGGTCAATATATGGCTTAAGGTGCTATGGAAGTTAACAGGAAATGACGAAACAGGAAGTGATGAAAAAATTTGCATTTTTAGACATTTTTGAACAAAGATAACAGAGTTCTGGTTTGACCTCCAGTCAATTTAACTATTTGCACATATCATTTACACAGGGCTTGCATTAACGGCGTCCCGTACATGTTAAGGACTCAAAAATAATTTGGAGGACGCAAAAATTGAAAATATTTCCGTTTTTTGGACGCAACATTTTTTTAAGGTCAATACTACAATGTGTTTACAACGATACCTAACAAAAACAAATAATTATGATCTCTCACCTTTATTTGAATCGTAAATAAGGCTCAACATGTTGAATATTTACAAATAATCATGATTCTCTCGAATTTTTTCGACTTTGTTTATTTTTAGATTTGAAACCATGACACGCCACAGTTTTTACTATTCAGAAACAAATATTAGGTTATTCATGAAATAAAATGTATTCATTGTCGAATGAACGAACATGCATTTATTCAGTCTGTACTTAACGTTTACTTCCGTTTTAAATTCGCGGCAAGAAATTAAAAACTGAAAAGGCCTGAAAATATGACAAGTAAGGTTAGAACATACATTCCCGAATGGGAAACAGAGTTCGATTGGTTACAGCCAGTTAGGAAAGAAAACTCCCAATATTATTATCGGAATGAAGTGTTTCATTTGTACGCGATGTTGTGTTGAAGCAAAGACAATCATGTGACAAAATTAACTTCAAGGTGTTTTGGTAAAAAATGCTTTTAAAATAAAGTTATACCTCAAAACAGGCTAGAAATAGGAGACACACTTTTTTTCAAAGGACACACTTTTTTAAAAAAATTGCGTCCTTGGGACTCACAAATTTTCTAACCTAATGCAAGCGCTGATTTACATGATCAGGATCACAATATGCATGGTCAGAATGACCCTAAACATGATGAAAGAACCTTTTTAGCCCTTTGAAAGTGTGACTGAAAAAAAGCTAAAAGTAGGAGGAAGGTCACTGAACAGAATCTTTTGAATTTTTCAGAAAATGTGCCGTATATAATGCTCTAACTGATACAATCTTTGAAATTTTAGAAAATTGTCTTAAACAAAAATGGCGGTCATAAAAAGGAAAATAGATCGCTTTTCAAATCAGTTTTTTCATTTTTTTTATTTTTCTATGAATGATATCAAATATTCAAAAATTGTATCATTTAGAGCAATATATTGGGCACATTTCCTAAAAAATTCAAAAGATTCTGTTCAGTGACCCTTCCTACCTCCTACTTTTAGCTATTTTTCAGTCACATTTTCATAGGGCTGAAAAGTTTATTTCATCATGTTTAGGGTCATTCTGACCATGAACATTGTGGTCCTGGACCTGTAAATGGTATGTGGAACTAGTTGAATTGACTGGAGGTCAAAATAGAACTCTGTTATCTTTGTTCAAAAAAATGTCTAAAAATGCAAAAAAAATTGTCACTTCCTGTTTTGTCATTTCCTGCTAACTTCCATAGCACCTTAACAGCTTCTTAACAGCTTCTTTGACATACCTAATAATGTATTTTATTAAAATGTATAGATGAACTATCAATTTCAGCATTAAGAAGTGTAAATTTGGTTAAAATCTCCTATAAAGGGAGTCCCACTTATAATTTCTAAGATCCACCACGTTTCAAGAGGAATATCAGCTGAAATAATGTTCATCCAGGGTTGAAGAGTGCAGAAAGAATTTTATTGTTATTTTAATATTTTTTTTATTTATTTACTAAATTTATCTAATATTACATTTACAGGATTGCCACTAGATACCCATAAGAGGGTATATCCATGCAAATTATCAAAAGTTGTAAAAAAACATAAAAATGTACAATTTTTATGTAAAGCAAGAAATACATAACATTATATTGTATGTGGATATATTCCAATATCTGTAACTGATTTTTGATCAATATAATTTAGAACTTCACAGTTTTTCACCAAACCTACCCTGAACTCAGGAATATGAGAAAATACTCATTTATACTCACTTGTCACTCAAATATCAAATTTTGCTATTTAAATATTGAGCATATAACTATATTTGTTTCATTCTTAGTTCTCACTAGGGTTTCTACATTCCCATGTGTTGGTGAAAAGTGCATCTATAACTATGCCATTGAATTGCTTAATCATATGTCTGCTGTCTATCTTCCTTTGTCGACAAAAATGTAAAGTGCAATTTGTCTAAAATAATTCTCACATACCGTATACCAGTTTTATGGGTCACTTTAACATCAAAATATCATATATAGTCCTATCATTTGTAATACGTAATCCAAAGCAAATACTGTAAAATGGGTATTGTTAGCGAGGGGTAATTGTTACCGATTGTTAGCGATCGCTATAGTTTCGCTAAAAATTCAATTCGCTAAAATAAACCGGGGTTAAAATAAACTGGGCGCTAAAATTTGCAAATTCCCGGGAAACTACATGAATACTAGTATTTAAGGAGCTTTTCGTTCAGTGCTCGATTTCCGATTTTCAGATGAGATTACAGTAGTTTGGACCAATACCATGTGCGTTAGAAGTCTTACATTTTGATAATTCCTCTGTCACGTCCGTTATTCATTCTTCTGCCATAAATGATAAAATTTCTAATGCATTTCGCTAATTTGATTTTTAAAAGATTAATCTTCATTTCGCTAAAATTTCCCGCGCTAAAACCCCCTAAAATTGAAAAATCGCTAAAATTTCCCGGTGTCAGAATTACCCGTTTTACAGTATATAGTGCAATTGTATTGAAGTTTTGAATTATCACTGTGAGTAGTCTGAGGTTTTAAAGATTTCTTTGGGAATTCTATAATAAATTGCAAAAAGTTGGGAATCTTTTAGTTTGGAGTATAGTCAGGTTTCATTAAGGCTGTTTTCTACCTTCGCAAACAAACACTATCTTATAATAATTTTACAATTAAGTCCTAGATAACAAGCACAGGTTAACTTTTCTTTATCAGAAAGATGTGTTTACAAAGGTGCTTTTCCTCACTTTATAACTACTAAGTATAGCCCTGGTTCAGGAGGTGTAAGGCCTGTAAGGTATGGGAATTAGCAAGATTTACTACTTAGAAGACAGTTACAATGAGGTATAGGTCCCCCCAAAATAAAATTACTAGTATCTTTGATGACCCCCTCCCTTTGCCCACACTGACAGATTTTACAACAGTTGCTCACCATCATAATCTTTTGCTTTATCTTTCATCTATTTTTGTTCATACTAATAATACTCAGTCCTGGATTAAATCCTGTAACTTGATTCTGAAAGGTGATCTGAGCCTTAGATATGTAGATACCACTGGGTGCTTGGTAGGTTTTCAAGTTCGAGGTACAATAAAAATAGAGATTCTCCATCCTCTCAAGTGCATTGTGTTGTGTTAGCAGGTGCTTGCTAGCAATTAAGATGCAGAGCTAATCTGCAATAATTCATTCCGTTCTCTTTTGCCTTGGTATATTCACAGGTAGTAATCAAACAGCACTCTCATGCAAAATCTGCAGATTCTGGTAAAAGTTGAAAAGAAAAGATTTTGAGGTTTGTTTCAAAACAAAGGATCTATTTTGTAAGTTCATCGACCTAGCTTATTCTTGTTAGTACATGTATATTTAGTTAGCTAGAATGTGTTTCACATCATCTGTGTGTTTTAGATTGACTAGGTTGTTCGTGAGACTGCACACAAATTGACATCTCAACTGTGTGCCAGTTTATAAAGAAATTTGAGATAAGCTTTTGTAAGCCATGAGTGAATAGAGTAAGTAAATATGTGATCCATAAACAGATAGGTTTTATGACCTACCTGTATGTGCTGTTTACTCTCTGTCTTTTTACCCAGATCGTGGGGATTTCGCAAGAGAGTGCTGTTTGATTACTACCTGTGATATTTGTCACTTTAAAGATATTAGTAAAAACATTTTGAGGTGCTGGATTTTGTGTGATTTCAATCAAAACTTCCAAAATTATTCTCAGTTTACAAAACCCCTGTTGAGGTCATTGTGTTATGAAGTTAGCTTTGCTATTTTCTGTTTCCAGTATGTGTCTGCACTTAATGATCAACTCACTGAAATAAGAGGATCTCCTACAAGGTGGGTACTTACAATAGACATTTTCTAGTTGGAAATAAAATATTTTTCATGTACTTCCATTTGAATAGATACAACAGACAGTGGACAGTGACATCTTTATTTCAGAAAAACTAAAGGTTTTTACAATTATCCTTTTCAGTCGTCCTGATGCTGACACATTGGGGGAGTATGTGAGAAAAGTGGAATTTCTAAAAGGATTAATTGAAGCCGAGAAAAAGGTAATTTAATCAACAAAATATAAATGGCATAAGAATGATATTATTAAATGTACTGTAAATTATAAAGCACAGTTGTGGATCTGGAAGTTGGCAAAGGACAGACAAAACATTTATTCTGAAAATCCCTTCACTTCCCTTTGAAAAAAGTGGACCCTTTTTGAAAATGTGGGACCATTTTTTCAAAAGTTTAGGTTATTATTTCAAATGAGGTCCACTGTCTGAGCCATAGATGCAATATGCACCATTGAACATACACTGTACTACCTCCACATTTTTGTGTCACTCTGTATATGTTAAATTGGTGATGAAATCTTATGATCATGTGTATAGAACTGATAACTCTGTACTAAGTCTGTATAACTGTATAATCGGTTCATTTAAATGTACTTAGTGCTTTTTGTGTACTATGAATCATACACGTCTATTTGTAATCATGTAATATGGAAACTAATTGATGAAGTAAATATTGTTCTAGTGAGGGAACTGTATAGAAATATAGATGAGTTATGTTATAAATCAAACCAATATCATGATCAGTTGGAACATGACTAATGGTACTGACTAATTAGCAATATACAATGTATGAATATTCTATAAAGAATGTTTAGACCTTTTAGTTAAACTAAAACCATTATTTTTATATATAAAATAATCTATCACATAATTTATCCGTTTTTGTATTTCATAGCTACATGTAAATACAATGAGAACAACAAAACATCATCATCACATCAAGCATTTATCCATCTACAAAATTTCATTCTGGTGTGCCAGAGCCCCTCTTATCTGCCATTTGCACTTTGGAAGGGTAATGACAAAGAGGGTGCAGCTATCGCGATGGCAAAATAAAATTCTAAACAAAAAATTTGATATTCCTAGACAAATACATCTTAAAACGTATGATTTCCTCTTTTTCCAGTCATCATCCAGTGAGAAATCTCAGGCAACCCAATTCCTTGCACCTGGTACATTGTCTGCCAGTGAGACTCTAACCACTAGTAAAGAGGCTCATATACAAACCAAGTCACGTTACCAAGGGGAAATGAGGGATGAGTTGCTAGGCAACACACCAGGTAGATTTGTTGTGTATTCCTAGAGATAACATTGATAGATTGCTCCTTTGATACTAAATTAGATGGAGAATCAGAGATAGAGAACAACATTTTTGTTTATTTTTTGCATACCATTCATCATTAAACATAATATTTTCCTAAATATCACATCACTTATACATATCATAGAAATACAGAATTTATAGTATTTTCTCATGAAAATAAGCTTGGATACCAACATTTACTAGGTAAACCACTAAAAACAGTGATCAAAAGAGATGTCATGGAACAAAAAAAATAAGAATGGTTCGGTTTGGAACGGAACAATTTTAGAACGGTTTGCTCTTCGAAACTGTTCAATGAGAAGGAGTGAAAATAATGAACTTCTTTTGGTGCAAAATATTGAAAGGAAAATGCTGCTTTGTGACGATTTAAAGGCCACATATGGTGAAAGGGTAAGATTTTCTTGTTCCTGAACCAAACCAAAATTCTTAATTTTTGTACCGTTCCGAGAGCGTAATTCCGTGAGTCAGAACAAAATCAGGTATCTGTGACACCTCTAGTGATCAATATCTGTAACAGATCATTTTCAATGATATATTTGGAATGGTAAATGTCTTGTGTGATTGGAAATGTATGTTAACATCAATGTTATTTACAATTATTACCCACTTTATCTTTGGTTCTGGCTTAAATAAAGGGATACTTTAAAAAGTTATTTAAAATTAATCCAGAGCCACAAGAAAATGGTGTCAGACAAAGAGTGAAGCTTGAAGAGAATGAAGATATTGACCAAGTGGTAGCACATCACAATAAGATACAAGAGAGAGTGGCAGAAGAGATGCTGCTCCTGGCAGGGAGATTGAAGCAAAATGCTACATCTGCTCACCATATTATAAAAGATGATACAAAGGTAATTGTTGATTGCAGAACTGTAGTATGTAAACATGATGTCTTTAGAAGCTAGGTCAATTATCAAAAGTAATTTTGTTAAGTGGGGATGGGGGTATTTTCCACATTTTAGAGCTTACATTTTGAATTAAAATTTACAATCCCAATCTGCAACATCATCTTACAGCATTGTTAAGCACTGTGTAAACAGTACTGAACAGTGCAGTTGGAGCACTGCGAGACTACATAGGTTTCTAACTTGTAGGAGCCTTCCAGGCCTTTTTCAGACAAAATACATGCAAAAAAATGAATAAGCATTCAAATATGACATTTTTATTGCAGCGATTAGGTGATTCAACAAAATTAGCTGATAAAAACTATTCCAAATTAAAAGTTGAAAGCGAGAGATTAGAGGTGCATACAAAGAAGGGCTGTAATTGGTGGATGTGGGCGATGATTTTAATCGTCTGTATGACATTCACTTGGATGATTCTATTTATGCGAATGTTCCCAAAGAGATGACAACATTCCCTAATATGGAATAACAGTAATGCAGTAATTAATTTGGTGGATGTTTCATTGAGGAAGTATCCTTTATAAAGTAGATTGGGTGGAAGGTGAGGGGGACGGGTGTTGTTACTATTTACTTTTTTCAATATTTTTGCAATTTTATTTCAGTGACTAAATGATATTCACTATTCAATTTAGTGTAAAAATGTTATATGACTACAGTTACCAAGAGTTACAGAGAAACAGTATTGGATTATGTGATTTTGAAACTACTGTACAGTGTTCTAGTCCAGAGAGTTTTCTTTGTACAAATAAGAACATTTGCGGTTTGGGGATTTATGACCTATAAAAATATGTTATCGATTAATTTTATTGAAAGTAATGTGTGATTAATGTGACAATTATTAACATGAGAAATATTTGGTTTGTAATTATCATAGAATATACAGAAACAATAACTTGAAAATAATCAAACATGTACCATAATCATTTTGACATTTGTCAATGCCTTTATAAATTGCCAACCCTTTCCAAAATCCCAAGGAATGGAAACATTTTAAAAGGTTACTGCATTGTACATGTTGTAATTACATGTATTAAGAACACCTTCAGTATGACTGACAATTATTTCCCCTCTGGAACCAATTTCTCAAAGACTTCAGCTAATATCACATTGACGATGGCATGACTATGGTTTCTCAAAAGACTTCAGCTAATATCACATTGACGATGGCATGACTATGGTTTCTTAAAGACTTCAGCTAATATCACATTGACGATGGCATGACTATGGTTTCTTAAAGACTTCAGCTAATATCACATTGACGATGGCATGACTATGGTTTCTTTAAGACTTCAGCTAATATCACATTGACGATGGCATGACTATGGTTTCTTAAAGACTTCAGCTAATATCACATTGACGATGGCATGACTATGGTTTCTTAAAGACTTCAGCTAATATCACATTGACGATTGCATGACTATGGTTTCTTAAAGACCCCAGCTAATATCACATTGACGAGGGCATGACTATGGTTTCTTAAAGACCCCAGCTAATATCACATTGACTATGGTACATGTACTTGTAATCCAGTAGAGGTGTTGACCTCCTGATGATCTGGTGTGTGTAAACTTGTGAAAATTAATACATAAAACCATGACAAAGCACTATAATGCTATAGGTAGTGAGTGATACAAAAACTTGTAATAGAATAGAGGTCTAAGGGATGATGTCTATTTGTCCACAGTTCTGGAACAATATGAATACATATGTTAGGAAAGAAGGAGTTTTGATCATGAAAAACATTTTTCAAGTGAATTTCAAATAAACATCATATCAGCTTGATATTTGCTTATATGGCAGAGAAGGATTAAACTACTTAAAAATCAAAACTGTTGACATTTAGACATCACCTTTAACTTGGAGATGTGCAATCTAATGTGTTCATTTATGAAATATCTTTGATTTAAAAGATGGCAGTATAGTTCTAACATAGCTGGTGCTTACATACACTTGTCTCAGACCCCCACAAAGTATATGTCTAGACTCCATGTACAATGTACTGTTAAATCTTCACAAAAATATGACTAAATAAAAAGAGTATCCAGCAGTGATGTCTATTAGTGATTTTCTGGTTTATACTGTATTTGTGTCAGTATGTAAAAACAATTACCACTTTGAAAACAATATTAACATGTGAAAGATGATAATTTGTTTCTGTTGAGTTACTTTTATGGAAAGGGTCTGTGTGCAGGCCCACAGCCAGGGGGGGTTGGGATTGTTGACGCCCCCTTCACCCATTGACAAACAAACAACCATTTTCATGATTTCTATCTCGAAATTCTGTGCCTCAGATGCAAACACGGAAGCAGATTGTACCATTTATACATTCTTAAATATGCTTAGAATGGCACAGAGTGCATTTTAAAGTAAAAAGTTCCAGGGGGCTCTCCCCTGTTTCCACTTGTTGCTTGGCCTGCTGCATTGCTGATCTGACCCAATTTCACATGTCAGCTCCCCTTGTAAATACTGGTTAAGTGAATTTGTATTGTAAATGGTAAACATGCTCAGGATCCTTTATGGAAAGGGGGACAAGCTGAGGGGCTTCTCCTGCGGGAGACCATGGGATATAGTTGATATGAATACTTTGGTATCACATGTCCTCACATAAAACAGTCAACCTACCAGATTCAATAGTTTTCGTTCAAGTATCTGAATTCTTTTTATGCATTTTTTGTGTCTGTTCTTATGAGATCTTGTGCACACTTTGGTTCATGATTTCTGAAATTCAATCATCTTGATTTTGCCATAAACATGATTGCATAACTGCAGTTTACAGTATTGTCTAGAAATCAAATCTTGATGCGTAATTTTGTTGGCTCTGATGGTACACATGTTAAGTGAAGTGGAAAGAATACCCCTCCAATTTGAAAATAATGAGGTGTGGGATGCATACTTTACACTATACAGAAGTACACAGAAATCAGACACTTCCTTTTAAATTGACTGGAATCACCATGAGAAGAATGTTGTTTTATGAACTGGTAATCTTTATAGCAGACTTGGTTCCATCTGGTCTATTATCTCATTCCACAGGTATGAATAAGCTCTCTTGGTTATATAACACTGATCCCTGTGTAAACCCAGTTACATTTTCAATGAAATGAAAAGTAAGCATGGTAAGAAATTACCCACATTTGTGGAATAAGCAATTAAAATTCAATTTCGTCTCAGTCAAGGAATGAATTGCAAATTAATTATTCACAGGTATAGCAAATTACAAATTAGGAAAGAATTAATGATTAAACATAGACAGCCATGTGGTTTTGAAAGTCCATGATTCCACATAGAATAATGATCATTTTATATACAGCAATTGAATAAAATACTGTAAACCAGATAATTATCACTTGCAATTTTTTCACATTTTTAAAAACATGATATCCCAAATAATTTTGTCTCAAGGTTATATGGATTTTAAAAATTGAATGATTCAAATATAATTGAGGATACTGTTTAAATCATATGTTTAATAGTGGTGCAATATTCTCAGCAGGAAGCATGAAGAATTGAGTGTAACCAACAAGAAGTCGTGACAAATTGTTATTTACCACGATTTTGTGACTTGCATTTGTAATTTGGCATCACAATGGTTCATAGTAGGCATCTGAAACAAAATGTTACAAAAGAATTTTTGTTTGATTATTGAAGGCATGTTAAAAAATGATTTGAAATTTTACATATGGCATTTTAGATTTTCATTATGTCGTTTTGTTTTGACCTCCAGGTTTTTGTAACTGGTGCTCAGCATTAACATTTGATGTCTTGAGATAACTTGAGAAGTCATGTTCAGATTGACTTAGGGTGTGTAATAATTTTTTTGTAATATAGAATGAATTCAAGCTATAACTGAAGAAGCTAAGGTTAGATTGACTTTTAATTCATACAATGAATGCTTAGAGATATTTTACAAGAGTATTCAGATTTAAAGAAATATATATATATAACCCAAGCAAAGCATTTCTATTTTGAATTGTGGGACTTAAAATACTTGTTTTGATAACTGGGTAATTTATGGTCAGATTTATTCTATACTCACTTGAAAGCTATAATGTGGTAATAAAGGATACAATACTTTCAACGAAATTCACAGTGATCACCTCATGTGTATTATAGACACCTTCACATTTTAGGCAATGCTTACCATGGCCATGAAATAAGAGATTGTCATTGTTTCTAATTTAAGTAGACAACAGCACAGTTATTTTCCAAAGTCAATTAGCATTTTTCAAAATTAAAAAACAAATATATAACCAGGACTGCAGTATCAAGTATTTAATAAAAGGAATGCCATGCCCAAGTTTTATTATAATGCTTGGTAATATAACATATAAGACCAAAATAGTAATGTGACAATGATTACAATCAGTGGTCAGGGGCTGTAATACTAGTATAGGGAATATTTGGATACACTCCTTTTTAAAGGGGTCCCATTACAGTTAATATAACATTGGAAAGAGAAAGAGGAAACACAAACAAACAAATATATATTTTAGACTGCACAACTTTAATCTCATGATCCTCATTCCTAGATACGAAAATACTATCTAGATATGTATTTAATAGTCTTCATATTTACATTGTTTTTCATCCATTTATCATAAGATGAGTCTCACATTTTACAAACTTAGAAAATCTCATTTAAATATAACTACTTCTTATCTACACATGTACGCTGTAGTTCAACATATTTACAATCCTATTTACAGTTTTGCTGTAGTTTTATATTGCTGTAATTGTTATATTTCAGCAAATTTATTTCCATCCATGTTTCAACTCTGTGAACAGTTCTGTACAAAATTAATATATAGCAATAAATATAAGAAATTTTGCTATATTAACTAATGTACAGGCAGGTTACTTCCTGCGAAAGCTATTGGATTTTGATATAATAGCTTTCCCACGGAGCATTTGGACAGCTCAATGATCGTGACCTTTGAAATCGAATTAAGTCGATCCGCGGCTTACTTTTGGTCTCTAACTGTGTCTTACATCAGTATCATCAATCCGTGTAAGTATCGGAGCGCTGGAGTACTTCTTTTTCGATCAAGACTTGTAATTGTTAGTCGAGTGAATCGTTTTACTGCCAAATTCCAATATGGCGGTTTCTGCTCGGACATTTTCGTAAATCTCCGGAGGTTGTACAAACCTAACTAATTCTCAAAATTCATTTCGTTCGTTGCGTATCTCGCACCTAGCAAACCGCCATATTGGAAATAGGTCTAAAAAACTTTCACTCGATGAACAATTTACAAGTCTTGATCGAAAAAGAAGTACTCCAGCTGATGTAAGACACAGTTAGAGACCAAAAGTAAGCCGCGGATCGACTTAATTCGATTTCAAAGGTCACTATTGATGAGCTGTTCACTTCTCCGTTTGAGAGCCATAAGTTTCAAAATCTAACATGGCTCTCGAAGTGAGTAACAGGGAGGCATAAAGTATCTAGATAAAAGTGATTGATATATATTTGAAACCTGATGAAATAACTGGTGACCTATACATGTATAACCAATCAGCTATCATATATCTATTAAATTTACATTAGACTGTAAAAAACACTTTAACATGGAAAATCCTTTTAGGTTAATAAGCAAAAATAAATTATTGCTTTAAACATTGAGGTACAGAAATTCTGTGTGTCTGTGCTTAAAGGGTTAAAGCACAAATTTTAAAAGTAATAGTAAACAAAATATTGAGAACAATGTAATATAGTTAGTAGTAAGAAAGTTTCCTTCATGCAGATGTTTTGCAAACAGACTGAAATCTTATATTGATCATTACTAACATTTGCGAAGGCAATAGCCACTGTAAACATTACATAAGTCAGCATTTCATTCATTGTCATTTTGGGGTAGCCAACACAGGCGATGACAATATGTGTACACTTCTATAGTTAGTTCTGAGCCCTTTTCCTTATATGGTCTGATAATGTAGAACATTGGAAGATAATATTGTTTGCATTGCCCCTTTCCTTATATGGTCTGCTCAACATATATCTATTCATTTCATTGTTTGATAATGTAGAACATTGTAAGATAATATTGTTTGCATTGCCCCTTTCCTTATATGGTCTGCTCAACATATATCTATTCATTTCATTGTTTGATAATGTAGAACATTGGAAGATAATATTGTTTGCATTGCCCCTTTCCTTATATGGTCTGCTCAACATATATCTATTTATTTCATTGTTTGATAATGTAGAACATTGGAAGATAATATTGTTTGCATTGCCCTTTTCCTTATATGGTCTGCTCAACATATATCTATTCATTTCATTGTTTGATAATGTAGAACATTGGAAGATAATATTGTTTGCATTGCCCTTTTCCTTATATGGTCTGCTCAACATATATCTATTCATTTCATTGTTTGATAATGTAGAACATTGGAAGATAATATTGTTTGTATTGTAATATCTAACCATTTCAAGGTATAATTGATCTCAGAGCAGGTTCAATTTTCTATACAATAATTTCATCTGCTAAAAGTACCTGTATTGATATTTATAGATTTCTATAATGTTGTATGACATACATCATCATGCAATCAATAGAAAATGTGTTTTTTTACTTTTGATCACTCTGATTATGTTTTTGTCAAAATTTCAAAGACTTTTTTGCCCTTTAGAGTAAAATGATATTACTCAGTATGACAGTATCATTTATGTATGCAAACTATATTGCAAGATGGCTCTAGTATATACAGTTTGGTATAAATGATTATAGAAAGGTTTTGCGTAGTATAATAGCCATTGCCATTTTTTCGACCTTTCTCCAATATCTTCAGTAAGCCAGAATGTATAATCTAAAGACATGGTTTAATTACAGAAATGTTCCTCCACTCTCGATTGGCATTTTTTACACACCACCCTACAGCACCAGAAGAATGTACAGTCACATTCTTCAGAAACTGTTCTGACAATTGTATGGTAGCCCCTCCCACAGCACATGAGGGCACATCCATCAAGACCTTGGCTTGACTTATTACACAGTCTGTCCTTGGTGCCTAATGACCCAGTTTCAGGGTTATATTCACAAAAATCAGGAGAATCATCAATATAAACTAAGTCTTTCTTTGTTGGCTTTTTCTGGTTTTTCCCAATGGGTAGCAGCCTGTTTTTCTTTTTGCTGAATTTAACCTGGCTTGCTCCATCAAATTTTTCTTTTAGAATTGATCCGACCTCTTTGAAATTTCCCATAGATCTCCAGCAGATCTTTTGAGAACATGAGCCTGATATGCCGTGACATTTACATATTAGCTTTGTGCTGGCCTTGATTGCCTGAAAAACATTACAAAATTCTTCTTTATGTCATTTATTCTTAAATGGGAAAACATCTGATATGGGGATATACACATGCATGCAACTCTTTATATCTTTATATTCTAAAAGACAAATTACTCACAATGTGAAAACTTTTTTCAAGCTCTCAATTTATTATAGAAAATCAAGTTTGTTTCAAAGTCTATTGTTGGTGCGAGTTACAGGTAATTCTGATTTCTTTTCCAATTATGGTTTATTTTAGGAGTAGAAACAGGCACAGAGCCCTTTTAAGAAGAAATGACAGATAAAAAGCGAATGAAAGTTGATCAGATATATTCTTTGAGGCCTATTGACTGAAAATATTCCAGAATGCTATTTTTCTCAAACAAAAATAATCTGAATTTTGGTTTCAGATGGAATGAAATCATTCAAATATAAATGAAAGATTATCACCGGATGGAGATTGATCAGATATTCTCTTTCAAGTTGTTTTCAATGAAAATGAAAATATTTGAATCAGGCATGTATAACATGCCTGATTGGTATGATCCACCCTCATCCATATCTTATCTGAACATTTTTGCTTTAGAAATGTGACCATGGTTAAGATAGATTAGTAGTATAGATAGTCTTGTACCAAGGCCCTGCAGCACTTGCAGATCTGGGGGGCGACTTTTGTTTCACATTTGTCTTTTTGTGCCACATTTTCAGAAATAAGCCTAATTTTATAGAAAATGGGTACTTTTGAAAAAGGGCCTCATTTACTAAAAAAGGGTTTAAATTCTGAAAAGATGAACTTTATTTTCTAAATATGGAGCCAAATTGGTTTAAAAACATATATAGTCCTCATAAATCCCTTGTGTTTAATAGAGAGAGAATAAAATGGAGATAAGGAACTGTTAGTGAGCTTTACGCAAGATCTTGGTTTTCATGGCTTTAACAAGAGAAGTTTTCTGACTTCACAGTCTGATTGAATATAGGCTCGATTAAAGAATTTTATCTGATTTATTTAATGTAAGTGGAGCTCTTGAGAAAGGATAAGATACACTAGACTCACCTTTCTTCCGGCCTCATTATTCCAGGTGTTCATTAGGCCATCTTTTGTCAATCTGACTTCCTGTGCATCAACCCATTCTTTCGTGAACTTGTCTCCATATTTTATGTTATGCGAGCATCCACCCCATTTGAAATCTCCCTGCAAAAGAAAAGTGTGATTAGAAAGATTGTTGAGTTTTAGATTATAATATCATTGTGTTCAAGTTTATACTGAATAATGTGTTATTTCAGATTTATAGAGTGATTTGTATGGTCTAGAATGATCTGTATGTTCTAGATTGATTTGTATGTGCTAGAATATACGGTATGTTCTAGAATGTACAATTTGTTCTATGATTTACAGTATGTTCTAGATCGAATATACAGTATGTTCTACAATGTATATTCTAGAATGAATAGTTTGTAATTTGTAGATTGTATATGAACGAATGATGCTGTATTGTGGATTAATCATGCGTTATCTATTCTAGATTTTGTGTAATGTAGACTGAATATATGTTTCAATGATGTGCAAGATTATATTGTTGTTAGTGTTTCAATTGGTATAAGGACATAACCTGTAACAGAACGTGTTAAATAGAATATCATGTGTATTCTGGATAGGATTTAATACATGACATTGCTTGTGTGTAATACCAAGAATACTAAAAGTGGCTTTCTTTCATATGGAAGTATTTACTGTTCTATTTTAGAAATGCCTGAATTAGAACAATTGGAGTTTACAAAAATAGAAATTATATCTCTTACAAGTTTCAAATGTTTTCTATGAACTTTCTGAGTTAGCGCTTCTGTGGGTTCTGGGGTTTTGCTGTTAATACCTCTGTCACATTAAGATTAATAGTGATATGAGTTTTTGTCACAATGACACTTTTTATTTGTATTGCTTTCTGTGTACTTTTTAGATTTTAGCTTTTACTTGATTATTTGTCGTTCTTATATTTGCTGATTTTTTAAAATTACATTGACAAAGTATCTATGCTGCCTCATCACTTATCATTACCTACCCACAGGGGTCTCTTTTTGGAACATTAGGATACTTTTATTGGTGCTTACCTCTGTATCTTTCTTTCGTATACTTGTATCACAACCACATATGCCTAAGACACCCTTGGCACAGGCTCTTGTTACTGCAAACATCACACCAGAGGATGATATCGCAAATATATAAGCCTTCTCCCGTCCTTCTGCAAATAGAAATACATTGCTTTGAATATTAGGAAAATGATACAAGATTTCTGATTTCTATAGGTCCCTAGAGTGAATTGGTAGTGGGTTATGCCAGTTGTATTGTTCGATTATTTGGACGTTCATTTTTTCAGCGTTCGTTTTTTCGGCGTGTACTGAAACATTTTTTCTTGACAATGAATTGAAAATATGCGCATCTGCTTGACATACTTCAATTTCTTCAGCAAATGCGTGACAAATATGCAAATTGCGGGACAGTTGGATGGCCTGGTGTTTGAGATGGTCCCTTATCTGAGTTGGGAGTGGGCAATGACCAATGGGTATACATTATGACACAAAACAGGTGCTTTATACGACCCCTAATGCAAACAGGTGTTTGATATGGTCCTTAACGTGAGTGGGGAGTGGGTAATGCTTGGTATATTATATATCATAAACAGGTGTTTGATGCTGAGACAAATTAAAAGCATCATAGGTTTGTAGACAACACATGGATCAGCTAATCAGATACCTGGAACGCAAAACATTTTTAGTAATTTCTGTTTATGAAATGCGATACCATTCTTGCACATTTAAATGTCGGTATCAATTATTTGAACAATTTGGTGGCATAATATTGGTGTCAGTTATTTCAGTGTCAATTATTCAATTATTGGTGTCACAAATATTGCACTGCTTTCTTTTTAATGTTGGGTATTCATCATGATCAAAAGTCAGTTATGTTACCCCATATATCTATTGTTTAAATGTTGATTTCAATATTATTTGAATTTTCATTTCTGTCTGTTGATCATTATATGAATAGTAATAGATACATTTTGTAAATCCCTGGATGAAATTGCAAACCGAAATGGAAATTTTAAAAAGTTTTTCAAAACACAGCAAGAAAAAAAACATTTAAGAGTATAGCCTGTAACACACCTCTATTCCAAATGTCTATGATTTGAAGGAGCAACTCCCCTACCACTATTCAAGAATGATTGTCACAATCCTAAACCAAACATCTACATCAGATTCAAACAAAAGTCAGTAGATACAGTTGAAGAACAAATTATAAAATAAATATTTCCAACATAGTGTACTTGAAATCGAAATTAGAGATTAATTCATCGATCTTACCAATCAGAATATTTAATCAGAGAATCACAAGTCTTCATTTTCTACTTATAAAACAGTGCTGTTAGTAGCTGTGATACATTTGAGATTATAAAGATCTCAGCATCTAAGCTGTCCAATAGTTTGTCATTGTCAGAGGGTAATATGAAAACAGGAGGAAAATGTACATGTAGATAGATGGTATTACCTGCAATATGACTTGTTTGATTTGGAATATATCATTTCTTACATTGAAATATCTGTCAAACAAAACATTTTTAGACAAAACTATAGCTAATACTACTTGTACATGTATAAGTGCAGTTAGGTTATGATTCACTATTGGTTGATGGCTTTGAAAAAGTATACAATGTTTAAGACATTTTATAATGGAAAAATGATATATTTTTCGCTATATTTGTAATTAATATTTTTGAGCACTACTTATGATCTGAAACCTCATGCTCTATTATTATACAAAAGCTGAAATGTGATATATTTGAGAATACTTTCGATACTTAAGAGAAACAAGATGAAAAAACTTTTTGAAATTGAGTTAGTGTTTATAAGGGGTTCCCTGGAGGTATGTAGGGTGTTTTAATTAATATTTTTATGTTGTAAAACATCATGCTTATTTATTATACAGATCTTGAAATGCGATATATTTGAGAAAACTTAAGAAATTTCAGGAAAACAAGTTTAACCCAACAATTTATCGTTAAATGTGATGAAAAATAATAGCGCAAATACTCAAATATCGCATAAACTCATATTTAGAGAGTTTCAAGAAAAACAAATGTTCAGATAAATGTGACCTTATGATTCAACTTGATATACCCTTTCATGTTTTAAAGTTTTAACTTTCATATTTTGTGCATTTCTTGTATTTCGAGTACTTTCTAGCAACTTTGAAGACACTCTAGCATTTTCTTCAAGGAATATTTTGACATTATATCTGAAAAACATCTTAAGTCCAGGTTAAGCTGAATTCAGATTTACCTAGCTCTATTTGAAAACACATGTTCCCCTTATAAAATCAAAATGTTCAGTTTTATGATTTTGTTGAAATAACAACAGCAATTTAACATATATATTCAAGTAAACACCATCTAATATCCAATTTGCAGTTAAGCACATAAAATGCACACAGTTAGTTCCTAAGAAATTTGTAAAATTTGGAATTTGAAATTTTTCTGGTGAGGCAACCATATGTTGTTTTGAATTGATGGATAAGTAACATATATCTTGTGGGCCATGTGGTTTACATTTATTAATCAAATCTTGATTGGATCTTCTCAATTCACATCAATTGATGCCTATATACCAGACCCCCACTAGTTATTAAGAACACGCACCCTCTTGAAACTTGTGTAATGAGTTTTCAAATTTCAGGCACTCAGTTTGTGGATAATGTTGCAATTGTTCTTAAAGGACATATTCCAAATGAATGGCATGTCCGCAATGGAGAACTGTTTAAGGGAGGACATACATGTATCTCCCCAAAATAGAATCTTCAAGGGAAGACAAGATCTCCTCAATATCCTTATCCTTATCAAAAAGGATGTGTGTATTATATGTATGTCTGATTATCGTATGATCTGTAAAATGAAGCCTTCTGATTGGTCAGTTCTTGTTCTGTAGCAATCTGTATTGCTACTGAGATTGTCCCCATTGATCATCTCCCTCGCAATACAGAAAATATTGGTGTGGAGAGGACATTCTCAGTAGCAATACAGAGGATCACACAATAAAAAATCTTGATATTCTGTATTGGCACTCGACTTCGTCTCGTTTCAATACAGAATTCCTTGAGCAGAATATATCCTGTATTGCACTTCAAATCATTGAATAACTTATATTATTACTGCTGAATATTGTTATTCATGAAATCTACCTCCCTTACAATACCAAAAAATGAAGAAACGCAACATTAACATTTTAAAGGGTTCCTTTTAGTGGACCATTCAATGCATGTATGTTATGGCTGATCTTTATCTATCATGAAATCCTAATTTAAATGTTTCGAACTGTCAAAAAGCATTTTATCGTTTCATTTGATTTAGGTTACTATCTTTTTATCTAAAAATACAATACACATACTATATTTCTCTTTTTTTTCTTCTGAATCGGGTTAATTAAGATGAGAAATCTCCTAAACCTTTACCTGAGTACACACTTTGATGGCATTTTCATATATTTCATGATATTTTGAAATGTTTTAATTTCCTTAATAATCTGATATGGCCAAGAAGAATATGTTAGAAGAAAAGAAGAATATGTAACCCAGATATGTAACTCCCCAATATTCTCATGTTAAATATGTTACAGTATGAGTGCAGGAAGAAAAGCTCAGATCTTCAGATTTTTACTAAAACAACTGATTGACCATTTTAAACTACAAAGCATGAAATAAAGCTTATATTCTTTAAAGAATGCACTTTTAGTTCTTATATAAACAATATGTCATACATTTCGAAAATATTTTACTTTGAGAGGAGAATGAGAAGTTTTTTAATTAAAAATGCTGAAAATGTTTTGAAAACATTTTGACCACCAACAGGTACTACTATTCCCTAATGTAAAGATCTGACATTCCTGCATTTACTTGCTATAAAGCTGTTTAAACATAAAAATTTTGTTTTTGGCCCCAAGAATGGCATAGTAATTAGTATGGTCGATATTTATTTTTGAAGTATGAATAAGGAGTTTTGATTCAAATTGCAACTAAAACTACATACTGGTTCATAAGATGTTTATGTATTTGGACCACCAACAATTACCATATCTTGTTGTAAAGGCCAGATGGTGCTGCAATAAAGCTCATGTTTTCTAAGGTATAAAACAACCAATGTTTATGGTATATTATTTAAGTATAGTTTACAACACTCAACATTTTCCTGGGAATTCACTGTAATTATACACCCTTTTTTCATCCTAGTAAAGTGGCAGCAAAAATAGAGAGCGTAAAATTTTATTTTCTCATTGAAGATTTTATATGTACACTACACATACAATGTACTTCCCTTTCTTCCAAGTTATAACCATAATCTTAGCCTGTTCTTGTAAGTCAGAATTCAATTCTTGTTGCCTAACAAGAAATAAATATATTGCAAAATTTTGACTGTTTTTGAGAAAGTCATTCCCAATGTAGTCTGTGTTGCCCCTTTAAACCATTTTGGCATCATTTCACTCGTTAATTTTGACCACTGTCCCCAAATGGTGAATTCTCTACTGTTATTACCTATCTATATTCCCAACCTACTACTAATCACTATCTTACTATGTCCACTATCCCATATATGATGGAACTAATTCATGGGTTAATCTATGAGATAATCCCACCACATTGAGACCCCACTTTACTTCAGATATCTGGGAAGATCTGGCCAGAGCAAATTACTTGCAATATAAACCAGAACCACACATCACTACCTGTAAATAAAATCATTATAGTCTACCAACATCTGAAATATTCAACATGAGGCATTTGATTTTGGGGTATTTCTTTACAGTCCTATATGCAAATACTTCAAGCACGGTTGGTTTGATTTGACCAGAGTATGTGTCCTCTTCTACTTTTTTAGTTGGATGATATGACCATATTGAAATTTCTACCTGGGTTTCCCAATCATTAGATACTTGCCTGCCTAATTGAATCAAATAAACAATATGTAAAGTAAACACTAACCACCTATCTTCACAGAACACTCCACATTGTAACATGATGGAGTTGAGAGCTTGAAATACTGCCTGAAAATTGAGTTACATTTTTTATGAATGTGTTGCACAACCTAAATATAAATCTATTAAACTGTATTAGAGATCTACAGTACTATTAATATGTTGTAAAATCCGCCGAAAATCCATATAGAAATCTATTGAATGTGTTGTACAATTTGAATAGAAATCTATTGAATGCGCTGTACAATTAAAATATATTGAATAAGATGTACAATATTATTATGTCACCACCAAAAGTGGTGACATATTGTTATGGTCTCCGTTTTTTTGCGACGGCGGTTGGTGGTTGGAGGTTGGCGGTTGGCGTCCGGCGTCCGGCGTCTGTAACAATTTCTTACAACTTCCTATAACTTAACAAATACTGTTTAGACTGACTTCAATTTTTTTCTAAATCATCTACATGTTCTCAGAAGTTCAAATCTGACTTTAGATTTGACATTTCACCTTCAATGACCTTCTCAAGGTCAAAAAGGTCTTTTTTCAACTTGCTTCACATTGACTAAATTTTTTTTCAAAATCATCTACATGTTCTCAGAAATTCAAATCTGACTTTAGATTTGACTTTAGATTTGACATTTGACCTTCAAATCTGACTTTAGATTTGACATTTGACCTTCAATGACCTTCTCAAGGTCAAAAAAGGTCAAAAAGGTCTGTTTTCAACTTGCTTCAAATTGACTAAATTTTTTTTTCAAAATCATCTACGTGTTCTCAGAAATTCAAATCTGACTTAAGATTTGACATTTGACCTTCAATGACCTTCTCAAGGTCAAAAAAGGTCAAAAAGGTCTGTTTTCAACTTGCTTCAAATTGACTAAATTTTTTTTTCAAAATCATCTACGTGTTCTCAGAAATTCAAATCTGACTTTAGATTTGACTTAAGATTTGACATTTGACCTTCAATGACCTTCTCAAAGTCAAAAAAGGTCAAAAGGTCTTTTTTCAACTTGCTTCAAATTGAATAATTTTTTTTTCAAATTCATCTACATGTTCTCAGAAATTCAAATCTGACTTTAGATTTGACATTTGACCTTCAATGACCTTCTCAATGTCAAAAAAGGTCAAAAAGGTATTTTTTCACCTTGCTTCAAATTGACTACTTTTTTTTTCAAAATCATCTACATGTTTTCAGAAATTCAAATCTGACTTTAGATTTGACATTTGACCTTCAATGACCTTCTCAAGGTCAATAAAGGTCAAAAAGGTCTGTTTTCAACTTGCTTCAAATAAACCAATTTTTTTTTTTCAAAATCATCTACATCTTTTCAGAAGTTCAAATTTGACTTTACAAGTTCTCAGAAGTTCAAATCTGACTTTAGATTTTTTTAACTTGCTTCAGATTGAACAATTTCTTTTTTCAAAATCATCTACAAGATCCCAGAAGCTCAAATCTTCAAAAACCTTCTTAAGGTCAAAAGGTATTTTCCAACTTGCTTTAAATTGACCAAATTGTTTTAGGTGGTGACATTTTGTCATGTTAATGCCTTGTTGAAATCTACTGAATGTGATGTACAATCTGAATTGCAATCTACTGAATGTGGTGTATTATCTGGATTGAAATCTATTGAATAATTGAAATAATTTGAATGTGTTGTACAATGATAATTGAAATATACTGAATGAGCTGTACAATATTTATTGAAATCTACTGAATGCCGTGGTGTACAATCTGAATTGAAATCTACTGAAGGTGTTGGACAAATGATAATTGAAATCTACTGAATGAGCTGTACATATTTATTGAAATCTACTGAATGCCGTGATGTACAATCTGAAATCTACTGAAGGTGTTGGACAAATGAGATCTGCTGAATGTGCAACCTAGATAGAAATCTAAAGAATGTGTTGTACAATCTAAATAAAAATCTATAGATTCTGTTATGCAACTCACTGAGAATATAAATAACAAATGGGGTGTACCCTCGTACAACAGCACGTTATGGGAATAATATTTGTCGTTGTTAGTTATCCAAGCGAATTAAATAGTGGGAAATGGAAACAGTAGCAAATAAAAGTAAAACAAACAAACGGACTTCAGATGTAAGTTGTTCTGGCCAAGGGTTGTCAATGACACATGATCCGTGGAGCTGCTATAGCAGTATCATATTGCTTCTCACACGTTCTCGTTGTGCGGTGGACGGGCACTTTAAGGCCATCAAAACATGACTTTCCAGAGCCGTTTCATCTTAAGTTGACATTAGAAAATCAGCAATGTTTACAATTGTAGACCTCGAATACAAAATCAACAATGTTTGGGTTGTTAAAACATGTTTTTCCTGGCGTAAACAATCTTTTACAAAAGCCTCAATATCCACACTACAAATGTGTTGTTCGGGAAAATGTACTCAATGAGTTGAACCCATCTATCTTGGATAACCTGAAGGTATGAAGTTTTCATATGATTGAAAATCAAACTGCTAAAGTCTATTGAAAGCCCATGGTTGAACCGAGGAGAATAAAATATTTCACTATGCGATTTGTCAAAGATAATTGATGTTTGGTTGTTCAAAACGTGTTTTCGCCTACGAACATCTCAACCCCTTACAGGGAGGCAAATCTGAGATCTAAGTTTTATTCGATCCATATGTAGTTTAATTTGTAATTGATAATTTACACTGTGACCCACAGCACTAAATGATTATTTTTGTCACTTGCGCATACAGCTGTAAAAATAGTGAAATCCTGGTTTCCATTACTAGACCCCCATCATCCAGTCATTCAAACATAGGATTACTGTTGCAATGTCACACTGACCTGCATGAACATTTCCTAGTAGTCCTATTAATTTCAATGATTCTAAATACAAATAGATATATGACACTCATGAACTAAGCTGCTCGCTAGTAGTTCGATTTCAATTGTTCAATTGTTCTATTTTCATTTGTTTTTGTTTTTTCAAACCTCGGTGACACTTACGGATTTTGTTTGAGACGTGGAGACAATCAAAACGTGTAAAACATCGAGTCTCTAACAAACTCGGTCGTACCAAATGGTTTGATCACTTCTCCAAATGGTGTAATTATATTCTGATATATCAAACCCTCTCCATCTTAGTTAATCTGATGCTTGACATTGATGGAAGACGTTCATGGTGTAGCTTTCACAATTAAACTCTTTTATTCATTGGCGGCGTACCATCAATGAAGGCCACGGGTATAGCATTGTTGAACGATATCTATCACCAGTCATTTACCACAGAATAGGATCCTCGATAGGAATCAATCGACATGTTATTCTAACCTAGCAGATTCCTGATTGATCAATCAACATACACTACTTTTACTGGCAGATTTGGGAGTATTCTAGTTCATCAAATTTCGCCTCGTGTGTGGAATTAGCCCTATTGCATTCTATGGGCTTTCTAGAGTCTAGAAACCACACTGATTTACTCGATACATTTTTGTTTAATGATGATGAAAAACTGTCAGTCAAGCAGAGTGTCTGTATTGAAATGTTCCTGTTGTGTTTTTATTGGTTGTGCCGTATTGCGTTATTTTATATTTTCGGGATTGACAAAATACAGTTGCAGCGTTACGTTTTCATGACGTTTTATTTTATAATTATTTAAAAAAGCTTAAAAATATATTCATGGTACACTATTCAAATCATGTAGGATATGGCTTCAAGAATTTTGGTACACAACTATACCCTAATCACCTGGAAAATAAAATCGCATCGAAAATAAAAGGATAGATGAAAAGACATTGCCACTTACTTCTAACAAGGACTTTGCCAAATACATTGGTTGCGTTTGGAAAGGTGGTGCAGTTCCACCGCCGTGTTGAGAACTGGTCTTTGCATTCTGCAAGTCCTATCTCAGCGCCGTTACTGATGACTGGTAGGAGATTACGGGACTTGAGACATAGGTCTCGTTGCTTGGTGTTGAGGAAGGTCATACTGCGACATTTCAAAAACCGAGGGTCCCTACTTCGCACCTCATCTGGACCACGTTGCAATTGTGCAGAGCTCACCATACCAACATACCTGCAATATTGAAGACAGCCTTAAATTAAGGATCCCAAATTCACTATTTACACATTCTGATACTCATAGCATTTTTCTGTTTGACCTAGAAACATCAGGGCTGAGAAGAAATGAGATGTCATGGTTTATCATGATTCAAATATGTTATCTCAAAAATGATGAAATGACAAAATCTAAATTCTGCATAACATAATTACACTTGGGCAACAGTGAAATAATAGGTTTTGACCGGGTCATAGCCTGACATGGTGGGATTATTTCACGGTCGAATCCGATTATTCTATGGCTCAACACTTCGTTAATCCCATTTGTCTAGACTCAAATCTCGATTCAAACCTAATTATCCATCCTTTTCAGACTGCTGTTTTAACTGCAGATGATCGGGATACCTACATCAAAATAGAAATTGTTGACTAATTTAGGGACGATTCAAACCGTGAACTCTGTGGGGACACGATAACCGAATTCTCAAAAGACTTACAGCAATGTAAGCAGAAACGCTTAGAACTGATTGCACCCTTTTATAATGATTTCAGTTTTTATTTTTATCTTTATACATCTACCTGGATATGTCGGGATAATTTTTTTTGTAAATGGAGCTCATAATTATAAAATGGATTTCAAGAAACTAGCCCTTGTTTCAATTTCTTATTGAAATTCCTCGACTCTAAACTAGGCATATCATCAGTGCCACACATATACATTTTATACCAATGTTCAATTCATATATGATTGTATCTGATTCTCTATCCTATGGTTTAGGTTTTGCAATTACACAATAAACAGGCGACACATCAAGAGTCCGACGTGTGAGACCGACACGGCCAAAGGGCCATCGGACATCATGGCCGACTCTAGACGTAAAATTGACGTTCTATTTGACATGTGGCAGAGATTTAGTAGAGAGTTAAGATTAAAACATGTCATATTGATGATATTGTTGGCAGAGTTATGGCAGAAGTTGACTTGAACTATGAATTAATTACTGACATGCGGTCAAACGGTATACGCTTTTGTGCAAATAATAATTGCGGTCATCAATGGCTGTCTTACTTTCTTGTTTTTCCGATCCTATGAACGTTTTACTTATACATGTTTTGTTGCATATATCTATTATTAAACTTGATGAATAATTGACAGCCGAGACGGACGAACGAACGAACGGGTGAACCGAGATGACATAATGCAACGTCGTCTTATACGACCTAGATGACACAATGCGATGTCATCCTTATCCATCTTTATTACATCAGTTCAACCTTGCAATGCCATCACTCCCCGTTGTAAAGCCAACACAAGCAAGAGTGGTACATAATGTCATCCGATAAGCAGAATATTCAATTATTTCGAAACATACCCGAATCTTCGCTCTATTATCTCCCAACTATGGTTAAGTTCAGGTAAATGTATATGTACACACTTTATTTAAACATAACATTATTTTTCGATTTACATTTGATGTCATATAATCAGTGCTGTAATCATAGGATGTCTCGTCTCTGTCCCGTAAATCGGAAATAAAAATAAAAACAAAATGTGAAATGGTTTATACTATGGTTCAAATCTATATCATAATTAGTATAAGGTGTTAATTAATTTGTGTAAATGTTTATGTTACGTATTTTTATGTCGGATACGTCTGAGATTTCTGTCTACAAGAATTTGTAATAACTGATTTTGTTAATTTGTTGTTTCTTGTTGAAACAATACCGTCATTTGATTGCGAAGGCATCCTTATTCCCAAAGGAAACAAAACGGACTCGCAATGCACAAAAATAAATAAGATAAAAATAAGTAAAAATAAACGAATAGTATAACTCGATGCGTTTTCTTAATATTTAAAAGCCTACTTAAAAATTACAAATGAACACCAGATATTAATCAGACTGCAAAATTTAAAAACATTAATATTGTGATTTTAATTCGAAACGACATTTCAAAAATTTGATCTTAATGTAGATAGTGTATCAATGAATCTGGGTGTATTTTGTGGAATAGCTCAGTTCTGATACGTTGTATTAGTGACAGGTCGTAATTAGAGTCTCAAAAGAGACTTTGATTAAATCAAATAAATGTACATAAAGAGAGAGAGAGAGAGGTCTCTCATCTGAGAACGCCAAATCTTGTCAAGAAGGGACCTTGGCACGCTATCACGCATCCAGGTCGTTTTCATTATAAGTGATCCCCATTCTCCCATGCATGATAAATACCAATATCAACAATTAAAGATGAACTTAAACAATTGAAATTGGTATTTGGAATGAGAAAATAATTGAAATATGAATATCGGGGGATGAGAAGAATAAGAAATATGAGGCTGTGAAAATATAGAATATGAGAAGCTAAAAAAATATTAAATATGAGGCTCTGAAAATATGGACTATATGAGAAGCTAAAAATAAGTAATATGGAATATGAGGCTCTGAAAATATGGAATATGAGAAGCTAGAAATAAGTAATATCGAATATGAGGCTCTGAAAATATGGAATGTGAGAAGTTAGAAATAAGTGATATCGAATATGAGGCTCTGAAAATATGGAATATGAGAAGCTAAAAATAAGTGATATCGAATTTGAGGCTCTGAAAATATGGAATATGAGAAGCTAAAAATAAGTAATATCGAATTTGAGGCTCTGAAAATATGGAATGAGAAGCTAAAAATAAGTAATATCGAATTTGAGGCTCTGAAAATATGGAATATGAGAAGCTAAAAATAAGTAATATCGAATTTGAGGCTCTGAAAATATGGAATATGAGAAGCTAAAAATAAGTAATATCGAATATGAGGCTCTGAAAATATGGAATATGAGAAGCTAAAAATAAGTAATATCGAATATGAGGCTCTGAAAATATGGAATATGAGAAGCTAAAAATAAGTAATATTGAATATGAGGGTCTGGAAATATGGAATATGAGAACCTAAAAATTAGAAATATGGAATATGAGGCTCTGAAAATAAGGAATATAAGAGGCCAACCAGAACAACGGCAACGCCAAAGCGTAGCGAATCCCATCGAACAGAAATGGCTGGCATTTTTACAAACGAAGCGCAAATATCATTAAAACAACACACCAGAAAGGCCACCATCATCAGAAGAAATAATATGCTTTAAAGTAAAGCCACCTCTAAAATTTTTGAAAAATCGCACACATACTTGTAAAATAACACACATAAAAATGGTGGCCATTTTTCAAAATGGCCGACTACTCCCTAAAGTTTTATTAGACAATGTGCCATGCTTAAAGTATTCACATATCAAATATGAACAAAATCGCTCCACTACTTTTCGAGTTATAGTAAAATACGTTAAAATGGCGGCCATTTTTCAAAATTGTTTTCAAAATGGCCGCCTTCTACCAAAAGTGTCATAGGACAGTGTGCTGTGCTTATAGTATTCACATACTAAATATTAACAAAATCGCTCCACTACTTTTCAAGTTATAGTAAAATATGTTAAAATGGCGGCCATTTTTCAAATTTTTTTTCAAAATGGCCGCCTTCTACCAAAAGTGTCATAGGACAGTGTGCCATGCTTATAGTATTCACATACCAAATTTGAACAAAATCGCTCCACTACTTTTCGAGTTATAGTAAAATACGTTAAAATGGCGGCCATTTTTCAAAATGGCCGTCTTCTACCAAAAGTGTCTTTAGACAGTGTGCAATGCTTATATTATTCACATACCAAATATGAACAAAATCGCTCCACTACTTTTTGAGTTACAGCAAAAATCGTAAAATGACGAGTAAAGGCCGCCATTTTTCAAGATGGCTGCCATGTGCTTCTTTAATATCTACATTTGTAGCATTATTAATGTCCTTTATAATTTTTTTACATTTAAAACATATTGCTATTACAGTTTTACATATTGCACCTAAATTACTGTAAAATCGTCACTAAAATGGCTGCCATTTTGAAATGAGCGGCCATTTTGGAAATCGGCTTTTGAGCAGAACTTCTACCCCTATAGGGTATATGTGTACAAAATATGAACAAAATCGGGCCAACGGTATTTGAGTTATTGCCCGGACGGACGGACGGACGGACGTACGTACGGACGTACGTACGGACGGACGGACGGACGGAGGCGTTCCCTATATCCCTCCGAACTTCGTTCGATGGGATAAAAATAAGAATTAGAACGCTTTGAAAGTAGGAAATATGAGAGGCTGAAAATAAGAGATATGGGACTCTAAAAATATAGAATATGAGAACCTAAAGATAAGAAATATTGAATATGGGGGTCAAAAATATGGAAATATACGAGGCCAAAATAAGAATTATAACACTTTGAAAGTAGGAAATATGAGAGTCTACGAATAAGAGAGATGGGGCTCAGAAAATAGAATAAATATGAGAACATAAAAATAAGAAATATTCATTTTAAGGCTCAAAAATAAGGAATATAAGAGGCAAAACCGTGGAATATGAAACACTACCACCCATCCCGCTCACCCCTTGATAAAAGCCTTTTTCTGAAAACGATTAAGTTGTGTTTAACATGACTGTAAGCATATGCCGATCTTAACTCTTAATGGGATGGGATTCATTTTCCTGCGAAGACCAGAAACTAAAAGATGAAGTTCCAAGAACAATTATAAAAAAGTAGTTACGTGTAAAATCATATACACACTTGGGCTAGCTCTTGTAAAATAGTTTGAGGGGGGGGGGTTCTTAGTAAGCGAATACATGTATGTTTTAATTCTTTTATTTAATTGAAATACTGTTATATTGAAATACTGTAAAATCATTTACGCAGTTATTTGTAGTATTTATTTTTCAACTTTGTCTGCATGCTAATTCGCAATCAGCTAACAGTGGCACCAACCAATTATGGTAAAAAAACATGTTTTGATTTGTAATGTAAATCTGTCTCACTTGCGTCCCTGCAAAATAAGATATTTTATAAACAAATAGACGAGTTGATTCACGTCGGCTATCTTTCTCTAAACTATGAATAGAAAAATGTAGACTGTTTTAAAAGAATAACTTCAATTTCAAGTCGATAAACTAAAAAAGTCAACAGTAATATTGGACCTATTGGGATGGCATTTTAAGAGAACTTCTCCATTTACAGATACTTATTGTCACGATAGAAGCCATGATATTGAGTTTCTCCGTTCATTTCCAAATACAAATACATACCGCTTGGTTATAGGTTAAAAGGACGGTTAAACTATTAGTACCAACAAAGCTTTCAATAATACAACGAGAAAAATCGACAGAAAAAATGCTTTCACTCAGACAAGTTTCACTTAAGGTGACGCAAATTGTGGTCTCTTGGGACATATTCGCAGGGATAGTCATAAGCTCTGTTCTGACGTGCTATACAGTTCAAAGACATAGCTTGTACTGTGATTGACAAATTAAAAGCCATCAATTTTCTGCAAAATGAGCGATCTGTTTCCTCTTTATGTTTTTCTATTCAATTCATCTTTTATTCCCCTACTGTCTGAGGTACTCCAAATTATATCAAGACCCATTTCAAAGCTTATCAATAACCACAAACAATTTTAAACTTTTCAATAGTTCCAATCACAAATTCTATATTGTTTAACAATTTTATGAATACCATTGAAATGTATGATTGAATTTCACAATAGAACCTCGATGACATTGCTTTGATATTATTTAGAGAATCTTAAGAATTTAGATTGCACAGTAGCAACGTATTCTTAAGAATATCTAAATGAGTACAAAGTGCCATTTTTATCTTCTAATCCCGATACTCACCACCAAGTATTTGAATGTACTTTCTCCACAATGCATAGAGTCAGAAGTAAAATTCCAACGTAGACGCGCCACATCTTCGGAACTGTTTCAACCGGGTTCATTATATTAAGCTCTTATATCTTGAAATCAGCTTCTTTTTCAGTTACATACAGAGTTCGTTCCTAACATAAATTCATAACAATCTTGCTCCGTGTTCTAAAATAAATCCAATGCTCTCTGTAGATGTATATCAGGTTGATCGCCGGTTACGTTAATCCTATCGTCTGTAGAATTAGTAAAATAGATGTGATTTGTTATAGGTCCAGCGCAGTCCAGCGTCGTTGCATCCTCAATCCCCGACTCTTAATCACTGAATGCAATCAAATCGGAGAAAGCACCAACACAGTCTGATTGCAACTTGAAATCTAAGCTCTAGGATCCGAGTATTTAAATTTCATCCAACCTTCGTTCGTATCCGGGGCTGGGATATTCTATTAGTTACGTCTTTATGAATATTAATGAACTGCGTTAATTAACACTTCCAGCTTCAATGGCTTAACATCACACCATCTTAATTTATGCATTCGCTTTTTCCTCCAGGATGTGTGCCGGAATATTCAGTGTTGCTTTATCCCTTTATGTATGGTTTATCTTAGCGAAAAACGTCCGTATAGTTATTGTTCAATTGATTTAAGAAGACAGTCGAGATAATCTCTACGTATAAACTTGCTGACTTTTCCTTAATCGCTGAAACTTTTCAAAATATTTTCTTATCGAAGAGGTTTCCAATTTAGCAAAATATGCCTTGTGTATGATTGGCTGGTGCAGTGTTAACCCGTGTTGGTGGTTAAATATTCTCAGATTTATATTCCAACTTTGTCTAGCTACGACCGGAAAATGTTTATCCATTATCCGGGGTTTGTATCCTGGATTGGAATAGCTAAGTTATTGTGTTACACCCATCGTTAAAAGATATTGCACCGGTTACTAATAAAGACGACATACAAGGATCACAGAGAAGCTCCAAAAATACAAAATGAAAATAAATTTGATGTACACTCCCTCCATAAGTTTGGCAACCTTAGCTCCCCCAACCTTAGCTTACGTTTAAATTTTTATTTACCTAACCGGTGATGAAATAACTTATAATATTGATGGAAACGCAACTTGACTTTATTTCCAATACCTCCAAATTTTCTCAATTTTTTTCCTCAATTACAATAGGTCGAAAATTGATGATAAATCTGATGAATTTTTGAAAATCGTCATTCCCATGTAATCCAATGGGAAATGAAGGGTTCGGGGCAAATCAGAAATCACGATATCTTTTCAGTAAAAGATTCAGCAAAAAACAATTTATATAGAAAATTGAATTGTCTAACTTTTTTGTACACTAAGTGTTTAGTTTATATGATGAATACTAAAGTTACAGCGCTTCAAAGTCATTTCTGAAAATAATTTTTCGTCTCCTGTGTTATTTCAATGGGAGGGGTTTTTTGAAAAACAATTTTGACTTTAAAGCCCTATAAGTTTGTTGAACCTGAAGAAACATATCAATTTTTTGTTAAATAAAGTTAGCAAATTCAATTGCCTGCCTAACTCGTATTTTTTGCAAGGACTCGGACGGATGGATATTCTGTCATATGACCTGTGGCAAACCTAGCATTTCCCATTGGTTAACAAGGGAATGTCGATTTTCAAATATTCATCAAATTTATCATCAATTTTCGACTTATTGTTATTGAGGAAAAACATTGAAAAAATCTGGAGGTATTGGAAATAAAGTCAAATTACGTTTCCATCAATAGTATAAGTATTTTCATCATAGGTTAAGTAAATAAAAATTCAAAGGTAAAGGGACTTTAACATGTAGTTCAATGGGGGGGGGGGGCTAAGGTTGCCAAACTTATGGAGGGGAGTGTAACAGGCCTAAGACCGGTGTACCTAAATGCTAATATCACGGACGGAACATTTGAAAGTGTCGGGTCAAACGCTCTATAACTGGATTGACAAAAAGTTTGCATATCGTTGTGTAAAATAAACTGTTCAATAATTTTCCAGAAGCGTACATTAATATGAATGTTGTATGCGACAAGGGTTATAAGATACTACATACATTGTATATATGACACGATAATGATGGTATTATCTTATGATATCATGTTATGATATCCTTCAAATAACATCAGCGACATGACACGATAAGAAACTTATGTAATTTCTAAGAAGCTATTCTAGTAGCTATTTTGCAAATAAATAATTTTATTGCTAAATTTCTTTAAATTAAAGTTGGACTCAACTAGGACATCCTTCTTCAAAGGACTTCATTTATGCTTAAATTGTACTTGTAAAATACCCTTGCAGCAAGGATGAAAGTAGGATATATCAACTTCGGTCTAAATAGCTGCTAAATGTTACCAAAATAACTTTATTTTGCTTAAGTTGCCTAATGTCCAAATGAAGGTAAAATTGCTCAAAATGATACCAAAATTATTGCAGGTATAAAAAAGGTAAGATAGTAAACATTTCTGAACTTGTCACAATTTCAAGCCATGTGCTCGTATCATTCCTTGTGAATGTCATTTTTTTTAAAATGAGTCCAAAACGCCAAACCTTATTCCATGCTGGTAAATCTTAGATTTTAACATTGATGTGTTTATTTTTCATGGTGATAAATAATTGTAAGATTCTTCGGTTTTTTGTAGAATCAGCAAGTGGTAGTAGCGTTGGAACTATTGAAAGTGATGTTTTCGTCGTCCGGTGTTGGCGTCGGCGTATGTATCATAGACAGTCATGTAAAACTTTTTCAGATTGACTCAAAAACGAACACATACAGAGATGATGTTACAGGTTTCTTCAGATCTCGTTGCCATGGTAACGAATAATGGGACTTGCATCATGTAGTTACATGTAACAACAGTATTATATGGAAGGAACTTCAGTAATAATGAGTTGAAACTCATACAGAAATCACTTGTAGACATTTATACACTTCTTCAAATTATAGACCCTCTGTTACCATGACAATGATTTTTAAAGAAATATTGCTCTATTGCATAGTGATAATGACATACGGTGGATAATTCTCAAATATGTTTGCAATATAATAGTCTCATAATGCGTGCAACCGAGTGATGACATTTTGTAACATCGTAACCTTATCGAAATGTCGATATCCACATTTATTATTTTGACGAATTTACACATTTCTGCATTTTAAATAAATCTTAAATAACTTCATCATTTGATAAGACATCACGAACCTGTTTTGAAAGTCTATAGTTGGAATGGTAAAATAAGACATTAGTGGGTTTAATATAAATGCTGCTTGCATCAATGCATACATACACATGACATGGTGGGGTTATAGGTTTCCATGAATGTCAGGGCCTTTTGTAAGTAATCAATGAAGCTCTCGTAGCACAACCAAACTATTTGGAAGGGTGACCATATGTAAAAGAATACAATTCATTTTTATCTATTTCAAATTTTATTCTTTTTAAAAAAAACAGCAACTCCACGAAGTAGCAAATCCCAACGAACAAAAGTTTCATGAATCTGTTTATGTCACAACACTGTGGCTAGTCGATCAATGTGGATGCAGTCATGTATATGCAATGTTTCGTGGGTTCTCGCGTACATTATAGTGAATGGGGTCGTTGAAAAAATATGACAGAAAATCGAGGTAAGTGATCTCAGAGTTTCTACTTAAGATATTAACTTGAAATCTTGCATACATATTCAATATACATAGTATGACAATGTGTGAAAGTTTCAGGTAGCATATTCCTGTTATAGTGAAGATATTTGAACAACATTTCGTAAACGTCAACACATATGTATCAAATGGATTCAACTATGTATCATTTGGATTCAGAACGGTAACAAATGGATGCTATAATAAATTATGCTTTTATCATGATGATTTATTTACAGATGGACACCTGGCCAGATTTTCTTTGTATCCATTGTTCGGATAAACATTCCTTATTCAGTGAAGTAATTAGCCACACCATTACAATACACCCTCATGAAGAATTGAAAATTGATAGACTTTATATAGACCAGTCAACTGGAAAATGCCATTACAGAAGGAAAAACTATGGTTTCATCCCTAATACTGTTAATTTGAAAAACGGGTCCATAACATGTAATGATGACAATGAAGATGTTGAAATTAGGTACGCCAATCAAGTGAATTCAGAGCCCAAGAACCATCAGCCCACTGAAATACCTACAGATCAAGTTTCAGAGCCATTAACATTCCTTGAAAGTGACAATGAGCAGCCAACAGATGGACCATCTGTAAATCTTGGTGATTTTGTCAGCTCAGCTGAAAGAGCCTACAGATTCCTTGAAACAAATGACCCAAATTCAAGAATTATATCATCTATTTACAATTTTTTGAAATCGTGGTAAGTGGAATCTTTCCAATTACCAATATAGGATTATTATTGTTTTTGGACACTGTGGACTATTTCACCGCCCCATGTGCCAAACAAGTAAGATACAGAAAGGAAACTAAATACTTTTGGTTCATGGGCTTTCGTCTGTTTCATGGGAAGTTTCTGAGGTAAGACTTCATTCATTTTTACTTTTAATTCTTATGATAATAAAATATAACTAGACTTTGGAAATTGAACAAGTTCAATTTCAGACTCCAGATCTAGACTTTTTTAAGCCCAGTCATCCAGAATAAGCCGAGTCATCCAGAATAAGCCGACTCATCCAGAATAAGCCGAGTCATCCAGAATAAACTGAGTCATCCAGAAAAAGATGGATGGATGGATGAAATAGGAAGGAGGGATAGGATAGAATAGGAAGGAACGATAGGATAGAATAGGAAAGGATGAGATAGAATAGAATAGAATAGTAAGGAATGATAGAATAGGAAGGAAAGGAAAGGATAGGAAGGATAGATAAGAAGGATAGGATAACATGGGATAGGATAGGAAGGATAGGATAGAATAAGAAGGAACGATAGGATAGAGTAGGAAAGAAGGATAGGATAGAATAGGAAGGATAGGAAGGAAAAGATATGAAGGAAAGATAGATAGATGGAAGGATAAGATAGGAAGGATGGGTGGAAGGATGGATGGATTTTTCAACATTTTCTTCACTTCTCTTGACTTTCTATCAGGATACCATAAGATCGATTTTTCTCGAAATTTCAAAACGCCATAACATAAGTCGGATCGAAATTTGGTTTGCAGATTCAGATCCCTTAGAAATTTCTATCCTTAATTCATAACTCATACGTTAAATTTAGAGAAATTTTTATTTTGACCTACTTTTCAGACACCATATCTCAAAAGTGGGTCAAAATATTTTCTGATAGCAAAAAGCAAACACTATAAGCACACTCTTGGCTACATATATACCAAATTTCGAAGAATATAATTAAAGTGTAGTGTCAGAATCGAAAAAATGAGGAAAAGCTTTGAATTTGACCTAGATTTTGACCTAGGCCCTGGACTGGACTTGGACCTAGACTTGACTTGGACCTAGACAAACACTGGACTTAGACCTGGACTGGACCTTGACTTGAGCTTTCCGGACACCATATCTCAAAATTGGTAACAGTAATGAAAAATCTGATGGCACACTTATGAAACGGCTGTTTCTAAGCTACATAATGAAAAAAAGACAAAGTTGTTTTGATAAATAACGACGAAGATAATAGACAGATTAGAGATTTGACCTAGTTCTTGACCTTTGACCTAGATAAAAAATTGACCCAATTTCCGAGAAACTAGATACTGGACCTAAATTGACCAAATACAGGACTTGACTCAATGTCTTCTAGTTAAGGAGAAAACGTGTGTAGAAGAATAAAGAAGAAGAAGAATACTGACAAAAGCTATAGACTCCAGATTAGAGGTCGCAACGGTACTGAAAACCAGTACCGGTAACCGTCACGCTAATAACCGTACCGTTACCGAAATACCGGTAAAAAGATGTAAGATAAAATGCCAATGCGCTGCCACCCCCACTTTGTTCCTAACTCTCTCCGTAGCTTCTCAAGTCTATATGCATACATGGTGCAAGACCGATTTGAACCCTTATTGATGAACTTCACGAAATAGTATGTAACTATCTTACGAATCAAGATGTATTTTTAGTTTAAATTAAATGTATTACACATTTCAACAATTGGACAGCTATTTGTCATCAGCATCCAAGTTTATTGACTGTCTTGAGTTCTGGAAAGTAAACGGGGGAAAATATCCTGATGTGGCGAGTTTGGCTGAAACATATCATGTTATTCCTGCGTCATCCGTGTCAAGTGAACGTCAGTTCAGTGCAGCTGGCAACACCATCACTTCCAAAACGGGCACGACTTAAACCTGAGGTTGTCAATGCCTTATTGTTCGTAAATGACTATTACAAACATAATTCAGTTTCTGGATCTGACGTTGACACTACAACTACACCGGAACTGCCAAACATAACTACAACCAAATCTGAGCCTGAGCTAGAAGCTACTACATCCGAATTGCCAAATATGGACATCACACCTGGACTGCCCAAAATGGACATCTACATGTCTATGTAAATGTACGCATCGTGAAAGTTGAAATTAAACGAAATAATTAAAAAACGATGTGTTTTTTATTTCCCCGGGGATTATCGTCGGTTAACCGGTTAATAATTTCAATACCGGTAAATGCTCAATTCCGTACCGAAACCGTATAACCGGAATTACCGTCAGCCTCTACTCCAGATTTACATCTGTAGTCTAATAAAAATGGTCCTGATCAACACAGGCTTCGCTATAAGTATTGCAGTAGCACATTGGTGGAGGAGGCCATGGTTCTTTACCATGCATTTTTAGTGCGCTTTTGCTATTGAAAAGGTTGCCGCATTCATCGCACATGTGGCGTGTTGGGGCAGTTTCCTCCACTGGCTGTACGACAACCAGATCCATCTACAAAATAGTTGTGATATATATTGAAAATAAAATCAAGATGTCCATCATCTTGAGTAAACATCAGATTATCGTCGGGCATCAAATATTCACCATATACTACTGTAAAATTATATTTTTGTTGAATTATTGTCCCAACTCAAGTTTATATGTAACCATATTTGTTTCTTCCTGATGTATCCAATGAGAGCGTTTAAGAAATATATGTAAAATATTAAAAATACACACATTCAAAATGATTCAATTAAAACCTAGCCAGTCTGTTCATTGAATCCAATTAGAACGTCTACTAATCCACATGATACATCATAATTAAATTGCTTTTTTAAAGCGGATATTTCATACCATAACCCCCAAAATATTATAAAATGCGTTGTATTTGTATTTTACTTCACACAGACATATTTGTGTACGTGAAATAATTATATTACTTGAATGTTTTATTCCCCATTATAAGGTAAACCTATGGCAATTATACATACCTTCTCACAGCTATGAGCGAGGTGATAAAACTGGTCGAGTGAACTTGTTTGAGTTATCTATTCGCTGTAAAATTATCAGAGAATGTGTGTTTATAGCGTTGCTTTGGTTTGGTAAATCAATGAAGTATGATATACACGGATGAGTAAATGTAGATTATTTAAACAAAAGTGCAAATTTCTTCCATTGAAAAGTACAGAGGCGGGTACTCACGAAACATTACATGTGCTTGACTGCATCCACATAGATCGACTAGCCACAGTGCACAATATAATATTAACCATCTACCTTTGATTTACAGATAAATAAACGGCAGACATTGGCACCAACGTATTTAGGGTGACCATCTTGGAGCTTTAAAGGCACAACTCATAAATTCATTTTACAATATTTGTTTTCTAATGTAGTAGAACAATGTAACCATACTAATATGATACAATGGCTACCTAAAGCGTTAATTCGCTTTTTACTTCTAGGTAGCCATTTTGATTTTTTTGTAAAAATGCAATAAGACAATGTTACGGCTATATTTCTATTTTCTTTGAGAACATATTCTTAATATGCGCAAAAGTTAAGAAAAGCGACCACAAACCAGAATTCCATCATCAAGAGTTTCTATATTGGATCTTGGATTTACTGAAATCGGAAGACTTGATATTGTTTTCAACTTTTATTAATTATATTTTTGGACCGACGGGATTCGAACCGAAGGGTTTCGGACGAATGGATTTGGACCAATGGGGCGACCATCCGTCGGGCCCTCTGACAATAAAAAGCAATTCACTGCCTGTCAAATAAACTACTCCATGATGTCCCAGACAAACCAGAGAGAAAGCAACCAATTTTTAACACAATAATGCACAAGATCCTTTCAAAGACCTGATTAGTGTCTGAATAAAGTAGACCCAAGCTGAAAGGAATCGCAAGGGGATTGACAAAGTCTGAATAGTATACGGTACCCTTAGCCTTCACTAGACGCATAGTAACGGGAACTAAAATGAATGCAGTAGCCATCCTCTCGTGAAATACCACAGCCTTGATCTTTCAACTAAATATAACCTTTTGTGATTTTCACAATGAAAACTTAGACAAAAAAGTATGAAATAATTTGAACTAGCAAATACGAGAAATATAAAATACGTATATGTAAAAAATATATAAAAAATACATATGTATGTAAAATCCAACCGAGTTAATAGAGAGGCTAAGTTACATGCATTTGGAGTTGTCCATAGGGGCTCATGATTTTACACGTTTCACATACACGTTCTTTAAAACAGTGCTGACTTAACATCAAATCATTTAGTTTGTGCGCATAAGTTGACCCTATATTAAACTTGGTGCAATTACATGTATGCTATTATTCGGTAAAATATATAGCAAATATTACTCAGATGAATATACTAGTATACATATTACACGTTACATATTTACATGACTTGTAACACGGATTACACAGACTCTCTCTATATCCAACAGACTTTATTCATAGCTTGACAAGTGAACGTTTTTCAGGGAATGTCAGAGCATATTCTGCGGTTGAAAGACAGAGGTGTGATAAGTATCAGAATGACTCTAACTTTAATAATATCAGGGACGGATCCAGAGTTTTGATTTATGTATGGTGGCCCCATTGAACGAGAGGTCGAAGGCAAGCCAACGATTGGTACACACGGAAGAAAATATGAATTTATTTAGGTAAGATAATTAAATGGTGAATACAAAGAACATGAATATGATTCTAGGGGTGAACTTCCTCCCGTAAAATCCACCACCAAATATCAAAGATTAAAAACAAGAAATTGAGCTAATCTAATAGTATCCTATGATGAGTGGTTTGAGATTTAAATAACTTAGGGTTAAATAAATTTTGTGTTAAAAATAAAAGGTGCTAGATGCAGATATGAGGAAATTCAAGGAAAATTGAATTGCCAAATTTTTAATATGAGAGATTGTCAAACAATTTATGGACTCCAGATTCCATAAAGTATAATTGTTTTCATATGCTTTTTCAAAACTATGTACTTGTGGCGATTTCGAATTTATTTCCATATTTTAGTTTTGTAGAATTATATATATTGTATTAAGAATTGAGCGACTTCTGACTTGTTTGTAATTTTAAGGACAATCGAATGAATCTAATTCTTTGCTAATGTAAATTCCCGTGAGAGTTTATTTGTGTGATAAATCAAAGCATGGGATATTTGGGATTTGTTTTCCTTATGTCTAGTAATGTCCCTCATATTTTTTAAATTCTCGGTTTTGTAATACCGTACGTTTAGGTCATTTCCCTTTTGATACCTTTGGTTACATCATATTTATAAGCTAACGATATGATCGAGCGATGCATACGACATCTTTAAATTAAATTGTTTTCTAAAGACATTTGAGACTCATTCGTAAATCTGTTGAATAGATTAAAATCGATATTTATACTATTTTAACATTTTTAACGAGCACACAAACGTGTACAGCATATCTAATATAAGCCAATGTGATCCTATATTATATCGATTTTTCATCCTGAATGCCCAAAACTAATCAGTTGAAGAGACAAGATTTTAGGACGAAAACCCCCATTCTGATACTCATAGCATCTCTCTGTTGCACCACGATGAAAAACCCCAAACATTCCAAAAACATATCACATCAAGACGCATCCCTGAAAATTTCAAATGATCAAATGGTTTTGCTTGAAATGCGTTGATAAGACTTTACAAACCTCTTTTTGTTCAAGATTTAAGGACAAAAAATTATGATTTTATACATGTACATACAGGTAAGTTCATGTATCGCATCGAGACCAAGGTATGTATCCCTGGGTGCCATACATATAGAATTACAAACAAATCTTGTTTTCATGTACATATATTTTCTCTAATATGTGTCAATCTTATTTATTGTAATCAAACGTACAAGTATTGATAGATTCGGATATCTTCCTCATAATCCCAATGAGAATTTTCCAATTTGGGTTACTTCCTTCCTCTTATCCACAGCACATTTTCAAGAAATTCAGATAACTTGTTATTAGTTATTAAGTTGCAAAATGAGGAGTAAACTCTATAATTATCGGACTCAACAAGAGACAATACCTTTGGAGACAGTACCACTAGTTTAAACATGACTGTGACATTTATTTTGCCGTGTCAATTTGTAAATCAAGTTATTTTTGACAATAGTCAGGAATGTCAAATACACTCATATCTCTTATCCCTTCTCGAAAGCTGGAAAAACGCATAGACGATGTAAGACCCATTTTGCCCCATTGAGCATTTGCTTCACCTATTTGTGTCACTGTTACAGGGAAACATTCGGGGGTGTGTGTCTCTTCAATGGTAACATTGTATGTGTCACCTTGCAAGTGTCCTCTCCATGTATTCACCTAAAATAATAGAAAATCCCATTTACTGCATTTGTGCTAAAGGAGAGCGAAGGGTATGCTTTCATAATACTTAGTTACTGGAATTACACCAGAAAAACGCAAAAAGCGCTAAAAGGTGGAAAGCACTAAATACAAAATCGCCATTCTGATTACACTAACATCTCTTGCTTTAGGAATTTTATTTTGGACCTGTCATTTCTTAAGCGCCTTTCGTGCACTTTTAACGATGTAGATATTGGAGAATATTCAGCAGATGTGTACATCTACAATAAATGTATTCTTTTAGCATCTAAGAGAAAATGTAACCGAGACTTTTGCCAGTGATGTGAACTTACTCTCATTTTTGAGATATAATTTGATGACCTATTGCATTTTTGGGTTCCATCCATCATTTCTTGTATTTTTGCGGTGGCCCAAATGTGTAGCATTCGAAATACGTCTTATTTCGATTAGGCCAAATGGTAAAAACCCGGGTACTTTACAAAAAACAATCGAAGGCGTTTTTTAGTGAATAGGATCCTAGGAGTTTTGGAAAGGCGCTTTTGTAAAACTGCAATCGTGATTACAACTATTTTCGAAAACGTGTTTTAGACGCTTTCTTAAAACGCATGGTGTAATTCAAGCAAGTAAGTCTCACTTACCATGAAATCTCTCCCCAGGGTTTCTTGTCCCATAAACGTTGCACCCTCGGGGACACATCCATCAAAGGGAGCAAAGGACTGCGCCTCTACCTGACACGTTCTCGCTGCTTTATTTATATTGTATTGCTTCTTTGCCACGTTGTCCTGTATGAAGTTCTTATTTGGTAACTCCTGTCCATTCATCATGATGATCCCCTCAAATGCGTTTCTTTTATTGCGACGATCAAACCACCAGTGGCCACTCATATACTGGCCCGCACCTTGACCACTAATACTGAAGCCTTGAGTCACCCGAATATCACCCTACAGAATAAAAAGGAAAACACGAATTTAAAAGTGTAAATGCCAGAACATACACAGGATGGCCCAAAATAGACATCAACACATATTTTGCTTGAGATGTAGGACCAAATTATTCTTCCCATCCTGTACACATTGTTAGCCACAATTTTTGTGATTGGCTTTGAGAGTCAGTATCAGTCTCAGTGTTTTGGAGCTAATGTATAACAAACAAATTGTCGAACTTTTGTAATTTGGAATACCTGATACCGATCTGTAGACTTTAATATAAGCAATCATAGGCTTTCAAGAGATCTGTTGAAAGCCCGTGAAGCAATATAGCTTACAGTGTTTGTTACCTGTCTCCAGATTTACATTTAATACATTTGGTGACGACGTGGTTACTACAATCCAAAGAAATTACTTAACTTTGAATGAGGGTTGTTCACGCTGAGTATTAGCATCTTGGATTACCAAGGTATGAAGATTCATGATTGAAAATCAAACTGGTGAGCGGGTATGAGTATATCAGGGGTCATCTCAAAATTCTACTTGTAAACCATTAACGAAAAATACTCTTTGGAATATGGAACTGTTACACCCTACCAAAAATAAACGAAATCAATTATGTGTAGAATTTAGTACCAAATAACATGAATAAAAAAACATAGAAACCTGTGATAGCTCTGGTGGACAGCATTTTGCAGGAATCGTGATTTGATTATTCAATGGATTTGCTGTCACAACTGCGAAAACCGCAAACAAGCCAAGTATATATGAACACATCATGATATGATAATTCTGAAAGAAAAATTTACAAGAATGCAACATGACAAGTTATATGGCTTTCCTCTTTTCGTATTTTGCTGCGTATTTAAATTTCACTTACGGACGGTGAGTAAAAGTAGCTAAGCTGGATGCAACTTAAAGTAATTTACAACTTCACTTTGAGGAACGTTACATAAATCTCGGGCATAAATGTAATCTGAGACTAATATACCCCGAGTAGGCGCCGACAGTCACAGTTACACTTATATTTTCAGTAAGATACTATATAGATTTACCTTTTTGGAAGAATATTCTACGGTAAGTGTTGTAAGTGTTCTCCCGTGGAGGTGTTCTTCTTTTCTGATCTATTTGTCAGTTTGTTTCGTTGTTATTGTGACTGTTGGAGCGAGCTGTCATTTTATAGGAGACACGACACGTACTTATCAACCATGATGATTGATGAATCACCGACTCAGATAATATAATATTCTACTTGTTTACTAGCTTTAATATTCATCATAATTTACGTACCAAGGTTCACAGAGGAGGACATCACAAAGATCACATATGCCATCGAGGTCACGCGGTCAAGGTTGCCCATTTACATTATGCAGTTACACCAAACTGTAATTTCAAAGGAAACCAGCAAATCAAAAAATAACTTACTGTTGACCGCCATTTAACATGTTTAAAATATAAACAGTATTCACAAATACCGGTAATTGATCAGTTGCAAAGAAATGAATCTCCTTCTGGGAGAAAATAACTTCTGTCATGTGATCATGAATCGATGATAAGTACTTTAATTTTCAGGTCTCTATTAAGGTACCTAAATACAATGTAAATAGATAACAGCTATTGACATTATGTATGTCACTTACTTGAAGATACAAATATTGAAAGATCAATTTGAAGCATAACTTTTGGGCCTTTTTGACCTTCAATATCTCAAAATTGAGACTCCATACTTTTATTTTAACAGACTTGTCCCCCGGGACACAAATATAGATATTTTATAAAAATGAATGTATTTAGGATCATCTTGATCATGGACTGTTCTACAAACACGCATGGAATAGCTGTACTAAAATCACAATGAAATGAAAAACCATGAAATTTTAAAATTATTTTATAAGTATCATTACAACACTTTTCATGAATCCTATGTTGTAGTACTAAACAGTAACATGCAAAATGTTACCACCTGCCATTTGTTACAGATGATGAACCCTGACTGCTGAACACCAACCAACAAACAAAAAATAGCTGGATACTAACAATATGTCACCACTTCTGATGGTGACATAAAAAAGAACATTTGAAAGTGTGATTTCTTTATTAAAGTATGAAATTAATTATAGAAAATGTATTTTATTGTTCAAAATGGAATTTTGTAACAAATTACTGAAAAGAAAGAAAATTGCATACAAGCCTATTCAATTATTAAATCTATTTTATAAACCAGGTAATGTCTGTACAATTAATGAAATAAATACTAAAGAAACAAAGCATTGACGTGCAAAATGTCACCACCTGTCATTTGTTACAGATGCCAAACTCCCAACACCAACCACCAAACACAAACTGCCACCACAAAAAGTTGGAGACTAAAACATTGTGGTGGTGAAATAAAAAGCCTTCTGAAGCTGTGTTAATTTTTGAGATTGCTCAAAACTTTGTGGATCTCATTATGAGCCCACCATCTTTGTCATCTGTCATAGTCAGTGGAAATTCAACTTTGATACATTAGAATTCCACAGGTATGTTGTAAATAAATGTTTTAGTCTTTTATAATATTCAGTTGATATTTTTTGGCAGAATTGTCATTATAAACACTGTTTTTGGCAAGGAAACATTTCTATTACACATAACTTTTCCTATGTTTGCATTTCAATTTTAGACTAAGATTGTGTTGTTCAATACTCATAAGATCACTATTGAATTAAATGCAAGGTAATATTAAGGTTGTTTTCCATTTAAGACTTAGATAATAGTATAGTATCAGTCTACAATATTTTTAATGAAGCATTGGCACAATAATTTCTATTTTTTCATTCTCCTAGCTTTTACAAGATAATTATTACTTTCTATGACATGAGACCTTGGTCGCTCATAATTAAACCCAACAATTTGTTCTTTGCTGGGTGGTAACTGTTTTGTTACTATGCCAGTTATTGTGGTAATCTGATTCTCTCTTATTGTAAATCTCTGTCCAGGTTGAATAACCATTGGTTTTCGCAACATTATTTTCAAGACAGGAGCATCCCCTGGCATTACCATGCTAACGTTTTCAGGCATATTTACACAGCAGTCTATGCTCCATGTATTGCTATACATAAGTTGTATATAACGGTCCATCAATGGTTTTGATCTGCCTCCCTCTGAACGTAACAGTACATATGACTGAGCTTCAAAATGATCACATTGAGTCAGCGTATTAGCAGCACATAAGAACATACCCCTTCTAACGAATTCAGGCTTTACACCACGTAACAGAATTCCAACATTGTCCCCAGCCTGGCATTGTGGCACAGATTTCCTGAAGACTTGGAGGTCTGACAAAGCAGTAGTGATCTTATTCCCATAACCAATCAAATTGGCTTCAGCTCCCTTCTTGAGAATTCCCTGTGTAACTGTTCCGATAGCAACTGTTCCTCTGCCTGGCACAGTGAATGAAGAATCGATTGGCATGATAAATGGACCATCAATTTTTCTTTCTGGGATTTTGATGTGAGAATCTAATGCATTCATAAGTTGTTTGATTGAATCCCTTCCAATTTCGACATCCCGATCTTCCAACGCTGCAAGGGCTGATCCAGAAACAACTGGTGTGTTTTCTGAATCAAAACCATATTCAGCAAGCAAGTCCCTCACTTCCATTTCAACAAGTTCTATTAATTCAGGATCAGCCAAATCTGCTTTGTTCAAGTAGACCACAATGTTTTCAATTCCTATTTGTTTGGAGAGCAGTAAATGTTCACGGGTTTGTGGCATTGTTCCGTCAGTAGCTGATACAACCAAAATAGCACCATCCATCTGAGATGTTCCCATTATCATATTTTTCACATAATCGATATGTCCTGGACAGTCCACATGAGCGTAATGCCGATTGTCCGACTCATATTGAACATTGGCAGTATTGATTGTTATGCCTCGTTTTTTCTCTTCTGGAGCTTTATCAATGTCATCAAACTTGACATATTTGATGTCACCTTTCAAAAGCTCAGACTGGACCTTTGTGATGGCAGCTGTCAACGTAGTTTTACCATGGTCTACATGACCGATTGTTCCCACATTGCAATGTGGTTTTCCAACAGAAGCTGTACACAAATACTGAGACGAAAACACTGTGACATTTGTGTATCGAGAAACATTATTTAATTTTCTATGGGAAAAAGGTACTTTAACATTCCATTTTCGAGAAACCAATGTGCTTTTTGAGAAAAATGAGTGCAAAATACGAAATTTCGAAATCGTGATCACCATCTTGGATTTTTTGTTTCCGGTTAAAAATAGTCCTACGCCGGATTATAAGGATGATTTTAGCATTAAGAGATAACAAAGAGTTGAGATAACACAAGAAAATTGGAACAATAGACTGATACTTAAGCGCCTCTGGATATTTAGTTTTATGATATTTTATGATAAAGAAATTTCATTAGCCTAAATGACTTATATTCTGCGTAATGTTTTCCGTCGAGGGAATAGTTCGGCACCGAAAATTTCACCACAGATTGTAAACATAATCATCTGTTATACTTGACCTTCTTTATCAGTTTAGCAACAATAGAGACTATTGCGAAATACATGGGCTTAGACCTATATAAAGCAACGGTGAAATTGTGAAATCAAGTCAGTGCTCTGCTTACTGAAGCATTGTACAGTTGAGATCTGACAAGAAGGGATTTGATATTTGGATCAAATCTAGGCTAGCCTAAAGACTGTAGGCTACAACTCATACAAGCAACAGCAAAAAGGACTGTGTTCGAAGGTTGTTTTTGAAAGTTACGAACTGTTTTTCAATTCAGTAGAAGCTATTGAATCGTCAACTGAGGCCACCCTTTCAGAGCTTCTAACTACAGCAAATCTGTTTTCATCGGCTGCTTCAAGTATTCCTACAACAACCATCACATTGATGTCAAGTAGTCAGTCTGAAATTTGCAAGTTTTTCAGAGGTCGAAAAGGTTGCAAAAATGGAACAAATTGTCAGTTTTTACATGAAGGTGGCCCACCAGATGATCAACAGAGGAACGAACATGGACACCCTGAAGAACAGGTGAACTCCAGAACCGATGACAACTATGAGCTTGAAACCACTGAAGATGTAAATCATAGAATTTGTTGGTTCTTTGCAAATGGCAAGACCTGTCGATATGGCAAAGATTGCCGTTTTCTACATATAGAGGAGAAACTTACTGCCCCTGCAGAATCCTCTACTGAAAACGCAACAACTCAAGATGAACCTGACCCTGAGCATGATAAAGAACAAAAGATGGGAAATCGTAAGAAGAAGCATGATGAGAAGGATGTTAGGATTTGTGACTTTTATGCCAAGACTAAAAGATGTAAATTTGGCAACCGTTGCAAGTTTGCCCATATTTACAAAGCTAAACCAGAGATGGGCCAGAAGTCAAAAACTCCAAAGGACAGAACCAAAACGCTTAAACCTGAACCAGAAGATGCTCCAGGAGCATTAGCTAGAGCACCAGTTTGCAGGTATTTTAAAGAAGGACATTGTCGATCTGGCAATTCCTGCAAATTCTTTCATCCAGAAACAACAGCCAAACCCCTTAACCCAAAGGTGGAGCAGTCCAAATATCCCAAAGTTCAACCAGTTAGGTTCCAAGAGAGAGTGATGCTCAACAAATTAAGTGATTCAGAGATCGATAAAATGAGAACATCAGAAATTGAGTCACTAAAGAAACGTTTCCCAAAGTTCAGCTTCATAAAAGAAAATGATGGCTATGAGGTTGTGTTCTGCTCTACTGATCCAGACTGGGTAAGATTTTATTTTCTTGAATTTTTAAAAATAAACTTTGAATGCTTATCAATTTCCAATGCAATTTGCATGTTAAGTAAAACATCTGTCTCACGAAAATTGGATTTATCTGGCATAATGTACTAAAATTTATCCAATGGATATTGAATCAGTAAGTCTATATGAGAATACCAAAACAGGATTCTGGTATGCACTACTGAAATTGTATCTGACAATATCTTGATATATTACATGTTGTTACTTTCAGCCATATGATGTTAAAGATGTGACATTTGCTGCAATATTTCCAGTGGATTACCCAATAAAGGTAGTATAGTTCAATTAAATCATTTTAACAGTTTTGAAATCTACTTTAATGTAAGAATCCCCTGATGTTTTCTTAATCAAGATGAGTTTTATTTTAACACTAGAATGCAGACACTTCTGAGAAATACCTCACCTGTTGGCCTGCATCATTTCCCTGATCATTAAAATGTCAATCTCTTATGCTTTTATACATATAAACTGTCAACATGTTTCAGCCACTTTGCATTAGTCTTCCCAGAGAACAAGAGATCCCAATCTCTGTACAAGATAATATAACTGAAGCTGCAACTTCATGGATCATGACACGTCATCAAGCCCTGATGAATGAAGGAAAGGTGGAGATGATGTTCAAACCTATGTTAAAATGGCTGGATAGAAAATTAGAGGACCTCTTCACTGAGGGTTTGAAACAGGTAAGATGGCAACTTAAAAACAATTTTTTCATGTTGTTCTTGAAATAATAAATTGTACCCAGTTGAAAATTAATTTGCATGCATCTGAAAATGAGAAAATCATGAGAAATGTGAATGTTGATGTTTTGAACTTTTTTTGATAATTTGAACCAAAAAGTAAAATTCTTGAGAGGAAGCATACTGAGAAGTGTTTTAGAGAACAGCAAATGCTATACACTACACCCTATCAATAAGGACTTAACTGTTTAATACCAGTATTTGTTTATTCCATTACAGTACAGGAGGGAGCTGATGCTAGCCCAAGCCCAGGCAGATGGTTTTGAGTTCATACCAGCAAAACAAGCTACTGACCAACGACCTTTAGAGACCCTTGGGACAGATGAAACCCCCGAAGACAATAACAAACAAGAAGAAGTCACATATATCAATAACAAACCTGAAGATGAAGCTTCATCAGTTGCATTGACAGACATATCAAACACTGACCCTAAATCCACTAATGCTAAAAACGAGCCTAAACAAACAACTTCTCAACAGGAAACTGACAAAACTGTCAACTCAATAATTGATCCAATCAGAAAGGGTACAGAAGCTACACTGAAGAATTTACAATTGAAGGAGAATACAGCAACATTACTGGCCAAGAAGATCATGGTTGTGGTACAGTGTGAGAGATGTAAAGGTCGATGTGATATAACAACTCCTCCAAATAGACTCAATTCCATTCCTTGTGCCAAATGTAACAGTGACCAGCTATTGACCTTTAGGTGAGAAATTTTATAGCTCATAATATGTGATACGCTCTACATGCTATAAAATTTGGTAGTTTTCAGAAGTTTTTGAAAATCCAATACTTTAATGTGTTGACAGTGTTTTTGACCAAAATTTGCGGAAATTATAATTTTAACATGTTAAACAAAATTTCTCAAACCAACAGTCATCTTCAGTAAAAACAAGCAGTGAAACTAGCCTTTTGTTAGCTGCTTCACAGTATTAAGTATAAAACGAATAAATCATATGTTATGTAACATGACTCTACTGATATGGTTCATTTTGTGTTACTGTGTTTATAGGCCTGCTATGATGCATCAGTTCTCCTCTATATTGGGTTACTTTGATGTCAAGGGATGTCTTGTCTTAGATCTCATCCTGCAAGAATGTGATTTCATGACTGGCTGTCTCAACTGCTCCAAGGAAGTCAAATTATCAGTAAGTTGTTTTCTGCATGGGTGAAGTCTTCAAATGTTGCATGCTTCATATGCTTTATAAATAGAGAAGGTGTTCATATATCAAGTAGAAACAGAATAATTATTTCACAAATACAAATGTATGAATGCATTACATTTTTTTTATTTCATCTCTTAGGGTCTGAATCCTGGACAGGCAAACACCATGTGGTGCCAGATTTGCCATTCCAAGTTATTGGTTGCTACGGATACAACACAATTTAAACAGTTACAGCCATCTGAAGGTTTTGGTGAGTGAAAAACAATTTATATCACAATGAATAAAACACGTAGCAAGTATCAAAGCCACACAGTGTCCATTCACTGTAATAACACATTCAATCATTAAAGCTAAAGCTCTTTATGTCTGACAGATTTGCACTAAAAATAAATTCCAAAATATTGCATCTTCAGAAGATCCCAAAGTAATCTATTGGCAACAAATTTAACATTTAAATGTCTGAAATTGAAAGAATACGGACCATGCCCAGTTTAACCTGACTTGTAACCTTCCTCGCAGTAATTATTAAATAAATTCTTGTGGAATTGTAGACCAACAAGCCAGCCATGTAATAAAGGTTGCAAAAGCAGTTAAGGCAGTAAAGGACCCCTCAGTCAAGGAAGGCAAGCCACTACCAGATAATGGCACATGTAAGCACTACAAGAAAAGCTACAGGTGGCTCAGGTAAGGAGATGCAATCAATTTAGAGCTTCAATGGAAAGGATACATTTTAGGTTAAATGGAAAATTATATCAGCTCTTTATTATTTTTCACGTAAGAATTGTTCCGAATCTTTAGCTCCAATAAATAATATTGTTTACATTTTTTAGTGGTTTGGTGTTTGCCATTCAGTGTCTGTAACAAAGGGCAGGTGGTGTTCATGTCTTTCAAATTTGTTTTTGTTCTAGGTTTCCTTGCTGTGGTAAATGCTACCCCTGTGATGTATGCCATGATGCCCAGGAAGGAGATCATGATATGAAGCTTGCCAATAGAATGATATGTGGTTTCTGTGCACATGAACAGGTGAGTGACAAAGCCATTTCTCTTATTACCAAAGTGCTAGTTGGTAGTTTCACCCCAGGTTACTTAAGGTGGCTAATTCAGCTCAGATTTCATAACAGACCATGCTAGATATAGGAAGAATATTCATTAGATTTAGTGGAACCTTTTGGAGTTTGATGAATGTACATTTGAAAATGCACCTGTGGAAAAAATGTAGTTCCACTATTCATGATTTTATAACAAGGGCTCTATTGGAACAATCTACCTGACCTCGTCATAAATTAAGATTTTAAAGCTGATGAAAATTTTTTAAACCACAATTTTATAATTTGATAATAGTAATTTTATATTTAGATTTCAAATATGATATCACTTTTGACTAAATTTTGAATACTTCATCTTGCACAGCTTCTTAAAGGGACAAACCTTTTAAACCCAAATCCCAAAAATCATTAAATTGAGACAATTTGTAAACTGGCACCATCAATATGCTTAGTAATTTTGTCTGTCATGTACATGTGCAGAGGAATAACCATATCCTGTTGTAAATAGCAATAAGACAGATAGTAGAGAGCATGTTTCACATTTTATTATTCATCTTCCAGCCTTATGCAGCTGAGAAGCCATGTACCTTGTGTGGCAAATCTATGACCAATCGCAGCACAGCATTTTGGGAGGGTGGAAAAGGCTGCCGTGATAAAATCAAAATGAGCAAGTAGGTTCTTCAACTTTAAAGGTTTATAATGCAGTTGTATGTCATAAATAAGTCAGGATCTAAAAACTAAAAACTGATGAAAAAAACTTGCTGAGGTAAGCTAAAGAAGGTATATTACTCCATTTCAACTTCATTCCACAGCTTTTGATGAAAAAACACCGAGAGGTAATATTTCTCACTTGGCTCATGCCTGGCTACACCCATGATGATATACATGTATTCAGCAATCAAAGTCAAGGATGAAGATTTCAGTTGTCCCAACCCAAACCTAGATATCAAACTTAGCAAATAATATCCCCATTAATTTAATAAACAAGTGATATTCTCAAAGCAAAAATATTGTGTCACTAATTGACTCAACGGTCCTGATTATATGAGATTACTTTAGCACCCATTCATTTTAGCATTCTTTCAAAAGAAACCATTCTTTGCTAATGGTTAAATCTACCAAGAAATATTAACCAATCATATTGTTCTATTTTCAGAGATGAGAACAGGAAGTTTGCAGGGGCAAACAAGACTGTTTCAAAGAAAGCTCAGGCGAAGAAAGATCCTTCATCTAAAAAGACTGTCAAAGTTAGACATGCTTAGATCATGTCAAACATTTTTATAGATTTTGATGAAATTTAGTCATCATGGTTCCATATAAAGTGCCCAGAAGCAATATAAAGAGAGATCCTAATTACTGATCTTATATGATAGACTACTATTAAACTGCTGATATGCAAGATTTGATTGAAATGTCAGCAACAGACAACTCTGGCAAGGTTAGAGTGGCAATTTAGAGCTAAAATTGATGAGTTTAACAGAAATATGAGTATAAGATACATATGTATTTTATCTAAGCACTACACAGCTGTTGCAGTGTTCTAACTATGGATTTTTATCAAATTTTACCATGTGCTGTATAAACCAGAAAGGTGATATTGTATAATAGGGCAAGTAAAGGATGAAACAAAAAGTGAAATACTCAGAAACAATAAGTTTGAGATAATATTCAAACAAAATTTTGTTCACTCTTAAAAATGTTCTTATTTCTGGTCAGTTTTGGCATTTGTTTTTGAACACACACATATATTTGGCAAAAATATGGCTTTTTAATCAGACTGACACTACTTTTTATTGCCTCTGGTATTACATGTTACTTTATTTCCAAATATTTGGTAATGAATGTGGATTAGCTGGCTTAAAATTTAGTATGAGAATCTACTATTTTGAGTATTCGTTTCAGACCAAGAGTAAGTACAATTTAAATTCTTTGTACTGGCATGATATTCAATCAAATAAATATTTTGTAATAAATTATAAAATCTGCAAAATATTAAATACAATACAAAATAATCTAATTAATTTATATAATATTTTATTCATTAATTTCTTTTCAACAAGCTCATTTCATGCATAAAGCAGTCTTGCTAATGACCCTGTGTTACCTGCTATCCTCTCAAACAAACAAATCATGTTGAATACTAAAAAGCGAGAGAAAGGTAACATAGGGTTCACGCAAAACCATACACATAGTTGGAAATGTCCCTTCTTCGAACAGTTTAATAGCATTATTGACAAATTATTTGTGTCATTAATTCAAATGATATTCCCTTACAAGACTTATCTCACTAAATCTCACTAATCCAGTCCCTATCTTTCGATCCTTCAGATTTAACGTCAGGTGTCATTCAATTGTGGCTCAGGTAATGCATGGGTTTTAGACTAAAGTCAATCTCATTGCACTGGAAACAAGCATTTTGCTATAATTTGTGATAACATTTTTTAAACATTTTTGATTCAATATTTTTCCATTAGCCTAGTTGTTATTAAACCAAGAAAAAAAATTCAATGAGAATTTAATATGGTGAAAATAAAAATCAAAAACATGCAAATGAGGGAATAAGAATTTTTAATGCACTTGCACTTCATATACATATCATTATTTGGGGATGTGTACTGCAAGGGACCACCTCAAAATGTACAAATCAAACTAATATTCAACCTGTTCCCTCCTATTCTTTTACCACAGGAACATTCATTGGCAAATTGTTCTATGACATGTGCATTCTAAATTTTTCATGAAAAGTGGTTAAATTCCACTAGCATGCGTAGATAAGGTGTCCTTTCTGAAGATAAATTGTCAAAGAAAATCAATACATATACTAACAACTCAGAAATGCGTAGTGAGTTTGGCAAACTTTCAAGCAAGTTCCTTCATTTAGCCTCTTTGCATTGGTTGAACAGGAAACAGAAATTATCCAATCAAGCTCTCCTGGTTAGTACTGAAATGACTGAGTAAATATGTAGACACAAACATAACATTCTAACATTTTGCCAAAAGGTGGTACAATGATAGGTTCGTTTACTACATCTTCTGGTAACAAACTTATCATTGTGACCACAAAATGCCCCAACATATACACCTATTGCAAGTGTTCATACCCTTTTTGCTGTAATTTATTGCACTCATGAAATCGATTGATAATCTGTATGCTACATCAATAAAATCTTGAATGAACTACTAGTACTTATTGATGTGTTAATAGATCACCAGCAATACTCCAATGCAGGTAAAATTCATCAAAGTAAAAGTGCATAATGACCACCACTATTTGTGAGCTTTTCTCGAACCACTAGAAGCAAGCATCACACTCTTGCCCTATATCGTTTAAGCTAGATGGTATCAAGTCGAGGTTTATGAACTCAAACAGGGCAAAGATGGAAATACTGTACATATTTGTCTTTAATTTGGCGAGCGTTTTAAATTGGTGAATTTTGGCGAATAAAATCAAAAAATCGCCGTATTAAATATTTGTCAAAATTCCCAGGAATTTGGCTTATTTTTTTTCTTCGGTGTATTTCCGGGCCATTTAAATTAATAGAAACAACAAGAAATATTGAAGAAATTTATATTAACAAGGAATGTTGAAGGAATTGTTCTGGACCAACACTGACAATGAGTATTATGAATTTTGTAAGACAGGAGGATGTCAGGGACACTTGAAAAACTGCCAAATTAAATAGACGCCAATAGGCCCAGAAATACAAAATTAAGTAGCGCAAGTTAAATACAGTAACATGTTTTAAAAAGATAGAGCCTGATTGAAATTTAAGGTATTATCAATTTCATGACTGAAACATACTTTACTTTTTGCAAATCTGAATTTATCCATTGTAAGTAAGGGAGATATGGTTGAGTACAGTATCAGAATGGAATTTAGCTGCAGTTGAGACCCGGGCCACTCTTTGTTGCGTCTCATGAATTCTACATCCTAAATGTATATACATTTAAGTTGGTAAAAATTACAGTTTTTTACAGCACCGTTTGCATCTGCTTCAATTTTGCCAATATATATAGCACAGTGGATTAAAAGGTTTTCTCCATATGGCATTTATACTCTGTTTTGATACTGATTGTCTGAAAATTTCCACACTGGAATAGCCTGACAACGATAAAGTCAGATACCGTTATCACAAATGGCGAACATAATTGTCACTTCAACTCTTCAATCACTTGTATTGGTCTTTGTTTCATGGGACTTTATAGTTGCTTATTTTGTGCATGTGTTAAGCTCTTGTGATGATGTATCATATGAAATCCCAATTTCGATTTTAAATAATTCACCATATGCCATTGTCTTTGTAAATTATCCCAAATTCAGATTCCATTGTCATTGACGATATCGAAGGCGCTATATTGTGGCGATTCACAACCCAATTTGATCGAAATTGGGATTTCATATGATATATTATCACAAGAGCTTAATACATGCACAGAATTAGCGACTATAAAGTCCCCTGAAACGAGGACAGAGTGATAGAATAATTGAAGCGACGGTTGTGTCCGCCATTTGTGACAATGGTATCTGACTTTACCGTTGTCAGGCTATTTCGGTATGAGCCTAGTTACTTCAGTGATACTTGAAGATGCCAAATTAACTTAAGGCACCAATAATACAAATTAACTCCCCAAAAAATCAAAATAAATAGGCGAGTTCAATCTTACTTCTGAATAAATAACTTAGATCCATTACTACTACTGATCATGAATCAGATTCAGAATGTACCTGGTACATGTATGCCTTTAACTGTCATGTCATTTTTATTTGGAAACATGTCCAAATATTGATAGTAGAGTATGCATAATTAATTAATAACATTTCATGGGAAATGAAAACATTTCACAACTATTGACATCTGGACATGGTTCCTTATTCTTTTTCAGTAATGTCAGAGTGAACAATCCTTACTTATGTAGCTACAGGTGTGAATAATTATCCACATATGGCTTGGTTGATTTGAATACGCTGACATTTCCCATAGCAGCTTTCAAATGAAGTATGATCAAATAATAAAAATGTAGTTTCTGTAAGCATTCCTTTAAAAAACTGTCTCCTTTAAAAAGCCTGCCAATACTGTAGTCGTATTTCAAGGTCAGTTTGTATTTTTATATAAGATGGTCCAATGCGTTCTCTCTGTTGTTATCAGTTAGAACTAAAGCTTCTTTAATCTTGTCTTCAGCAAATCCCAGCTCTGCCAGTTGACCCATCACTTCAAGATATTCAGAAGCCTGAAAATTACAAATACATTGCCTGGGTGAACATGAACAACAAGGATGTCAACTCTGGAATAGAGAAAAACAGATTTCAAAGGCACATATTTCACATCAGTGCACCCAACCAATCAGGGGTTAATATCTCCAAATCTTGTCAACTTAAGAATCTGTCTGCTTTTCAAAAATCTGTGAAAGTTTGAACTATTGATTTGAAAATCTGAAATTGACTCCCAGAATAACCACAATCCAGCAATGTTCTGAGGACAATCTTATTAACTCATCAAGATAATGATTACAGTAGTTGCTAATAACAACCAAGGTTTCAGGCTTCATATAAAAATGATTGGTACTTCATAGACTGATGAATTGGTACTTTTTTTGTGTTTTTGTTGATATGAGCACTAACCTTTTCTTCATTGTTGTCATATAAATTTAGAGCATCCTCTGCTTTATCTCCATGGTTACCTTTCTCTATAAGTCTGTTCACAGAGCACAGGTAATCAACAACCTGGAGAGTAACATTAAACACAGTATAATTACTGGATTTTACGCCACTTTAAAGTGTTTAAAAACATATAAATATTTTGTTTCATCATTGAAATTGCAAATGACTATAGCAATATATGTACTTTGTAGGTGCAGAATTATCTGCTTACTTAGAATGGCCCATTTCAAATGTGTTGAAAAGTATGTGGTCCTCAGCTACACTGGGAAATTTACTTCCATTAGACACTCATAAATATGTATATACAGTGAACAGTTTGTTACCTTCATGCATCATGGTCTTAGAAATAAATATTTACTGGCAAAATATTCTGGGTGTTATCAAATGTTTATTAAACTGGATTACCAAAACAGATCAGAATCTGCCATATGCTTGGAAAACTCCCCTTTTCAATAACTGGTTGGACAGCCTTAATAATAATTTAAAATAATCAAGGAACACTGACTTAAATGTTGAATAAGTATTCTGTTGAGAGTGCTGACTCAAGCTTTAATGTCATGTAACTACTTTCACACTGCTTTATCCTTGTAATATTACCCTCCCCCATTGTAAAACCTTCTAATACACCACTTTGTAACGCCAGTGTATTACACTCAATGCTATATGCCAACATGTCCCTAGTAAACACCATTTCTCAGTATATGTTCCATTGACTTCTGACAATCTGTACAGTGAACACTTACTCATACTGACCTATGTTCACTATACACAGGTTTTACTGTACACATATAAACTAATGAAGTACATTACTACATACCATTTTATCATCCTCTTTGTATTTTTCAACAGCCCTAGCCACCCTGGTATGTGGAAACCCCATTGCAGATATATTATCCACTAATAGTTTGTGTTCACTTGAAAGACGAGGGTATGGATTGGGGAGACTAGTTATTGCCGAGGGTGTTGGACTAGCCCCATAACCATTATGGCTCTGAAATAAGAGAAACATATTTTTCTAATCAATGTTATTTGGCCACTGAATATTGATTGCAAAATTGCCCAACCTTTGGTAGTGAGCAGTCTTATTTTTCCCTATGAGGAATCTAAAAGCACGAATTTTGAAGCAGCATTCAGTGATCTATAACAGGTCCGAATATATATTTTTTGTTTTACTACTGTTGTTTACTTTCAAGTCTCTCTTGACCATTCAAACAATTTTGGGAGTAATTTTAAAATTTCCTGGACTTGTTTTTTGAAAAATGATGTTTAATATATTAGCTCCACCAAATATATATTCCTATAAAATCAGAGAGATTAGTGCCTTTAAATGGGTTTCATGAAGTCCAATGAGTAATGAGAATAACTTTTTGTTTAAATAAAATATAGAAAATGAATATATACCTGAGGGGGTTCTGTTAATGGAGATGGACTATGTCTATATGGTGGAGGTGATGAACCTAGGGTGTATGGGGGTGGGGGTGATGAGGATTCATCTGGCACCTTGGTAGAAACGGGGTATGGCGGTGGTGTTTTTGAAACGGGGTATGGTCTTTTTGTCTGTGATTTTCCCATTGGTTTTCTCAGGCCTCCTATTTCAGTTAAATCTGGATTGCTTTTGCACTTTTGCAGCCTGGTCATATTTTGCACATCGTCTCTATTTGCATTTAAATCTTTGTGTAAGCTCTCAATACTTTTTGCAGCAGTTAGTCTGCCTTGATTAGAGACATGATTAGATTGTGGTGTAGGGACTGGCACAGGTTGGGATGCTCTACGAGGAGTATATGGAGGAAGCTGCCAAGGGTTATAAGGGCCATTTGCTGCAATTGCATCATGTGAGTTTACAAAACTGTTTTGAACAGTTCCTGTGGCAGCAGATGACTGGACAGGGGTGCCATTATGTGTGCTAGCTGAATTGTTTGTATTGCAGCTATTACTATAGAGACTACTAGAATATCGGTTTTGAGCATCTGTAGCACCAATAGAGGCCAGGGTACAATGTGGTATTCGTGGTAACCCAAATTCATCCTGATCACTAAAACTACTACCAATAGGGGGCAGGACCTGTCCTCGAGTGAATGGATTACTTGCCGAATTATTCGCTGCACTACTACTGGGAACTGACACTGCTGTCTGTTGGTTAATAGAGCGAGGGATTTTAACATTAGAGGGAACAGTTGGGAATGTTACAGCATCGGAATTTTTGTTAAAACTGACTGTGCCCTGATTTAACGTAGCTGTGGGTTGTGTTCTGATGGTTTGGTTTATACTGTTGGAGGGCCTATTTAAACTAGCAACAGCCTGAGCCCTTTGCTCACTATATTGCTGAATAGGGGGTCCACTTGTTGCAGAACCTTGAATAACTGGCCTGTTTAAGTCCATTGCCCCACCATTGGGCATAAATGTATCTTTGACTACTCCAGGTTGAATACCTGATTGTGAAACTGCAGAAGTCACTTGTGTGTTTTGTAAAACTTTTCCCAATTCTTCAAAATCGTTAAGAGTTTTAAGCTCAACACTATCAAAAGGATCTTGCACCCTTTCAAAATCAGCCAAATTAAAAGAAGTTGACCTTTCTGCAGGTTTTGGCTGGTTGGTTTGTTTATTTGGTTGAATTTGAACAGGTTGAAGAATATTATTCCAAATATTCAGCGGCACATCTACACTAGGCACCTGTGCTACAAGAGGTGCCACATTCTCCGTTGATCTAATTTGCTGATCCGAAACATGATTTTGATCATCATCATCTGGCTCTGGCATAATTGTATGAGACCCTTCTGGGGCAAAATCAGCACCTTCTATATCAATATCCATGCTATCATTGTCTTTTCCTAGTTGTTCTATGTTAGTGGCAATATTATCAAAGTGAGCCTGCTCCTCCATGAGCTGACTCTCCTTCTGGGCTTCTGTCCATTCTATCACATCAGTCTCCAGTGTAAAGTCATATTGCAGGTTTAGGATTGACGATATGTCCCTCTGTTGAAAATTCAGGGGGAGAGTCACCTGCAAAATAACAATATAAATAATACTCATATTATTATGTTTATAAATTTTATCTATCATTTTATATCTTTATTTTAGCTGGATTTTCAGATAATATTTTTCTTTGATATGAAGTTATTTACTAAGCAGTAAGACTTATGTATAAAGAACGGTTCCATTCTTACCAAACTGTTCCTCGCAGACAATGTTCCCTACGGAGGAAAACTTTTTTTGACAACTGCTTCTCAAAGAGAGAAGTTCCTTAGAGATGTGCCTTTAAAATGAAGTATACTTGGTCTATTGGCCTTCCCTTATTTTTCATTGAAAAGTCCTATAAGGTTAAATGGATTGTACCTTTTTCAATGGCTTGTACTTGTCAGATAGTTTAATTGGTACACCATCTATAGGGGGAAATGCACTTCCAGCTCCTTGAGATAGCTCTTCCCACGACATCTTTCTCTAAACAAGATCACTCTAGATACTGCATCAATATAGGAGCAAATTGTGAACCAAAAGTTCTGAAAATGCAAAAAATAATTTGAATGTTACTGTATGTACAGCCCATTTCACTGTTTTATTTCGTCAGTAGAACCCCATAAATAAGAAATAAGGAGACCATTGTGCAATAATATATGGAGTATATTCATATTGTACATGAATGACATTTGTATATTTCAGATTATCCCATGGGTACAAGGATATAGATCGAATATCACATGAAGATATAATTGATACGTGGATGAAGATATCATATTTTAGCAAACAATTCCCAAACCATCGAATATCACTTTTGAAACCATCGAATAACACTTTTTGAAAGGTGATATTCGATGGTTTTAAAAGTGATATTCGATGGTTTCAAAAGTGATATTCGATGGTTTTGATTTTTTCAATTTTTTTTATTAATTCAGCAAAACAATTCTTTATATTTTTTCAATTTTTTGGATCTAGTTTTTACGACGTTCGCATTAAATACAAACCATCCTGTTACGTCACGTTTATGACGTTCGTTGAATTATTGTGTGTATTTTATTGTTATGAATATTAATGTTGAAATAAATCTTGTTGAAGTTGATCTGACTATTCAATGTTTGCTGGATAATAATTCCCCATGGGATAAACGGACAATCCTATGGTTTTTCAAAAATATCACTTATATCCACTCATGGATATCAGTATCTTCACTCATTCGCTGCGCTCACTCGCGAAGATATCAATATCCACTCATGGATATAAGTGATATTTTTTCAAAGCCATAGGATATTCCTATATTATTTAGTTTTTGTGCAATTAGCCTATGCCCTCTTGTAATTTAAAGAATTGAAAATACTAGTCTAATGGCAGAGAAGCATCAAAATAAAGCAGCCAAACTAAAAGCAATCCAAGATATACAAATGTCATTTATGTACAATAGGAATACATTTTTCCATATATTATTGCACAATGATCTTTTGATTTCTTATTTTTTAGATTTTTGACGAAATAAAACAATGTCTATGTCAATAATCTGCAAAAGGCTAATAAGCCCATATGAAGCAGATATATAGAGATTATCCTATATGAGGTTCAGGATATTGGGATTATCCCGAGGCCAATATAATATATTTGCCCGAGGGCCGCAGGTCCCGAGGGAAAATATATTATATTGGGCAAGGGATAATCCCAATATCCTGAACCGACTATAGGATAATATGTTTATCCCATACCAATCTTGGTCATCTGGTTAACATTGTTCAATCGTGGAAATATTCTAAAATATTCATGTCCAGTTTTATTTTCTTGGCCGTGGGTGGATTTTCCTGTTCTCTCAAATATTCCCATTTATTTTCTCAAATTTTTGATTAAGTGGATGCTCCTTCCCTTTTTAAACCATCAAACAGATCCGATTGTCTGTGTTTTCACCATTGTCGTTTACATTCATTACGCGGACGTTACAAATTTGAACAAATTTGCGAGCGGCGATTATGACGTAGCGGGCAGATATACTATATCTGCCCGCTCGGAGCGGGACGTAAAGCTATATCTGCCCGCTGATGAAAATATAAGTTTTTACCAACCGGCTTTATGTACCTGTAACACGTCTAAGTATGGGATAAATAATTTAACAGTGATAGAATTTGAATAGAATATAATTTAAAACCTCAACATTTAAAAATAGATCTATGGTTTACAACTCATTTTAAAATTGAAAGGAACCTTCCTGGTTGGCCCCTGTACCCCCCTAGGAAGTCCCTTTATGTTGAAATACCCTGGGGCAACTGTCAGGCTACCGCGTCGACATCACCCCTCTTTACCATTTACCAGTAGTGCAGGCTTGTTGCTGTGCACTGGGGACCTTTTACATTAAAACATAGATCTATATTAAAAACACACCTATTTAATTGCAGTTATTGACATAGGCATAGTATAAATGGGCTATAGTAAATGTAGCTTTGTCAAATAACAGAGAACTTGGTAAGTGCGTTGTCTGTGCTGAAACCCTACAAGGATCTTATTCAGAACAGAGTTCTTGTGTGCCAATCAAACCTAAAAAGGATCATCATAATATCAAACAATCAGAGTGCAAAGTGAATATGATTCGCTGGCATACAGCAATGCTGCTCAATGTCAATGAAAAACATCTTTAGGATTATGAACAACAGTTCGTAGAATTGGAGTATGGAAGCTTATTTCTGGAAATCTAAAGATTCATCTATTTCTCAAAAAGAACTACTATTGACTAACTACCATGTCCCTAAGTAGATGTCCTGTGACTGTGAATCAGAATCATCATGAAGCCATGGATAAATAAACACTGAACACTCACTTCCTCCCCACTAAAGTAATGTGGGTTGCATGTCAACTAATAAACGTTGCTCTAGACTATACACTCTTACCACTTTTAATGATCTATGTCAATATGATCATATCATCCTTGAACAGCCCAGAATCACACTAAATGGGCAAGTTATTTTTCTGAATTTTTTTCCAGCCATCTTTGAAGTTTCTTAGTCTAATGACGTCATCTTTATATGATATAAATCTCTTCACTATTGCATATTATGCAGTTCATTTTTTCAATTGGGGTTCAAATAATATTCCAATACATGGAATAATAATTAAATTGATCGTTATCAGCCGAACTCCTATGCAGTGTCTTCAGCTAGATTTTCTATTTTATACAATAATATGAACTTGTTCTCGCCTCATTGACAAGTGCACGAGATTTCTCCGAGATTTCAAAATTTCGTAAGGTGACTTACACAACATTTTTCATATGTGAGGTCAGAACTACACGTTTATGCAGTAAAAAGAAATGTACAGTCAATATCAGCCCTCTACCTATCCTGCTACGAAAAGTAAGTGATTTTAACAACGTTCACTGCTAAATATATGAAGTTTACTATCAAGTCACCATATTATCGCCCATCTAAAAAATAATTTTACGTAAAGGCTAGAGTACCGACAATTGTCGGTACTCTAGACTCTGATGTGGTGGCACGCTAGAGGACCGACAAATAAATTGTCGGTACGGGAGATATGCTGTGTTTACAGGCTAGAGGACCGACAAATATTGATTTTCGAATTTTCTGGCGCATGCGCAATGCGCGGGGGGATATTTCAGATATCATACGGATATTTTGGGAACAAGTGCAAAACCCGGGTAGGGCATTAGCCCCGGTTACCCGGGGATTACAAAACCCAGTCAAAAAATGGTAGCCCGGGAACAGGGAATGGTAGTAAACGTTGAAAACCCAATAAAAAGGAAGGGGCGTTTGCTACCCATTAGATAGAAGAAAATAGCTAGAATGTTTTTTAGAGCTTATCGTATGGTATGAGGTTCCATATCCATCCGCCAAAAGGTATATAGTCCATTTAAAAACCTGTCGTATCGTTCTAAATAACCCATAGTTGGCTTCTAGGGTACCTAGTATGCCACTATTTGGTATCAAAATAAAGAGGAGTTCAACTTTCATTTGAATTACGAAAATTGCGAAGATTGTCATATCAGAATTGAGGAAGTGGTAGCAAACGCGAGTTACAATAAACGTACGCTGATATCTCAAAAAGTAACCCGACTCCCTATAATTTGATGTAGGTCAATCGAACCCCTATATGGACAGGTGCATTTTGATATATAACACTATGGGGGGTAAGCGTTTCATAGTTGGTCACGAACGCCATATGTGCAAAGTATTGTTATGAATTTTCGAATTTGGTGTTGGATTACGGTACTCATACCTTATAGCACAATTTTTGATGGAAGTTGCATTTGGCTCCCTTAGTTAATGGCCACGATTCCATCTCGCATGAGAGAGCTACCAAACGCAAAGTAAACAGTGATATATTCCAAATGAGATATTTCTCCTGTGCCATGGCGTAGTAAGGGTAGAGGTCGACGGGGGCGAAAGCATCCCCTCCTAATTGTATATATCGACCCATTAGATAGAAAAAGAAAAGAGCTTTAAAATGTTTTTTAATTGAAGCTTGTAGGACAATTTTGATGGAAGTTGAATCAATTTTTGTCGAAATAAATTATGGCTCACTACAAGTTAATGCCTGTACGATTCCATTCTGCAAAAGAAGCACTATCCCCCCCCCTCAAAAGAAAAAAATAGGTCTTGCCGGGATTCGAACTCGGGGCCGAGTGTGTTCGAATCGTGCTCGCTAACCACTAGACTACCAGTGATGAAGATATTTATGATATTAAAAGTAGTGAATTTATTTATGAAATTGTCGGCTCTCTAGCAAAAACATGTAGCAGCCACTTGCGTACCGACAATTGTCGGTTCTCTATCTGACACTACTAGGTGACGATAGAGTGCCGACAATTGTCGGTACCCCAGCAAATACCCCTGGACAGTCTCCAGTACCGACAATTGTCGGTCCTAGAGCCACTCCGATAATTTTAGGTTTTAATTTTTTATTTCATCTTGTAAGAGAATTAAAACCAGAAAGGAAATGGTGTATCCATTGGTTTTATGTACAGAACAAACATTTGATCCCCCAAATGATTGTAATTTGCTCTACACAGGCGAATTACTTTGGGGCCCGTACGAGGTAGTATATGCCCCTTTCCCTCAACGGGCTCTGCACGACTAGAGGGATGACAACCTCGTACAACGGCCTCGTAACAACCCGTTAGAACCTGTAATTTCCAACCCATATACTTGCCCGTACAGGGCCTGTAACTGCTGGTAATTTTCGACCCACGTAAGAGGAATGTAACTAGACTCGTAATAATTTCTGAGCTCTGTAATGGCCTGTCATTGCGATGCCTGTAACTACCAGTTTTTGACCCATGTACTTGCCTTGTTTAATATATCACATTCGCATAGTTAAGTGATCAAAGTTAATTATTTTTCGTATTTGAAAAATAGTTCAATTAGGAGCCTTACACATGTTCGTATGGGCCTCGGATTTAGAATTATGAGCTGCGTACATGCCCATACGGGCCTCATACTTTTTTGTTTAGGCATCGAAAACGAGCCCCGTACAGGTTCGTACGAGCAGTATGCTCCTTTTTGCCCATAATGACTCATAATTTTCCGATATAATTTGCCTGTGTAGTGGAAATGTGTTGAACTTCGACGTATTGGATTGGGGTTAGTCTAGTGACTGCTTCAACCATGGGGTTATTTCAACCATGGCCGATTATTCAAATTTTCGGGAGCCAGCTTGGTTTAAATTCTCACCTATTGGAGATTTCGATTTATTTAAAAATTTTCAAAAAACAAACATGGCGGACTGTGTGAATTGAAAATATAAGCCATTGTCAAAATAGCCCCATGGTCGAAATTGCCTCATTACAAAGTTACCCCATATGTTGAAGTTCAACGTAATTTCCCCTTAGGCATATAGTTGTATTTTTCTTATCATGCAGAAAACAAGGTTGTTACAGTCTTGGCAATAAATAAATGAGTAGTTGATTTTCTATCACCATTTTGGCATTTCCAAACCTTGGTGGTTTGAAAGCCCATAGTTTCCAATATAGTCTATATCTCCTAAAATTTGAATATTTTACATTTTATATACATATCTCATCCACTGATATATGACCCCTTGAAAATTCTCTTATTTGTAACATAGGAAATCCATACTTCAGCAAATCGATGACTAATTATTTATCTCCAAGACTTTAACAGGAAGTGACATAACAGGAAGTCACAAAAACATTCTGAATTTTTGAACAGAATCTTTTCAATTTTTTTATTGCTTCAAACTATGTGAGCTTTGAACATTTGAGGGCTGAAATAGCTATTTCATCATGTAAATGCTACATGTACATGTATGTGGAACTAATAAAACTGACTGAAGGTCAAAACAGAACTTTAACTGAGAAGGTACTGTTTCTTACTCTTCACTCCATTCAATCATCTTGGTAATTTGAATCAACAAACAATTTTAGACTTTATAATACATGTAATGTCAGTATAATAGTTGGACAACTTTTTCATGGTCTTTTGTTCTTCCAGATCACTACACAACTGCAGCAACTGCTCAATCCAACAGTCAAACTTCACACTCAAATAGTGACCTTGACGGTTTTGTGGTAAAGATATCAGAAAAGTATCTCCCGTTAAACAAGGTAGGATCATTTGTACTTGCTTGTGTAAAAAAAATCTAATTCCCAAATCATTATACAAAATATACAAAAGATACAAGCTATACAAAATACAGTATTATTTGTAACCATATTATTTTGTTCACATACTGTATAACATTGAGATACAGTTTTGTAACCTGTAATTTAAATTTATTGATTTATGGCATCTCTTCTTTCATTAATCACATATAGGCACAAGGTAGAAATTAATGGAAAAAATTAATGTGCTTTGATAGATGTTTCCCTTTCTTGGCTCAAGTTTTGCCTCAACTTTTTGTATATGTCTTGCCTATTTCTGGACCCTGGTTATGCCCCTGTCAGTCAATAATTAAGTGATCATATTAATGCAGTTGCTACTCTTTCAGGTTGTCTTACCCATTGACTTTGACAACAGGAAGCGCAACATTCAACAGCTACATGTAAGTTTTACAACATTTCAGTACATTTTAGGTTTTTACCCTAAACTTAAGGACAATGTCATTTTTTATAAATTTAGGAAGGAGTGATAGTATAATTGAATTGCAATAAAGAACTCTGTATCATTCCTTGTTGGATTTAAAAACATTCAATTTACTAGGCCATCCTTATGATGTACTCGGGCTCCACCCTTATGCATCATGTGTACTGGTTAGTACATGCACTCATGGTTTTAAATTTTCCATGAAGAATGATACATGATTGTTTATAGAATTCCTTAAATATCTGTTTACTGCATGCATCAGTGCTTCATTGCTCTTGTTTTGCACTAGTTATACCCATATTAGATGACTAAGTAAATTCTCATTTAAAAATTCAGTAGAACTTATTCAACTGAGATATCTTGTAAAATTATTAACTTTTATAAGAGGAGGCACATTTTGTACATTGGCAGTTGATTGTAAAGAGAGAGGAGTACTTTATGTAACCTGATTTTAAAGAAGTAAATGTGATGTTTTGTTAAAAAAAAGTAAAAACATGAGTGCCAGAACCAGTAATGCTCTATTTACATTGTAAATTAAAATTACTAAACACCACCCCCTTCCCAACCCTTGCTTTCACAATGCTCTACAGTCTGTTGCAGAGTTCACTTGTTTTATATGCACAAAAATCTCATCATTATACATTTTTGAAAAAATTCTCTTCGAGAACTAATCTAAGCCATTTAGTTTTGAAGTAGATTTTTTTGTTTCATTATTCTGTGTTGCTCTTCCTCTTTGAAATGGAGGCCAAAGACGTGATGCAGTCCTCACTAAACCTTTTTTCTGCCTGAAAATATTACATTTGTGCTATGTCCTTGTTTTTCCAGTACGACTTTTCTCTTGAAGAGAAAGTGTTGGCCAGTGGTTGTGGTTATTAGGGATGTCGGCTGCTCGATACAAGAACTTCTTGCGACTCTGCAAGAACTGGCCTTTGGATAAATCAAAGACAGGACGTGATATTGGTGAACGAATTCGTGCAAAAATTGGTGAAGCTTTTCGTCAAGGTGAAACAACAACCCTCAATGAGGCTGAATGTGACAGGTTGTATGCCAGTCTATCTCGATTGAATACCAACTACTATAAGAATCTCTATAAACGTAATGGTGATTCAACAGCTATGGGCGCCACACAGGAGGAATGTAACTTGGTTATATCTAACGAAGGACAAGAGGCATTGAGAGCCCATGCTGATCGCTCAAAGTGGGACACTATGAAAGGATACATGGGCATGGCTCCAATGAAATAACCAAGACAATTATCAGTGTATATCTGTATAAATAGGACTATTTTATCATTTATATGATCAGACACATGTGCTTGCATTTGCTTTACAAGGACACTCTCAGCGTGCCACTAATTTTGAAAAATTCATGAACTTGTGTACAGTAGTTAAATGTTAAAAGTGGAACAACATATACATAAATTTGGACATAAAATCTGAACGTCATGAAAAATAAATTACTTTATTAGAATTCATTGAACCAAATGAGCCAAAATGTTACGAAAAAGGAGAATGTGCAATCTGACAGAATTACACGAGACCTTATACAACAGCTCTGCAGCTAACATCAAGAGGCTCATAGAAAATGGTCAAGATCCAAATATTGTTAATGAGGTAGGCTATAGCCCACTTATGAGAGCTGCCAGGGAAGGAAATGTAGAAATACTCTCAATATTCCTTGGCCTCGGAAACAAAGTAAAACTGAATTTAACTGACCGAGATGGAAATGATGCACTGATATTAGCTGCATTTGCACGATCAATTCAATGCACAACTATGTTGATAAAAGCTGGTTGTTCCGTAACAACTGTTAACAAACATGGTATTTCTGCTATTAGGTTGGCTGCCACATGTAAAAGCTATTTCCATTGCTATCAACAAACAGATGAATTTTGTGATTGTGTTATGTCGCAATTGATAGGTCACCCTGATGTGAAATCATTCTTAGACCTGGAAGATCTATTTGGAAGGTCAATGCTAGAGCATGCTGCTCAACATAGGAATAGCGTTGCCGTTGAATTCCTGCTAAAACTTGGAGCCAACCCAAATTTTATCCCACCTGACCATGAAGACTCTGTAAAGGAGTATGCCCAACAGATTGAATCTGGCGATGATATGTCAAATCATGGACGATTATTATCATTTCATGACACACCACTCATGGTAGCTATTCAAGGGGACTGTTTTGACATTGTAAGTGATCTTATAGCGTATGGTGCCAATGTTAACCAGTGTTTCGCCTCCCCTGACAATATGTTCTCTTATGATGAAAAACTGGAGTCTACATTACAGTATCCCCTCTCATTAGCATTCTTCAGCATATCTTCACAATTATTGCAAGGAGTAGATACAACTAAATTGCTTCTGAAATCTGGTGCAGATCCATTCAAAAAAGGCCCCTTAGTGAACTTTCCTCCTGTCTATTTTGCTCTTAACACACTAGAAAGTATCAAGCTATTACTACAAAACAATTATCTTTCAAATAACAAGGAACATCACAACATCATAACAAGTCAATCTAAGAATGAGAGAACCACATATTTCTCCCCATTACATTATGCGTACAGCCATCTCAAAAACCTATCAATGGTGAGCTATTTGTTGCAGTGTGGGTATAGTATTCATCAAGAATGGGACATGTGGGTTAGATATATCCCAGTCACCATACTAGACCCTGAAATGAATGCCAAACACTATCCAAAACCTATGATAGACAATATTATCAAAAAAGCATCAAGTGCATCTACCCTGAAAGAAATATGCAGAAGCAACATCCGAGGTCATTTGAGGAAAGGAGGAGAAGCTCTAGAGCGTGATGTTCAAATGTTTGAAATCCCATCAACTCTTAAAGATTATCTTCTCTTGAAAGATGAACTTGAAGCCCAATTGGAAGATATTGTGGCAGAAAAAGAAGTGAATGGAAAAATAGAATATGAGTACTTTGACTACATAGTGTATTAGTCTGTTGATGAACACTTTATACTGTATTTATATGATACACTTTATTTGACATGGAAAGAAAAATAGAACTGACAGGGGTTCCATGACTACATGTGTGTGTGTGTAGCAAGCAGCGGGCAATTTCTCTTAGTTGTTTTTTCTAAAATCACCTGTTTTCATTACTTGTTGTTAAAAATTCTCATGAATCATCAGCTCCTAGAATCCTAGATGTAATATCCGTATTATGACAATATGTTATATGAGCATTATTCTAATCCAGCCTTTAGTTTTACTGTATCAATAAAGTTTGAACAACTGGAGCAAATATGATCTCCCTAGCATTGCTTGGGTTTCTGAAAAGAGGCTAGCACCCACTTAAAATTAGAAATGATATAAGGCTAAAAACAAGAGGTTCTGATTTTAAAGATTTCTAGAGATTTTATAAAATAAATCTGAGGATAATTTGGAAACCTAGAACTCGGTGTTGTTTGTTAGATCCAAGCATCTAAGATAGTTCGATAAAATCATTGATGTATTTAAAGATTTAAATCATACCTATTTAATAAAAACTAGTTACTATGTAAAAATGTTATAAAATATATTGTTAAAAATCAATTATGGTTTTTGTTATTTCCATACAGTGTACTACAATATATACTAATCCTAAAACTTATTGTGAAGTGGGTTGTTCCCAAATTCCTAAAGAGATGCTGGACTATGACTTCTGAATTTTGAACACCATAATATTAAGCATTATTAAGGTCATAATAATAACATCATAAAATGTGTTGAGGAACAATCTTAATCTGAAACATCTTCAAACTTACATGACTTTGTGACACTATTTTTTATTTTGAAAGAAATAATGACTACTGCTTAGAGAAATTGTTCGAAGTGAAATAAAAATGTTCCATCCCATTTAGATTATAAGAAGTATAAAGTATTTATACTTTTAGTGTGGCAATGGTTGAAAAAGAATATTGCCCTCATGAATAATTAGATGAACTGTATGTTTAATAGAGCACCTATACTAAATTCCTTTGGAACAACAATCAATCAAAGTGTCTTAGTCTTTAATTTAACCAATCAGAATGAGATGCGGGACAACGGACACTAAATACCATATGCCGTTCTCTTTCTAGATTATTCAAATTCAGATTCCGTTGTCATTGATGATATCGAAGACGCTATATTGTGGCGATTCACGACCCAATTTGATCGAAATTGGGATTTCATATGAAACATCATCACAAGAGCTTTAATATGCACAGAGTTAGTGACAATAAATTCCCATGAAATGAGGACCAAGTGATTAAACAGTTGAAGTGACAACGGCATCTGACTGTACCGTTGTCAGGCTATTCCGGTGTGCTATTGTCATAAATAATTTTGGACATAGTTTTTTTGTATAGTAATAGTATGCCTATCTTTTTGAGTACTATGCCAATTTCAATGTTGGTATGGCAATGCACACTATTTTCTGGTAAATATTGGAACAAATCAATATTGATGATCCCCATCAACCCCCATGCACTGTATGTAACCCCCGGGACCATAAGCTAGTGTGTGAGTAGTTGTACACAGATCAGATCAGGCATGTATTAAAATACACTTGAAACTCAAATAGTTAGCTCTTTAAGCTGAGATGGTTTCTTGATGCACATACAAGCCAGTTTATTGGCATTTATATTGGACGATTGCCATTGAAATATTGAATTTTCGTTCAGAGTACTGGCGTAATCGGGCTGAAGGGAGGGAGTAAGAATTCTGAAATCAGAAATATTGAAGCTAAATTGTTCTTTTATTTCACAGTTGTCTTATACAAGCATTAAATAACAATGTCAGACAAAAATATATCGGCAATTCTATATAGTAAGGGTGACTTACGATTGGTAAGTACAACTGTACCCTTTTGTTGTGTCTTTCTATTTTGAAAATATGCTTCCGGGTTTCCAGACACAGTTTTTGCTATTACAGTTTGGAACAAAATAAATGACAGGTGGATTTTCTATCACCATACCCAAACCATCGTGTTTTGAAAGCCCTATAGTCTCAACTATTGTTTAGATACATATCCCTTAAAATTTGTTTATTTTGGCTTTGTATAAAAAACCTCCTACCTCATACCCAGTGGTACCCACCTACCCACCTACGTGGGACATGATACAGTTATTGAAGGGTTCAATTTTAAAGATTTTTTAAATCTCAAAATAGCTCTAATTACATATGTATTAACATTTCTACAATTCCGGCTTCATTTTATGACTAGACGGATGAGGATCCATAAAGGCATATGGATGCATTGTAATGTGTAATGACCCGAGGGCTCCCCAGGGGAATACCTGACTAACGACCGCGAGCATAGGTCCAACAAGCCAGATAAAGAAATTGAAAGAAAGTGTGCTAAATTCGATGCCCAGAGTGGGAATCGAACCCAGCTGGGCTGTAATAGCAACTTGCTATCAAGGGTCGTTACAAATGCATCTATATTTCATCATAAGCTAAGATTTAATAAACTAAGATCTTTAGAATTGAACCCTTCAAAGACTGCATCATGTCCAACTTACGTGGGTAGGTGGGTATGAGGTAGGAGGTTTTTCATACAAAGCCGTTTATTTTACATTTTGTATACTCTCATCCACTGATGTATGATTGACCTCTTGAAAATTCTCTTATTTTTAACATGGGAAATCCTCACTTGAGCAAAGCCATGTGTCATTTTTGTTCCAAACTGTATGTTATCCAAGGACGTCTATCTATTTAAAATTATCTAGGCCAAGGAATGTAGAATCTTGTAAATTTAGATCGATCTAGTACACAAGCTGAGTACTAGAAATTTGGAATCGAGATTATTTCGGATTGTTTTTACGCATTGTTTTTACAGAAATAACACATTGAAAATATTCTAAACAAACATAAACCAGAGACCCACAGTACTGTACAGTATCAGTGTATGATATAATCAATAGCATAAAAGTAATATTCCTGAACAATCATGTCCATATTTTGTAGGAGGAAAGAGATATTCCTACACCAGGTAAAGGAGGTGAGTCAATTAAATCATACTTAGGGCTGAGGTACTGTATGTACTAACTAATTATTTTCACTTAGAATGATATGCAAAAATTTAAGTAAAATGTAAAAAGATATGATAAGAATACAGGATGAGGATCCAGAGCATTGTTTCTCCAACTCTTCTATATGTACACATTAGTACTTTTCAGACTGGTAGAATTCACTGACACTATCATGTTATAAAAATATGTCTGATTTATAAAACTACTTCCAGAGGTACAGGTATCGATACACTCTGTGGGTATATGTGGTTCTGATGTACACTACTGGACACATGGTGCTATTGGTGACTTTATTGTGAAAGCACCTATGGTATTAGGTCATGAGTCTAGCGGAATTGTCACTGCTCTTGGTGAGGGAGTCAAACACCTAAAAGTTGGTGAGTTGATTGATTGCCTTGACATAATGCAATTTACACACTATAGTAACTAACTATGCATACTATAATTTTAATTTGGCAGATCATAAAGATTTAACTGTTCAACAAAACCTTTTGATAACACCAAATTAAATATATAAAATACAATGTACACTTGACAAATTTAGACAAATTTTCATACAGTACCAAATAAGCAGATATCCTTCAAGAGGTCCTTTATTCATACTGATAGCTATTGTTGAGTAATGCAGTTCAGTTACCAGGTTACATGCTGTAATGCAAATTTGCGAAAATATCATTGACAGGGGCGGATCTGGGAACCAACAAGGGGGGGGGGCCCAAACTTCTGGTCTGAGAAAAAAAAATTTGGGCCCCAAAACCCCAAAAGTGGGCCCAAATTTTGAAATTTTGAGGCCAATTTTCCTCAAAATTTGGCCTAAAATTAAAAAATAAGGCCTTAGAAGGCCAATTTATAACCAAAAAGGCCTACTTTTTGGGGCTTTAAGGCCTTTTTTGGCTCAAAATTTTTTTTGAGCACAATTTTTTTTCTGGGCCCACCCAAGGGGGGGGGGGCCCGGGCCCCTGGGCCCCCCCGAGATCCACCAGTGATTGATATATAAACAGTACATGTTTGATATAAACTGTAGGCAGTAGGTGTTTTAATGTAGCACCCTTGGATCCCATTAAAGGCAGATGTATCTGATTGTTGTAGGTGACAGAGTTGCACTAGAGCCTGGCGTACCATGTAGGGCCTGTGACTACTGTAAAACAGGCCGCTACAATCTTTGTCCTGATGTTGAATTTCATGCAACTCCACCTTACCACGGCACATTAGCCAGGCTCATTACACATGCTGCTGATTTTTGCTTCAAGTGAGACCACAATATATTGTTATTAATTTATTCTTGCTTAAGGATTAGTACATTTAGCATTAGAAATTATATTATTATTATAACTGATCATCAAATTGGTATTTAATATTTAGTATGTTTTTAAAGTTTCTTGCAAGTTTTATCCAAAACGAAAAAATTGTGATTGTATGCAGTCATCAAATGGCCAATCAGTGGGTTCAATTACTATGATTTGCATGTTTTGTAATATAAAAGAAAATAATTTGTGGGCTACTGTACTTTCAGGCTACCCGATCATGTTAGTTTTGAAGAGGGTGCCTTATTAGAGCCCCTATCTGTAGGCATCCATGCATGTAAGAGGGCTGGTGTCACAGTAGGGGATAATGTGCTGATATGTGGGGCAGGTGAATATGATGACTTTTCAATTATGATCTTTTCAAATCTATATTTTTTATCAAGATTTGCATTTTTTTAAAAGTTTGAAAGAATTTTCCTAAGTAGGCCTCTATTCAAATTTTTAAACAAATGTGGAAATTTCAGCGCTTTTCCTGAAAATTAGAAAAACAGAGCTCATTTTAATGACACTGATAAGATGAAATGTTTCTTGGGAATATTTTACTTGCATTTTTAGATTGGAAAAAATTAAGCCCCTCTTTAACACTAGCTATGGGAATTATGTATAGGCCTATTGAATTTAGTGCTATATTGTTCATTCCTTTGCAGAATTAAATATGTCAAATGAACTGTATTTGAATAAAATGAACTTCCAGGACCAATTGGGCTTGTTAACCTTCTCACTGCAAAGGCCATGGGAGCTGCAACAGTCTGTGTAACTGGTATGTGGATTTTTAAAAAGATTTCTTCCTACAGGTACATGACTTTCAAACTGCCTAAAGTCAAAGTTAATATTTTTGAAATTACTTGAAGTCATAGTTTATGTTATGGCTACATGTATATAAAAAAGATTTTATTGGTTATGGGAGGGGGGGGGGTGCGTTCACACCCATTGCACCCCCATTTGCTACGCCTATGAATCTAAGTAGATGATGTCTGGAACCCTGAATTTGGAATTTGGAAACTCTTCAATACGCTCTCTTGTTTCAGATATTGATGAGGGTAGATTGAAGGTAGCGAAGACACTTGGTGCAAACCACACAGTTCTTGTTACATCAAGGGATGCCAAGGCACTTGCTTCCCAGGTAATGCATTGAAATATCTTATAATAGTCCCAGTCTTTTTTAACAATATTTTTTATAAATTTGGATTTTTCAATACACTTGGTCAGCATAGTAAATTTACGGCATCATGTATGAATATCAGCATAATTGTTTGATTAACAGGTAAAAGAATGTATGGATGGTAAGATTGACATTACTATTGAATGCAGTGGTGCTGAATCCAGTATACAACTTGGCATCTTTGTAAGTATGCTAATAAGCAGTCCTGTATCAAGCCCTTATGATCCATCATAAACACACACCACCCCTGCAGAAGTATATGAGTATGACGAGGGAGTCTGTCATACTCGTTTCCCAGTTTGATTTTTAATCATACCTTGGAAATCCAAGATGGGAGTCTGTGAAAAGCTGCAAGACTAGATGAAACTTGTCAGTTTGATAATATTCACCCAGTGGCACATTGTGTTAAAAGGATGAGTCTGGGAATGAGTCTGGGTATCGACTTAGAAACTATTGAAAATTGTAATGTCTGAAAAACCAACTCAATCAGACATATTATTAAACTTCAATATCTTATCCTTCTTCTGAGAGTACAGAAATATCAATCTGTATCACAATTAATGAAGAATATTGGCATCAAAGACAGTGCATATCACTTTGTCAGAATTGAAAAAATATCAATGGCAAATATTAAATGAATTATTTATACAAAAAGTTTGAAACATATCCTCCAAAACATTGCTTACTTTCTTTGAATAGACATTGAATTGTATTTCTGGATAAATGAATTGGTATTTATCTGGGTAATCAAGGGATTATAGTCACTTAAAGTTACTGAGCATCCAGTTTTGAGACTTCAATTGTGTTGGTGAAGTTACACATATTTCAGTCAAATTCATGCTGAGCACAGCATTTTGGTTTCAATTTTATAATCTCTATACATGACCCTGGTGATGAAGAGTCAGAATCAGTCAAAAAACCTAAACCGGAAAACTGTGCTCGTTGTGAAAACTAAAAGTGAAGCAACTTTTTTTCTGATATTTCTTACATCAAATGACACCCATCTTGTTTTTCCCCCTTCAAATTAAACTGGCAGGAAATTTGAAAAAAAATTTAATCCTTAAATATATTCCAAAAATATAATTTTCTTTTTAATTCTTCATGGGTCTTAAGTTATTTCTTCTTTGTAAGTCATACATGTTGCCATTGGTGTTTTTTTTGCTATGATAATGACTATTTTTTTTGTTAAGATACTTATTCTGACTCTCAGCAGGGGGTTAATTATGCATCAAAACTCGTGAAAAAGTAAATATACTTGTCAAATATAACGAGGACAGTAATAAAAAACATATTTCACGTACATTTGACTGAGGGACAAAAAGGGCATATATCCGGACACATCCTTTATTAATCTAGGAATGGAACATTTAACTAAACTAAACACTTATAATCTTTAGCTGTCTGTTTAAAATCTACTCATTGATAATGGTAAGAAGATCTTGAGTTCTTGCCGTGTTTAAGATTATCAAATAAAACATTATAAGTTATTTTAAGGACATGTCCATTGATGAGACAGCATTCATCAACACTCTTTATATGTGTTTCCCAACTTTTTACTTAAATTATCTAGTTAATCGCATCATTGCTCTTATGACGTTTTTAGGTTTATGAGTATATTTGTGACAAGCTTTTTTTAGTACTTAGCATACATATTTTTCAGTGTATGAAAACCTCATATATTTTAGGCTACAAAATCTGGAGGAGTGCTTGTATTGGTGGGTCTAGGCCCAGCTGAGGTGAAACTACCAATAGTTGATGCTGCAGTTAGGGAGGTGGATATAAGAGGCATCTTTAGATACTGCAACACGTAAGTCAAACACATCACAACATTATTCAGGGGAACTCATTCTCCATACAATCAATACTCAAATTATAAGTGTGATTTGATAAAACAATTTCAAGAATCATGTATATTAGGGAGCATCTAATAGGGTTGACTTTGGAATATTGAGGTCTTATTTGCTGAGCAATTGAATTAGCATTTGTGAGACCTTATCGTTTATAAAACACAAATTAAAATTAAAAAATAGAAAATAGATTTATTCTATGTCTCACTTATTCAGAAAAAATATTACTTTTTAAGTCTGGTTTGAAGAATAAGAAACAAAGCCAGTCGCATGCCAATTAAAGTATAGCTATTATTAACATGATAAAATATAGGGGGAGAGGGAATCCTTAGAGAGTTAATTATGCTACATTACTCTTAAAGGATTATTACAAATCAACATCAGCTTTAACATTCATGAAATGTCTTTTACTTCTGTTTGAATGATTATTTTATTATTTATAACTCTGTACACTTATTCATATGCAGATATCCCACTGCTCTGGCTATGGTAGCATCTGGAGCAGTTAATGTCAAACCATTGGTGACACATCACTTTGCCCTGGAGAAGACCCTTGATGCCTTTGAGACAGCCAGGACTGGAGCTGGAGGTGCAATCAAAGTTGTCATTGACTGCTTTAGAAAATAAAGCAGCACACCAAAGCAAATGAACTTATGTGATCTTTCATTGTGTTTCTGGTCCTGTAATCTATATATTTTGCGATTTGATTTGAGAGGGAATTGGTAATCCAGAGAAACACCAATAGGAAAACATTTAGTGATATTCAAAAATTAAAATCGGAATATCATTATAGATTAAATTATTGATTCATAATACAGGCCATATACAGGAAAACGGGTATAGTAGTGCAATCAAAGATTTTATTTTTGTGTTAACATGGACTTTTGTAAATCCATGGTGAGATTTACATTAACACAAAAGCCTATGACAATAAAATCGATATATATGATAAATTGAATTGATACAAATGATTGGAGACTTTCAATTACAAAGTAACATTTATGGTAAGCCATGCCTTCATTCGAAATTAGAGCTTATATTAAGAAAAATAGTAGACGGTGGAGGGAAGTAGTAAATAAGCAAGTCAAACAAATAACTATTTTGACACAATTATAAATTAAAGAAATTGAACTTGCTACATTCCTGTTTATTTAGATTAATTACCAAAAAGGTGCTAATAAATTATGTCATTGAATGAATTGTATTGTATTTTAGACTTGGGTTTGATGTAAATAATATTTTTTTAATCAAAGGATATTGTTGAGAATTATTTGAAACCAAATAAATAGTATTTTAATAAATTATATTAATGTAAATCATGACTGTAATGTGTTAGTTATTTTCCCATTCATATTTTTTTTTTATTAAATTATTCATTTGTACAAAGAATACATACAATAATACAGTGTAAGTGGCTGTGCTTTTAGCATTATTAGCCACGTTATTAATATCCCAGATGCGAGTAGAAATAATCTTGATTTACGTCATTAAAAATTAACAATTCAGTCAAACTGATGTCATATTTGGAATCTACATGTAAAATTACATTTAGAAATGTGGATTTGAAAAGAGTTTATCAACTTTGAAAATTTAATTTTCTTTGAAAATGTGACTTCTAGGTCGGGGAGATTCCCCATAGAGCCCATGTTATAAAACCACAAAAAGTGAAATATATTTTCTTGTGTTGGGCAGATAATTTTTTCTTTTACTGGACATATTTTAATTTGTATAACTATTAGAAACATAAAGGTAATATGAAAAGTGAACCATTAAAACTGATGCATATTCAAGTTTAAGGGAATTTTGTAATACCCTGCCATGTTAATTCCCCCGAATCAGCCACCTGGTGGCGAAACTGGTAACCTGCTACTCGCATCTGAGTAATTAACGTTCATATTTGTTATACTGCTCTTTCAAACTATTTTCTTTTTGCAAGAAACAGTTACCAGAAAAGAAAAATCATACTTTTCAAAATTCTGTATGAAATACATACAACATCAACATCTTCCATGTATATTGTGTTGTTATATAGCGTCCAAGGCCTGAGCATGAAATATATTTATTATATTTGCTAGATTATCACAGATACGTTTTTTGTAAGAGCTACAAGGTTGCACTGTAACGCTCCATATGCTTGTTCACATTGATAAAAATAAGTTCTCAACCTTGAAAAAGATTTGAAAAAAGTTACCAGTAGGTTTCTTTATGGTTGAAGTCAATACCAGCAGTTTGAATCATGAAGGGAATAATCTGTGCGCTTCTTGGATGTGTCTTATTTGCAGTATATGTACAAGGTTAGTCATTTAATCACATCTTATGAACTCTTGGACTTAAATATAAATTTTAAAACATGCACGCTGATTGCTGAACACATTAGTCATATCCATCCTTAAGTTCTGGCCTACTTTAAATCACATTTAAATATTTTATAAATAACTAATTTTATAAATAACTTTTTCACTCAGAAAACAGACAGCATTGATATTGCACTGCAGTAAGACATTTTTTAAGAAAACTAAAAATTCCAGTAAAGATTTGTTGGTGTGTAAAATATTATGAGAAAATATTAGGGAGTCAAGTATTTATGAAAAAATGTCTTTCAAGATTATCACTTACTTATTATTATCGTATCACTTACATTGAAATATATTCATATATCTTGTAAGTGGATATGGCTGTTATGATCTTCTGAAAACATTTTCCGCTCCAGGCCAGTTTTGCGACATTGATCTGTGTACTGAAGCCACGTGCCAGAGTGAGGGAGGGACCTGTGAACCCGATCCAAACTACCCACTTGACCCCAACCCCTGTCCCCCTTCAACAGCCCCCTTAACTGATGGACTCTGCACAGATGCGAATGGCAATGTTTTGCAACCTTTCACGACTTGCTGTGCTCCTTAGGAATTGAATCTACGATTTACATGATTTGAAATAGATTGAAAGAAATAATATATGCTTTGGAAGATTTAGAGAAATCAGTTTTATGTTGTTTTAGTTTATAGCTCTGTAAATCCTCAGCAGCATCTAAGTTTCTTTTTGGAGTGAGTTTTGTTTAATAGAAAGGGTAGCCTACTAAAAATGTTGTGTGGAGAATTCACTTGTCAACAATCAACATAAAAGATGACGCCATAGACATCTTCTACTCTACAGATTTATATCAATACAACAAAATACTTGTAATATTTTATGAAAAATAAATAAGGAATTTATTCAAATTCAGATTATAATTAATAATATGAGGATATTTAAAAAGAGTAACAGTTTTTATATCACACAACCCTGTTTACACATGTAGAAACCTTTCTTTTTTGATTTTTTTATGTGAGATACAGTTTTCACAAGTTCAGTCTCAAATATATAACAAATACAATGATGGATATACATTATTCCATTTGGACATCACTAACCAAATTTTGTAGTTTACTGAAAATCAAGACAATAAACACTTTTACACGTATATTATTATAAAACACAGTAAATATAAGTATATACTGTACTGCTAAACAAATCTAACCAAATCACAATTTTTAAGTCAACATGGTGACAATAATTATACATAAATTTAAATTACATAATAAACAAGACCATGTGGAATTTATGGCAAACTGTGTAGGCCTATATAACTGTTTTATAATATAAAAAAAGCACTCATGCCTCTGCAAAATCAAAATATTGAAACATTGTCATTAAAATGTTAACTTATTAGGTTTAAAAGCATTAAATGGTAGAATAATAAACGCATTCCTTAATTTGGGTCTGTACATTTTTTGGCTATTTTCACAAATATTGGTGATGTCTGTACAATTTGGCAGATTTTTAACTTGTAACATCACACAGTTAGGTCATACACTAGAACTAGAACTCACAGACAATAAGTATCATAATTAACAACAAATCAATGTACATAAATAATTTTTAAATGGATTGGATAAAAATATACATGTACATGTAATAGTACTACAAAACAGTTATGAACAATATGTGAATACAGTATGAAAATTATTTACAATTTGTGACTGAATATGCTATGCATAGTGACGTGGATTTTTACATTATAGGTGTAAAAGATCAACCTAGATTTAAATTAACAACACTTTTTCCACAGAGTCAGATATCTGATTTTGATGAATTCCCTCCATGATCATACTGTACTGTTTGATTCTTAAATAGTTGGCCTTCTCATATATATGTTTATCTTTTACACCTATAGTGTATGGAGCACCTATTTGAAATAATGCATAGTTGGACGGCTGTTCTTATACATGTACTCTACATGTAAATGGCACCATGGAAATGGTCACACAATTCCTAACACTACAATGTATATAACATTTAAAATACTTTTGTTTTATGAGATAACACACTGTTGTTTATCTTTACATTTGTCAACGTTGCAAGTAATTTACAAGTTATGAGTAAGAAATATAATCATGTAAATGCAATTAAACTACATAATAATTTCTAATTTCTGCAGAAATTCTAAACTTTCTGAGATACAGTAGGAGTACAGAACAGTCTTGCATACAGTCCCAGAAAATGAATGGAGCATTTTTGGGCTGTACGTCATACTGAGAAGGACCAGATATACAAGCTGCTAATTGAAATAAATTATTAGATGAGATTTATGATTGGCTGTACTTTTAACAAATTATAGTGAGTAATATCCATTTAATTTAGTTTGCAGGCTTTTGACCTGAGGTAGGAGTAGCAGTGTGCAGTGGTCTGAACATATTATTCGAGGTAAACGGCAAACTTCCATTGAAGTCATTCATTTGTGCTTCAAGATTTGGTGAAGCAAACATGGGTAATGAAGCATTAAAGTCCCTTGAAGGTGTCATGGTTTGTAATGGGTCGCCATCTATTGTGAATTGTCCTGCCGACAACATGGCTGCTGCCCGAGATTGTGATCTCATAATAATCTCTCCAATTTCCTCCATTCTACTTCTGGAGCGTTTATTACTGAAAATCAAAGTATATATTCATGAATCGGATATAATTTTGTATTTTATGAGCCTTTGGTAAGCTGTAAATATAAAAACATTGTTTCATGCATAGTTTTGTTGGCTTGGCACATAATGTACCCTGCATCTCCACTGGCTAAACACACTGGCCTCTGACTATAACAGGTAATTTTAACATTTTCAATTCTGATAACATTTTAAACAATCTGGGAGTTTGAATGGGAAACAAAAATAAGCTACATAAATATTGTAGTGATTTTCCAACTATATGGATTACGAATGATATATTGGATATCAAAGAATGATCCTGATCTAGAGTGTAGACTACGTTGTGTTCTTTCAAAGGGTACCTACCTGTCAGATCCAGTGTTAATTTTCCTTTTACTCAACAGCTGTTGACGTAACCTTGTATTGTCATCATCCACTTGCTGTAGTTGACGACGCATCACATCCAGCATTGCCGTCTCGCTAGCTAATTTTGATTCAAGCTCAGAAATCTGGAAACATAAAAAATTTGAATGATTTATACCCAAAGGCTATCAGTAATAACTCCTAACTTCTGGAAAAAACAGACAATTTTACTGTTTTGATGATAATTTTTAATAACCCTAAAAGTACCTTGGATACCGTTCACTGGAGTTTGAATATGAAATAAATGTCATTTACTTTATTAAGGCATAAAATGATATGAGTATGACTGCAATTCTGATTGCATATCTCAGTTATCAATGCATAAAAAATAATACAAGGCATTAACGTGCAAACTGTCGCCCTCTGCTATTTGTTATAGATGTCTGTTAAAGATGCCAAACCACTGCTGTCATAATAAGCTGGTGTCTATGTTTTATGTAAAGTGCATTATATTTACAACGTTTCTCACACACCTTTGCTTTATACTGTTCTATGAGTTTACTATCAACACTATCTGTGCCTTGTGTGCCATTCATTTGATTCCTTAGTTGCAGCGTGATTTCTGTCAGCATACGAGAGACATCAGCCCTAAAATGGAGTACGATAGAAAATTACAAATAACATGTTATATGAAACTATACAAAAAATATAAACTTGTAGACTAGTTTACTCTGTTAGGCATTGTTTTGAGGTATGTTATACATTGTTTAGGATATTGGGGTCTGTTTCCTAATCACCAGTTGAACTTGAGAATGATTCTGGTCTTCATCCTTTTGGTTTCTTTATAAAAATAGATGAAAATAGAAGAGAGATTAATTCTATTTAAAATGTTCATGTACATGATGACATAATAGGCTGATTAGAAAATCATGAATGGGGTGATACCGTATTTGGGGACATTAAAATTGAAGTGACAAAAGACATGCATTTGTACATGCTGTAGAGCTTACTTTGAGGCTAGATCACTACTGTCCAGATCATCTTCATGTTTGCTCATCATGGCCAGCTTCAGTCGGTTCACTTCCATCTCTAATTCCTGGTTCTTCTTGTTCAGTTGTTCCTGGGTGTCCCTCTCAACCTTGAATAGATGTGTTGGATCAATATGAGGAACTTTAAATGCCATATAATTGAAACTGTGAACAAGTAGTTTAGGTATGATTTCAGGGACGTTTATCACGTACTGTTACATGTTATTCAATTTAAACCTAATCTTGCAACTCCTCTTGTTTAAGGTTGAAACCGCTGTTGTGATATCATCTTGAAATACTCAAGCACAGCAAACAATGAAAATATTTCATAACCTCTTCTCCTTTTTACCATCTTATTTTTAAATTAATTAAAAACATATAGTTACCTGTAAACTGTCTCTATACTGCTTCAGTTCAGTACAAGTCTCCCTCATACGCTCCTCAATTGCCAGCACCTCTTCATGAAGCTTGAGATTTTCTCGATTTTTCTTCGCAACTTGTTCTCTTGCCTGTTCCAAATCCACAGACAACTGTTGAGCCTGGAGAAGTAATTTATTGCGATCCTTTTCAAATGCATCGCTGAAAATAAAAGTAGATTTACATTGTCATGCTTCAATATTATGGAAGGTTACATACATACACCCCTCCTCAATCTAAAATTCAGTGTAGAATATTGGTTGCCTCAAAAAAGTGAATATTTTCTTAAATGGGCTTATTATGGTGGGAAATCACAGGCATGTATTGTTTTAGGTTGTGTTCTTGCTTGAATCAAATCAATTCACCTCAATTTGGAAAAATCAATATCATGAAATAATGTGAATTCTGTCCCACTAACCTGTGTTGTTTCAGCTCCAGGCTGATGCTTCTATTCTTACTGGTTAGAGTCTGTTTCTGTGTAGTCAGTTTCTGCTTTAAATTAGATAGCTCACCCTGAAATATACGGCATTGAATACATTCAAATGTATGTAATTTGAAACAGATCCAACTACCAATATTTGAATTATTGCCTGCAGACATGAAGGAATGAATGGATGGATGTACAGCTTCTTTATATTATCTCTTGCTGCACTTCCTTTGATCGGATAAAAAACAAAAATTATATCAAGTGATTGGAAAACACACCAACAGCCTACCCAACAATAACTTTGTATAATAGTTGAAATTCTACCTGCATAGCTGAGATCTGGTCCTGCAGGACTTGTGAATGGGACTCTTGTGCAGAACATGTGCCTTCTAGCTCTCTGTGAACCTCCTGTAGTTTACGACTTGCCTCTCGCTCTACGTTTAAGTCAGATTCCTGTTTAGCAATGCTTGTCTTCAATGAGGCAATTTTCTCTTCATCTTCCAGCTAGAAGTACAATATAATGGGTATTCATTCATAATGGGTCCAGGAAATGCAAAATAAGATGTCAATGCTTTGATGTCAAGTCTTTGATGAACATGACTGTTAAACATTCACCTCATTTATATAACTATTACAAGCGAATAGGATGATTTAAAATCATATATTTCTATATTGAATATTATACAATATGTCCATAAAGTCTATTTACAATTACAATACAAAGTATATACAAAGTGTAAAGAGACTTATGGACATCCTGTATAACGAGTTCAAATGCTCAGTAATAGAGGATTGAGCCATAAACAAAGGTCTGTGAGATCAAGTTCAGAGTTCTTCAATTGAAAGGACATTGAAAACTTAACATTCTGAACAATTAATATGTTGTTGTTATATTACATTAGATACATGGTGCAATCTTTGAAATAAAGTTCACCTTACTGAGCTTTTAGAGTGTCACTAACTGACCAATAGTCAGAAAAACTGACATGATAAGACTCAGAAAGATACGTGTATACATAAACCCTCTGTTCAATAAGCTCCATATTAATGACAATACTTCAACCTATGTCCAAAATTATGCAATGTTAAACACTTAATTTAAGTAAAACAAATTAAAGCAATATTGTACCCAAGGGTGCAAAAAAAGTTGAAACACAAGTACCTTCTTGATCCTGAGTTCATCTAGTTGAGTTTTCAGTGTGTCAACCCTCTGTTCACTAAGCTTCCAATTAGTGTTGGCCTCATTTAGTTCCACCTTCAGGGCATCTAGTGTCTTCTCCAGTGACTTGTTAGTTGTATGGAAGTGTTCCTTAGTGTCCCTCAGGGAGCTAAGTGCAACTTCATTAGCTTTCAGTTCAGCAGTAGCCTGCAAGTAAAATATTAACTTTCTACATACATGTACATGTGTGTCATACTAGCATTGTTATGGTTAATAATATTCCAAGTAGGTATTTAGCTATGATGTGAGCTATCTCAATCACCCACATGTTTTTAAATGTTGCTCCTTGTGCTTTGCTAACTTTAGTATCTGAATTATTCATTGGAATGTGAGATGTAAGGTTCATCTAGAATTTTCTTACTGATTTTTGTTTATGGGGATAATTATTGGAAAAGTAACAAGGGGTATAGGGCAGATTCATAATTAGATTTTCTTTCGTACCTAACAAAGAGGGAAAAAGAAGACTACTGTAATGTATGCCATATGACAATGACATGCATATGATTCATGCACACTTACAATAATAAACAATGTCACTGCTTATAATAAATCATTTGTGTTTTAATAGATAAACTCCTTGACATTCTTGAATTCAATCAATATATGTCTGTATATTTAGTGATAAAATGCATGTGCACAAGACAAAGATCAAGTTTAAAATCATGTGATTAATGTCATCGATATTTCTGTTGTACATTTACCATATACTAATTGAACTCGTATTCTAGCTATTAAAATGTCAGAATATTTTGAATGAAAACTTTTGCAAGAGCAATCAATGATATCGCTCATAATTCAAGTATAGTACGCACCTACAATTTCGAAGAAGTCATAATCATATATTTTCATCTTGAAATAACCTTGTCAATGTGAATACAGTGACCTCATCAGTACTTAGGCCATTACAAATTGATTGCTTAGCAGTACCTAGAGGTTCATCAGAAAAGGTCCATGTCAATATCCTTCTTATTTTGAAGAATTCTAAAAATTTTCTTCTGTTTTGACATTGTCTGGCATTTTCAGAGAAAATTGAATTAATGTACATGTATGGTCATTGAAAAATCTGGGCAATATTTTTTCAAGTTTCCTACTAAACGGATTACTAACTTGAAGCGGCCTAACCAATCACTATTAAAATCTCCAGTTCCAGTAGTTGTTTATTCTCAAATGATTTGAGTACAGAGAAGTTGGAACAATCAATGATGGAGCACATGTGACTATCTCCTTTGAGGTAGGCACTTGCTGCATATGAACAATTAAAAGGTATGTAAAATAAATTCCTATGATCTTACCATTAAAAGATTGCTATGGCAAAAATTGACAAAATTACAAATGGAAAGTTTTCATATGTTTAACTTATAAGGAAGAATAACAGAACTGATTTGGGCTTATTGGGATATTGATGGAAAATATGGTGCATGTCGAATGAGGTTATAAATGGGAAACTTTTTAAGATTCAGAAAAGATCATCACATGTTTAAATGGCCCACTGTGAATATTCAGTAGTACACTGTTGGTTATGAAATAATCGGCACCTTTCTATGATATCTGCACTTTTTCATACTGAAAAACATCCATAAAACTGACGACAATTTCAATAAGATGAGCAGCCATCTTGAAAAATCTGCCTCTTTAACCCCAAAACTTGGCCATGACTCAAGTGTATTCTATAAATGATTGGCCAATGAGGGCTTCAAATAAAATCAAGTGGTCTCAAGTTGAAAGTTAAAACCTTGATAGTTTGAAGTTTATCATCATCAAAACCATGTCACTCAAATATCTTATGATGTTGACAATAAAAACCCAGTCTATTTATCTGGAGGCCAATAGATTAACAAACTCGGTAACTTTATCTCATAATGTCAATTTGGACTTTATTGATAATAGATGTACTTTTAACTATTTTATATATCACATTTATTAGATGTTATAGTTTTATGATTTCAGATTAACTTTACAATATGTACTTGAGTTAACAAATAAAGGACAAACCCAATGGCCTCAGCGAGTTCTAAGAAAGCGCTTACTGATGATTACAAAAACCTGTTAACCTGTATAATCTGTTTTGAGACATTGAAAACCCCGAAATCATTATCATGTGGACATTCCTTCTGCAAGTCATGCATTAACAACTGGATCGGTCAACACAGACATAGCCATGATCAAAGATTCCCTTGTCCGATATGTAATCAGCGTTTGGAAATTCCAGAAAATGGTGCAGATGAGTATCATACAAATATAACTATCAATTCTATTGTTGAGTCTTTAGAAAAGCAACTGTCATTGGAGGAAAATGTGCAAGTCAACTGTGATATCTGTATCCAAGATGGAGACAATATTCAAGCTATATCACGCTGTTTTGAGTGTGCAGAAAACCTATGCCAGTCTTGTGAAAAAACCCACAAGCGCTTCCGAGCTTTCAAATCACATACTCTTTGTGAACTGACGGGAGATCTTGAGCAGGATACCAGGATTGCCTTGGAGAATTTCTACAAACGAAATATAGACTGTTCCAAGCATCCTGATGAGCCATTGCGTTTCTATTGCAAGAATGATAAAAGTGTAGTGTGCAGGGACTGCTGTATTACCAACCACTCAGGGCACAAATGTGTAGATATTGAAGAAGCTGTAAATGCAGAAAAGCCCAACATATCAGCTCTTCTTGGACTAGCCAATCAGCGAAAAGAGATCCTTGAGCAACACATCCAATTATCTGTTGACTCACTCCACGAGTATGAGGGTAAAACAAAGACACTTCTGGCACAGATTGATGCTGATCATGCCATGAAACTAAAGCAGATGAAAAAACATTTTAATAAGCTCAGAAATGAAGTCATAACTTCCACAAATGAGCAAACAAAGAAGCAGCAGGCAAAACAAGACCAACTCGAACTTGAAAGAGGAATAACAGACAGTACTATTGTTCATTTGACATCAATATGTAAACATGGCCACCCTGTTGATATACTGAACTCTAGTAATGATATCAATAAGAAGCTTGAGACTTGGGCAGTTATACCTGATAGGAACCCAGAACCATTGGATACTTACAAATACAAACCTGGCATCCTTGATATGTCTAACACCGGACAAGTAACTAAACAAGGACAAGTTGCCAAGCAAGTAGAAGTAACCAAGCAGATAATACCATGTAATCCTAAAATAACAAGCAAGGTACATCTATCTGACAAGAATGGAGTTTGTGGTAAGATTTATGGTGTTACTTTAGGCCATAATGGAGACATTGTTGTATGCCATAATAATAACATTATCGCGAGTTACAATGCAGTAACACTCATCAAGAAACATGCAGCAGCAGGTAACTTTAATGATGTTTGTTGTATACAGGACAACTGCTATGCTGCCACTGATTACACCAACAAATGTGTGGCAATATACAGCCAGAACTTGCAACACCAAAGGAACATTGGAAAGTTTGGAAATCCCATAGGTATATGTTCAACACAATCTGGAGAACTGTTGGTGGTTGATAACACTGCTGAATGTGTAAATCTTATCGACAGTAATAATGGTGCAGTGTTAGCTACTATAGGCAAGGGGAAACTCATAATGCCATGGTTTGTTACAATGAACAGTGAAGGTGTTGTGATTGTAAGTAATCTGAGAAGTTGTGTTACAGGATTCACCATCGAGGATGAGATTGCGATCAAATATGGCACATATGGAAGTGGGGATGGCCAACTGTCTCAGAGTTACAATGGCGTCTGCACTGATGCTGATGGTAACATTATCATTGCTGATAACTGTAACAACAGAGTTCAACTTCTTGACAGGAAGGGAAAATTCATAAAGTATCTATTGAAACCTAAAGATGGTGTGGTGTACCCAAGAAAAGCTGCAATAAACCAACATGGTGCACTCATCGTGGCATCATATCATGGTGAAATAGTGGAGATAAAATACATGAAGTGAATATCAAGAAGCCCTGAACATGGACAACAGATTACGGACAATGCATATGAGCAGAACATGTTCTGTAAATACATTATCTCAAGATAAAGAAAATATATGTAATTGTGATTGAAAACCTTTTCAAAGCTATAACATGATCAATTAGAAATAATAAACATACCGAATATATAACAAATGATTACTGATAAAATAAATAAATATGGTTATCAAAGATTTAAAAATCCAACAACCTGTTTGAGTGTATGACAATGACAGGGCAAATTGTCACCACTATGTTGCAAGTACAAAAGTGTTACAACTTCTTAATAAATAGTACGTTACTGGGCTCACATAGTGTTGCTCAAAAGTGATTGAATGATGGCTAAAATGGCTATTTTTTGTACCAGAATTATTACATACAACTACTCTTTACAGTGACATGGCTTTTTACAATGCAGGACACCTGAAATTATTTGTAATGCTAGAAAATGGGCCAAAAGTGAATTTTTTTGTATTGCTAGAAAATGGGCCAAAAGTGAATTTTCCAAGACAAAAATGGCGACCATTTAAAAAAAAAATAGGCAAGCTTTTGAACCAGGAGTCATAGGGGAGTTTTCTGTATTGATGTTGAATAAAAATAAGTTAAAACGGGAATCCTATCGACAGAGGTTTTAAGGGAAATAGTCCAAAAGTGGATTTCGCGAGACAGATGGAGAAATCAATGTTAACTAAAATGGCTGAATAAAAAATTAGTTCATAAAACTACTCTTTACATTGACATGGCTTTTTACAATGCAGGAAACCTGCAATTATTTGTAAAGCTAGGAAATCGGCTAAAATGAATTTCGCGAGGACAAAAATGGCGACCATTTTGAAAATAGGCGAGCTTTTGAACCAGGAGTCACATGGGAGTTTTCTGTATTGATGTTGATCAAAAACAACTTAAAACGAGAATCCTATCGACAGAAGTTTTAAGCCAAATGGTCCAAAAGTGGATTTCGCGAGACAGATGGACAAATCAATGTTTACTAAAATGGCTGAAAATAAAAAAAAACGGATATAATTTTTGCAGATTTTTTGTAACAAAATTAATTTATACAACTACTCTTTACAGTGACATGGCTTTTTACAATGCAGGACACCTGCAATTATTTGTAAAGCTAGGAAATGGGCCAAAAGTGAATTTCGCAATACAAAAATGGCGACCATTTTAAAAATAGGCGAGCTTTTGAACCAGAGTCGTAGGGGAGTTTTCTGTATTGATGTTGAATAAAAATAAGTTAAAACGGGAATCCTGTCGACAAAGGTTTTAAGGCAAATAGTCCAAAAGTGGATTTCACGAGACAGATGGAGAAATCAATGTTAACTAAAGTGGCTGAAAACAAAAAAACGGATATATAATTTTTTGCTGATTTTTTGTAACAAAATTAGTTCATAAAATTACTCTTTACATTGACATGGCTTTTTACAATGCAAGAAACCTGCAATTATTTGTAAAGCTAGAAAATGGGCCAAAATGAATTTCACGAGGACAAAAATGGCGACCATTTTGAAAATAGGCGAGCTTTTGAACCAGGAGTCTTAGGGGGGTTTTCTATATAAATGTTGAATAAAAATAAATTAAAACGGGAATCCTATTGACAGAGGTTTTAAAATTGGCTAATTGATGACAGACGAACAGACAGACGGATGGACGGACAGACAGACGGACAAGTGAGTGATTGCAATAGCTCACCATGTGAGCTAATAATAAAAACATCAACATGAAATGCCAGACATCGACACAGAAGGCAAGTCACAACAAGGCATTGACTTGCAAAATGTCACCACTTGTTATAGACATCTGTTACAGACGCCGACATCAAAAAAATGGTAACTTAAAAATAAGTGAATAGCAGAAAATGGTCCACTGGCATTTTGAGTTTTTGCAAAGATGGTTGGACTGATCAACTGACGGACAACTCTACTGAATAAAACCAATACATTTATTGTTCTATGAGCCCTGAAGAAAACAGAAACACTGACCTTATTGAGTTTATCCCTGAGTTCAGACTTCTCGCCATCCCATTTACTACCAGTTGATGTCAATTCCATCCTTAATGTGCTTAACTTTTCCTCCACAACATCCTGCTGATTTACAATCTGAGCTCTTAAGTCAGTAATTGTCTCTTTATCATTCTCTTGGCAATCCATAAGGTGTTTTTCCCGCTCTAGTAGAGTAACATTCTCTGTGCGCAAATTATTGATTACTTCCTGACATTCTTTGATATCTGATTGGAGAGTTTGTGTTTTAGTCTCAAGTGATTCTCTGGATTTTGTTTCTTCCTCAAGTTCACGTAGTGTTCTCCCAAATGCCTCTAGTTGAGTGTCTTTTTGTTTAATGTTCTCATTCAGTTCTTGTTTTTCAGTCCTGAAATGGATAAAGGACATATGCAATGTTAAAGCTAAATGTCATGAACACGACTGGTGATCATTAAAGGCCCTTTGAATTTTTTCAACCCCATGTTATTGGATGTGATATGTAAATATTTTCTTTATTTGAAATGGAATAAAATTTGACTTACAGGTTCTTTGTAGCCATCATATTCATAAAAATAGATTACTAGATAGTATTTGCAATCTAGATAAAAATATAGATAAAAAAATACAAAATGTGTGAGATATTAGATGATTTTGCTATTAGTAATAAATACATACTCTAATCTGCAACATCTTTCTTCAACACTTTCTTTCTCTTTGGTGATATGTGTTTTCTCTAAAGCATATTCTCTCTGAACAGACTCCACTGTGTGGTTGCATTTCTCCTGTAGTTGGTTCACTAGAGATTCCTTCTCAGACAGTTTGCCAACTATTTCTTGCATGTCTACGATAAATAAATGCATATCATAAATAAGCATTAAATATGTTGATACTCTGAATAATAAAGATACAACTGCCTTAATACCTTATTTAGGGGTTAAGGGTTTCACTGGAACCTCTCACAACAGGCAAATTATTGTAATCAATGTTGCTTATTGAACAGTAAAAACATTCCTCAAAACAAGTGGTTTTGGTACAAACCAAATGACATCAAGGCATCCACAAAACACTTGGAGACTTCAACAATAAATCACCACTTCTGGTGGTGGTGAGATAAAATCATCACCATCACCATAATCAGGAATATTTCCAATCAATAGACTCAAAGAATCCTTTTAATGAATAGGTTCAAACTTCCATGAAAATTGAGATTTCTTACCTGAATTAAGGTTCTGTTTGTCTTTCTTTAGTTGATCATTCTGTTCCCTAGTTGCTTTAAGTTGTGCTCTAAGTGTCTCATTCTCCACTTGTACTCCTCTAAATCTCTCCTCCAGTTTCATTTGAGTGGCTTCCTCAACTTGGCATTTATCCTGAAATACAGAACATCAATGCTATCACATAATAAAGGGACAGAAGTTATATTAGTTCATAAGGGGTATTTCCAAAGACTAATGCACTTAAAAAAGTCTAGACTGGTCATTTTTTTGAAAACAATACTGGCAAAGTGATTTTCATTAACATATTGTACCACAGACACTTTAAGCATAAGTTGATTCTTCATCTAACCTTTTCTGACAATTTGATTTATATTTGGTATAATAATTTAGTGATCAACACGTTATTTTAGCATTTCAAAGACATTTTGGTTAAGAATGTATGTTGATTAAAAAAATGTATGTTGTTTCTGTCTTTTCGAATAAACATAACTTTGAAATGCCACATGACACACCATACCTTCAGACTGGCCACTGATTTTTTCTCCATGTCCAAGCTAGATGCCAATATTTCATACTCTTGTCTGAGGTTGTCTAGTTTCTGCTGGCATTCATTCAGGCTGTCTTTGGTCACGCCTACATTTGTCCTCTCTTCTGTTAACTGAAGTGTCATAAAGTGTCATGTCACAGGAGGTTTTGGATACAGGAGTTACACAAGGGCAATCCCTGAATTATATCAAATACATTAAATCTACGGAGGATGCAAAGGAATGAAGGCAAAATTCGTAATGGCTATTAAGTCATTGTATGATGACAGATTTCACCGTGTACTTGTGAAATATCAAAACATCAGAAAAGTAAAATACACATGTATCTTAGCAATGACTACAAAACTCAGTGATGAACCACATCTTTGATATGGGATTAATTTTATCTTATACTAAATTGACAGGGAATGATAAATCGAGAACACTGTTCACATCCTTGTATTTTACAATTGTAAGAGATAACATGTTTCTTTCTATCAGTTCCTTTCTTGTAGCAAAGCAGAGTGAGTACTCACTGATGATTTCTCAACAGATAATTTGTGTTCTAAAGCAGTGTTCACATTGGTCAAGTTCAGCATATCATCATGCAGTTTCTCACACCGTTGTTTCAGGGTGTCACACTCAGTCTCTAGGGTAGCAGCATGCTTGTTTACATGCGTTAATTCTGTTGTCAAGGCAACCACCTGAGTCTCCTTTTCATGCAGTAATTTCTCAGTTGTTTTGAGTGTTTCTTGTTCATTTTCAAGCTGTGTTAAAACAACAAAACATGCTTAGAGAAACAATTGAGTAGAGATTTTGTCTTCAGTTTTTAGCATTCAAAGTTGAATTTGATGAAATATTGATATAAAAAATTTGAACATATTTCATTCAAGTGCTTTTTCATGTGATATGTGCATAAATATAAAAAATTAAAAATGTTATATGAAATAAACTTTTAGAGAAAGAATAAGAGAGTACAGCATTTAGTTGATTATATCAATGTAAAATAACATGCTAAAATGAGGAAAAAATATAAATATATTAGTTATAAACATGCTAAAAGTATAAAAAGATTAAAAGATAAACATGCATTTAATTAAAAAAACAATGTGTGCAGTTAAACTTGAGGAATGAGGATACGCTGTTGAAACTGGCGACTGTGCAGAACTAAAACATTTTCATAAAAGTACCAAAAATAATAGCTTAGTATCCAATACTAACATCATGATAATTATTATAGAGTGTATAACTTAATTAAATTAAATACTGAACATATTATTCAGAACATGTTGACTCTAATAATCATAGTGGCACTACTATTCACCTTTCCACAAAGTCAGCTCATGAATATTATAATGAGCTGCTTAAAAATCTGTGACGTCAATGACTGAAAGTTTTTCCCGCGAAAAACAAATGCAATTGAGTTAACATGTAAATCCTCGGTTGATTGCTGTAAGTTTTACCTCTTCAAATGTGCAAGTAATCAGTAAATTATTGACAGATTTTTATTGAACGTCAAATTGACATTTATTTACGCCTTCTAAGCGATTTAAATATTAAATTTCTGTTCATAATGAGTAAATAATTTGAAGAGAATTACTCCCGGTCAGTTTTCAATCATGATAGGAACTGGATGTGAACAGGTGATTTTATCATAATCATTAGTTCACCAACATTATAACATGTCTCTTATGCATAAAAATATATAGATAGACAATCTATTTTAAGTTAATCTTCAGTGTCATTTGATGAATGACCTGTTCAAATTAAAAACATTTGCTCTTATTCATTAAATCATTGACTTCACTACTTCCATAATTCAATCAACTAAACGATTACTTCCTATTTATTTCTGCAAGTCATATCACGAAAACATTGGGATATAGAAATGATATCTTAGAGGAGCGTGACATTAGATAGAGATTATCGTACAGGAGGTTCAGGATATTGGGATTATCCCGAGGCAATTATAATTCTGCCCGAGGGCCGAAGCTCCCGAGGGAAAATATATTATATTGGCCAAGGGATAATCCCAATATCCTGAACCGACTATAGAATAGTATGTTTATCTCATACCAATCTTGGTCATCTGGTTCACATTGTTCAATCGTGGAAATATTTTAGAATATTCATGTCCAGTTTTGTTTTCTTGGCCGTGGGCGGATTTTCCTGTTCTCTCAAATATTCCCAATATACGTATAATATATCCCCGGGAAAATGTTTTTTTATTCAGTGTAGAAACAGTCAATTTGTCAACAGTCAATATCTTGCTAAAGCAGAACTGTCAAAATAGATCCAGCAGATTTTTTCTTAACCAAAATGATGATGGATTTCTCGAAAATAATGAGAATGAGAACGCTTAATAGAAATCAAACATGTATATGGGTGTCCTGATTTCACTTGTGAAACCTCACTTGTCATTGGATAAATCAGTTATGTGATGATCGGTTTTGAATAACGATGACTGGGAAGATTTCAGAGAAAGAGCGTATATCATATAATGTTTATTGATATGTTGACATTGCTGATCATTATTGACATCGCTAATGGCGAATAAATACCAAAAGGTAACGCTTTGCGCGAATGTCACTCATGGTGAATTTCTGATGGAACTTCTTACTACGACATAATAACCATTTAACAGGATAGTGTATGACCACTATCAGATAATTTAGCCGATGTTTAATTTTTAACTTCACAATTTACATTTTTGTTTACAATCGCACGAGACACGTGAGCCCGGGTATGTGAGGCTGATCTGAGAAGTCTTAATAAACAATAGTTCTGTCAAAAAATGATTAAATTAAATTACATAAGATTCGGAAAGAAAGTTCCCCGTCCATATTTCATATTTGCTTAAAAATAATTAGTACGTTGGGCAAATAGAATCCTTGTTATAGCAGTTAATTCAAAATATTCCTATGCTGGTTGTACTAATTCTTCAAAACTTTCCATCATTGACGTCATTGATTTGACTCATTTGCATACAACCAATCAGCGCGCCGGAAATTATCGATTTTCTTTACTTTGTGGAAAGGTGAATAATGCCTGTCATAGGTTATGAAAATAGAAAAATACAGATGTTATGAATGGGGATAAATACATTTGAGCAGAATCAGATATTTAGGATGAACACAGATTACTCATGGACTTCATGGACTTGAGAGATAGAGAGGGAGGAAGATAGGAGGGAAGGGAGAGAGAGAGCCCAGGGACAACCCTATTATGAACTTATCCTACTTTTCTATGTGTTGAGTCATATTCATCTCTCGATTTGTTGAGTTCATTCTTCTCCTTGTTGACTTCTGACTCAAGTTGAGACTTAACAAATTGTAGCTCACTCCTCTCTCTGATCAACTGCTGGTTTACATCTTTCGCAGATCCTAATTCTTTCATCTTAAATAGTATAAATAGTAGATACATGTAAATATTACAATACTAATTTTTAAATTAAGGGCTTTGGAGCTTGTATAATTATATCTACACCTACAATAACATATACCTTATAATAATAATTATTATTCCTTTCAATTATATTAATTACTTATGATCACATAAAAAAAGTTTCTACTTGATAAAAAAGATCATGAGAATCGATCTCCTAGTTCCTGCATTGTATTATATTGTATGTCCATTGCTCTTCGTTCTTCCATCTGGACCAGTTATGGAGACATTTCACTGGTAAATAATTCAATACACTAATAATGATTACAACAATTGACATAATGTTAAAAATTACCTTTGTTGTAAGATCATTGGTGATTTTCTCCAGATCATTCCTATTCTGGGCATTCTCGTCATGAAGAAGCTCGATCTTACGATTTAGAGATTCACTTTCTTGTTTCTGTCGACCAATTGTATCATTGAGAAAGTCAATTTCCCGTTCCTTGGCCTCGAGAAGCCTCTTGGTCGTTTCCAATTCACTAGCAAGCTGCAAGAAGAATTTGCAACACCATGGATGTTCCTGTTGATTGGATTTCAGGAGGTATATCTGACCACATTGAATGTAGAAAATCAATCATCACTAGATTGTATAGCAAAAGTTTCCAATGGAATTTCTTACAGAGAAACACTTTAAAAATAATTTGAAGGAATAAAGTTGATTTCAAGACTAAAAGTCAAGTCAATACATGATCAAACATGACCTACCCTTTTACCATCTGCACTGAGATTTTTATAGTTGGCTTCATAGTCTACACGAGCCTTTTTAGAGTCTAGTTCCAGCTTGCAAAGTGTCTCTCCCATTGTAGCCTGCCTCTTAGCAAGGTCAACCTCTAAAATCTCTTTCTCTCGCTTGTAACTTTCTCTTTCCTCTATCGCCATCTGGATATGAAGATAAAACTTGCATATAATAAAGGTACATTTCGGAGATCATAATATTGATTTAGAGTTCAAGTATCAATGCATTTAGAGATCATAATATTAAAGCATTTTTAGAGATGAAAATATAATAGCATTTAGAGGTCAAAATATTAATGCATTTAGAGGTAAAATATTAAAGCATTTAGAGCTCAAAATATAAATGCATTTACAGGTAAGATATTAAAGCATTTAGAGCTCAAAATATTAAAGCATTTATAGCTCAAAATATTAACGCATTTAGAGGTAAAATATCAGTGTGTTTAGACATCCCCATACAATGCATTTATATTACCTGATCCCCCATCATGACACTTGGGTATTGCAGTACTGTACAATACTTGAATTTACTCATCAGTAACCTACCTGCAGCTTCTGATGTATGTCATCTTTATCTTTGTTAAGTTGACAGATATTTGCCTGTTCCCCAACCAGGTGCTGCTTCAGTTCCCTCATCTGGCCCATCAACTCTGCATTCTCCCGCACAACACGCTCAATATTTGGGTTGGTTTTCTGAAGGCAAATTAATACAAATATACATGTACTTCATGGACATATAACTATTTAGGCTGAGTAAAAGAAGGCCGAAAAGTACATACTGCCTGAAAAAAAGTTTTTTATTTGAATGAATTATCTAGTATGTATTATCTCGTAGTATTATCTAGATTTCTAAATACTTGCTAGTACCATTGTTTCTGAAATGCTTCACCATCAGGCTCCTTATTTAATACGTTTCAGTGATCTCCTCAGGATTTTTCACAATTCAGACCAAAATTGGTCAAAACATGCCAATTTTTTGTTATCTTTCTCATTTTTAAGCGGGTGCAAATTGATTTTCAGGTGGGTGTAAGCCTATTTTCAAAATCTCAGTTGGGTGCTGTGCCCACTTGCTTTAATGCTGGGGAGATCACTGTGTTTAGCCACTGTAGACATTTATTAAGTTACCTCCATCATTTAAATTGTATCTATAGTAATATAAATATATTTAATGTTTGTTTTATATATTGTTTTATAAATATTGTAACTATGATATAACTTTGCAGATATCATTTGTTAAATTAAACTACAACTATATAATATGCATTAATTTATATTGATGTATTTAACAAATACAGATCTTATCCCTACACTAAGCTCATGCTGTAGGGTTGACTTATCAGCCTCTAAGGCTTGTATTTTTCTCTCCAATTCTCCCAAATGTTCCTGGCGCACTCTGTGGTCGCTGTACGCCTCTGTACTCCTCCGCCCTTCAGAAAGTAATTCCTGACGTTGTTTCTGAATCATGGACTCTTTTTGATCCAGATCGTGTTGATATTTTGTGACTAGTTCTTTGTGTCTGTTAAGTTCTATGTTGAGCAATTGAATCTAAAATATATATGGAGTAGATGTTTCATGAAATAAAAATTGTTTTGCTTACATTTCATTGTCACAACAATATGATAATGGTACACCATGATATAAAACTTAAAACTTGCAAAAGTTGTATAATCATGTTCCAGGGTTTGCTCTAAAAATATTAATACTTTATGAATACTGTTGCACCATAATGTAAAACTTGCCAAACTTGAATAATGTTAAACTGAGAGATATAAAAATACAGAAAGGAGTTAACATTTCAAAAGTAGTATGAAACTTAAGTTGAAGATTTTGTTTAACTGAACTCACATACTCGAGATCAAAATCTGTAATGATTGGTAGTTCAAAAGATTAAGAGGCTTCTATTTCATTTTTGTGAAATTTTTCATACCTCAGAAGTTCGCTGAGTAAGATCTCTATTGGCTGCATCTAGATTTTCCTTAAGTGACATTATCTCAGTTTTATATGTCTGTTCTGTCCCCTGAAGTCTCTCAACAACCCTAGCACCTTGACGTAAATCTGTTTGCAGATTCTCCATCTGGACAGACAGAATGTTAAAGTAAAAGGACTATTCAAATATTTACAAGGCTAAAGTGTAGAATTATTAATTCAAATTATTCAAGATATTCATATACATAACAAAAATGTTGAGGAGTGACTTTTCCTATTTAGAATGAGATTTTGATCTTAAACGTTTAGCTGCATTTCGTCAAGTAATTCATATGAAAAATTTAAAATTTTAAACACGATGTTTTTGAAAATCATGTCAATTCATCATGTGAAATAATACATTATATATATTATATGCTATGTCTTCCTTTTTATCTTTATAGAAAATGCAGATCCATAATGTCATTATTTATTAATCTCAAGAGTGTTAGGTAACAGGTCTATCTAGGCCTACGGCGTGCGTCTACGCGGTAGCTAGGCGTCGTCGTCAGTACAAAAAAGCAACAACAAATTGCAGCCGTTCAGATGCATGTATGTCTTCCTTTTAATTTTATAGAAAATGCAGATCCATAATGTCATTTTTTATTAATCTCAAGAGTGTTAGGTAACAGGTCTATCTAGGCCTACGGCGTGCGTCTACGCGGTAGCTAGGCGTCGTCGTCAGTATAAAAAACAACAACAAAACAATGAATGTTTGTAAAATATAGTCATTTTTTTATAATTGCGTTACAATTAGGTGCTAGGCCAATTTTGGTTGGCGACGTGCGTCTACGCGGTAGCTAGGCGTCGTCGTCAGTCAAAAACAGCAATATTGTTTGTTTGTAAATAGTGATTATTTTCAATTTAACATTTACATAATTTGTATACATGTATCTCCTTTATATAAAGGGCAATAAATATATACATACATACATTACATAAATCAAAACTCTACTCATCTCTACTTTTGAGAATGTGAGATATAGGCTATATAAGAAACATTATGTGTACAGTACCTCCTCTGCAAGTTGAGCACTGGCCTCCTGTTCAAGAAGCAGTTTATGTTTAGCACGTTGCAACTCATCCTCAGTTTCCTTGTATTGAGCTGTTACCTTGGAGATATGGATCTCCTTTTCATGTACCTCATTCTCCAACTCCAGTTTCTGCATGGATAAGGCGAAAAGTTAAATGTTGCCCAGACTATAGGCCATCATTGAACAGCCTTTAAGGCCAGGGTAAATAGATAAAGCTTTATAATATATCAAAGAGTATTCAGCACACCAAGAAAGAGTACTCATTCAATCCATGATCTTATGGAATTATTACACCAAAAGTAGTGCGAAATGGACTTTTCACGCGTTGGCATAAAGTTTTCATGACATTTAAAGACATAGTTCCTCTTTCACGTATATTATCTCATGGAAATGGGCATACCAGCGCAAAGATCTTTGTTCCGTGGTGAAGAAAAGCCATCAAACATTGTCTGAAGAGCAGATTTATCTCCGTAATTCTACTTTTAACATGGCGACCTTGACCTTGAAAAAATATAGCCATTTGGGCGATAATAGGTGATTCATAAGTGAAAATGAGTGCTTTTTTCGTAGTTTTACTTTGACCAAGCCTAGAAAAAAATCGAAGTGGTAAACCTACCCCCAATTTTTGATATTTTTGTCGTTTAGAAGTGTCCTAAATGATATCAAAGTTTAAGAAAATTTGTATGTCTAGAAATATTTTATAAATTAGTGCCAATATGGTGGGTTTGGGTGCTTTTTTGCTCTCATTTTTTACCCCATTTCTACGGTTGCTATGGCAACTATTAGGCTTTGGTAACCATGCCAACTTGATTTTTGAAGGACGTCCCCCTGATAGTAGTTGGGCCAAGTTTGATGGAAAATGGGCCTGGTTTGATATGCTGGCAGTGAGGTTGATTGTGGCATGTAGTAAAACGGCAAAACAATGGTGGAGTCATACCATTATTTTGCCGCATTTTGATGCTTAATTTTCACTTTATAATCGTTTGGTACCATCGTGACGTCACAATATAGCGTCTGACCTCATGATATAGGTACCAAATTGAAGCGGACGTGACAAGCTTTAAGATGGTACCAAACATGTGACCGTTCATTTGATTAAAATGCTAACTTGAATAAGCCCAAAAGGTGTGTCACACCCCTACCCCATCCATTTTTCAGGCCAGTGAAAAACACCAAAATCTCAAATAATCCAGGCATCTTCAGGGGTCGTTTTTTGGCCCCGTTTTATTCAAAATATCATGTTTCTGGATACCATTTTTATCAGAAATGTCTCAATTACCTAAAAACAGTTGCACTAGTGCTGAATAAGAAAACATGTCTCCATTATGGAATTATTACACCAAAAGTAGTGCGAAATGGACTTTTCACGCGTTGGCATAAAGTTTTCATGACATTTAAAGACATAGTTCCTCTTTCACGTATATTATCTCATGGAAATGGGCATACCAGCGCAAAGATCTTTGTTCCGTGGTGAAGAAAAGCCATCAAACATTGTCTGAAGAGCAGATTTATCTCCGTAATTCTACTTTTAACATGGCGACCTTGACCTTGAAAAAATATAGCCATTTGGGCGATAATAGGTGATTCATAAGTGAAAATGAGTGCTTTTTTCGTAGTTTTACTTTGACCAAGTCTAGAAAAAAATCGAAGTGGTAAACCTACCCCCAATTTTTGATATTTTTGTCGTTTAGAAGTGTCCTAAATGATATCAAAGTTTAAGAAAATTTGTATGTCTAGAAATATTTTATAAATTAGTGCCAATATGGTGGGTTTGGGTGCTTTTTTGCTCTCATTTTTTACCCCATTTCTACGGTTGCTATGGCAACTATTAGGCTTTGGTAACCATGCCAACTTGATTTTTGAAGGACGTCCACCTGATAGTAGTTGGGCCAAGTTTGATGGAAAATGGGCCTGGTTTGATATGCTGGCAGTGAGGTTGATTGTGGCATGTAGTAAAACGGCAAAACAATGGTGGAGTCATACCTTATATATACATGAACACCGAAGGATCACTACAAAATGTACACTGAATTTACAGTGACTATGCATTCACCAGATATTTATTTCCATTTCCATATGTAATTACATTTTACACCTACTTGAGATTCAAAGCTTCCAAATGATGAAGATTCTTTGCGTATTTTCTCCTCATATGAGCGAATTTTTGTAGTAAGGATTTCCAGTCTTTCTTCAAGTTGAGATTGCTCCAGTTTTGCATTGCTACATTTGTCCTGCCAGAGTTTTGCCTCAGCTCTTAGTCCTTGGCACTATATTTGAAATAAATTGCAGTATAGGGTACATGTATAACAAAGAGTCAACATGACAAAATGTCAAAATGAATATCTGAAAATACTAAGATATCACCACCTGGTTGCAATTACAAAAGTTTAACAATTTGGAACATTTTGCTTCAGAACGGAACAAATTCAGAATGATTCGGAACAGAGTGATTGCCTGTATTATATTACAGGTACTTTTAAACCTGAATTACAGTAAATTGATTGACTAGGTCTATCAGGAAGTGAAAAGCTCTTCAATGAGAATGAGTGAAAAATGAACTTCTTTCGGGGCAAAAAAATAAGAGAATAATGGTGTTTTGCAGTGATTTGAGGGCCAAAAGCTGTGCAAAAGATGAGACTTTCTTGTTCCGGAACCAAACCAAAATGTGGAATTTTTGTTCTGACCTGAGAGGCTTATTCAGTGGGTGGTACAACTCAAAAGTGTTATTGCACAACATAAATACCCTGCTACAAGTTTCTAACATGAAGAAAGCTGTGTAATTAATTGATTTACCTCAGCAGTAAGGTGATCAATTCTGATCTGACGCTGATCATTAACATCATCATCTGTCAGTCTCCTGTTAGTTGCTTTATCTAGTTCATCAAGGGCTTCCTCTAGAGACTGATGTTTGGCAGCCAACTGGCTCTTGACAGTTTCAAGTTCACCCTCTAGAAGTTTTATATTGCGTATTTGTTGGTGGAGGTCTGCTGTTAATGTCCGGTTGTCATTTGTTAATTTTTCTATTTGAACTGAAAGCATATTCAATGAAGTAAGGGATAGACACTATAAAATATTGATAGCAGTCTTTCAAAATAAAACATCAATTTAAACTATTCTACCCTACTTTAATATCTAAAAATGGAGACATCTGATTAAATATCAAAGAAATTGAAGATTCAAAAATGTCTGAATTAAAATTAATTTTATGATATTGTCAATGAACGCTGTTTGAACAGAGAGTTCGTCATCTATCCTTTGTAACCTCATTTGAACCCCCAATTACAAATCAGAGTAGAAAGAATTTGGCCACTTCTTAAACCATTTCCCCCATGAACCATACCTTCATAATGTCCAGAACTGTTGACTCCCTTTGGGGTGCTCCTACCAGAGCCACTCACCACAGAGTGTTTCAGTGAGTCATTCTCCACCTGAAGGCCTCTTAATTTATCCTCTAAGTTTTTCACCATTGCAGATAGTTGGTGCTTCTCTTCTATAATACCGCCTATTTTACTATGAATCAAAAACATCAACTCGTAATCAGTTTCAAACATAAACAATGCAGGTGTTCAAATTTCAAAAAGGGACCAAAAAGTGATCACATTAAGGTGTTCAGATTAGAGATGTTTGGATATCCAGGTTTTACTGTAATGATAAGTGAAATATCTTAATTAGATCAAATGTTTTGTAAAAGTATATATGCTGCTCTGATATTAGTGCTTGCTTTGTAATTTTGACTTCAAAAGAAAACATTCGCCATAAAGAATTTCAAAAGTCACAAGATAAAGGGAGGGGAAAAGGGAGAGTTCCTACCTGCTATATGTTTTTTCTAATTCCACTTTTGCTTGTGTATTGTCATCTAATGCCTCCTGTAATTGAGCTAGCCTACTTTCCATACTGGCTTTGTCTGTCCCTAGTTTCTAAATATGAAAATGAACTTATCTAGTTTCATCTAACGTCTAAATCTAATTATGGTATGCTTAGTATTTTGTATCTAATAGAGAGTACAGTATGCTTAATATTACAATCTAGATAGTTATGTTATATCTTGTAATCTAACAAAAGTACTAGTCATCAATAACATTACATTATATAAAAGAATAAGAAATGTGAAAGATTATAAGTTTTAAAATGTACTTTACATGATCATTCATATTATTTAACAATATTAAATCAACATAGCTTAATATAGAATATGTTAACAATCATGTCCTAAAATTAATATCGTTCTTCATGCTTACACTTATAGGCCTAACTATGTATTAACAATATGTTAATGTACCGTATGTATGTTTTTTTGTATACATGCATGTATATATATGAACTGCATACAATACAAATCTACTGTTTTGTAGACATTATTATACAGATAGTACTGCATGTCTTGAGAAGACACGGGTACAGTATATCACATGTTATCCAAATCACCTTTAAATTATCTTTAATATTGCGTTCAATCCCTAACTCTTTAAGTTGGTTCTCCACCTCTGTGAGTGCCTTAACAGCCTGCTGTTTGCGTACCCACATACACACAACAATGTCTTGTTCCTTGGATGGTTTAATGCCTTCATCTCTTTGTAGAGTATCCTTAATCATTTCATATTGCTCAGAAACCTAGAGGCAAGTGATGAAATAAAGCATGCTTAAATATATGAAGACAACATTCAAAAGAGGTGGGTTATCAAGTCAATCTGGACCATGTCATTCCAGATTCTTTGGATCAACAGTTAAATTCAGGATAAATTATCCTGAACATTCATCCCAGATCCCGAGGAAAATTGAGTAGACTGACCTATTTGATGTGACCTATCTGAGTCAGGCCAGCCAGGTAACAACTATGGTACGGGTAGCCCAAGCCATGGGTCATATGCCCTAACCCACCTCTTACTTTTAATACTGAACAATAACAAAGCAATGTATAAAACAGGTGACAAGTCTTGTGCACAGCCCCAAGAAATATGTCCAATGTAAAGGTAACTGGCCCTGAATGAATGAAGGGGTCTCCTCACTTGAGGACAACAAACAAGAGACTGTGCATTTGACTGAAAAGCTGAACTTATTCAAACTTTTAACGAATATAAAACATAACACTTGTAATTTGTAAAACATAAGCCTTGTAAAACATGCTATGCTTATTACTTAATACTTGTATGAACATTTACTCATGCCAACATAAACTTCAGTTCTCATAACACAGAGACCATCTTTTGAGTCTTGCATCAAAACCTCACTTTCTTAAATAACTATAGAAGCCTATGAGGGAAGGGAAATGGGGGAGGGTGGAAATTGTTTCTTGATACAAGACTAATCATCTCTAATCATAAGAACCGAAGAACAAAAATTAACAAAATTAAATCATAACATCATAAAAAGATGTCACCGCTGTACCTTTCTGTTGTCATGGACTATTGATGACCAGCGACCTTTATAACCATTTTCTGCTGACCCGTATATGCTAAGTAACCCTGGTGATCTGCGATCTGGAACCTCTTCCATTAACCTATCACATTCATCCTTTAAATGTTTGATTTTATGTTCTAAATTTTTAGTCCTATCTTTTTCTCTTAATAATTGTCTTTTAGATTCTTTTTCAGCAACCTGAAATTTGAAATTAAGTTCACAAATGAATAAGTCATCATAAAGAGATACTAATTTGAACTAACAATAACCGAGACTATAATAGACTACTAAGATCTTATTTTAACCATTTACAGTAAAAATATCATAATCTTAAATAAAGGGTCAGAAGTTATACACTGTACATCAATTATTTCAGATTATTTATACCTACAATGAGCATACTACAATAATGATACAATAATTGTCTATATTCAATTGTATATATTAAATAAATAGATAAACATAACCTAGAAATTATTCTTAATTAGTCTTACATAACATAGGCTAATGTATATATTTAACAAGAAGATATTTATTGGTAGCCTGGAGAGAATCTTTGAGAATTACTTTGTTATATGAAACAGTGATATGGAATTATAATTTAAGGTATACAAATAATAAATAACCTTGGATACAATCTGAAACATATTTCCAAATCAACATTTTAAGAAATTTTAAATAACCTGTAATCTAGCATTTTCATTGATGAGTTTATCCTCTAGTTGTGATAACTTTCCAGCCCTGTCTGCTCTCTCTTGATGTAGTCTTTCCTCAGTGATCTTAAGTCTCTTCTCGAGAGATCTAACCTAAATACAAGTTTGTAATAATATTCATTTTCTTACATAAACATTACATTCTTAACTATAAGATTCTTAACACAACCACTACTCTAATATCCTATAATGCATATAATGTATAATTCAGTTTGCTTTTTTTCATCAAGAGATTTTATTGCCATTAATCATTTTAAGTACATATCATACATGACAAAATTCAGTATAATTCAGTTTCACAGTGAGTCTTAACATCGCGCTTCAAAAGTAAAGTAGACAATGGATTGATGCTGAATATTTGGTAAATGTACATGATTAAATTTGCAAATCTTACAAATGTGCTACTTCATCCTAAATACCATACATAAAAGGGCTTTGTTTATTAGGTGGTCTGTATCTTTATTTTATTTACTTGGATTTATATATTTGGATATACACTATTTATAACAGTGGCACTCTAATACAAATACAATATCAGAGCTAAAATCATTAACAAAGCTGGGCGAGTCATCTAGCAGTAAACAAAAAGAAAAATGTGTAGCCCTTTATGCTTAATCTTTGAGAGAATCTCTAATAATTACTAATCATACCTGTTTCTCAGCTGCCATATGAGAGCCATTCATCTCCACTTGTTGCTGTAGCAGGTTCTTCATCTCTGCCAGTTTGATGACTTGCTGTGCTGACTCCTTCCTATGTTCTACCTCAATCTGTCTATCACCTTCACATTGTTGGAGGAGCAGCTTCACTTTCTTGATTTCCTCCTGAAAAGTCAGTGGATTTTACATTATTAATCCAATGATTATTTTTAGTGAAATAAAAATATTGTTAATTATATAAATAATTGCCTGAATTGCTGACAGATGTGTGAGTTTGACTATATACCAAACTCCATGATAACTTCTCATAATGGGTAGTTTTATATACGATATTTATCTCCCTCAGGAAAAAACTCTAATGGTATACCTTGAGGGATTCTACTTCAATTTTATAAACATCAATCACTCTGGCTTTATCAGACACACTGCGGACTGTATCAGCTGCTTTTTTGGCTGCTTCTAGCTGTCTCTCCAATGATGTGCTCTGAAAACATTACATCAAATCTTGTCAAAATACACTTTTCAAAACAAATATATGGCATAATAAACTGCATGACATTGCAGAGTTTATTGGTGATCTTTTTAGCTGCCCTGTAATTGACTTTCGCTCTCTTATCTGACATGTTCTGAAATGTCAAAAAATGTCAAAATACAGTTATTTCAAAAGCATACCAATACTCAAGCAGCAAATAAACTACAGGGTTTATCAGACTTCTCAGCCATCTCTAGCTGTCTCATGTTCTGAAAATACTATGGTTTCTATTAGTAATATTTTGACTTCCACCGTCCATAAAAAGAACATGATCACCATTTACTCGACTCATTCCTCAGTCTCAACATGGCTTTTTAAAGGTTCAAACATCGACTTTGAATGGACCTTCATGCATAATTCAAAAATAGAATCATCAGAGGTTTTAAACCATGGAATCGACTCAAGAGCCAGAAAAAATATTTTGAACCATTTTATCGCCTCTGAAGCCTAATGTTCCTTTAATTTACTTCAGCCAATATTACATGTTCTTGATAAGCCATGGTTTCTTAGGACACCATTAATATTTTATTAATAAAAACTACTATACTAGTAGATCAATAGATCATGCCTCAATCAATTCTGAATTGATACCCTGCTTCTACTAAATATTCTAGATTTAACATTGACCTGTTCTCCTCTGGAGTCTTTGATGATTCTAGCTATCCTAAGTAGGAGACCCAGGCTATAGTCTCCAGTACTCTCATCTATGTAGGCCATTCTTACTAGTGTACACCTTCGTTTACATTATTGTTCCCATATAATGATTGTTCAATTTAATATTCCATGCAATGAGATACAAACGTGAATAGCACAAATATTCCTTCTTCAATTTTTCAGTGATAGCATACACTGCATATTGAGTCAAACTGACATTTTAATCCGTATTAAAATGAAATACTGCAAATATTCATAAATACAAGTTCAATTTCGTAATTATTGAAATGATGATTAGAATCTAATCAATACACAATATGTTTGCATAGGCAAATCATCCATTAATTATCTATATGCAAATCTCAGATTATCTAGTTAGCCAGGTACTTCTGAAGAGATTATAATATGTAGCAGTTTGAGGTTATAATGCATAAATATGCTATAAGCATCATTTTAATCACAAGAATAAATGCAGACAAGTTTTTCACGGACCTCAAAAATGAAAAATATTCATTTTATCCATTTTTTCAATTTTGATTGTACAATGTACATGTACATTAATTTTTTTCAATATTATGTACTGTTATGTTACACAAATTTCACCCTTTCCATGGAGAAGTTAATGGCAGCTAGAGAGTTTATCTTTTGTTTAAAATTGTCACTCTTAATGTTTTCAACTTGAAAAGCCTGAGAAAGCAGAAAATTGATACTTGAAGTATTGCTACTTCTTCTAATCATAGTTCAATGCAAAATGTATTCACCTCAAACCTTAAGCGTTCCGTCTCAACTGTTAATGCTGCAACTCGACGATCTAAGTTCTGCCGCTCTTTCTCAGATTCACTGCGGCTGTGTCGCTTGAACTCTGTCACTTCATGACTAAGAGAATCCTGTATATGGCTGGCTTCTGACTGTGCATTCAGAAGATGGGACTCAAGACTACTGATCTTACCTGAAAAGATCGGTCAAATAGTAAAATGTAAAAGATTTCAAGGTGCCAATATACATGTATTTCTAGCATGATAAATTGAGATTTGGTGGTTATATTTAATGAGCTCAAAATGATAAACTGCTTCAATGAATATGTTTAATGTCTATCATGTACAATATTGAACAACCATAGGTGATAATACATGTACATGTAATACATTGTAATGCATGTTAGCTCCATTCAGTGTGTATAACTGCTTAATGATTATTCATCTTCATCATTGATGACAACATGGATGTCATCTTTTCATGAAGTATTGTATCAAAGACTTATTGCTTATATTATTATATTATATCTTTGACCGAAATGTTTTCTAATAAATCTGTAAATAGATGGAAATTATTTAGGAACTCTAATTGAATGACAGGGCATTAACATGCAAAATGTCACCACCTGCCATTTGTTACATATGCTGGATTCCACACAAAAACCATCAACTGCGAAACACCATCCACAAAATGGTGGAGCCAATAACAATATGTCACCGCATCTGGTGGTGACATAAAATCAAATGGACTCACTTTGGGCTCTATTGTATTTCTCCTTGAGAAGTTTATTCTCTGTGGTAAGACTGGAATTCTCCACTTGGAGTTTACGTAGTTGACTTTCAATAACCTCCTGCAGAGTAAAATACATATTGAAAATTATGATTGACAGAGTAAAATTATACTGTAATGCATATCCTTCATTCTTCGTTTTTATTGAATTTTAAATCAGGGGTAATATTTCATAGAACACATTTTCACCAAATATTTGTATTGTAGATATTTCAAAACTATAAATAATTTTCGCTTTTGTTCCAAAATTGTTTTATCTAAATTCTGCTGTCAGTTGTTATACATAATTACAAATCACACAATTAGACACACCTTTACCACTGCTAAACATCAACATGCCATTGTTCAATATACACAATGTTAAAAGAACATGATTCAAAATGCAAGATGGGAGGAATCATTTTTTAGCAATCATTTAATACATAAAATTCAAAGAGAAGATATATGCTAAATTCACAGCTTTCTGATGAAAGCATTGTTTTATCTGCTCTGTAAGAAACGGACTCTAGTGCAGTCTGCAAAAATGACCTAGGGCAAAAACCAGGTACATGCCTGGAGGTGATACATAAAATTAAGATATTGAAGGCTGTGGCTGAATTTAAAATTGAAATGCTGAGTAGTTCTGGGGTACGGTGTAAATTGATTCAATGACATGTTTTTCTCCATCTAGATCAACAATCTCACACCTATACTACTCTACAAGCCTTTCACCTGGAGCCTTCTATCTGGAACCTTTTACCTGTTATCTTTTGATCAAATCAATACTTTCTGGATGTGTCAGATGTTTCTGATTTGATATCACTTAATCACTTATCATTTTTATTAGAAAATTCTCACTACTCTCCATGGATAAAAATATCAATGAAATTACATCAATAATTGTTATAAAAATGCATACATAAACTAATAGTGTATGTTCAATATAAGCCCCTATGGGTTAAGTGTCTATTTAAAGAAATTTGGAAAAAAGGAGCAGATGACTAGGTTTTTCTGATGAATATAAAAAAGGTGATTAAATCCCAAAAAGCAAGTGAATTGGAGGTTTAGGAGTGATCAGATAGGTACCAATAAACAGACACTTAATTTGCAAGGGCTTTACCTGAAAGCTTTCTTCTTGGTAGATTTCAGTAAAATGTGATACTTCAGTTCAGAAATATTCTGGCACGTGTTGTTTAAGTAATACAAATACCTTCTCTATTCTGGTTTGCATGGGAATGAAATATAATCCTTAACTGACAAATTCCTGACTTATGAACATCAATGTAAAGATTTAGTATCCAAGCATACACCAATGGGCCAGTGCTCCATGTCCATGTCTGTAGATTCTCAATATGTCAATTTGGGGGCACAAACACAAAGTTAAGGCCATAGAGGCTCCACTGTTCCACACTGGTGTATACTGGACTAATATTAGAAGGTTCTGATGCCAATTATTTATTCAACACTTTTTCCTATATAACATGTACAATGACTATATCTCATAAAAAAATGTACGGCTACCAAATATATTTCAAATTCTTTTTTAAGTCATTTTTCACTTTACTTATTCTAAATTTTATTCAGACACTTACCATGGTGTTCAAGAGGTCACTAAAAGTATCTGTACAATATATTGTGTGTTTTGGTTGCCGTAGCAACACTATTTGGATGTCATTGATGCATACCTTTTAATCAAGTGCATCCAAAATTTGAAATTAGATTTAAAATTGTTCAGATATTGATTCCTAAGGTCAGTCACCATACCAACAGTTAACATTGTGATGCTGCAGGTTTGATACATGTTTTATGATGTCACAGTCACGGACTCAGACACTGGCAGGGACATTTAGTCCTTTAAATGTTTAGAGAACATGTTTTCTGAAGCAAATGTAACTGAATCTTCCAAAAAATACTTATTCAGCAAATCAGCAGCGTAAGACTGTTGAGAACATTTTTGACATTAAAACTGGGGAGGTGACATTTGACTGAGAGACTTCTCCTTGAGGAGACAGAGGGATATACCAACCAGCAGTACAATGATATAGTCATTGTACTATAGTATATCATTTTATCAAAAGAAGTTCAATGTACTGTGAATGGATGTTGACTTTTTAGGGGTGTTACCAGAACCTTCCATAAATTAGAAAACTTCTTTATGTATTGTTCATAACAAAGGACGATTCTCGGTTTGGAGAAAAGTCTCCTGGGCTAATAATTTTTTTCATGAAAAATATAGAAATATTACCCAAATTAAACTATGAATATTCAAAAGAGGACATTTAAATCTACAAGATGTAAAAATAACAAATTGGTCTGAAGCAGGGATAACGCTCAATTAGACCGATTCAATAAAATACAAGTCTCGATTTTGGGGAAAGAAGTTCATCAGTGTACTGCGCTAATATTTGTTTGCGAAAAATCTAGAAATATTACCCAAATTAAATTATGACTATTCAAAAGAAGACATTCAAATCTATATGATGTAAACAAATCAAATTTGTCCGAAGCAGGGATAATGCTCATTTAGATTGATGAACTTCGTTCTCCAAACCGAGAATCGTCCTTTACATGTATTTTGTAATATTATATTTTGATATTATATCATATTTGTGAACATTTAATAACACACATAACAAATGCGACAATATGAATACAACATTACTTATATTAAAAGCATGATACACCAATCCAATACAACATTACTTATATTATATTAAATTAAAAGCATGATACATCAATCCACTGAGAGAATTGTTAACATTATTGCTGGTGTAATTCAGAGGTCCTTTTTGCAAGGTCATACTAGATAACGGCAACTCCACAGAGTAGCAAATCCCAACGAACAAAATATCAATTAGCGAATTCCAATCAATTATACTCATTACTTTGGTTAAAATTGAAAAAATTAGATTTTAGAATTGCGAATTCCTGCAAAGCAGCCATTTTGAATTTTCTGAGAAGCAAATCTGAAAAATAATAGCATAATTGTGATCTACTCCAAAATTCCTTCAATTTGAGTATAATATAGCCATACTTTGAAGGAATCGAAAAATTATTGCGAAATCGTCCATTAGACGGCCATTTTGAATTTTACGAGGCTCGAATCAGAAAAAAGATACAATATTTGCAATCTATTCTTAATTGCCTTTCATTTGAGTATAATAAAGCTATACTTTAGAAAGATCTAAAAATTAGCGAAAATTTCTGTTTTCCTGTCCCCCCATACACGGCCCCTGGGAGTCAGGATGAAAAACACGGAATATATGTGAAATAGATAAATGTTGTGAATATACTACCAAAATTTCAAATAATAATATTAATTACTTTGGTTCAAAATGAAAAATTTATGATTTTTGCGAAAAAGTCCTGTCATTTTAAAGCGGCGGCCATCTTGGCGTAAAACTATTCACCAATATACATCTTTCCACTAAATATGAAGAAAATCCGTCTACTTGTATTTGAGTTATCTTCCGGACAGACGGACGGACTGACGGACGGACGGACATCTTGTAATATATAGATACACTGTCCCACATGTTTTGTTAAAGAGCAACTGAAGCATACAATCTTTCCACAAAGATAAATTCAGACCAACATTTGGATATCTACATCATATAGGTAGATTATAATTGATTTTATTTACTTGTCATATCCAGTATTTAATACATTATAGGTTTAAACCCATATTAATATTGAAGTCATATTTGGTAAGTTAAATTCCAGTATATATTAATTATAGGAAATACCCAATGCAACTTGTTGTATAAACTTAAATATACTGAAACTAAGCTTAGAAATGTTAAAGTTACTATCCATGATTTAATCAAACGGTCAATTTTGTTGTATATTTTAGCCATGCTTTATCTGCAATTTTCTCTTTGATATAAGTTGCTAAATACAAGCATGTGCATTTTACTGTGCAAAATGATGAAGTTAATATTAAATGTCCACTGGTGGTGATTTATACTGAAGCTTAGCCAAACTATGTCAACACTTCTGCCTTAAGAATATTTAAATAAGTAAATACACTTTCATTTGACCATTTCCAAGTTCATTACATATGGAGTCAATTTCTCCAAAACATTAGTAATACAGACGGACGGACGGAGGGCTTCACTATATCCCTACCGAACTTCGTTCGTTGGGATAATTACTCAAAATTCACAGATGAAGAATAATGATAAAAATCAATGGAAGATGGATGGCAAAAACTAAAACATTGTTATACTGTCAATACAATTGGCAGTTTGAATTATAACTGGCAAATTTTGTCTCCATTGGCAAACTGAAAATAGAGCCCAATTCTATGATAAAAGCTGGCTGCAGGCATTATACAAAGTGAAACACTAAATTACAAGGATTAGACAAGTAACTAATAATAAAAAGTGATAAACTAGAACAAAACCAAAAACACACATCAAGAGTTTACCTCATTCAGGCGCTAGAATAAAAAATATACAAATTTCAATTAAATAAATGAAATAGCTGCACTCTTCAAAAAAAAGTAAGGAACATCTTTAAAATAGAAAATTATTTTGAAACTCCAGTGACTCTCAAGCTATAAATGATCTTAATCACAGAATAAAAATGGCAAATTCTATCAATATCTATGAGTCAAATCAAAATAATATTTATGTAGCAATAAGGCCATGGTAATTAAAATCAATCTGGAGGTCTCTAAATAAACTGTGGTTCATAATTCCTGAAAGCTCAATGGCAGAGTCCTGAAAAACAGCTTCAGGAATCATAATTCATGATTTATTTGAGGAACAGACTCTTTAGATGTGCTCTCTGTAGACTAAAAAACTAAAAATGTATTGCACCTTTTCAATAAGGAATGACCGTATATCGGGGGTCCCACTTCCAGCACGTCGTGTAGAAGTAGATCTGAAACTCGCAGGAGTACTGGACCTTGAATGCTGAAACAAAACATAATTACAATTGATATAAAAGTTCATTGAATCTTATGGTTTTATCAAATATTTTTATGTATTAATTGCACAAATATACTAGAATCTAATCTTACATGTTGCATCCTTTAATAAAGTTCATTTTATCTTAATTAATTTTAATTTAATTCTAACTTATATAAATTCCTAATCAATCATATTGAGCTAATAAATCCAATTCTTTTACTACAGTAAAACCTGTATATCTGAACACCTGGCTAATCCGAACACCTTCCAATTTGAACACTTTTTGTCGGTCCCATTTTTTCCTCCCATTGACTCCCATGTTAAAAAAACCTTGAAATCTGAACACCTCCTAATTTGAACAGTGAACAACCAGATTTGAAAAAATGACCTGTCTAATCTGAACATTTTTATCAGAAATCAAATGTCTTGACATTTCAATTATAGCCAAATATTGAGTCAATGTTATAGTTGTTATTTATCTTTACATATACAATGTAATCAAAGAACCAATATTGTCCTAACTAACTTATTTAGTCTCAGTGACATCCCTAATTTGTGGAAAACAACAGGATGTTTTGGAAAGGTGTGAATACAGGAGTTAATTGGTTTATCCTTATTGTAAATTAACTGGATGTTTTTGATTCGGATTATGAACAGGTCTTGACTGTTTTATATCCAATTGGTCTGTTGTGATAGCTAAGATTCAATCAGCAAATGTTTTATAATCACAAGGACAACATAGACGACATTGGCAGACAAGATTTAGAAAAGAACTGAATGTTTTTGATTTGGATTAAGAGAAAGGTGAGAATCTGGGAGATAATTGGTTTATCCTTATTGCAGATTAACTGGATGTTTTTGATTTGGATTATGAACAGGTCTTAACTGTTTTATATCCCATGGGTCTGTTATGATAGCTAAGATTCAATCAGCAAATGTTTTATAATCACAAGGACAGCACAGACGACATTTGCAGACAAGATTATATCACAAGAAAGAGAAAAAAATCAACTTTGTAATATCCTATCACTAAAATGTCTCCTAAAAGGCAAACATCTGACATCCTGAATGCCCTTGATACTTTGAAGGATTATACATCATCTCGAATGAACACTCATGAAAAATTCTTTTTACTTGAAGAGGATATCTACTCAAATATTGCTAATGCTAAAAGTGCCAAGAAACAAACAACAATGAAGGACCTTTTCAAGCAAAAGTAAAGCAGTGCTATATTACCATAATATGGGATAAGTCATTTGATAAGCATAAGATTTCATACGAGACTATCATATACTTTTACAGTGTATTACAAAGTTTTTGCCAAAACATAAGAGTTCTTTTTACTAAAACGATGATATTGTTCAAAATATAAATAAAACATAGCATATAGGCTATATGACTATTGTAGAATTAACTCATCAACAACATTTATTGTTTTCTGACTTAGTATTAAGTGTTCAATATAGTGGACTGAACAATGAAAATCCCCCCCCCACCAACAAAATCCTCGAAATTTGAACACCTGCCAATTTGAACGCTTTTGGCTGGTCCCGTGGGTGTTCGGATTAGACAGGTTTTACTGTACAATGGACAAGTGGATGTTCTAGAAACAAAGATAGGCTGTTATCTTATGTGCATGTCCCATAAGATGTTTGTGCTCTGATCAAAAATGTTATCATGCTATAAAGTAAAATTGCCCATGGCCTTTTATAGACAAACCTGATCTGGGTCTGGTGACATGCCTCTGTATGAACTCATGCTGGCATCACTGATCTGTCAGGCAAAGAAAAGTATGTGATTAATGATAAGTAAACTAAATAAACCTTGCCAGACATCAGAGGAGGCGATCTCCCACATTTATTCTAAATACAATGTGTGTATGGGTATGAATGACCTCCTCTGGACAAGGCTACAAAAGAAAATGCATATCATTCTGAATAAGCATTATCAGAATAGCCAGACTCCAGAGGAGGTGATCACCCAAGTTTATTCTAAATCAAATGTTTGATGGGTATTTGTGACCAATGTGACCTCCTCTGGGTTAGGTTACTTAATTGTGTAGCATTCTATTTATGAACTTATAAAAAGAGCAACTCCAAAGAGTAGCAAATCCCACTGAACAATACATACATTGTCTATTATCTCATCTTACCATTCCATGATTGAAATAACCATGCATCATAGGACACCCATTGAGCATGTAATACTAATGCTATAGCCTAAAATATCAATTTTGAAAACATTGACCATTTTGATTTGAGATCTCATTTTGAATAATATTTTAACTATATCAAACATTATTTGAGTTGAAGCAAAAAAATGTTAGGTTTTTGAATTAAAAATGGTGTGCCTATCTCACGCGGTTCTAACTTCGACCGTTAATTTGAGTTTTTGACCTACCAGATGTTTGAAAATCAAGGATTACGAGTCTTGACTGCACCGTTTTTCTTCAAACTTGTTCCATTCAAAGCATAACAAAAATTCCTTTCTGTTGGTACATTATTCTCTTAAACAGAGTCATTACTTCCAGCGGCAATTTGGTCCCCAGCTGTAAGAAGGCCTTCTAACAGCTGGGGACCAAAACGCTGCTAGAACGAGGGACTCTTTACAATAAAGTAATGCACTGACAGAAAGGCAATTTTGTTTTGCTTTTAATGGTATAAGTTTGAAGAAAAATGGTGCAGTATGAGACTCGCAATCCTTGATTTTCGAGCATCTGGTAGGTCAAAAATTCAAATTAACGGTCGAAGATAGGATCGCATGCATCTTGAATCTGGAGGTCATTTTGAAATTTGCTTCTTGCCATGGATGACAATGTGAGTCGAATAGACAGACAGATAGCCTCTTTATATCCTTCATCAAACTTAGTTCAGTGGGATAAATATAGACTATTTATGTGAGTTTTAAAATAATAGTGAAAAATAAAGATAGACAAAAATGACCTTTTCTGTCAAATCGACCACATGTATTCTACAGAAAAATAAAAATAGACTGAATCTCATTGTGTGAAAGAGTAAAAGAAAGAACAATACAAAAAAAGAAAAGGCAAAAGGAAGGATGAAGCATGACAAACACATTATCCACAGGCCAATTCTCCAATAAAATGTTGCATGTTTTTCAAGGTAAGGACTTGATTAAGAGGTCAGGGATGTTTATCAATACAAGTAATACATAACATGTGCACTGTATTATCTTTATCTGCAGACTGGTGGTATTCATTCGAGATCCATTGAATCATTGTAAATCAAACATAATGTTAACGCTCTCCACGAAGCCTAGCATATTTACTGCCATACTATATATACCTATACCTTCTCATCTGGCCTACATTGAGGTTTCCATGGAACACTTTGAAGTGGTTTCAGGTTATAAGAGCTCTCATTAAATAGAGTTAAATCTTAACCTAAGCTTAATAGTCTATGTTAGGTTTACCTTTCATAGAACTTGATGCTTCGGCCACTCTCCCACATTGTCATATGATTAGATTTTTACATGAGTTTTTCATGTATGCATTTGAAATAGAAGATTCCTATGTTATTTCTCTTGACCTTTACACTAAGCTATAAATCTTAATTGCCATTATACCTTCAGATTGACATCTGTTTCCTCTTCTTCTTCACTATCAGAGAAAGCAAAGTAACTTGGATTACGCACAACCTGGAAATCTTTTTTGTTTAATTCAGCATCAGTTTCATCCTGTTTTACTTTATCATTGGTGTCTCCCTGCTTTCCCAAAGCACCAGCTTCTTGTTTAATTACATCATCTAGAACTGCTTTGCCCTCTTTTTCAAAAAATTCCTCCAGCATGGGCTTAATATAAATTTCACTACCAGGGATATATGCTAGAACCTGGGTGGCCCAAGTACAAAATGCTTCAGGGCTGGAGAAATATCCTTGAGGGTCACTCTCAGATGATCTGAGGGGAAAACCACTGCTGAACCTGCTACTCAAGGCATCACTCTTTATACTTGCAGGTTTAGATGCACTTTCAGAAGTGTATGATGGCATACCAGGGATATGAGGCAACATGTCATTTCTGTTGAGAATATCCATTACCTCAGATGGGGTCTTGCAGCTAGCAAATGATGCACTGGAAAGGCCTCTACTGGGCAACTCTGAAGGAATCTCGGAGGATCTTCCAGGGAGAACAGAAGTTTTTTTGCTCTGTTCACTTTCTGCTATTTTGTCTGTACCAGCTGAACCAGCTAATCCTGTATAATCTTGTAGATTTGATAGGTCAGTTTGGTTAAGTCCTTTGACTCTATCTGCATTTCTCATCAGTTTGTCAAGACCTTCCTTATTCTCTTCAATTTGTCTGTTTAGGCCTGAAGTTGTACCTATTGCAAAATTTGATTGTTCAGCTACTCTGGCTTTATCTTCACTTCTCAGCTTTTCAATACCTCTACCTACATTTTTCATCAGCATATCAAGATTTTTATTATCCTCTTCAGTCTTTCTGTACAAGCCCGATGGTGCAGTATAGACTGGTAGATCTGATAGATCAGATTGTGCAAGACTTGTAGCTCGATCTTGTGTCCTCTTAAATAGTTCAGAAGGTGTGGCAGCCATAGCTTCTCTTCTCTTTTCTTTTTCTCTTCTCTTCTCTTTTTCTTCAATCTGATTGTGTAGGACTGAAGGTGTTGTATAGTCAGGTAGTTTTGATAGATCAGATTGTTCAAGACCAGTTGCCCTATCTTCTGTCTTTTTCAATAAAACAGAAGGTGTACTATAATCATCAGTTTCAAGTTTATCAAGTGTTTGTTCCCTATCACACTGAAGTTTAAACAGCTCAGATGGTGTAATATACATAGGAAAATACAGCTCAGAGTGAGCCCTTGGTGGGGACTGATGCATTTGTTGTACACTGTCAGATGGTGGATTGTAACTCTGGGATTGTAGAATGTCAGAATTCTCTAAGTACCTATGGTTGATATGATGCCACAGCTGGGAAGGGGTTGTATATATAGGAACTGTTTCAGCCCCATCCTCATTTACCTTTAAATAATGTTGCAGCAATTGGCTAGGGGAGAGTAACACTTCAGATCGAGATTCCCTATGTGAGCCACCACAAGTTTGTTTCATTTTCAGAGTTTTACTTGGATCAGCACCAAAATGAGGCAAGTTTTTAAGATCATTTGGCTTTTTGATTGTTTCTGGTTTCATTTCAATTGCGCCAACTTGTTTTGTCTGTTTCGTATCAATCTCACGTTCTTCTCCATTAGTCTTTGATTGCCTGGGCTTTCTAGGCTTTTCAGTCTTTTGATTATTTTGAACTGCCTTGGCTAAAGGTATTGAATCCCTGTGTGATATCTTTCCTTGTATCAGTTCTCTAAGGTCCTTGGGTTTCATAGGTGTATCAATGACTACCTGACCTCCTTTGAACTTTGATTCCATTTTCTTTTCAGGTTGGAACAGGCAGAAATCACTTCCCTCTGATGTCAGAGGACCATCTGTTGTGTGTTTTACAATAGAGCCAGTTCCATGAGTGCGATCTTCTTTGGAGGATTCAATCTTCTGGTCCTTATCATATAAAGACAGTTGAACTTTGTCATTAAAAGCCACTGATGCTTTCCCTGTTGATTTTGAGGAATCATCCAAATTGGCACGAAGTATTGATGACCATTGTTTCTTTTTTGAGTCATGATGGCTGAGTTTTGGAGTTGCATATCGTGTCCCTGAGCCAATTTCAATTTCCTCCATTGAACCGGCAGAGCTAAGTAGCTCAACTGGCAACCTCTGATCCTCCAATCTCTGATTGGCTATCATCCTTCCCAAACTGAGACTGCGTCCATCAGGTGGGCTTGTATATCGCTGGGTGCCACGCAAACCTTTAAGTTCTGGCTCCGAGTAAAACTTACTGGTTTGACTTTCTGCTTCAATGCTTCCCTCAGAGGAAGTTCCACTTGACAGATTAAGGCTGACAGTAGATGGGACATCAGTTGATATGGACTCTTGCGATGCTATGTAACCACTATCCCTGGCATCTACTGAATCAGTTGAGGAAGCAATGAAATCCATATTGGAGTCAAGCACTCTTGCAGGGACATCATCAGTTGAATCAGCATTAACAGTGACTTCATGATCAATGTTTTCGTCCTCTATTGTGTAAGCTCCACTGTTTGTTGCTAATAGCTCATTGAGGAAATCATCTTCTGATATTCCAACACTAGGATCTTCCTGGGGAAAAGAAGTGCAAAAGGACTGGCCTTATAAAAGGAGAGAGTGAGCATAAAGGACAGAAAAGCGCAAAGGGTTTGCCTTAGGTAGGGTGGGAGTGAGTATAAAGGACAGAAAAGCACAAGGGGTTTGCCTTAGGAAGGGGGGTGGGTATAAAGAACAGAAAAGCACAATGAGCCTGTCTTAAAGTGTGCGGGGAAGTATAAAGGACAAGAAAAGAACAAGAGGCTTGATTTATGAGTGTGAGAGGGAGTATACAGGAGAAAAGCACAGGGGAGAGATGGTACAACGGATAGAAAACACAATGGACTTCTTGAACAAGGGGAGGGAGTATAAACGTAATTAACTTAGTACTAGTTAGTTCTTGACCCCCCTCCCTCCTACTAAGACCCACTTCTAACGAAAGTCAAAATATTGATTCGCGCCAATGTAAACAAGTCAAAATGTTGATCTGCAACTGCTTTGAACAGCGCAAAATAAATTCTCTTATACATATCTGTTGAGAATATGACCATACCAATGTAGAAGACAAAACCCCAGGAGACTAAAAAGCAATGTCTGTCACCTAAATAAATATTGAAATATTGGCCTGCCCCCAAGGCATTAACATGAGACTAACAATATGTCATCACTTGTGGTCATGACATAAAAAAGAAAAGATGATATACTGATGAAAAGTGTATGCACGTGTGTACATGATAAATATAATCATATATGTAAAGATAAAATATTGATGTTAAAAATTAAATTAAATTACATGATTGTGCACTTTCTGCAAAATGAAACGGAGAAAAATGCCTTTTGAAATGTGAAATAAAATAATGTGGTAATCTAGATACACTACAAGTTATCCTCAAGGACTTGCAAATAAATATTAGATCCCATATTCTTGCAAACAGATTGTTTCAACTTACAGACTGTCGTGGACTAGGTCCCCCATTCATTGGACCTCTGTTGAATGTGGCTGGAAGCAGAGAAAGTACGATAACATCAATGCTGCAACACATGAATGTATATGTATTCAGTTAATTATGGCTCCTATCTAAATACTTTGATGTTTTAAATGATACAGTATTATTATGTAAAAATAAAGCATGCTTCTGCTGTATGTGCTTCACATCGATATACACTGGTCAGTATCAAGCGAAGGTAACAGCCATAACGTGCATCTAAGATGGCGGACAGTAAGTGTTGTTTTCGATCATTTTTGTTTTCATTGTATTAAACCGCTTCATAGTTGAGGTAATGCTTTGATATTTGAACTATATCAGGCTTATATGATCTGGAAACTTTGGAGTATGATCATTTGTTCATATACCAAGCGTTAGCACTACAGTCCAACAAGATCAAAGCTATATGATTTTAATGTCAACAATCTATTTTATTTGGTTACATTTCAAGTAAATTTCAAGCTGTAGCAGTGGATTAATATCAAGTAAAGATGCCAAGTGATAGAAGTGATAGGTTACTTTACAAAAGTACATTTTTTCCTCCAGCTTAGAACTCTACCATGGAAACAAGAATTAATAGTGTACAGTGCACTTAGTGCAGATAATTGTGTACAGTGAAACATACAACTGATCTTTGATTAACCAAAAGTGTAAGAATTGATTCATAAATGATCTATAAGATTATCATACCCATTCAATACTGTGAAATACAAAATGTGACCTTGAATAAAAATAATAATAACATGATCTTAAAATGCACCTTTCTTTAGATTTGCACAGACATTGGGTTGTGCTTTGTATTCCTTAAACTCACTTATCACTGGTAGATGGCTGCCTTCATCTTAGCATGGGAACAATGCATTAAATTATTGAACCAAGGGTAATATAAGGAACTAAACATTGAATTATTTATGAGTAAAACATTAATGTACCTCTTAGATGTCTTTCCTAATCAACTCAGTCTTATACATATACTTCAGTTTACTCTAGTGATATATCCTTTGTATGAAAGTAATGAATTTCCTCAAAAACTAAAATGAGATCCACCTATCACTATCTAGCCATTTCCTTTCTATTTATCACTGTTAATCGGAACTATTATGTGCCTAACCTTTTTTAATTTTTCTACATTGATTACATAACAATTGAGATCAATTCAAAGTACTTACTATCACGTGAATGTCTATCTCGTCCATCTAACACAATAGAGGTATCCTTCTTTGGTAAACCGTACTTGTGTATGGTGCTTGAGCGACTCTTCTTCAGTGCCAGAGCCCCAGTAGGTTTCCCCATAGCTAAGTCATCTATACTGTGTTGGTTGAGAGAAGTCTCACTTGCACTGGCTGGAAGAATTAAGGTAAACTACCATGATGGCAATTTTCAGGATAACAATATCAATAATAAATGAAATGGTTGAAACTTTTCAAAATTTTATTTGGGTATGCATACTTTATGGTATACATAGATCACCCACTTGAAAATGAGAAGTCATGATCATAGGCTTATGTGAAAATGCGATTTGACACCCATTTGAGCCTAGGTCCTTACACTATATTAATACCTTTGGAGTTGAGTGATATTTCACTAGATATTTCAGGAGACTCAGAATTGAGCAGTGCAATATCACTATCAGTTAGAGTAGGGTGCATCAAGTTGAGTGTAGAGAAGCTTTTCCTTGGTTTCACTTCCTGGGTATCAGACTTAAGGGGGATTGGGACAAACTCAGTGGAGATTGAAGACCCCGAGCTACCAGATTGATCTGATATAGAGAAAGGAAAGAATCTAGGCAGACATAGTAATAATACAGCAAAACCGTATGTATCCAACAATTGCTAAGCTCAATATTACTTTTGCCAAGTCAATGTTAATCTATTCTAGATTATCTTGTTTCCATAAAGGAAGCATAAAAACTTAGAGAACACATGCTAATTTGATCACAACTGATCGGTCCCAGTAGCAGTTGAACAAGACAGGTTTTGCTGTACATTTAAATAAGTATGCCTTGGAAAACACAATATACAAGAAATAAGAAATAATTGCTTGAGCTGTGAAAGAATGTGGGAAGACTAGACATATAATATAGAAAAAACGGTCTTAAAAATGCACCAGGGGTCAAGCAATACTTTTTTCCATTTCAATTGAATCTCGATATTAAGACTGATCAGTTTAACACCAAGTTATTGAAAGAAACAATTATTGATAAATATTGATGTAGGAAAATATGCAAGAGAAATTTATTAAAACTGAAAATCATTATGGCTTATACGACATTCGCATAGCATATAATAACAGAATGTTCCACCTGATTGAAGAACACCCTACCTTTGTCCATAGAACTTGCACTATCCCCTTCACTCGTGCCTATATCACTGTCACTTTGCAATGGAAGGTTAATGGTTGACATACTCTTCCTTGGATCTATCTTGGCTTGGGGACTATCGGAGCCTGAACTACTAGCTATCAGGGGAACATAAGATAGAAATAAAGCTAAAAGTGGATTAAAGTGAAAAAAGCAAGAATTAAAGCAAACAAGAATTAAAGCAAACAAGAATAACGATATTCATGCACGTTCTATCTGCTTACTGTATTGTCATGGAATCCAATCAATTCAGATTTTGAGTATTTTAATGCATCTTTTTCATGAAAAAGCTAGTGTTTCGTTTGCAGGTAAAAACAGAATGACTGACAACAAAGGTTCAGTCAACCCTGAACCAAAGGAAATGAATATTTAAGAAATATCTAACTGCTCAGATATGGCAATAAGTGAAAAATATTATGACTATCTTTAAATATCAAAATAAGCATATAATTTGCAGTATAACCACATTACCTAACAATTAGTGACACTATTCCCTGGTGTATGTTTTACTAATTAGAACTTTTTTCAATAAATGCATTATTTAACGGATTTATAATTGCTATATTGATTATAACATGTGACTTAGTACAATACTGATAAGATAATCCCTTGAATGATTTAATCTTAACTGAATCATGACTGACATTGTTACGTTGTGCATTAGATTATCAATGTGGGACACTGGGGTTTATTTCCTGGTCACTAGTTGTGTTTATATTCTGATCTCTTACTGTATTTCTAATACAATAGCTGTTGTCCCCTTTTGCTATTTACCTGTTGATGAATCACTGGACTTCTGGACTTTCTTGCTAATCCCACCATCAGAGGAGTCTAGAGTTAACACACACGAAGATGATACAGAAACACACATTACAAACAAGTGATGAAATGAAAACACACAAACACCTGGGTACTAATCAACCTCAACTTTCAGGGTTTTAGTAGAATGAGTGGATTATACTACCAAGTTCACTACCACATGTAGCCCCATGTGTTAAACTTTTAGTATCATGAGGCCTGATTAATACCCATGAAAAAGACAAATTAAGAAAACTAGTGTTAAGAAAACAGTTTTACTGTAAAAATAGGTGAATTCAAACAGAAGAAACACAGATCTACAATAAGTCTTGATTTATGAAGTCAATATAATGAATAAACTTGTAAATAGCAGGGGTGGCATGAAACTGTGAGGCTTCTCCTTTAGGAGACAATTGGGTATAGTTGATGTGCCTGTATAACACTAGCATCACATCGTATCACCAAATTCAACCATTCCTTAATAAAGAACAGTTTAGTTGACCAGTGAACAAAATGGAAGGACACATCAAATGTCCATGTTGGGAAAATATTATCACCAAAATATGGCTGAAATCTTTTAAACAGTTTAGGTGACCAGTGAACCAAATGGAAGGACACATCAAATGTCCATGTTTTGAAAATATTATCACCAAAATATAGCTGAAATCTTAAATCAAGCTTAAAAAACATTCAATGGCAAGCAAAAATTCTATAATGAATTTGAGAGCAAAATACCTGCATCACTTGAGCCATTGATGATAGCAATGTCACTTTCTGTTAACAAAGCAGCTGCATTCAAATTGATGGTTGAGCGACTTTTACGTGGCCTTGTCAGCGGGATGTCTTGGGAGTCTACAGATGTCCTAGAACTGAACAAGTACAATTAGGTTAGATACAATTAGGTAACATATAAGGGAAAATTAATTTTCATACGCAAACACAAATGAGCTGGTAAAAAATACATGTGTAAATTCTAACACTGATTTGTAAATAAATACATGGAGAAAAATCAAAGTTTCGGTTTAACCTTCTGCACTCTGACTTATTTCAGCAAATATATCCCACGCATCTGACTTATTTTTCAAAAATGATATGCCTGGACTAAATAATTAATATCTCGATAACTACTGAATGAATCTGGATAAAATTTTCACAAAGGGAAGATACACTAGCGTGGCTCATGAGAAAAATGTTCTCATGAATTTTTTTCGTACATAAACACGACTGGGCATAAATATACCATGAATACTCCTCCAGAATCCGCCGTTTCGCCCCTCGGTAGATTCAACGTCTGGTCAGAATCCAAAACTGAATTTGCAGCGATCAAATGTTCATCTTTTCAGTTCAGAAAATATTCTAGTTTCTATTTTCGATGACCATTATCGGCTTCCAAGAGCCTAAAGAGCTCGAAATCGCAATCCATTTCCTCCGCATTTTCGTTGTGATCGTATTTTGCCGTCATTTTGTACGATTTGTTCACTAAAAACGACTTAAACACTGTTTAAATTGTTGAAATAAGAAATATTTTTCGAAACATCGCCATTTCTAGGTCAACAGGAAGTCACCTACTAAGGACTGAATAAATCGGGCAATCTAATTGGATCATAAGAACGGCGGGAAAAAGTAAAGTTTTCAAAAGTTAGATTTGTGTCGTCCGGATCCGCCGGTGGATTCTGGCGGTAGTTTTGAATGGGCGGATGCGGTCGCCGGTGGTCTGCTAAAGGTTAATTTTAGGGAGCTGAACAATTCAAAAGTAATGTAGAAAATGTAGAACCACATGGGTTGTTGATAGGAATATTTAATATTTCATGGTTTGACTTAATTAGAATTCTTTAAAAGGAATAGATGAAAGTGGAAAATGCATCTCATCTCATCTAGTGATGACATCTTAGTGCAAGAAGATAAACAACCAAATCTTAAGTTCACACACCTTTAGGAGTTCAAACAGTAAACAGTCTTAGTATTATTCACTTAACTCATAAATTGCATAAACTTTCATCAGGACAAGACAAAATTTTTTTGAAAGCTGTTCTCCAGTTATGACTTGTTTCAGAAACATCTCAATTATTTGACTTACTCAATACTAGTGCCTGATGGAGTCTGTTTATCTGCCATGTTGTCTAGCTTATTAGTGTCCAAACATGTGGTCTTACAGGCCGAAGAATAATCCCAGACTTTGGTGGTTTCATCACAATTCTGCAACAGTATCAAATCATATTGATCTTTATCTCATTCCTAAACCAAAATGGTTACTACAACAATAGGATATCTCTAAGAAACTGGTAGTTATGGTGTGTTGATCTGTTATCATAAGTTTGGGTCATTAAGTGCAGCTGATGAGGTCACAATGGTGGTTGTCAAATGATTGGCAAGGCATTATGACATCATACAAGAAATACATCTCAACTATTTCTGAGCTTTGTGATGTCATGATATGATAGACAATGATTTGACCTAATTTCTTAAAACATTATGACATCACAGAAATAAAAATATTTTGAAATGAAATAGATGTTGGTATAACAACTTAACAACATATTGACTCAGAAGAGGAAATAATTTCAATTTCAGTTTTGAATCAGATATCATATCATCTTAGCTAATCATCTTGATTTTTAAAAAATAGACTTAGACTATTTTGAAAATCCATTCCCCCACTTAAAAGTTCCAGAAATCAGGAAAATGAAAATCTGGGGTGTTTTGAAATCTACTCAAACATGACCGTGCTCTATTCGAATTTCTCAACCAATCAGAATGCAGCATAGCCAATATAGAACGTTCTCTAATTCTCCATAGATGCACGACCATGCTCTATTCAATCTGTAATTTGCATTGTTTTGAGTGACGTCACATCTCAGCTGCACATCTGGGGCTCTGTCCGGGGATAGCTGTTCTTTTTTACTCCCTCCGTAACTACTATAACTATTTAACTACTGTTTGCATACACCGTATAAAATCTAAAACGGGGAGTAAAATAGAACAGCCCAAACAAATTCTAAAAATTTTCCGGCCGACTTCAGAATCTTGACAGCATGCATATTCTTCCTATATGCCCGTTCCACAGACAAGGCTTTTACTAATTTTTATGTTTGAATCGGAATAAATAATGATAGGCCATTCAATATGGTGAAATTCAGCACTCGTTGGACAGAATGTTAGTACAAATGCACTCACCTTCGGTTCGTGCTTTGTACAACATTCTGTCCAACTCGTGCTGAATTTCACCATATTGAATGGCCTATCATTATTTATTCCTTAAATATTCCATTCCGACTATTAAAAATAAAATGTAAATTATTGGCCATTTTTATTCATTTTTAAAGTGTGGGGCAAATCAATATAAAAGTTATTAATTTTTTTTTTAATTTTGAGAGTACGCCATGGCGTTTTATGCATATATGACGCTACGCCATTGCTTCCGTTATTCTAAACTATACCTCATAATTGTGAATTTGTGGTAACTTAGAAAATATGGTAATCCTTCTTACTTACATTTATTCAATATACTCTATCAAATATCTGACACTATAACAATTACAATAAATATATTAAAATTTGTTCTTACTTACAGCTAATACCATTCTACTTTTAACTTTTCAACAAGATTTGATTCAGAATTTACTACAATTCTGAGACTTTTAATTTTTGATTGATTCAACTACTTCCTCTTTATTTAAAGCTCTGTTTGTCAACATTAGCAGTAACGGTTAAGAATCAAAAATGTCAAATAATACATATTATTTGCTTTTAGATAAAAAATCCACATTTAACAAATGCAATGATTACCTTTTCAAAATAAATGAAAAGAAACATTTTATGATACAATAGAAATGGTTCCAATAAAAGTCAAAATATATTTGCAGATTTGCAAATTATACAAACCTTAACATAAAATGAAACATTGATTTATACTTTCTTTCTCAAGAAATAAAACATGAAATGCCAGCTGATGCTGGGAGCTTGAGAAAGTTGCTGAAATATAATTCCTTCAATCCAGATATCTTTAAAAAATTGCTTAATAGCAATTGCAAAAGACAAGTACATTTTCCTATCACAATGACAGTTAATGAAATAAAGCAGTCCAAAATGACACAGATCTAGATCCATTATTAAAGAAAGAAGGACCAGCACCCAGCTGCCAGCACCCACTAGAGAAAAATGAAAATAAGCATATTTTCACATTTTAACCAGTTCAGGTCTGAATTTGGAAAATGAAATTTTTCAACCACTTAAAAAATATAGCTTCTTCCACCAAATACTTGACTAAATTATTTGAAAGGGTAACAAAAAGAAATTGATCATATATATACCAAAACAAAAATACCTGACACAACTATTATTTTGTATATCATTTCATTCACTATTTAATGGAATTTCAAACAATGACTAAGAATCTGGTAAAAGAAATTATAATAGAAATCGATCAAGAGGAAATGTGTATAGGGTATAGTGCTAAATTTTACTATGATATACAAAAATGGAAATTTTGAACATGTGAAAGAGCTGACAGAAAAATAGATACTAATCTATATCTAATCTCAAAGTAATGACAAGGAATCATTAACTAATCATGTATAGGCATGAAATCTTGGAACAAAATTAATATTATCCCAATCAATAAGTCTGTGATACAAATCCATGATTGTTTTTATACAAGTACAATCTCACATCGAAAACTATTGAGTTCCACAATAAATACAATCTGATCCTGGTGGATGGATATTGATCCAAATAAATTGGGAAACGAATTATAAAATACTGTTAAGCAAATACTGTTAAAAGAAGTGTGCTATTGAATAACACCTTCTACCTTTGTGACCTGAAGCTTATTTCAACAAGAATAGGCATGGACCAGGGACACTCTGACATGGACATGTAGACAGACTTTACTGTAGGACTCTTTAGAAACTAGTTTCTTAAAGGCAGAATCAGATCTATAGGGGTGACAAAATTACAAGCAACATACATAATTGACCTACCAATCTATTCCTTACAATATCAAATACAATATCTCCCAAAAGATTCACAATATGTTATAAATTGGTGAAGTTATTAATGATTCAAAGTGCAAATATGGGTGAAAAATGTTTAAATTCTCCCAAATAATAAGAATGGTAACCATTCTTATAGAAAAATAATACATTATTGTAAAAATCTTTCTTTTTCCTTGAATAAAGTATGCACTTTTGTGATTTTTAGAAAATAGACATAACAAGGAATGACATGAGCCAAAAATATTCTAAAATTGAAACAATTTTTTGTTAAACCTGTTCGCTATCTCTGATTCTCTCTTTAAGTCTCTGCAAGGCCATCCCAACTCCTAGCTGCAATGAATGGGGAGCTTATATAATCGATCATCATTGACAACAAAGCGACAGTAGAAATGCCCCTCTGGTTGATTACTTTTTGAAAGAATTGAAATAAACTTCTTCATGAATAAAAAACAATTACTATTAATTTTGCAAATGCTGTTGACACGGTTCCACATCTAAATAAGACCATATTGCAAATATAAAACACAAGTGAAATGTATAGCATGTAAACATGCAACCATCAAGTGTTTCAAGTGCAGTCTGATTTACTTCAACATTGTTATCACACATCTGAAGAAGACCTTAAGACAATTGCTGTTGAATGGAGTTTAATCTCCTTCAAGAGATGTTAAATAAATATGTAGTTGATCTTTTACTAGTGAGGTTAACAGTTTTGTGTCAAACAAATTAAGATTGACAATTTTAAAAGAGCAGTGAAGGCAGAGAAATAACTAACAAGAATTGGCGAAGTCTAAACTTAAAAAAGTGTAACAATATTATTTCAAATGCTGATGCCTAAACCTGATGCAAATTACTGAGTGCTGGTCAGAAAAAGTTGTCTATTAGAATTATTTCACGAATTTTCAAATGTTACATAAAAAAGATTTAAAGCCTGTAACCATGACAATATACAGTCAAATGGCAATGACGCTCATGACACTGAAATCAGATAAGAAAGGGATTATTTTGAATGTGAAAATATAAAGCTGATGTATTGCTCAAGATTACCATGTTATACTTCTTAATGGTTAGATTATCCAGTGTAAGATTAATGTATTATGGCTGTACGCAGGAACTAATATCTGGGATTAATGCATAAATAACATTCTACTTCCTTGCAACAAATGTGCCTCTTAGCTTCGATTGCTTTCAAGGCATAATTCTAACATTCAATATTAGTTCTAGGCCAATATGAAAATATGTCAAACATCCAAGATGTTTTCTTCAGCTTTGAAGGAAGTATAGTGCACATTTTTGGTTAACTGGATGAAATGGGATTAAGGTTTACATATTATTCCCTTGACTCAGCCGAATTGAAAGACATCTTTTAGGATCTTTTAGATCATGAAGAATATACTAAACTCCCACTAATATTTGGCGTTATATTTCGCGAATTAGAACTTTTCAAATTTCACGGCTATTATATTTCGTGAATCTTCCAAAACTGGCAAAAACTGGAAAAACAAATTCAAAGAACACTTATATGATACCATGCAGGGTGTGCCAAAAATAGAACATTTTTCCATCTATTGTAACTTTTGTAACAGCTTGTTTAAATATGAATATACAAGCTCAACATTTTATTATTCAACACAAGGGTTTCCTGAACATGTCCCCCACCTGAACAATCAGTCTGATCTGTATTTGACATGACAGTCACACATGGCTTAAATGATAGGTTTTGAAACATATTGTGCCAGTTTTGAAAAAAGAGGCTATTTAAGCTATATTATCCAAGGGAGACGTGACTTGCTTTTCATAAAGATAATTATGTGTATATAAGTTTTAATTGATGGAAATTGTGTCAAGACCATTTGAAGGACACATATTGTAAAATATGAACGATTTTTATTGGCCCACCCTGTAGGTAAGCTTGGCATGGTCATTGCCAGCAATGCAAACGTTCTACAGAAATATACATTTTTTTCATTCAGATATATTTTTCATAATGAAAGTGTAAAAGTCTTATGGTTACATTTCAAACCCCTGCTTTTTGCCTTACCTCCATTTTTATCTTGGGTTCTCCCCTGATAGACTATAATTCTTACCTGTTAATCCAATATTGAGATAGATTGATTGTGTCACTTGTGGTGGTGTAATCCTATCACATAGATCTGAATATCCTCTTGTTTCACATCTTCAACCTATAAAATAGATAATAAAAATAAAATTATTCTAACAATTACAATTGCCAGTACTGGACTCCATTGTGGGTACATAACCTCCACTATCTCCTAAAGAGAACTAGATCACAAGCTTTACATATTTAGGGCCTTCTGAAAAAATGCTGGGACTCTCTTTTTCTCAAAACCTTGATGACAGCTTTAAGCCAATTCTACTTTGGAGTTGAAACAATTCATATTACAATGTATATGGAGGGCAATGGTCTGGGTAGCCCATTTCATCCAGACGAGAAGGTCTTTGGTCTCCAATATAACATTTCCGGATTCCATTCATTTTACTTCCTCAATTTTATTTCTAATACCAAAACAATATTTTGCTAGTCAGGATAATGAAATAATCTAGGATTGTGCCTGACAATAATGCTCAACTTTCCTTTGTCAATCTCAGTATCACTATCACGTACAAATTGTTTTCTCAGTAAAACAGAAAGGACTCCAAAACAAAATAAAAATATCTTGCAGCAATTTCAAAGTTGTATTTTTAGTGGACGTGTTAGAAGATGCAAATATGTAATGGACAAGATCAAGACAAAGCTTTGGAATTTTGGATGTCGAAGATTTTGATCCAGACCTTTGCATGTGCAACTGTTCAAAGTGCATTACAATGTCTAATCCACTCTTAAGTAAACACAATTGAATAAATGAAATGGCCTTGAAATGTCCACGAAAACTGTTAAGCCACTATAGAATCATTCTGATACTCAGACCATCTCTGCTATGCACAAGAATGTGCATTCTAGAAGGACACTGAGAGAAGGCTGTGATATCTCACGATGCTATAGAATGGCTTTGACTAAGAAACTGTAAAATACAAGATCAACAATTTTGGTTGGCTAAATAAGGTCATTCATGTCAAAAATGCCTTTTGTTCTGAACATGATTGAAAAAATATCAAAGCCTTTTCAAGTTTTGTTGAATTTTGATAATGCTCAAATGCTTCATATAATATATGTTTCATATTTTGTTATTTTAATTTAAATGCCAGATTAATGCAAAGTTCATTCCCAAGTAGAGGGATCCATAGTCTTGCTTCAAGTTTCTGAACCCCCTCCCCCTTGATCTACTTCACCAACAGAAGTTGGGGTGGTATAATGGGGAGGGGAGTCACAAGGTGTTATATGTCGACTAAGGAACCTGTTTGTCTGACCTGTCTGGGGCTAGTAAGTACTACAAAAATCATACTTTTGAAAAGGATGTCCTCTGGTTATCCTGTATGGATGTGGAACAATCCACAGGTATTAATTACTGGTCTTAATATTATAAGTATAATATAATAACTGTTATCCTTTTTATTTTAACTTTAATGTCTAATTTGAGGAAACTTAACTCACTTGATCAATTGTTACCTTTATATACATCAGAGCTGCACCTCCTTTTGAAATTCATGTTGCATTATCAGAATTAAACACCTTTTTATTTCATCACTGAAGATTTTGAAGTAAAATAAGTTGATCTATCCAAGTGTTTTTTATCTGTGATGATATCCAAGTATAGTTCATACATGTACAGTTTTACATGGTTTATTCCTAAATTCCATCACTGATAATTTCCAAATACATGAACAATTTATCCATGTATATTTCTGTATAATGTAATATTTTGATAGATCTAGGTGTCCATTAGTATATCATGATATCTCCTGTTAACTCATGCTATTATGCCTACATTTATTTTTTCATGATAATCTACTTTGCATTCTTATTCCAAGTATTATTGCATGTAAGGAAGGTTTTCTCCTGGAATAACCTCACTATAATGCTACACTAGTTCTATTTGGACATAACATTAAATATTAATCATCCAATATTAAATGTAACACTAGTCTTTCTTGCTCTATTTATAATATATGGATCAACTGGCACTACGAATATGTAATGCTGATTTAAGTCTTTGTTCTTGCTGAGTTGCTAGAACACATGATGTTTGCTTATATCAGAACTTGCTCAAAGCTTCCATAGAAACATCATGACTTGTCTAGGTATTTCATATTTTCCGAGTAAATGCAATGAGCACTCAGGCTCCCTGGGATTAAAATACTACAATTCTATGTTCATCCTGGGGTTTTTGAATATCAACTGCATGTTATTTTACTAGAGCTTCCAATTGTCAAAATTATCATTTAAAATATTCTAATCAAAGATTAACTTATCAGAAATGAACTATTATGCATTATTCAAGTCCTACTGGACAAATATCAACGTTTTTATCAATAAACAGCTCTTCTACTATTAACCTTTATCGAAATCCTCTTAGAATGTTGATGATTGCAGATCAATATTTGCATTGAGGATTTGGATGCAGTATTCAGGTTACCATTATACTTTCACTCTCGTCCAAATACATTTAATTGTATAAACGAAATTATTCTATTAAAGGACTCTCTGAGATATTTGCTTGGATTGAATAATATTGAGTGGATTATTATTATTCTGTGGAGTTTTCTGGTTGTAATATACTTTCTTAATAAACTGCCATTTTTACAATATTTTGCATATTCAATAAATAATTGATAAGCTACTCCAGTGTAATACAATCCAACTGTCATCAGTAATACATAATGACATGTTTAATTGTTTCTAGAGACTTTGTGTCAGTGCCATTAAACAAACTAATTGAAAATCCCAAGAATATAGGTAGCAATATTAGTGAAGTTATGCATAAAAACAATTTTCTGCTTATTAACACCATATTTTTGTGATTACCATGGAAATGGGCGTTTTAGACACATTCGGCCCACATTTCGTAATTGCTAACAAGTGGATCTCGAATCTAGGCACCATAAGCTTTCCAACGGTACCAAATACGAGAATATGTTGCAACTGTACATTAAACTTTTTTTTGGACCTCCAATTCTGCCCGCCTATATATTAATCTGATAATTGTTATTTTTGGACTATACACATATACCAAACCACATAATGGGCTTCCAGTGTACACAATTGTATAGTTCTATATATTGTTGAAACCTTAGGGAGACAATAGTGCTAAGATATTTATAAAGACATGATTAATAGATTATCAATTAAGCTTCATTGGCATTTGTGGCTATTGTTATGCTACAGCTAAAATATGAGTTAGAAATTTTAACATTATCAAAATATACATTTTTCAATTTGAATGTTCTCAAAACATATATTTAGAAAAATATTGTATCACAATTAAATAGTATTTCATCATGCAGTCCCTAATTTCCTTGTCTAATTTTTGGTATGTTTTCTTATTGATACACTGTTGCTTATTTCCAAGGGACAATCACTCAGGAACAAACAATGTGTGTTTATTGTATGTTATTGATTAGTAAGTAAATATACAGGTGTAGACATCAAGTATTTAAATGTTTAACTTAGTGACTCTTACTTGATCTTTATTGGAAATCCTTAAGGCTAAAAAAACAATTGTTTTTATAAAAATTAAATTGCAATAACAGAAGACAAATATAATAGGTACCTAGGCAGTGTACCCCTAAAGGCCTGTCCGCTGGTCATTACCAGGTTACTTTTGATACAGACCAGTTGATTTTTTCACTAGGTATAGGAAAATAACATTGCAACTGGTCCGTTAATAAATGCCATTTTGACCAGCAGATTTCAGATTCTTAAGGCCTACACTGTACCTAGGTTATGATAACTCAAGCTATTATTTGTAGGTATGTGTATTTCACAAACACCAATCACAATCATGTACTTTAAAATAGAGAGTGCGTTTTTTAATATTTTCATAACAATCTTTCTCTAATCAAGATGCCCTGAATTTTGAGATGTCAACAACCAAATATTTACATCGGTTCAGATTTAAGCAGACCTAATGATATCCCTTTGAGTGTTCTTAAATATGCATATTCCCATTCCATTGAACATTAAAACAATATTTACACACTTTATTTTCTTTGTAAAACACAATGCTGAATTGTCAAGTGTTTAAAAAAATGTACACAAATGAAAAAAGTAAAAATATATCATGATCTGATCAGAGCTTTTGTGTCGTAGTATACTGCTCTATATTTTTGCTATTGTGTATTTGACACTTAAACCTATCCTAATACTACGATATTTATTGATAATAAAGGAAATTTAAATGAAAAGTTCTAAAGAGGAGATATCCGATAGCTCGTTTAAGAGTTTCATAAGTTATTTTTTCTTGAGTATGATCATTCCATCATAGATGTGAGTGCAAAAAATTGCACTGTAATACTACATATCATGTTCACATTCTTCATCTTTACCTTGTTGATATTTGATACTACAGTAGGTAACAGAAGCTGCTGGTACATGTATCAAAAATATTGAACATTCATCTTTGCTTAATATTGTCATGAATTCAAAAATTATTCTCCATGGTCTTAAGAGAATGTTAGCCTTGCAATTATTTTCTGCTAAATATTTCAAAGAAGGGAAGATGTAAATGTAACCAGAACAACGGCAACGCCAAAGCGTAGCAAATCCCATCGAACATTTTTCAAAAGGGGCACCTTCTACCAAAAGTGTCATTAGACAGTGTGCCATGCTTATAATATTCACATACCAAATATGAACAAAATCGCTCTACTACTTTTCGAGTTATAGTAAAATACGTTAAAATGGTGGCCATTTTCAAAAATGGCCGCCTTCTACCAAAATTCTCATTAGACAGTGTGCCATGCTTATAGTATTCACATACCAAATATGAACAGAATCGCTCCACTACTTTTCGAGTTATAGTAAAATACGTTAAAATGGTGGCCATTTTGAAAAATGGCTGCCTTCTACCAAAAGTGTCATTAGACAGTGTGCCATGCTTATACGTAGTCACGTACCAAATATGAACAAAATCGCTCCACTACTTTTCGAGTTATAGTAAAATAAGTTAAAATGGCAGCCATTTTTCAAAATGTCCACCATTTTTTAAAATGGCTGCCTTCTACCAAAAGTGTCATTAGACAGTGTGCCATGCTTACAGTATTCACATACCGAATATGAACAAAATCGCTCCACTACTTTTCGAGTTATAGTAAAATACGTTAAAATGGCGGCCATTTTGAAAAATGACCGCCCTCTACCAAAAGTGTCATTAGACAGTGTGCCATGCTTATACGTATTCACATACCAAATATGAACAAAATCGCTCCACTACTTTTCGAGTTACAGCAAAAATCGTAAAATAACGAGTAAAGGCCGCCATTTTTCAAGATGGCTGCCATGTGCTTTTTTAATATCTACATTTCTAGCTTGTCCTATATAAATTTTTTTACATTTAAAACATATTGCTATTACAGTTTTACATATTGCACCTAAATTACTGTAAAATCGGCACTAAAATGGCCGCCATTTTTAAATGAGCGGCCATTTTGAAAATCGGCTTTCGAGCAGAACTTCTACCCCCATAGGGTATATGTGTACAAAATATGAATAAAATCAGGCCAACGGTATTTGAGTTATTGCCCGGACGGACGGACGGACGGACGTACGTACGGACGGACGGACGGACGTACGTACGGACGGACGTACGTACGGACGGACGGACGGACGGAGGCGTTCCCTATATCCCTCCGAACTTCGTTCGATGGGATAATAACTCGCTGTATTATATTAATTCAAAATCTTTACAAACATGCATAACAGTATGTAAAGAAGTTTTCTTTAATAATTCCCTAGATCTGCAATCTACTTATGCTTGGAATTATATACATGTACATTGTACAATTATATGCAATCGAAACATACCTTCAGCCATATCTGAAGTTACAAGTAAGTTCCTTTTTTGCTATCAGTTTCATACTAATTAAGTATATTACTACCTATCAGTCACATGATATATGTGACAGAACTTGGTACTTCAATAGCGTTTAAAATCATTTGAATCAAGTGATTAGAGCTGACTAGTATACATGTAGTATAGGCCCCAAGGCAGGACATGGGCTTTTCTCTTGAAGGCACACAGGTAGGATTATAGTGTATGTGAATACAGTTCACATAATCACAAATATAGTTGTACTGAACCATTCAATGCTACTGAGTTACTTATATAAGGTGATCTGTGAACCAACCGAGGGTGCCCATGCGGATGTACATGTAACTTCTTCATATTGAAAGCCTATGGCTTTTATACTATTGTAACTTTAGGCCTGAAACTTCCATTTTCCACGATGTTTTATTTTAGTAAAAATGAAATTATTGCGAGATATCAATCCATGTAAGAAAAAATAATGCAAAAGTGTTTAAGATAGCGGTCAATACATGTATAAATCTATATAAATTTACGGGAAATTGTAGTCTAAGAACAACAAGAGATGGGCGATAGCTTTTTCCTGAAAATGAGTCTAAACTCTACAATGGGTTTCTTCTCCAATAATTGGAGACAAATTGAGAGGGTAGGAACTACCAATGTACGTCCATGAGCATAGGCTAAGGGTTAAGTAATAGTAAGCTGTATACAGAAGAGACAGGTAAACAATTAGGATTGAAAAAATTTTCAAAAACTTGCCGTCTTGGTACGAGTTCTCCTTACTGGTATCGAGTCGTACCACCAAATCTCCCAAGAATCTTCTCCAAAGTGTTTTCGAAACGTAGATTGTTGAATATTTCAAATCTATATCCTAACTCTTCGATAAGACAGCATAAAAAAACACCAACTGTACGAACCTGCAATTGCCCGGCAAGTTGAAACTTCCGGACACATGGAAAGATTAAAATTTCACCATTTAAATTGGGTTTAAAAAGATATTATATGAATCAGATGTTTTGATAAATAATTATTAAGTAAACCTTTTATAGTTTTGTACACTTTAATTGATTGTTATTTCTAGAAAATGAATTACATTTTAGAGAACCAGATAGGTGTCACTGGCGGCGGTTAGCAGGAACCAATCAAATTCCTTGTTTCAAACTTCCATTCATGATTCAACACGGAAATCCGGGTAACTTGCCAGGCAATTGTAGGTTTTCAGAATATCTCACCTCAAGACGGCTTTATTCACTCTATATCACTTGAATGTGGTTGATTCATAGGTAAGAATTGAGAACTATCAATTTTGGATCAACTCTGCATTGTTTTTTGCAAATTATACACAAATAATGTTAAAATTACCATGTTAACAAGTGGCCTAAATCCTAGTTGTTCACCTGTCTCTTCTGTATACAGCTTACTATTACTTAACCCTTAGCCTATGTCCATGAGGCTGTCAGCTGTTCACACAAGTCAAATAAAATCTAGGCTAAAATGGCCCAAAAAATATTTCAACCAACTTGAAGTTCAAGTTGAAAATGTTTCTTTCGACTCGAACATCGATATTATAACCAGCATACAAACAATAGAAATAATCTAATCTAATGGTAAATATATACATGATGGAAAGTGTCATAAATTTAATATGAATAAATAACTTACCAAAGTGAAATCTCAATTTTATCGTTGAAATTTGAACACTGAACTGCTGAAATGTTTTTAACTTTTGAAATGGTTGTGGCGCCCTCTTTTGAAAATAAACGAGAACCTGTCATTCTGTGTCAATCTCATTTTTGTAAAAATCACTCCATACAATTCTTAAAATTATTCTTATCAATCAAATAGTTGGCAAAACTGTTTCCATATTCATATAACAAACATTTGCCTCCAAAGTATATTGAGTATATCGGCAGAAGATATAAATTGAAAGTGATTTCGTTTGCCATCAGTTTGAAGGAATCCTTGTTGCAGTGATGATTTAGATGTAAACAAGGAAGTGGGTGAAATTTATTTAGCAACAATGAATGTTTTGTTTTCGTATGTGCTGTTTGCGTGTGTTAGCTATACATACTGTAAGGTATATACAAGAGAAGAAGTTGATGTTGTGAATTCTGGTAAGGAACTTGTAGACTATACTATAGTAGACTGTCAGGCAAGGTCAGAATAAAAATGTAAATATTCAAAATTTATTGACACATTTCTTTCTTTTTGCTGTGTGACTGAGTCCATCATGATGACTAAGAGGACAGAAGAGTGTTACTGAGAGTGAATACCCCCTAATAGGATGTAAACTACTTATAAATTGGATTCTTAAAGAGAAATGCATCCAGACTGGGGCAATAAACTCATTAGTGAACATGTAATGCCTGTTTATCACTATGAATATCTTTAGAAAATCTTTGTTTATTTTGACCCTTGATTGTAACAATTTACTCGAGTCTATAGCCAATACTTGGCTAGAGGGGATTTCATCTGAATACTGTGAACTCTATTTGAAAAAAGTATGCCGGGGTGTCATAAATTTATTGAATATTTTAAAAATCGCCAGATAAATAAATCATTAATCAAACCGGACCCAGCTCAAATCCTTGATGAGATATGACATGATTTCATCAGGATTTCGTCTAAAATTAAAACAAAATGGCTCCAAGAAAAATGGCGATGTTCGAAAACTGGACGAAATGTCGTTAACGTCTGACATTAGTAACTGGCTGTAAATTCTAAGTTAGCGATCCAGAAGATGTGAACTAATACACTGATCACTTTATGCGTGTTTTGGAATTTTTGGTGAGGTAATAAGACTAAAACTCGCAATTCAAATTGTGATGTGGGTGTGGAAAAATGGCGGACATATGATTTCAAATTTTATGATTACGACATGACCAGTTGTACATGCAGGAATATACCTGTACTGGAAGGCCACGATACAGTGGCCTACAGTGGCCTTAGAAGAAGGTAAGTAACAATAGTTCTGATTCGCTGGTGATTTAAGGGCTATTTGAAAGTTTGTTTGCACAATCCCAACAATTGTATAGGCTGCACCAAGGGTATGGAAAGAAGTGAAATACCCTTGGACCAAGGATGGCCATTGCCACTCTACAACACTTTCAAATCACTTCCTATTTAATAACTTTGTGCAATAAGAACCCGAGTAAGAAGGATAAAAGGTTTATCCTCATCAGTCTTCGATGACCTCTTCCTTTTTGTAATGGGGTTATCTATCAGTGTCATTCATGCTCCATTATATCCCATCAAATTGAAATACTAAAATTCACCACATACCTCTATGTCCAAATGTTTCATACATTATTGCCTCTAAAATTTCTGAACATAGGAAGCTAATCTGTCGTGTTTGGACATTAACAAGAAACAAAAATGGCGGTCAAAACTATCAATGACGTTTATCAACATATTTTTGTTTCTTTTTGTTTTTAATTGCTCCAAGTTAATAATATTCTGGCTTTGTATCCCATGTAATAATTGAAGGTTATCATACATCCAGCCTAATGCAGTTCCCTTGGTTTCATAAGGGTTAACAACTGCGTGGAAGTGGGTGAACCATGGGAAAGTCCAAGACCTTAAATTGACAGTCTATGCACTCTGGCTCAGAAATAGTATTTATTGTCACATTTCCTATGCTTCTTTTACAGGTTCACCAGGAAGACTAATAAGCAACAACATTCAACACTTTGATTCAGCTGACACAAATGGATGTGCTTGTGTCAAATACAACTGTGGATGTTGCGCTCATCTTGAGTTTGATAAGATTCATATCAATGATACAGGTATACAGACGATTTCTAGTTTCTACATATCTTTCTCACTTTCTTGATGTAATATGGTTTTCCACACATAATAACTGTTTACTATCTATCACTTAATGTGAGGTGACATTTCTGTTAATTTCCAAATATAGCTAATAACTTATTATGAGGCCACACTGGGTCATTGACATGACGAGGGGAGGGGGCACTAAATGATTCATAAAATTATTCTTAGTGCCTTTATTTGAGGACCAAAGTTAGATAAATCTCCAATCCTTTTTGGGACCCCAAAATTTATAGGAGGTCCTCACCAAGTCCACCACTGTTTAATTGAATTCTCTGTTTTTTGAGACGGTCTTGTATTGTATAAGGATTTAAGTCCTAGAAACAACATCTTAGTGGAATACATCAGTCAAAATGCATTGATTCTTGGGCTTAAATTCTTTTCACACATTGCAAAATGTTTTCTACGAAATCACATAAAAGATGCAAAATCACTTGAAACCTTTTCAAGGGTCAAGTTGGCAAAATATCAATTTAAATCTGTAGTCAAGTTGTCACCTTGACAACCATTCAACAAATGACCTTGGGTAGATTGTTGGTTATATGATGCAATGCAGTTATATAAATTGCATGTTCAGATTGGCTGGAATCAGACACTTTGTTATAATTCAATTATAAACTGGTAAATAATTTTTTAGTTATTGATATTTTTTAGGATGTGTAAACCTGACATATTTGCCTGACCAGTATGGTATCTCCTTCACATTTAGTATAGATGGTAGAGTGCTCTATAATGAGACAATTTCTGGTGAGTTATCGTTTATGATAAATAAAATTATAAGCCAACAGAGTGGAATTTAATTTGTTTGAAATCTGTTTCTAGTTACTGTAGACAAAATTCTTATCTAATGCCCATCTGCAGTTCATTCCAGCCCCATTCATTACAGACATGGCAGTATGAAACATTTTTATCTTTGTTAAATTAGTTAATATAATCTTTTGATTTTCAGCAAGAAACCCTCCCCCAGTATGCATAGGGGTACCATACCTAGAGAAGTATGCCAGTGTTTGCCTGGACTTCTATAATCTGGATATCAGCAAAACAGCCTTCTCAGGCTGCATTAAAGTGGAAGCTCGGCTCGATAAGATCAAAATTGCAGACAAAGAGTTTGGGTGTTTTAAAATCCCCTTGAAGAAACATTATAACATGCTCAGTAAGATGGATGGGAAGCCTAGTGTCTTGGTGACATAACTTTGTTAAAATGTTCAAATACTTTTCTTAAGGGGGATTGCAGTACATGTATACAATATGCAGTATGGCAAAATTGATAAAATGTCAAAATGCTTGCTACATATTAAGGATCTCATCTTACATATTTCGTCACACATAAACGAACAAAAGTTGAACATATTACTCATCTTAGAGTTCCTTGAGAATACAATGAATAAGTGAGACTCCAAGTTTTAACGATTTATTGAAGTTAAACTGTCTAAGGCATTTGAGAATAGTATGGTATATCTCAGATGCTTTATAGCATACACCTTTGAAGTACGTTTCTATTTAATTAGCAATTACACAATGTGAAACAAGAGTTGGTGAAAACAAATGCTCATTATTTAATAACATACAGGTTTTGGCGTCAGTAGCGTTATGTCCAGTGTTCAGATTAAATAAATTGGATCAATAGTTTCAAATGGAGAGATGTTCAGATTAGAGAGGTGTTCATATATAGATTTTGATATTTGAATATTTAGCGCTGTTAGACATTTTTTAAAATAATGTTTTTTTTGCGGTAGAATTGTTGACAGCTGATGGTTTGAACAAATTCTTTAAGAACTTTGAAACTCCTGGAGGACGATGAAAATTAGGTATTTTATTTTGGAATCTTCTGAACGTGGAATATTATTGCAGTTTTTATTATAGCACAAAATACAAACACAAGTGTTCAGATAGTTCATTGTACATAATGTATTATTTTACATGTATACAGACATTGTTGAAAAGGTGTAATATGGTAACACACAATACATGTACAGAGAACACCAGTCAAACTGGTGAATAAATTGCTATATAACTCATTCAATAGATCTTTTATACCATAACCTCTACGCTTATTTAAAAATCAGAACTGGCGAAGTTTGAAATTGTGTTATTGTTATAAAAACATTAGCTTTTGTCTCCATTACAAAGTTCCATTTTTAAATATGCATAGATGGTTAGACATTTACACTTGCACATCGCGACCACAGTTTTATTATTTGATAATGCTTTATATTATAATCAATTTGTTTACCATTGATTTCTGTTATACAATCCTAAATCATAAAAACATGATTTTCTATGATTATGGTCTTCAATTTTAGCAAGCATGAAGGACCATCTTTATGTCTGTATGATATTGTCTTTTTGTGTTGTCAGAAAACAAATATAATTCCTATGCAACACAATGTTGCTAATCAACACCCATTGTTGTTGTAAAACTGACACTGTTATGTACAACACAAATTGTTGCTATACAACACTCTGTTGTACAATCACTTCTGCTACATAACATCTTGCTATATAACAACACATCCAGTTGTAAAACTGAAACTGTTGCTATACAACACACACTGTTGCTATGCAATATATGCATACAGTTCATCCATATTTCAATTGCTCAATCGATCAGAATGCATATTTAGCTTATTTACAAATTATTAAGTCAAATAATAGAACACACTACAAAATTCAACATAAAAAAAACAATGAAAACAAACACACTATATTCGCTCTTCAAATTTTAATGAGCCCTTGTTATATTTTATGGACTACACACATTTTTAACTAAAAGTTTTCAACACATAAACTACAATATGACTAAAATAGTTTTAGAGTCTAGACATAAAATTCTATCCAAAATACTTCATAGTCTGTACAAACATCAGTAACAAATGCATGTATTTAAATATCATGTACATGTATGTAATAATATATCATACATACCTAAAAGAACAAATAAGTTCTTTTCAAAATATAAAGACATCAATGTTTTGTTGCAACAATTCAGGAAATACGTTCCACATATGTAAAGCACCTTTTTGTGTAAAATTCAATTTGAACAATTCATTGAAATCATTCATTGATTCAGTTGCATTTTTATATTCTCATCAATAAATTTTCCAGTAAAATTAATACATGATCTGCCAATAAGAATATAAATCAAAAAATACATTTCGTAATGTCAAGGACTCTCTTATTCCTTCGTTATCAAGACATTAAAGTTCAGTACCAATGGATCACACTCAGGCACTGTAGCACCAATACAACCATTGTAGAAATGCTGAAGAAATACTTTGAACAATGTTTGAGATAAATCTACTATTTCTTTCCAAATTACAATACATGCATTTAGATTTCATTTAAATAGAAAACACTACAATTTATTGTACCTTCATTTTTTTTACCTAACATTGATTGACAGTTGTACCATTTCAATGTAATACAATCTCAGTTTCAAATGTTATGAATAAAAAAAAATCCCCTAGAACAAGTTGTCTGGTTATACAAGTATTAAGTTGTCCTATTACCTATAATCTCCAGTGATCTATCATAATACGTACATAACTTATTCTAATCCATCACATCTTCATTTTTAAACATCTTTTCCCAGTTTGTAAAATGTACAGATGTCTCTCTCATACTATAAGAACTATTTTGAATCTCTTTTATAATTCATTATGTATCCAAGGAGGATTGGCAGTCATTATTCAAACTCGATACTCTGTTGCTTGCAGTGGAACAATTTAGTAAAAATATTTCTATAAGATTCTCTTTGGACCAAGTATTTCGTTGGAAGATGGCCATTACGAATATCATGGTAGTATTCAAGCTTCCTCAGCTCTTCTAGTCTTCAAAATATGAGTAATATTGTTACCAAATTGGTCTATGCCGGACAACGGAGTATCGAGTTTGAATAATGGCTTCCAATACTCCTTGTTAGGTATCCATTAAGTTAAGTTGGTTATTATCCCTTATAATCACCAATTTAATAAGTGATGCTTTCAATGTTAATCTCCATAAAACTCTTGTTTTTGAAACTATTCCTTTTTATATCCAATGGGTCATGATCTCTTGTTATTATACCAATTCATGATTTTTTATAAATGGTGGCTTTGCACACAATGAATGTTCCCTGACACATATCGGGATATCAATCCACAAAAGTGTGTCTTGTATTATTCCATAAATAACTTTTCCTGCATCATAAAGCTTTAATGGATATAGTTATCTTTTTCGTATGCCTTGTGTCAAATGAGTAATACTTTTTCTGTACCTTATTTCAATACACAGGGCAGGTGTCTTTTCAGTGTCTTGTGCCAAATTAGTAATACTTTTCCTGTGTTATATTTCAACGCAGAGACAAGGAGTCTTTTATCAGGTGTCCTGTGTTCAGTAATACTTTTCTGATGTCTTATTTCATACGCAGTGGAAATTTTCTTTATCTCGTGTCTTACAAGTATTAGCTGACACTAATATATTTCTTGCGTCATTATCAATCCACATGTGATGTCTTTTTCCGATGTCGCTTTGTATCATCAAATAAATAATTCAAATCTGGAGCGAGACCATCTTTCAGTTCACTATCGTCTGTTAGTTTAGTCAGCAGCTGTTGTAGTCTGTCACATTTCTTCTTCCTCTGGAAAACAAATAAGAATACACAAATGAGAATCTTAACATGACAAAATGTCACCACCTGGCTGCAATTACAAAATTGTAACCATTTGTTACAGAGTCCGAAAAATGGTGACTAATAACAATATGTTTATCAATTGTGAAGTCCATTCATCTTTCTTGATGTTAAAACAGCATAATTTGAGCGAGAACTATAATGCATGTACTGACATTACATCATCTTCAAAATCTGAAGGTTGAACACCAAAATTCTCATTGAAATATCTAAAAACAGTGCAGAAAATAGCAAATATAAGTAAGTAACTAAAAATATGGCTAATTTGGTAAACCATGAACTCTTTCAGTATAACAGTTTAACTTATAACAATTTTACACAATAATAACCCTCGTCTATTATCAACCTACCTTTTCTTCTAAAACCTTCATCAAAGGCAGATCTTCCTCAGGATCACTTGTCTCATCAGATGACTTTGTGTGGTCTTTGTGAGCAACTCTCTCGATCTTACGTAGGTACTCCTCAGGAATATCATGTGGCTGAAATAGTCATTAATATGTTTTTGTTAGATTGTAAAGATTGTTTATTGTAACTTGGCTTGTTTAAAGTATATAGTAGGTACCATTTAGTAGATGGTTATTACAGAACAGAACATTGTTTGTTGAAAAGACAGTGCTTTTTAATTAAACTACAAATCAATTGAAAGCACACTACTATACATATCAATGAAAAGTAGAGAACAAAGTGTATGAAAATATCAACATACATTCAGGACCTATTACACTATAAATCATGAAAAAACAAACAGTCGATACTCAAAATCCAGTAACTAAACAGTTAATGACTCACCGAGTATGTTCGCTTTGGCGTCAACTTTTCATCATACATGTCAAAGCAATAAGACTTGGTGTTGATTGGGTGTCTGAAACAAAACAAAAAGACGATTGCAATAAATACATACATTACAAATTATAACTATAAAGTGGCCATTATTTCAATCAATCTAATATTTTTCATTATGGAAATTCTGTTTTTTAAAATGGAATTTCTCAATACAAACTGACAGTGCCTATTTATGAAAATCATAATACTAAATACAGTGACCTAAGTAATACTTATTTTTTAATTTGATTACAGAGATAAAAATGCGTTAAAAATAGATATTCTTTTTCATTGAAATACTTCCTTCCTATAGGGCAAGAAATAAACCAACCAATGCTTACTTTGTTTTAGAGATCTTAAAGAAGAGATGAGCTGTCTTGTCCATTCTGTATTCACATATATAGACATCCTCCGCCTTGACCCCTTTAGGTAAACCCTTGCAGTAGGTGGGGAGGTCAACGACTAGACATGTGTCAATAATGGCTTCAAGTGGCAGGATTTCATACAGAGGAACCCGAAATACCTAAAAACAATAAATCTAAATTCAAATTCTCTGCAGTAATATTTGGTCTAAATATCAACGTTATCCTTTATCAAGGAAAGGTGGCAGGCCTTATTCAAACTATAACAGAGAGAATCTTGGATTGATCATTACTTTTATTTACTTTACAGAAAATATATCTTTGATAGCCCCTACATTTCATCAATTTATTTTACTTTTTAGGAGATATTTCATTAAGTAGCCCAAGAAGACTATATGACTATATCATGCTCTGAATATGAAATGATGCTTAGCTTTTATGGTTCCTTTATTAAGACAACATAAAATACAAATGATGTTATTCATATTAACTCTTCATACCTCATTAGGGAAGAATTTTCTAGCTGGTTCATGGAATGTTTCATGTGGACGGTAATAATGGTGTCCGAAGGCAAACCTCTCTCCTCTGTAATGTAAAGAATGGACATCAAAATAACATACTCACTTATTTGATTTTTTCAGATAATTGTTTTTTATTCAAAAAGTTATTTTATATGGATGCACCATTGAGAGTAGCACTTTATAAATAATATAGAATCTATATGTAAAAAATGCAAAATGTCACCACCTGCCATTTGTTACAGAGGCCGATTGCCACCTGCCAAATGCCAACTGACAAAAACCAAAGGCTGAACACCATCCACAAAAATGTATTAGACTATAACAACATATCATCACTTATGATGGTGACATAAAAAAATGCAGTTATATTTTAGAAAAGGGTTCAATTTTCCAAAACAGAAAAGAATGATTCATTTAAGTTTTAGAATGTTGCCTGCAAATACTCAAATCTCCAGAGGCAACCTGTCAAGTAATTGACTTACTTCTCATTCTTCCAAAGTCTTTCTACTCGGAATATGTCTAATTTATCGTGGCTGATTGTGGCAAGTTTTCTGTAGGAAACCCTTGTGGTAGTGCCATCTGGACTCTTTCTTAGAGGACTATCACGAAGCAGATATACACACTCACCAAGACGTATCTATGTGAAATGAAAATACACATTCTGAATTTTGTTATAATTTTTGTAAGCACAATTTCCTATTTCATAATATTGCTCTTCTGATAAAAATTATGTATTGACTTGGCTAAAACCACTTTCTTTATGATAGACTAATCAAAACCTCCTCTCACTCAAAATTAAGAACTGTTAGAACTTCAAATCTAACTAAGAAGTAGATTTAAGATCCACAACTGCATGAATACACCAAGAAGAACCAATTTTCAAAAATGTTCAACAGAATGATTCTGTGAAACCTTACCTGGAGGTCGTCGCGCATCAAGGTCATGTAATAGATGCAACCAGGGGTGGCGTCGTAAGGCTGCGGATCAATCACTACCTCTCTGCTGATTGGTCTAACATCACAAAGCTCACAGTTGTAGCCATCCACTGCATCAGCCAGTCCCATACACTCACAATGCTGCCATTTCTGTAAGTTCAATATTTTCAATTGATCACATTCACTTTTTTGAACCATTAGCACAAGTTGTGTAATTCTGTAAATCGAAACTGTGTCAGTGACAATTGATACTAACACAACACAATCTATGGCATAATCCTTAGTAATGGTTCAAATGGAAACACATTCTCCAATTATTGTATAGGTCAGGTACCTTATTGTTTAAGTTTTATGGGACTATAGCATTGACCATATCTATATTTGTTGCATTATCCATCACAATACTACTTACAAAACATTTTTCACATTGAATCATGAGTCCCTCATCTTTGTAGATGTTACAGACACAGCGGATAATTTCCTCTTCCTCCTCTTCATCTTCTTCATCCTTGTTGTCTTGGTTACCATCATCTACAGCTTTCACATCACCTATTATGAAATAATTTGAAATCTTAATTTCTATAATTATCATTTTATCTCTTAATCTCATCTAGTGTCATTTTCTTAAATTGCACATTTTTGCAACATAAAAGGCATAATAATGACAACTTGTCACTAAGTTGCAATAACAGGTGCCAAACATGGACACTGGATGTCAAAGACTGAACAACAGTCCCAAAGAATAGTGACTTAAACAAAAAGTTGTGGCATGAAAAAGAAAATTTTGCTAATTTCAAGTGAGAAATAACTACACAGAGCAAAGAACTAAGTGTGTACATTGCATCGGAAATTAAAGTCTGTATTCAGATTAGGGGAGTAAGCATATGTCATGGAATAGGTTGAATTGTATGTAATTACCTTCTGAATCCAGATTAGAGGAGTAAGCATATGTAATGGAATAGGTTGAATTGTACATGTATATAATTACCTTCTGTATTCAGTGCTTCACTGGCCTCAGAATCCCCAGAGAAACTTTGTGGCTTCAACTGTTCATTCAGGATTTCTTCAAGTTGTCCAGTGGCTTCAAGTTTAGAGGTACAGTACACTTTACGTAATTTAAGCACTATCTGGCCCATCTCTGACTTCTTACCACAATATTCCTGAAATTTCAAATGGTTTATTCAATACATGAATGGTCTGAGGGTGATACCCTTGGAGAGATTTATCACCGATAATCCTAATACAAAAAGGCTATAGCTTGAATATGCCCAATCTGGATTATATGTCATTGGTTATATTTCATTGACTTTGCCAAAAGGAGACACTAAGGTATGGGGTTCATTTAAATATTTGTTTAAACTGAATTATTGACAATCCCTGATTAATTTGATTAATCATCAAATATAGATATTTAAATAAAAGCAGCTTTACATAGCAAGACACCCACCTCCACATTACTAAACAGTTTGTTTATATCAGTATTGAAGGCTTCAACATTGCTGTACTGTCCAGTCAGGATTTTCTGCTCAATCATAGAAAGATCTATTGGATCCTTTATAGTAGTATAGTAGTCTGGTTGTCTGAAATGTACAGTACATAACTTTAGTTACATAAATTTCTCATATGACCATAAAGTTTTCCTTAATTTAATTTGTCACAAGCTTAACAATTTGAATTGTCATTTTTTTCAGCAGGGTTACCACTTGTGCCTTGAACATTCAATAATGTACTCAACAGAAACTTGCATGGCACTCAATGAGTATCATGCATTCACTCAATGAAATTTGATACTGTACTCACAAATTGTTTGTTTAAACAGGAATCGAAGGTGGTTATATTGGAATTAATGTAAAACTGTGCTTACTTTTTCTTTGATGGGAGTGTCATGAGAGGGATGGAGAGTTGGAGGTCCTCCTCATCTTTATAAGTTGTGATATCATTATAGATCTCCCTAAATACCTGCGCAAGTCTAGCTGCTCTCGTGACTTCACAGTTCTCCTCTGCTACAGCTAAACGCCTGAAAGTTTTTATTGTAAGATGTTTTACAATCTAAGAATGTTGCTTGTCTATGAATAAATATTGCCTGGATCAAGAATTACAAATGGCTTTATGTATGTAGTTGCAGGAACAAGAGTACCTCTTCCCCTATACAATATAAGACACTCAGATATAAGAGATGTCAGATCAAAATCTTTAGTGCTTTTAAAATATATCTGCAAAGGCCGCAATGTAATTTGTACTACCAACCTTGTTCTAACAGATCTAGAGGTCTTCAAAGCTGTAAACTGAGTCATAAACACATCTTTCTTAGAGTAGCGATCTTTCATAAATGTCTCCTGCTCCTCTGCAGTCATTTCCTGAGGCTTGTTCTTCATATGTTTTACACGCTCCATATTCCTCAATAAGAATATTTTGTGCTTCTGGGCATAGCAACGTTCTCTATGTGACATGGGTTTCATAGGGGTATTCTGGGGCTTGGATGAAGTCAATTCCACCTTCTGAAATACAAAATACACAGAGAATGCATTGGATTTGATGGTTTGTATATTTAGCTTATTTCATAATTCAAGGACATTTAACATTATTGTATTATAATTTATATATATTTAAATGTTAAGTTCTTTTTTTTTAAATGATATGAGTTACATACCCCATATCCAGAACTTCCGTTAACATAACCCTCATGTAACCAGAACAACAGCAACGCCAAAGCGTAGCGAATCCCATCGAACAGAAATGGCTGGCATTTTTACAAACGAAGCGCAAATATCATAAAACAACACACCAGAAAGGCCACCATTTTCAAAATGGTTGCTCACTAGCCAAGTTGTCATCAGAAGAAATAATATGCTTTTAAGTAGCCACCTCTAAAATTATTTGAAAAATCGCACACGTACTTGTAAAATAACACACATAAAAATGGTGGCCATTTTTCAAAATGGCCGACTACTCCCCAAAGTTTTATTAGACAATGTGCCATGCTAAAAGTATTCACATATCAAATATGAACAAAATCGCTCCACTACTTTTCGAGTTATAGTAAAATACGTTAAAATGGCGGCCATTTTTCAAAATGGCCACCTTCTACCAAAAGCGTCATTAGAAATAGACAGTGTTCCATGCTTATAGTATTCACATACCAAATATGAACAAAATCGCTCCACTACTTTTCGAGTATTAGTAAAATACGTTAAAATGGCGGCCATTTTTCAAAATTGTTTTCAAAATGGCCGCCTTCTACCAAAAGTGTCATAGGACAGTGTGCCATGCTTATAGTATTCACATACCAAATATGAACAAAATCGCTCCACTACTTTTCGAGTTATAGTAAAATACATTAAAATGGCGGCCATTTTTCAAAATTGTTTTCAAAATGGCCGCCTTCTACCAAAAGTGTCATAGGACAGTGTGCCATGCTTATACAGGGTGTCAAATAAGTCCCGTCCCCCCCTCTACAGCCAAAACCAAGATATTTGGTACCAAGTGTGATATATCATTGGAAAGGTCTTCCAAAGTTACGTTGATTGGCATATATCCGACACATGTCAATCAATCTCACAAATTTTTACATTGTATCAATTGAGGTGACCATATGCCTAGAAACATGGCAATTTGGCATATTTGGCAGGATCTTAAGAATCGGGTATAAGAAAGGTCAAGGGACCAAAAGATGACTAAATATGTTTATGGCGATGAATTTTACCAATTTCTGGATGGGGTTAGATGTGTAGAAAATAAAGGTGAAAGGAAAGTGGTGAAAACCTTTTTGTAGCTAGTTGAATGCAAAAAGGATTAACTTTTTGACGTATTTCTGATGTCATATCCTTGTCATTTTGACGCAAAAAAGCTACTTAAAGGAGGGCACGTTAACTATAAAAGACATCATAAAAATATAGGTAAATTTCATCCAAAATACTTGAGAGTTGGTGAATTAACATAACTTTCGATGATCTTTCCAATGGTATATCACACTAGGTACCGTCTGTTAAGGTTTTAGCTGTAGCAGGGGGGACGGGACTTATTTGACACCCTGTAGTATTCACATACCAAATATGAACAAAATCGCTTCACTACTTTTCGAGTTATAGTAAAATATGTTAAAATGGCGGCCATTTTTCAAAATGGCCGCCTTCTACCAAAAGTGTCTTTAGACAGTGTGCAATGCTTATAGTATTCACACACCAAATATGAACAAAATCGCTCCACTATTTTTAGAGTTACAGCAAAAATCGTAAAATGACGAGTAAAGGCCGCCATTTTTCAAGATGGCTGCCATGTGCTTTTTAATATATACATTTGTAGCATTATTAATGTCCTTTATAATTTTTTTTACATTTAAAACATATTGCTATTACAGTTTTTCATATTGCACCTAAATTACTGTAAAATCGTCACTAAAATGGCCGCCATTTTGAAATGAGCGGCCATTTTGAAAATCGGCTTTCGAGCAGAACTTCTACCCCCATAGGGTATATGTGTACGAAATATTAACAAAATCGGGCCAACGGTATTTGAGTTATTGCCCGGACGGACGGACGGACAGACAGGCGGACGGACGGACGTACGGACGGACGGACGGACGGACGGACGGACGGACGGAGGCGTTCCCTATATCCCTCCGAACTTCGTTCGATGGGATAATTATGGTGTCACGTGTACGAGAGGAATAAAACTAAGCAACCAATTCACTGGTGATCCACTCGATTACGCTGGTTACCGTTTCGGTAACAAAATGTCAGAACATCGAAGGTACGATTTTTCTTTTTCCTTATTTCAAACGGTGTAGGCAGAATTCCCACAACATTTTTTATCACAAACATGTATCAATATCATATGTTTCAGAAAATGTACATATTTGCGAACAAATAGTTCAGAAGACAACAGAATCGTCAATTTAATCCCTCACTTAAGTTACATAAACGGTATTTCGAAAAACAGTTAAGATCTGCACTTTTAACCCAAACCGTTTATATAACTTAAGTGAGGAATGTTGTATTCTGAGCTATTTTTTAGCAAACATGTACATTTTCTAAAACATATGATACTGATACACGTTTGTGAGAAAAAGCGTCGTAGGGATTCTGCCAACAACGCGTGAAATAAGGAAAAAAGAAAAATCGTACCTTCGACGTTCCAACATTTTGTAACCAGTGTAATCGAGCGGATCACCAGTGCAATTGCTAAAAATATTAAGTTACCTTTTCCTTCTCTCTGCCTTTCCTATGTTTGGATTTCCTCTTGTCCCTGCATGGTCGACCTTTATTTCTTGAGGGCTGATCTGTTTTCACGAGTCCGTTAAGACGTTGTGATTTTCCACCCATTACACCTCGACATTTATCACTACCACATTTACAGATTTGCTGGAAGAAAAAACATTATCATCCTTCACTGAAATAGTACTTTTGCAAGTGCTACTATCTCTAGGTTAAGCATTATTTGAGCAAAATGAAACACCGTGCTTTTGTCAAATATTTGCAACTTGTTTGACTAAAAACTAAGATATATTCAAATATAAATGTGCAATTTGTTTACGATTGCCATTTCACTATCCCTTAGCTTTAAGGAACCCTTGGAAGGGATCTAATCTTTTGATGATTAAAATTTTTTGAAAAAACATGTACTGTAATACACTGCATTATTGTTTGACTGCATACATACCTGGCTATCTAGGTTGAAGGCATCAAAGTTGTAGTCATAGTTGAGTTCTGTCCCAGGCTCTATATCTTTCAATGCAAACAGCCCAATCCTGTATACACCATTCACATTCCTACAAACACATTGACACAGATATAATGGGGGACTGTTTCCAGAAAATATTTAGACTTACAGGGTAGTATTCACCGACAGTAGTTGAAATTGGGTCAAATCAGTTTTTTCCATTGATTATGTCATTCCTTAGTTATCTAGTATTTTATCCCATATTACCTGAATAATTTGATAGGATATCTTGGTGCTTTATTGAAGTTTATTTTTGTTGTATTGTTAATTCTTTTGTTTTGTAGAAAAGACTTGTGTTATGGTAACACTCCAAACAAGGAAATGAAAGTTATAAATATATCAATGCTGAATGAAGAACCACATCAAACTCTATATAAAACTAGACAACAATTTTATAAAGAAAGTACAAATGTATATAGCAAAAATCATATAACAACATACAAAAAAGGCAACCATTATGGCCAAATAGTCATCAGAAAGTGTAATATGTTATAACAAAATGTAATTTAAAATATGTAATTTCAAAATGGCCACCTACTTGCCAAAATGTCATGAGACAGTGTGCCATGCTTACGAGTATTCACATATCAAATATGAATATCAAACACACATAAAAATGGTGGCCATTTTTCAAAATGGATGCTTCTACCAAAAGTGTCATTAGACAGTGTGCCATGCTTATAGTATTCACATATCAAATATGAACACAATCGCTCCACTACTTTCCAAGTTATAGCAAAAATCGTAAAATAGTGTGTAAAGGCTGCCATGATTGCTGCCATGTGCTTTTTCGATATCTACATTTCTAGCTTTATTAATGTCCTATATAATTTTTGATAATGTGAGAATATGTGAGAATATTAGCCCTTTAATTTGTGTAATAACTGAGATATAACTCGTTGCAAAAGTTCACTTTTTTGGATCACCCCATATTTCTGTTCCTACACAAAATATATTGTCACGTTTAATGAATTTCTATCAATTAATGTATTTGTCTTGACAACAGAAATAAAACAATTGAACTTTACAATTATAAAATGCAATTTATTGAAAAGTGCAGTCCTACTCTTTTCCAATATTTGTTGAAGCACTTCAATTGATTGTATTCATGTATGTTGACTTATAATCACTCACTATTGTAGTCTCTCTACTCTTGTATCTAATAAATAATACATGAATCTTGGTTTTGAATACATTTAATTCAAAGGCAATTCAATAAAATAAAAGGGCAGAGTATGAAAATGTTAAAAGTATCATATTCCATAGATAGTATGTCATGTATGTATTCATGTTCAAAGTTGCATTTTATTTCATTTTATATACATTAGACAATAGCTTTAGGTCTTTCATCATTGTGAGGCAATTCAATTAACCATTTGCTGTATAGCTTTGAAATCTCGCTGAAGTATAATTTTTAATGAGGTTTCAAGAGATTTGCATACTTTTCCACAAAGGATTTACATTTTCTTCTATTTTATATCATGTTTGAATTGAACTATGTATAGTTTTTTATTAGAAGAACTTTAATTTATACAGTTATTTCATTTTATTCAATTCTCAAGGATTTTTAGCTTTTCTGAAAATGTTGGGCTAAATCCACATTGATACAATGTTAAACAAGAACACAAATGTGTACAAAATGTCCCCACCAAGTGGTGATCCTGTGAAATGGTTATCCTGAAAATGAGTAGACAAGACTTTACCAACACAATTTGAGGACGGAAAATCCAAAGTGGCCACCTTAAAATTTACCCAGAATGCCAAAAATTTAGTCAGTTCTAGATTTTCATACTAAGAACCACCCCTGAAAATTTGAAATTGATCCGTCACACAGTTAACCAGAAAACATGTAAACAAGACTTTACAGACAAGATTTCAGGATGGGAAATCCAAAATGGCTGCCTTGACATTTACCAAGAATGTCAAAAAACTAATCTGTTTGTAGATTTTCATACTAAGAATCATCCCTGAAAATATGAAATTGATCTACTAAACGGTTCACCTGAAAACGGGTAGACAAGACTTTACAGACAAGATTTTAGGACAGAAAATCCAAAATGGCTGCCTTAACATTTACGCAGAATGCAAAAAAAGTAATCAGATGTAGATTTTCATACAAAGAATCATCCCTGAAAATTTGAAATTGATCTATCAAACCGTTCTCCTAAAAACGCTTAGACAAGACTTTACAGGCAAGATTTTAAGACGGAAAATCCAAAATGGCTGCCTTGACATTTACCCAGAATGCAAAAAAACTAATCAGTTCTAGATTTTCATACTTAGAATCATTCCTGAAAATTTGAAATTGATCTACGAAACAGTTCACCTGAAAACGAGTAGACAAGACTTTACAGACAAGATTTTAGGACGGAAAATCCAAAATGGCTGCCTTGACATTTACCCAGAATGCCAAAAAACTAATGAGATCTAGATTTTTATACTAAGAATCATCCCTGAAAATTTGAAATTGATCCACCAAACGGTTCACCTGAAAATGCGCAGACAAGACTTCACAGACAAGATTTTAGGACCGAAAAATCCAAAATGGCCGACAATAAAAAAGTCCTTATGAGTTTTTGCTGATTTCTTTTTACAAAATTATCACATATAACTACTGTTAACAATAAAGTAGGCTTTTACAGCAAAGTACATCTGAAATTATTTATAAAGCTACTAAATAGTTAAAGTATGAAAACTCAAAAACACCATTCAATATGATACAAAGTATTATCGCGCGCTAACTTTTCTTAAGACATTCAAAATGGCTGACATGACTGAGCTAGCAGGTCCAAAACCTAATCAGATCTAGAATGAAGTGAGCTGAACAAGATGTTAAAGTTTTAAAAGCAACTGTGAAGCAGTTTTTCTTAAAGTTTGCAGACAAGGATTTTAGCATTTGACTTCAAAATGGCCGACAGGAAGTAGGTTTCGAGTTAATTTTTTTTCATCCACATCTGTATGCACTCATAAGTTATCCCTGAAAATTTGAAGGTGATATCTGTAGCGGTTTTGGAGAAAACTGCCGGACGTACGGACAGACAGACGGACAGACAGACAGACGGACAGACAGACGGACGCGCCTAGGCCGACAATATGGCCCCACACTATGTGGTGGGGACATAAAAAGCTTTGATAGTTGATTTATTCTTTTAAGAATCACAATTTTAAGGCTAAATCACAGGGAGTAAGAAAACGTAAAATAAACAGTAGGCGTCATAATATATCACCAATTTCCAAAATTTGCTGACACAATTACGGTCTGGTTAGTAATCTTCAATGAGAACCAAACCTCATATGTAAACAGTCTTGCATCAAGTACACTGTACTTGAATTCACCCCTTCCTCCATTATCCATTATCTACTCCATACTGGTAGGGAAATAGATGGTGGGAGGTGGGACAAGACTTCAAACAAGACAATGAACACTTGTTTTAAACCAACGTACCATTTCTGCATCTCACAGTTTGGGCCGCATGAGTGGTTGACATAGCGACCAATGTTGCCAAGACGATAACCATCAATCACCATGCCGCTATCCAGGTTCAAACAGTAATGGTGATTATCCTTTGAATAATTTTCAGTCATACGTCTACGGAACTCTTGTTCGCTGACAACCTCACCAACATACTCAAGGATAAACTGGTCTGAAATAAATTCAAAAGCATGGAATTATTAATTCACAAATTCATTGTGTTAAAACTGGCAAGATATAAGTGATCATATAACATGCAGATTGCATGAAGAACAAGGTATTTAAACTTGACAAAATGTCACTAATAAGTTATGGAAAATGGTTACAAAAGTGCAAAAAGGGATGGCTTTGATAACAACAAGGCACCTGTTAGTGATATAAAAATCAACAAAATAGAAAATTGTGAATTCTATGAACATTATGGAACTAACTTACTTGCAGTAATTTTTCCATTGGTACGAACACCATAACCTCTATTTGCTGTGATGTATTTCTCTAGGTTTGGAGCCCACTCATGTTTCTGGATACGCTGGTTTCCACATCTCTCTGCACATGGACACGCCTGTGGTGAACACTCAGCATACATCATACGATTCAAACAGTCATCTGTACAGGCCTTCTGTGATTGGTCAGCAGGATATCGACAGTTACACGGGTGACACTCGTCACGAGAGACAGGTTTAACATCAACATAAACATCTGAAATATGAAGAAAATGTAAAATTAACAAGACATCTGTACTTGATTTACTAAAATGTCATCTTTGCAAAATCAAGTATCTTCAAAACTGAAATAGCGTTTTTTGCTATTTATTTTTTGTGAAGTTTCCTAAAATCACTTACTTGTTCTGATTTTCTTGTATTTATAGTGATTCTGGATCAGTTCTTTGCCAGCTGGTTCACTTGCTGATGCTTTCTTGTGTTTATGTTGCCACCAGATGTCATAAGGCAGCTGAAAATCAGCCTCCTTCTCCATGAAATGTTTGCCAAATTCATAAAGTGGGATGGGGAGAAGGCCACAATCTTCCTCCCCACTCACAGATATTGAGGATTTATCTTTGCTACTACTGTTGTTGTTGGATTTGTCCTTCCTGGAAAAGATCACTTTATATACGAGGGTTGTTCAATAAATTATATACATGTACAAATATCTCATGTTTATGATAGATTTAAAGATTATTCAACATGTAGAAATGCACCACATTTAAAACAAGGCAAATGCAAAATGTCACACCTGCCATTTGTTACAGACACTGAATACCAACTGACAGACACCAAACACCCCACACCATCCACAAAAATGTTTGAGACTATAATAATATATCACCAATTGTGCTGGTGAAATAAAAAGTCAGAGAGTGAAAACATCTTACTTCAGAGAGAAATCTCTAAAACTGCTTAAGTTTCTACAAATGTACCATCTTTAGATTTTACATTAACATATTATCGAAACTTTTATCATTCAGCAAGTCAGATCAAAGCGATCTTGCATGGAATAAGCAAAACAGACATAAAGCTCAGTTTTCTAGCCTACACATGGTCATCTGATGCCATGTATCAACAGGATACAAACTAATCTCTTATTTATGGCCTAATAAAGGTTGAACTTAGAGGACATAAAACCAGCAAATCTTTTATATGAGACAGATAATTGCATGGTTGTTCCAGATATTAAGAGAAATCAGAAAATGCCTGAGACTCCAGCTCGGAGTTATAAATTGTATGATCTACTAATCTATGCTAATAAGTTCAATTTGCTATTAAGTGACTCATGGGAGAATGCTTTCCTTGACATCACCTCCACTCTTATAGACCTGTGGTAAGTAAATGTTGTATACAAGACAACACTCATTTTCAATTACTTGAAAAGCATTGTGGGAAGGGATCTCTTGTGTATGAGATATACCTATCATTTTCACTAATTTGACATGGGAAGGGATGTCTTGTGTATTTTATAGCCTAACAGGACAAAGGCATGTTGTTTACACATTAGCCACATAATATGATGATTGTGCAAAAACTCATCATAACATCAGTAAAAACATATGTGAGCGAGGTTACTTTGGCCCTTACACATTAAGAATCCTCGTAAGAAATGCTATTAATACAATAGTGAACTCAAAATCAATTATAACATTAATTGTTCTAGCTACATAAAACATTAATAAATCATCTTCTACTTTATTCATTTATTGCTTGCCAGTTAATGATTTTCAAAGATAAATGTCAAGAGACATTCTGATACTCATGGCATCTTTCTGTTTCACCTGAAACATGCTCTGATATTATGAGGCATATTCTGTGGTCTGAGCACAGAGTGGAGGGGGAGGTAGTTTCGGCGAGAAAATTCAACAAATCTGGAAGATTTATTTTTATGAAATGGAAAATTAGGTTAGGTCTGTTAGGTGCTTTTCTTACCAATTTATGACAGTGATACTTACTTACTCATCTATCTTAAACACTTACTGATCATTTTGTACACTAACAGATATGTCCTTAATAAATATGTCTTTGTACAATTACTGAAATATTTTGTATACATTATACTAATCTATTGCGTACACTTAATGATCTATCTTTTGCACTTAGATTAATATTGTACACTTACTGATCAATTTTGTAGATTGCTGAGAATATTCCACATTTCTGATACTTCTTCTTGGGAAGACTACTTGTTTTTTTCTTCTTTATCTTAGGTGGATCACTGAAATGAATAATTACATGGACTCAGAAATTGTCATTCAGGCTATTTAGTTTAGTGTACATACACATATACAGTGTAGCAAACTGTATATGTGTACCTATTGTCTCCCAAATGAGCCGCAAAACAATAACACAGAGGTTTTTTCTAAAAAATATGTTATCAATTAACAAAAAACAGATCGTCCACTTAAAAGATATATGAGTGTGATGCTTTTTATATGTGGTTTATGCTTCATGTCATACACTATAATGCCTTCCATATCATCAATTTCATTAAGGTAGTTGTTCACTGGCAATAGGTTCCTCCATGCTATAGCATAGGCAACGATTTGATTGGTCAACTTTAGGACATACATACTGTATAATTTTCATGATATTACACTTTTGTATTTCAATAATTTTGATTGCTTAATGAATTATACCCAGTAATGACATTTTTAACATATTTTTGTTGCATTTTAGGATACATGTATAATTACCTGTCACTCTGACTTTCTGTTTCACTAGGGAGTATGTACTTTTTACTTTTAGGGCCTTTGCTTTTGGTCTTTTTCAACAAGGGCTCCACTATGTCTTTAACCACACTTTCATTCTCTATGATACCATCCACACTATTATCCATGGTTTCAGTATTATTAGGAGTATCTGCACTATGCTGCCTTTTGCGACCCTTAGCCTTCTCTTTTTGCTGCAGTTTATCTAAAATAACAATAGGCTTAGAGTTCAATTGAGAATTCCTTCTTCCTCTTTTTGAAGTAGATTCACAAAGTTTGGCACAATTTTCACAATCTGAGGATGGCTCCACCTGCTCATGTTCTGAACATTTTGGTTCAGGGTCTATGGCATCATCTAATGTTTCTTCTGTATTTTGTGTTGTTTCCTGTGTTACTCCAGGTTCTTTCATACTAATAAACTGCTCAAATGCATTTTGGAATTGAGGACCATTGGCACTAGCACTTTTAGACTTTGAAGAATTAGGTGTCTGATTCTCACTTATAACAGGGCGTTTCTTCAATGGAGAATCCTTTATGTTCCTTGTCTTTAACTTACTTTGAATAACAGCATTCTTTTTCTTATTAGTTGAAGTGTCAGTAGGTTTAGGCATATCATCAAACAGATTTCGATTTGGACTCTCTGTAGATCGCCGAGAGCCTTTTCTAATTTTTGAAGGAATGATGTGTTTAGTTGCAGTTTCCCTAGTACAGATTTCCTCAGTTGGTGTACTACTCCTGATCTGTTTATCTTTACCTTCAAGTCCTTCCTTAGCCTCAGATAGGTCCTTATCAGTAAACTCTATTCTGATTGGATTTGAGTGACTCTGAGCTATAATCGTTTTCCCAGGACTTTGTTGGTCAGTTCCCTTATTACCTGAAGCTATTTCAGTATCACTGTGTTTAATACTATCCTTGGTTGGTGAATTTTTAGCACTTGATACACCTTGTAATGGGGATTTAGATGAAGATTCATTAATACCAGTATTGTCTTTGCTTTCAGATGTTTCTTGTTCTGAGATGTTTGTTGAGATATTACATGAGCTTTCAATGTCTTTACCTTCGCATAAGTCCTTTTCAGATTTATAATTCGCTGTTTCGGAGTCTTTGCTATCATTTTTGGTTTCATCATGTGAATTATTTTCACTTTGGGTAGTCATCGTCTCATGCTGTAAATCTGAAGACTGACTCTCATTTAGATCACTTGGTATAGTTTCTTCAGTTTTGTTAATCTCACTGGTTATGTTGACGACACTTGAGTTCACATCACTATGAGATTCATTTACAGATCCTCTGGAAGATATGGATGGGGTATCAAGTGATTCATTTGATTTTTCTTCCACGGTTGAATCTTTAATATTGTCTGTATGATTAGAATCATTTGTATCGTCTGGATCATTTGAACTTTTTGTATTGTTTATCTCATTTGATTTTGAATCATTTTTTTCAATATCAACAGAATCAATTGTTGTTTCTGTTTCTTCAGAGTCTTTTGTTTTTTCAAAGTCTACAGAATCTTTTGTTTTTTCAATGTCAACTGAATCGTTAGTATTGTTTGTATCATTACAACAGAGCATTTTTTCATTTGAATCTATGGAATTTTCTACATTTGACCCAGCTGTAATATCAAAAGTTGACTTCATGTCAGAAGATTCTTTGGAAGTATCAGAATTGGAACAATCCTTATCTTCTGATGCTTTTGATAGATTGTTTGTAGTTGTGGTATCCAATGTATCTTTAGAACTTTCTGGAACCTCATCCTGAGTGGCATTCAAGCTGCTTCCTACGGACAGATTCTGATCCATTTCAGACTTAGAGGAGTCAAGAGATGTATCCATTGAACTTGATATATCCTGTGATTTCACTTTAGAATTACACTGTATCACAGTTTCGTTTTCTTCCATAGTAACTTGGGCTTCGCATGGAGCTGCAGCCATTGCTTGCTTTGGTGTTGAATTAGTTGTTGGAGCCGAATTTGACATAGCTGCAGATGCTTCTGGGTTCTGAGGATAAAGCTCTTTAGTGGAGCGTATAACTCCTGCATATTGTGGGGGGATTTGAGCTCCAGCTGGTAACATACCAGGGGGTAGAGCACCACCTGGGGGAAGGGCACCTGCCATAGGCAAAGGAGTCATCAAAGGCATTCCCATTACATAGGGGTGCATTAAACCTTGCCCCATATACTCCACAAGATCATCAGTTCCTACTCCAATTTCACATTTCTCAACCTCACCCTTCTTTTTGCGCTTCACAGTCTTTGCTTTTGTTACTTTGGCTTTATTCAACAACTTTGCCGCAGGATCCAGCATTGTATCATACTTGCTGAGATATTTTGGAGGTCGACCAGCTCGTTTTTTCAAAGGTACTTCAGGAGAGTTTGATTTATTGGGTGAGATCTTATTGGGATCCTTAGGGGGTCTCCCTGGGCCTCTTTTCTTAGGTGATTCTGAGTCAACTACTTTGCTCGGTGAAGACTTAGGAGTTGAAATTTTATCATTTGAGTCTTTTGATACATCTAGTTTTGGAGATTTGTTTTTGCTTCCCATAGGTCTACCAGGCCTACGCCCAGGGACCTTTTTAGGTTTATTTGGATTAGGGGGCCTTCCTGGACCTCGTTTTAGAGGCTTCACAGGAGCATCAATGTCTTTAGGGACTGTTTTATCAATTTTTCTTGTGGGTGACACACTTTTAATTTTCTTAAGGTTCTTTTTCTTTGAATTTTTTATTGGGTCTGAAGTGGTGCTAGATGAAGGTTCACCAGCTCCCTTCTTCATTTTCTTTGGAGATGGTGGAGCTAATTCAATAGCTTTACTTGAATCCTTCGGTTGGGGACCTGGCTTCTTGGATTTAGTTTTTAATGGCACAGAGTCTGTATTTATATCTGGATCTAGTTTAGATTTTTTGCCTTTCTTGGTGGGTATGACTGCATTGAGTGTGGTCTGCGGTGCACCTTTGTTGGCCTCTTCTGGGATGGCAGCCTCAGTCGTAACAGCACTTGCACTTCCTGAAGACACATTTTTACATCTGTATTAGCATTTAATCTACTGAGGCATTAAATAATATAATCTAAACTGATAACTCACATATATGTACTTGTATATGTATACTGAATTATGTATACTGAATAACTCACAAAATTAACTAGAAAAACAGCAACTCCACGGAGTAGCAAATCCCACCGAACAAAACATATTATGCTTATTATAGCTAGTGTAAATGTTGAAATGTTTGTGCACTTTGTGATAGAAGCATGAAATTTGGCACAAAGTTAGTTTATACCATTGTGAACTGGGCATCATCATATTAAACTTGAACCAAATCCATTCACTGGTATATGAGTTATCAAAGATTACGTTTTTTACGAAAAATGGCCACCATCTTGAAATTCAGCCGCCATCTTGAAAATTATTTATTGAACAGAGCTACTGTGTCCCTAAGCATCATCATATAAAATTTGAACCAAATCCGTTCACTGGTATTTGAGTTATCAAAGATTACATATTTTTACGAAAAATGGCCGCCATTTTGAAATTAAGTGGCCATCTTGAAAATCTATTTTAGTGCGAAACTCCTTTGTCCCTAGGTATCAGCATATAAAATTTGAACCAAATCCGTCAACTTGTATTTGAGTTATCAACGATTATATTTTTTACGAAAAATGGTGGCCATTTTGAATTGAGCGGCCATATTGAATATTCATTCTCGAGCAGAGGTCCTACACTCATAAGGCATAAGCCTATAAAATTTGAACCAAATCAGTCAACCGGTATTGGATTTATCGCCCGGACATACAGACAAACGAACGGCTTCTCTATATCCCCTCGAACTTTGTTCGGTGGGATAAATATATTTAATGGGAGGGATGGAATATGAAATTTATTCCGAGGAAAATATCATATTGGCCAAGGAAATTATCATATTGACCAAGGGTGATAGCTCGAGTGTCAACATGATATTTTCCGAGGCTAATATCATATTTTCTCGAGGAAAAATTCATATTCCATCATGACCATCAATAACCTATTTATTCCATAATAATTTTTCTGAAACTTCATTTTCAAGTTAGATTTTTCATCACCCAATGATGCTGACATAAAAATCTGCACTAAAATGGCCGCCATTTTCAAATGAGCGGCCATTTTGAAAATAAGATTTCGAGCAGAACTTCTATTCCAATAAGGTATATGTGTACAAAATATGAACAAAATCGGGCCAACAGTATAATATTCACTGGATTTCCAAATTATGGAAAATGGATGGAAATTTGAACTTTGGCACCTTCAAAAGAGGTACATTTATACAAGTTTAGTTTAAAATTCACCAATAACATATATAGTGCAGCTGTGACTGCGATGTGAAGGGAAATTCAGAAATTATACATTTTTTGATTTTTGGTCGACCATGACACCCCTGGTATCAGTTTAGCTTCCAGCTCCACATGAAAACAAAGGTTTTTCAATCAGATGGAGTCATATTGTTGGGAAATTATTTATCTTTAAAATGATACACAATATAATTTGTGGCTCACCCTGTAGATATACAACTATGAATTTTGACCTAAATTCTGAATATATCAAAAAAGCTAGTTTTTAGTTTGCGCATCCATACATTACCTTGCTTTGAAAGATCAAGATCACTTTCACTAGCTGTTCTTTTCTTGGCACGGCCTGGCTTCTTTTTCTCTTTGTCTAACTTTTCAACATCAGCTTTGTGTTGTATCAGTTCTGCCTGTTCTTTGGCAGCAGCTGCAGCGATCAACTTGTGTCTTTTCTTCAATGGTAGACATTGTTGGCTGTTTGGGCTGGCTGTACTTGTATCTGATAAAGTCATTGACATATCTTCAACAGGAACCTTCTTTTTGCGTCCACGTTTGGATTTCTCGGATTCTGTTGTAATCACCTTTGATGACTCTGTATGTTGGTTATTATTGGATTTCTCTTTAGGATTTAAATCTGGTTTAGATTTAGCATCTTTATCTTTATGTTTTGATGGTTTATCTTTTAACACAGGTTGGTCTGGTTTGACTTTTACTTCTGGTTCTTCCTTTTTCTCCTTTGGTTTTTTAATTTTAGTTTTATCTTTATGTTTTAATTCCTTCTTACTTTGTTCTGTATCTAATGTAATGTGTTCTGAGTGTTTCTTTTCAGATTTCTCTTTAGATTTATGCTTTTCTTTGTCTTTGTTTTTAGAGTCTTTAGACCGAGACTTGTCTTTATGTGATTTTGACTTATGGCTAGATTTTGTACTTCCTTCTGTTGAGGACCTTTCTTTGTCCCTTCGATCCTTCTTTGATTTCTTTTTCTTGACAATAGGACCAATTTGGAAAGCAATAGGTAAATGTTCAGGGTGAGAATATCCCTTTCCAAGTGTGATTTTGTTAATTGATTTTATAATATCCTCAACCTTAGCCAGAAAGGCTGGGTCGTAAATATTTTTATGTTTACTTTTGAGTCTTTTGACCTTGTTAGATTTCCTTTTATGGTGACGGATGGCTCCATCACCTTTATAATATGGTTGTAACACAGGTGGTGCCCCATCAGCTGACACATCTGAGTTCACAGACTCTCTCTTTTTTCTCTTAGATGAGAAAATATCAATGTCAAGGTCAGGTAATTTCTCATCAACATCATGTTCTGACTTCTTGGATGTGGGTTGTGATTTAACACTGTGTGTTGGAGATGCTTCTGATTTTTGAGGGGAAAGGTCACAAGGGTCAATGTCTAATGCAGGAGTGTCAATAGGGTCTACTTTATCTAATTTAGGAAGTACTGGTTTAATATCTTCAGGTTCATTGATTAGTTCATCAACCTGTTCCTGGTCCTCTATTGTTGTATTATGTGAACTAGCACCATTCATACTGGATACTGATTTCTTTTTCCTATGTCGCTTTTTACGAGTCCTCATCATAACATGCACTTTCGGTTTTTTGTATTTTGATTTGGTGCCAGATATTGATGAAGAACGGCTTGTATCCAATGACTCGTTGTTTTTGCTAGCTCTGGATGACTTAGAGTATGTACTTAGTCTATCACTACTCTCATTTGACATTGAAAAATCATCATCATGCTTCTCAAACTGATTATGAATAGAGTCTTGGACACTTTGTAATAAATTTCCAAAATCCATAGTACTCTCTATGCTTGTATTATGTTTACTCGCCATACTGCTGGCCACATCCATGGATTTTAATGGCTTTGTAGTTGGGAGAACTGGAGATTTCCGTGGTCTCCCAACTTTTCTTTTAACTGTCACAGGAGTTGATAGTTTTGTGGGGCTTTTAGGGCTTGTAGGAATAGCCATTGTTTTCATATGGAGCATATTTTTTGACATTTTTCTCCCAGAACTTGGAGGACGGCCGGGTCTTTTGCGAGGGGGAGGTGTTGTAGGGACAATGAGAGATGGCAATGGAGATAAGGGTTTAGTGGAAGATGAAGAGATCTCAAATGACCCAGAAGGGCATTCTGAATGAATACTGCTTAGATGAGAATCTTTTCCAGTTGCATAAATTTCATCTCCATCACTTATATTAGTCATACTGATAGTTTCAGACGTGACACTGGGTTTATGTTTTACATCCGTCTTTAGTGGATATTTTCTTGGCCTTCCAGGACCTCTTTTTGTTTTACACAGATTTTTACAAGGCCTACCAGGTTTATCATATTTTGGTTTATACTTTGCTTGTTTAGAAGATGGCTTAGGTGGGACCTTCACTTCTTCACCTATTATTCGTTTTTTATAAAAATTTGATTTTGTGAGTAAAAGTTTCTTTTGTGCGTAAACTGAGAATTTTTCATCGCCAGGGTAAGGCTTAATCCTGGGCCGGCCAGATTGTCCAAACTCTTCAGTCTGGTGCTCAAAATGTCCAAGCATTGCACAGTGTATCACATAATCAATAGTATCCTCCACATGTAACATCCTAACATCATCCTCTTTTTGCTTTGCAGCTTCTGATTTTGCAGATAATTTTTTCTGTTTATGCTCCTTTGCTCTATTTGAGGATTTCGAAGTTTTTGGTTTGGGTTGGGGTTTCGTGATTTTTTTATGTGGATGATGATTAACTGACCCAGTTGGTCCTACGAGGGGAGAGGGATATAACACTGATGTAGGCCCAGAGGAGGGTGAGTCAGGATTTAATGATATTCCACTGTCTGGGGACACATTTGATGCAGTATCCAAACGTAACAAAGCATCAGGAAGTGGCTCCATTAATGTTGTTGGGACAACCTTCTTAGGTCTACCTGGTTTCCTTTTTACCTTCTCTATGCTAGACCCTACTCCAACTGGGTCAATCACAGAGGGTTTGGACATGGCTATCACTGCCTGTGTAGTTTTAACTTGTTCCACACTTGATGTTAATACTGTTGTCTTAGAGGAAATGTCATTATCAGATGCTTTGCTGTCTGCCTCTGCTTTAACTTCACCACTTTTACTATTTGTATTATTATTAGGTGCATCAATCTCCTGTTTATCAGCCATGTTGTCTTTATCAGATGTGACACCATTGGGTTTATCATCTTGTTGGACTATTATAGAATCAGGTTTGTTGATGTGTGAAGCTAATCTATGATGGTATTGAGCAGGAACCCTCATTGTGTCTGTATTCTTGTCAACTTCAGCCTGAAAGAACATAAAAAATGCCATTCAATTTCAATTCAAAATCTATTTAGCTGAAACGATACATTAGTAATTATAATAGCAATAGATGATGATACATAAATCCAAAATGAGGTGGGGTCTGTATATCAATGCAGTGTGGAATATACATGTAGTAATGTACAGTGAAAGTAATATGCAATGGGAGGTTGTGGATTTGATTCCCACCAAGATGGAGTGACTTTTTCACATCAGCCTTAAGCATGGGATTCGGACAAATTATTCAACTTAATGAATACATATATCTTATTTCATGGGAGAAATCTATTTCTTAACAAATAGAAATAAATGCTATCATTAAAACATTCAACTGATACTGTTAACAGGAAAACATGCCTAATGAGGAAATGACAAAGGAAATACATAGAAACATATATGTACAGTAGTGTTGTCGCGATGTGCCATAATCGTACATCGATGCATCGGCAATTTTCAGTAGTAAACATCGATGCACATCGCGATGTACATCGAGAAAAAGTCTGAGAAAAGTGCACTGAAATACCGAACGCTAATGCACTAAAATACCGAACATCCGGTACATCTGGGAACTTCTAGTAACAGTTAAAATGAAAGTAAAGTATTTTTTTAAATTAATGGTTCATTTCGACTGGCTAAAACAGTTTTAAAGCGAAAGAATATCAGAAAACATTGGAAAATGAAATAAGACATGAGAAAGGTAAGCGATTTGCATCAAAATAAGATAAGAAAGGGTGACTTTTAGCAAATTTTTTTTTTAAAAAAAACATCGATGTTTTGTTTCAGACATCGATGCATCGCCAGAATCAGCTTTGGCGATGTATATCGCGATGTATCGATTAATCGCGACAACACTAATGTACAGTAAAACCTGTCTAATCCGAATGCCATTGGGACCGGCTAAAAGCGTTCAGATTAGGAGGTGTTAACATTTCAAGGCTTTTGCATTCGCAATATTCCGGATTCTGAAGAAATGTGAACACATTCTCGGTATATATTTACAGTTCTTCTGACCACATAGCTTTATGGCATTCCTGAAATTTGAAAATTTGATTCAAATGTATCAAGTCATGATTGAAAGCCCCATTATAATTGAGACCATTCAAGATTTTTTCCAAAGTTTTGATATCATGACAATATTTGAGCAATTTTGTGTGAAACATCAGAAATTTTATTAAAAGTGTTCAGATTAGACAAGTGAATTTTTCAAATATGACTGTTCACTGTTCAAATTGGGAGGTGCTCACATTATAAGTTTTTTTTAACATGGGCGTCAATGGGAGGAAAAAATGGGACCGAAAAAAGTGTTCAGGTTGATTGGGAGGTGTTCGGATTAGCCAGGTGTTCAGATATACAGGTTCTACTATACATGTACATGGGCATAGCGCTATTTTTCTAAGTAGTACGCCACCACCACAGGAACAAGAGTTGAGTGAATCAAAAACGAGCAAGGGGGTCTGGGGGAAATTTTTTAAATTTGGTTGTATTTGGAGCGGATTTGCAACCATCTGGTATGCCTGTGCGTACCCAGCGTACCGGGCGCTACGCCCATGATATATATTCCTAAAATACCAATTCTTTACCTAAGTGAGATTTAATAGGTATCACAAATCATAGATCATTGGTGATTTAGCTTATATGCAAGCAGCATTACGTTGAAAGTAAATCATGACAACATTTTCGGGCTCTAACTCTAACTGAAATGCTTTGTTTGAGATCATTGAAATATATCCAGCAGTAATAAAACTATGAAATTAGCTATAACAGTCAAAAAAGAGAAGTACGGTGAATTCATGGGGATTAAAGATTCTTCATGTTAATTAATATACGTAAATATATAGCTATAAACTAAGAGATGTTCATAATAAACATGATTTGCAGCTTATGGTCTGTGCTTACATGGTGCCTGTATGTGCGTCATGTAATTTAATCAATTCTCCTAATTTATGATTGCTGTGAATGACTTACAGATATTAATCACCTCTCTATCAGATATACATGATATACTAAAGCATGGATATGGTGGGAGGATGTTATATTCCTCAGCGAGCATGTAATATGATAGGAGAATGAAGTATGATTCCCAATTTGGTGCATTATGCTCCAAGGTTAGGACATCTGCAAATTAAAGGGGAATAGGGGGTGGCTCCATCAAGATAAGGTATAAAACATGACGTATATCCTTAGGACCAATGGATAAAATGTATGTTTTTTTGAAAACTATGTTTATACTTTATTACTTCAACTCTACTGTCTGGTATATCAGAATAATAAATAAATATATAAATAGAGGTTACTTAATGGGAAGTTTTTGATACAGAGTATATCTGAGGGAAATACAATATATCTACTTGAGGGACTGAGGATTGATATATTGTATTTACAGAGGGATATACCCTGTATCAAAAATCAAGCATTTAATAACTGATTTATCCTATACTTAGTAGATTATTGAAACTTATGGAACCCTCCTGTAATAACAAGACAACAGCAACACCAAAACATAGCAAATCCCATCGAACAGCCATGGCTGGCATTTTTACAAACAAAGTATAGAGCAAAAATGACAGCCATTTTTCAAAATGGCCACCTTCTTCCAAAAGTGTCATTAGACAGTGTGCCATGCTTAGTGTGTTCACATACCAAATGCTCCACTACTTTTCGTGTTATAGTAAAATACATTAGAATCTACCAAAAGTGTCATTAGACAGTGTGCCATGCTTATAGTATCCACATACCAAATATGAACAAAATCGCTTCAGTACTTTTTGTGTAATACTAAAATACGTTAAAATGGTGGCCATTTTGAAAAATGGCCGCTGTCTACCAAAAGTGTCACTAGACAGTGTGCCATGCTTATAGCATTCACATACCAAATATGAACAAAATCGCTCCACTACTTTTTAAGTTACAGCAAAAATCGTAAAATATCGAGTAAGGCCGCCATTTTTCAAGATGGCTGCCATGTGCTTCTTTAATACCTACATTTCTAGCTTTATTAATGTCCTATATAATTTTTTTACATTTAAAACATATTGCTATTACAGTTTTACATATTGTACCTAACTTACTGTAAAATCAGCACTAAAATGACCGCCATTTTCAAATGAGCGGCCATTTTGAAAACTGTCTTTCGAGCGGAATTTCTATTCCTATAAAATATATGTGTAGAAAATATGAGCAAAATCTGACCAACGGTATTTGAGTTATTGCCCAGATGTACGGACAGACGGACGGAGGCATTCCCTATATCCCTCCGAACTTCGTTCGATGGGATAATTACAATCAAAACATGAATATCTTATCTCAATTTAAAGTTCTTAACATTTATTGTTTTTTAAAACTTTGGTTGGTTTGTTGATCATCTGCCATCTTGTTTGTAAACAGCGTTTAAATCTTTCAGTGCACAAAAAGCACCGAACGAAATTCCCGGGGATCGCTGATAAGTGGGTGATATACATCTCCCGCTCACCTCAAATATCAATCATATTCCTGTTATCTAAGTATAACACTACTAAGTTAAGTATGGGATATTAATATATATCAATAATAATGAATATCAAGTAAAAAGGCTCTGTGGGTGGGTGTGGGTGTAAAAGATTCAGTGAGCCCCCCCCATCCCCTTCATTCAATGGAACAATGCCTTTTCAATAGTCTTGTTTCAATCCCTAAGTTGAGACCCCCCAAATTTCCTCTACAAAATGGGTAGCAGATGAAAGTGCTCCAGACTTATGCAAGACTAAATTTTAAGCTATGAAATGTTTCTGCCTTCTATTTCTGAGGCAGACTTTTACCACCCATGTACTAAATGAAAGCAATTATGGTTTGAAACATATGGTATCCTGGGCACATAAAGGATGGTGTACAAATGATGAAGTTAAGTTTAACATCCCCCCCCCTCGTCTATATAAGGAAATTTGAAAATGATAGTTCACCATTTCCTTGAATCTCCCCAACAATATCATTATTTCTCCCTCCTCTTTCAAAATTAACTTAATTCTTCCGCAACTGTTCACAGTTAAACACAATCCTTAATCTGGACACAGAATGTCAAGTATAGTGCTGGTAAAATGATAAGCTGACTGAAATCTTTAAGAATGTAATGATGAAATCTTTAAATTGTTATAAAAAGACAATGCAAAAACAGGATTTTATCAGTGTTATGCATGTGTGTAAGAGAAGTGAACAAATCCATATGTGCAATGGGTACTTTCATGTACAGGAACTAAGAGGTAAACAGTGAGAACATGGGTGGGGAGTTTCATATTCCATAATTAATTTTTTACCCAATCACAACCCATACTCCAATTTCATATTCACATTTAAATTTTGTTTTCATTTCCCTTATATTTCATATTCACTTTATTAGATATTGTATATTTTGGGGGCCCCATAATCCATATTTATGTTTTCTTATATATTTATGTTTTCTTATTTACTAATATTCCATCCTCATCAGATTCTATTTTGTCCTGAATGTATTCTATACAGCACTATTGCCAGTCTATTATTGCAAGCTCTGTATGACCAAAATGAATGAATCATACATATTTATTCTGAATTCTGACATATCATTTTATGTCCTATAAAATGAGATTTTTAGAATCTCATCTCACCTACTCTGTTCTAAGGTAATGCCTTTAACCTTTAACATTTCACTTTTTTGATAGCCCCCTTACAGTATACATAAAGTCATGTTTTTTATGAAACTGATACATACTTCCTGGTCTAGAACAACTATAAAATCTTATGTTGAAAAGGAAGGCATTTCCCAATAAACCAAGTTAGAATAAGGTTAATTAGGTGAAGGTTAACATCAAAATAGCACTTGCTGAAGGCTCATGGGAGGTAGTCACCCTTGGACAATATGAACATGTGTAGAATAACAAGGAAATGGTCAGATACAATCAAATCTAAAAATCACTGACAATATTCATGCAAATACATATTTATCCTCACTAATTCTCTCAAATATATAAACAACTGAATTTACGTCATATAAATATTTTTGGCTCTCTAACCAATTTTCTACATTTCTGCGCATGTACATGTTCATCATAGTCTGTTCATAAAGACTGTTCATGTTATCATTCCTTATTTGCTGCTATATAATCACATTTAGTATAAAAACCTACAATCTGCATTTTACTTACTAGAATTTTCACATGATGCTATCTTCCACATATTTGCCAGAGACATATTATATCCATCCAATACAAGACTATTATTTGGTAGCCACATAAAATCCTCTGACTGTTTTTCTTTCACCTAACTAGAACCTACAGCTAGAGATTAAGATAAGTTACATCGTCCGCTAGCTTTATGCTTGATCGGGTATTAATACGTATGCCAGATGCAAATGGCCAAATACATACAAAATTTTCCTGCAGATATCTTTTTCCCCACTGTAAAAATCAATATTGAGCCTACAGTATGTTGTTAGCGTAGATTTGTAATATGCCGTGAGCATGGTAATGCCTGTTAGTGTGGGAATTAAAACTGCGTGGAACATAGAGCATCTAACCAGCAAGCTTTTACATTGCTATACATTGAACACATACATGCACCAAGCTCGCCCCCTGCCTTTATTATCTATTTCTCCAACCTTTATTCGATGTCACCTGAATAAATGACACAAGCTCAGTCTTAGGCACATAACTGGAAAACATTTCCATCATTCCTATGTTAATAAATAGTGAATTTGGTCAATTTGAATCTGTGCTACAGACAGATCTGATTACATTACTGGTGCTGATTCAGTGTTTGGTAATAAATGTTTCAAGACTCTACTTAAAAGTTAAGATGTGTTTTAAGATGATAGGCAAGTTGATAAAATAGTCTTATGTCAGAAAGGGGTTTCAGCAGAATTTCAATCAATTTAAGGCTCTTAAACATGAGTATGGGAAACTAGCCAAAATATTAACATATAAGAATAAACAGGCATGATTTCTTAGTTCACTATCATTTTACTCTCAGGATTTTTATTAATTTCAAGTAAAATACATTCAGTAAAAAAACAAAAAAAACATAGATTCATGGTTTATTTTCTGTAAATGCCCCTGGAGCTTATATTTGTTATATGTAGTTAAAAATAGGTGAAAGTAGATACACCAAATATTTTATCTCGTATAGTTAACTTAGGCTAGTTTATGGTCAGTTGGATTATCACATGACACCATCAAACACATGAGCCAAAAAACAACAAAAATAAGCAACCATACAATCAATCTTTTAGTCTTAGGTGCCATATCCTGTCTTGGGTAAGAATCAAGATTCATGCCTTCAACAGAAATAACAGAGAATAGACCCTAAATTACTCTAGGACAGGTACATTACCCTCTGACTATTGCAGGTGATTTCAGTTTCAATGCTGATAATTTGAACAAAAATAGCTTTATAGCCTGCTTTTATAAGAGTGAAAATATGAAATAAATATAAGCTATATTTAGACAGAATGGACTGTTGTGAATTTCTGAGAAGATTAAGGCTTGACTCTAAATTAGAGTATAGAAACTTGCTCTCTTGTGAAGGGTGAGAAATATCAATAAGATGAGCCATTATGAAAGCACAGTATGACTTTAAACCTCCTAACCATTTTATTTACTTTTCCTCCGACAGTTTTACATATCGATCTTTGGCTGACTATGTCAATAATCTGACTT